CCCTAAAAAGAAAAGAAAGGTGAGTTGAGCGAGTAAATTAATATGGATATGAATACCTGAGAGCGATGGGGCTGGATGATAATATACCGATGACCTTGGGGTGAAAATCACTGGTGAAGAGTTGAAGTGGAGAGAGGTACTTGTGTAGACCTACCCTGGTATTCGACGACGTCGTTATAGTTGTATTGCGTACCTGGCTGCCAGCACTGAGTCATGGTGGTGAGATGTAGGGGGAGAGAAACGGTGCTTGCGTACTTATATAGAGTCGATTGGGTATGTTATCAGATCATGATGGACATCTTTAATTGGGCCAAGCCAAGAGGCTAAGAGGACCATGCACATCACGCGACTGTAGCATGTGACTAGAATACGTCATGTGACTATCCTTTCCTTGTCCTCAACCGTCATGTCTGGTGCAGCAGCGTCCGCAGGTGCTTCGAAATTTACCGCCTTCATGAACCATCCGGCAGGTAAATTTACACACAATATTGTGGTCTCCCTGTCCTCATCTTGTTTTCATTAGGTCCCAAGACCGTGTTCTTTTGGGCCCCCCTGATGAAGTGGTGTCTCGTCGCTGCTGGCGTAAAGGACCTCACCCGTCCTGCTGAAAAATTGAGTGTTTCCCAAAATCTTGGTGAGCTTTGGCGTCGGTTTGTTCTCCATCGTCACTCAACCCCCCGGCCTACAAAAGCACTCACCGCAACGGGATTTATCTGGGTCCGTTACTCACTTGTGATCACGCCAATCAATTATAGTTTGGCTGCGGTATGTCGTCATTTCCATCGTGCGTTGGTATACATTCACGAGTCATCAAGGTCAATTTCTTCGTTGGCTTGTCAGGACTAACACAATTGGGCCGCATCGCTCAGTACGTCTGTTGTCCCCGTCTATGATTCAGCTTCATCACAGTACCGTCCAGATACCGTATGAATAACCCAGAGACACCGAAATCGGCCTAGAGTATTTACCTCCTCAATTTCGATACTCATACCTATTCCCTTCTAGAGTGATTATGTGTCGTCGAGGGGTTTTCAGAATCAATATACAATTACAACCATGATGCACCTCACTGATAATAGAAGTCCATCTGTGCTACCTCGAACGCGAATTGCTTGATCGACTACTACGTTTCGATCCACTCGTGGTGTCAGATTTACGTTGATCGCTTCCCCCAATGACCCACTGCCAATCACCACGCTCGAAAACAGCCTTTGCTCCGTCAACGATATTCTTGATGAAATCGGGGAGATCGTCATGTCCAACCTCCCTCTCCTGATACTGCCACTCGCGGTGGCGCTCAAACAACTCCCAAGGTTTAGGTCTAGCCTTTCGTGATCGAGACGAGGATGAGCCGAGAGGAGTTTTCTGCGTTGAATCCGCCACATATTTCCATACGGAACCTCCAATGGACATATAGTTTCCAATGGTATTTCCTTGAGTATTTTCCATGAACCATCCAGTGGTGGCCAACAATGCGGCAAGGATGATGCTCCACTTGACAAACCACATGCCTGTCCTGAACATCCAGCTTGTTGTGCGATACAAACTGGCTAGGGCGAGGTAGGCAGCCAAGATGCTGATTATGGGAGGTAGGAGAGTCTGGGCATTCCATTCAAATGGACCTTGGGAGTAGAGGGTGGTGGCCAGACGGAGAAATGCGGTGAAAAGGTTGAGAACATTGGACATAAAAGTGAGAAGAAATGAGTAGATGGGACTAGGAAGAACGTCGGCCAAATACTCTAACAAAGTCATGTTGGTGGTGGAAGCCTGAACTGCGAATCTCGTGATCTCCGCACCTCGGTATACCGGGATTAGCCGGGACAAGCAAGAGCAAACATCAGGCATATAAGGTTGGAGGAAGTAAACCGGTCTCACCTCCTTTACCCGTCCCACTCTACTTCCATGGCACTCAAAAGAAAACTTGACATTACTGCCGACGACGTGGCGCCCGTGGTCAGCTCTATCTCCTCCGTCTCTCTATATGCGCTCATCTACTATTAGAGTCATAAGCAGCTCAAGCTCATCCCCTTCCCAAACTTTCAGCCCGACGACGATGTTCCCATGTCTGACGCTGAGCCCTACACTCATCACCTGCGCATCCCCTCCAACGCAAGCTCCACGTCTTCCAACGCATCTGATTCGCCGCTCTCACACTCTCGTGCGCGCTTCCCTTCTTGCACTTCACAACCACTCTTACACTTTTATTAGCCGCCTACCCCTCTTTCGACCTTTACCCTTTGCCTTTTTTCAATGGCCAAGGCACTGTCGATTTAAACTCCCATAACTATTCGCACTACGCTTCTCAGTCGCCTATTTCTCCAGCCATTGGCTTGATGCAGCCGTCACCATCGTTTACTCACCATGGGTACGTCTCGGCTTCACTTGGATAACTATCCTTTACGAGGATAAATTTACAGAACGAATTGTACTCAAATACCCAAACTTCGAATGGCTTGTGCTTCAGGACCCAATGGTCACCGATCCATGTGGAGTCTCTGCGAACAATGCGGCGCCATCTCGATGATCGACAAAGACTGACTTTTCCAGAAGACTCAACTTTTGAAATCTCAGATACCCTCAAGAATCTGCCCACGCAGACATCACACTGTTATCTTGTTTTTATCCTTTTTTATTTGCTGATTTCCCCCTCCGCGGTTGGTTTTGGAGCGCTTATCCAACAATCTGCTTTCGGCAACACGTCGATGTCGACTCACCCCGTCTTTGGCAACTTCGGATCCTGTCCTTGCGCCCTCGCCTCCACCACCGTCAGTCCCCATCACCTCGCGTTTCCCACAACAGAAAAAGAAAAAAAGGTTCACATGTTTCGCTTTCGACCTCCCCGCCTGCTTGCTCTATCATTACTTGTGTATTACAATGCTATGTATCATAAAGACAGCCTCCTACAAACTGCTTAATCTTGTCTTTCATAAATCTGGACTCGCGAAAAGCTCCAGAAATTGTGAATTGATTGTGAGTCTAGATATAGACAGGTCAACAAGAATGGCGCCGACAGTTATAAGAATCGGCGCCCGACGGGAAAGTATATTACGAAATCGCAAACAGGAGAATGGCAAAATTCTGTTACAGCATTTACACTTTCAAAGCTTTGATAGTTTTACCTGAAGCAATGGCCAGCCACTCCCCTGCAAGAGTCATATGTCCCGTGTTCATGGTCATGCCCTGTATTGGCGGCGACCAAGCCAAATTTGTGATATGACTAGGTGCAGTGTACGCCATGAAAGGCTCCGTAACAATTTTTTTCTTAGCGTCGGGTCGCGGCGAATTTAACCGTGAACCCGCACTGCGCGGCGATGCTGCTCCTTGAGTATAATTAGCAAGATCCCATAATAACAGTTGACAATCATCGCCTAAAAGTGGAGTTAGAGAACAACAAGAGAGAATAGCAAAGGTGTACTTTCCTGCTGTTGCCAAAAGTGGGTGCTCTGCAGACCCCCACCCGAGAGCGTTGATAGGTGCATGGTGACCTCGAAGTTCCATCACTGGTTGGCCTGGACTTCGCATGTCCAATATTTGAACATCAGAGCCGTCCATATGAAACGTCGACATGTAATTGGAGTCTGACGGGTTGAAGGCGATTCTCAAAAGAGGTGAAGTAGGTGGGCGGGCCGAGGCAGAGGGAGATGCCGATGGAGGTGGAAGATTCTTGGGAGCTGGTGTTTCATACAAAATTGTGGAGTGCTCAAGACTTCGAAGGTCAAATGCACGAAGGCTCCCGTCTGCGCCAACAGATACAAAAATGTCTGTGGATCCTGGCAGCCAGGCAACATCGTAGACTTCCCGGTCATGCGCAATAAGTTGTGTCATTGCTGTGGATGTGTCAATATTCCAGACTGTACATGTCGTATCAATGGAGGATGTCACGATGAGATTAGGAGCCTTTTCATTCCAAGAAAAGTTTGTCAGTGGCGCTCCAGTGGATTGGCTTTGCACTTTGGACTGCTAACTCCTCTTGTGAGGTGGTACCCTCTAATAAACGTAGCTGACTTACCCCGGAAAGTGCTGTTTTCATCGTGAGGCTATGTCCCGCAGAAGCATTAGGTTGGCGCCCAACGTAGCTCGAGGTAGCCGAGGGTCCATCACTGCTATATTCCCAGACTCTCAGTGCATCCCCGGTAGTGGCCAGCAGCTCAGAGTTCGGTGATTTCTGAGACCAAGAGTGACCCATTGCTGATGCGGGTTGCCACTGCAAACTTGTCGCTGGGTATCCGTGGTATGTTTCGCACAAAGTGACGAAATCGGGGTAATCGGTGAAATCATCTTCGACGAGTACTCGTTCGTCCTGGAGTCCAACCACTGCGATATGATTCTGATAATTCTCTGCGAAGGACGCAATCCCTAGGCGAAAGGCTGATCGGGGCCGAAGCTGTTGACCAGGTGCTGAAGACTTGCACCAATCGAGGCTATGCACCGGCCCTATGGGTGAATGAATGGGTGAGGACCATAAAAGCCAATGATACTTACAGGGAGCTTCATACTGAAGCAATGTCGTCTGTGTCATTTGACGGGTATTGCCAGCCTGGCTTGGGCGATTAGAATTCAGTTCAAAGCAAGGTTGACTATAACATTCATTGCTGATGTAACCCACATGGTATACTACACACATCGTATCAACTCACTATAAGTACATACATAAAATGAATCACAGGAGCATTCCACTAGGCAAAGTGTCAATATCACGTCTAACGCCAGATGTAAATCGAGCTTACACAATCCCTGCTGTTTGAAGCGTTGACAAAAATCCACAGACCATGGCCGAAAAGGCAATACGTGCGATGACTTTACTCCTAGACGGTGCTAACGCGCCAAGGACACCAACCTGAATACCAAGGGACCCAAGGTTGGCGAAACCGCAGAGGCCGTAGGAGCAGATGGTATACGCTCGGAAAGAGAGCGGCGCCGTTTTCATTAGGCTTTGCAATTGTAGATATGCAGCGAACTCATTGGCAACCAATTTAGTTGCAAAAAATTGAGAGACCGTCAGAATTTCAGCACGCGGCACGCCTAGGAAGAATGTAACCGGGTAGAAGATGTATCCAATGACGAGCTGAAGGGTGAGATTGTGAATGCCAAAGCCACGACCAACCCAGGTGAGGAGGCCGTTGGTCCTGTCCAACAATTCTGTTTGTTTAGTTCGAAGAGCAACATTCCAGGGAGGTGACATACGCCGCAACAAGAGATAAGACGGTGAGGACGTTTGTTCTGAGCAACTGTCAGATGTTATGGAAAGATAAGTAGTGCAAGTGCCCACAAAATCTGTCCCGCAACAATAAGTCCAAATACCGCACCCTGACTAAAAGCATGGAGAGCATTTGCCTATCAATAGGATGAGGTGATGGTCGCTTGTCATCGGGTCACACTCACAGGTCTCTTCGCCTTGCTCTCTCCGCGGTCAACAGTGACATGACCACGGGTGACAGGCTCTTCAGTTTCAGGAAGCCGCATCTTACTAATAGACATCGAAGCAGGGATACTCATGACCGATGAGGTTACAAGATTCTCAGCTGGGACACCCAGACTGATATAGGCAGCCAGTACCGACCCGGCAATTGTAGAAAACCCGGAGGTCATTGTCAGATCTGTTGCATAAAGAAAAGTCAATGGAATTGTTCGACGAAATATTCGAGTAAACGAACGAAGCTCGGACTCGGTCATCACTAAATCAAGATGTTAGGTAACGAAGGAAAAGAACGAATGGAGACAGACAATCAACGTAAGGCCGAACAAGGCAGGCAGATTCTCCTACCGACCAACGTTAACGTTTATTTAAAAGTAAGAAGATGACGATGTTCACCCACCTTGACCGATCCAGGGAGAAGCTGCCGCTACCACGGCCTCGGCTCCTGAGACATTCATGATTTTGAAGAAGAACCACGCGCTATGACCTGATCAGTTTTGAAAAGATTGGGTATAGAAAAGCAGTACAAATTCTTAATGACCCATTGCATTACGCCAAGATAATACATCATTTGAACGAATGCGATGAAGAAGATGATAGATGCCAGCTAGGATGGACAAAGATTAGATGACTGGATACTAAGAAACGCAAATCAAACACAGTGTTGACGAAAAACCAGTGCTTGCTTATGGTGTCCGCATCGAAGAAAAAGGCGGCACCAGCTTCCGCTTGGCTCAAAAAGTCGCTTGCCAGAGTAGCGACCCATTTGAATATCGAAAATCCAGCGCCAGTTTTCAAAACGAACAATGCGACAACCTGTTGTAAGAAGAGTCCAACGATGACGGTAGGCCTTACGAGAAAAGTTATTATTCGGAGGGTCCTGAGTGAAAAGCGAAAAGATTTTACCAAGGGATCTCTTTTCTATTTGCCGACGTGGCCCAGAATCCAAGTTGGAAGACGAAGAGACCAAGGACATTAATGGCCCTGTCTCCAAAAGTCGTACCCTAATATTGTTGTTAATCATAGCGCCTTAACTTGAATCTTACGTCGGGACCAACCTTTTCAAGCTTGAACCCAAAAGCGGAACCGAACACGATTGCCAACAGACAAAGCCAGCCAACCGCAAGCCTGGCCCGATAGGGTAATTTATACCATGGTTGCTGAACAAGCGGCTCCCAAATGGCTGATACAGGTCGCGTCACGACCGAGTTTGGAATGTATCGAAAGGCAATTATTCTTTTGGAGATGAGACAAGAGTAATATGACGCTAGAAAAGTGCACCAACAAGATAAACGCCCATGCAAACAGCGTTTGCACAATCCTGCAGCGTTGTCAAGATAGCCATTCCTGTGAGCAATGAAAACCTCACCATCGATGCCTTGTCGCCTTTAGTACTGTCGCACTGATCCACCAACCCAAGATAAGCGTGGCCAGGCTCCCCAAGATGAATGGTCGATATCTTTGGCTAAAAGTTACCGGCGTTTCCTCCTCTTGGGTAGAAACCTGAACTTCAACATCGTTGTCGGCTGTATTCTTTTCTCCCTTGAACGGATCAATTGAAGAAGGCCGTGACGTATTGCGTTTCACTGGGGTGCCGCTCTCGACGATTGGCTCGACGGGAGGTTGAGAGGTAGCCATCATGAAGTTAACAAGCGCTTTCGGTAGAGGCGAACTAGCACACATCCCTCTTCGGTTCTTGAGAACTATACTGACTTTCACCCACGATGAACGCTGAGAAGCACCATGTGGTTAGTGGCATGAGACGCTGATGCACACATGTCAACCCCGAGTGGATGATAAGCGTTCGTCAAATGGTTCCGATGCAGAACTCGGAGGGGTATCTCCGCGAGGTCTCCCGAAGGGACTCAATATAGCGCCATTGGAGTGTAAACGTTCATGGGGTTCATGTGGGATCTGGTGTCATGATTATCTGTGGGAAGTTAGTTCCATGGTGTTGTGCACATACCTACAGGGTACTCACCCTTACGAGATCCATTGCTTCCTTTTGTTGACCGCGTGATGAAAGATCAGTCAGCAGGTTGGAATTGTGGGCGTTACATTACGTCAATAATTTACATGGTTTCAAGAGTCCTGCGAGTCCTGTAGTGAATATTCTGAATACACCACGTTTTGTAGGCCATCACAGTCGACCGTCGAGCCGATCTTCAATAAGTTTGGCAACAGCTGGACCATGGACGGGTATAGAAGTTCCTTGGAAGCCTTCAGGGTATCCAAGTGGAGGCTCGTTTGGATGAGTGAAGTATCTAAGAGGAATTTAGACGTTGTATGGATAGAAACAAAGGGACCCACGTATCGTTCCACACCGAAAAGTGCCGCATCCCTAATGCTCTTGCCGTCCACTCATAGTCACGGGCAAACCCTCCAGGGTAAAATATCTCAATGACTGCCGATAGGCGGGAAGACTGCATAAGGACCAGATGTGTCAACCCATTCCCATGCACGCCAAGCAAAATCTTCCATGGAATTGTTAGACGTCACGATAGGATCGATAGGATGGGCCATACCGTAGACCTAGATGCTATGCTGATTTGCTCGTCTTTCGTAATGGTTTCGGCCTGCACTATGTTCAACTCCCAAACCTTCCCTTCCTCGTCCCGTTTGCGGTTAACCATACCTTGAAGAGCTGCAACCAAGGCCTCGTGGTTAGCTTCATCGAGATGTCGTCGTACACCCTGTCGATTGATATACGTGATGACCACGGTCTCTGGGAGAGGTAACTGCGGGGGCCTGCCCGAAGTATCATCGGTGATGCTTTCCTTGAGGGGAACCTTCCCTGTAGCGAATCTTGTGATTGATTCTCGCACATGGCTCCACCAATGGCCGGCCGAATCGATGGCGCCTAGCCGGAGCATTAATTCCCAAGGTTCCGCCGCTATTCGCTGAGTCCTGGAACCACAGGCTTCTCCTCTGTGAGCTGCGCTTCGATCAGCCAGAAGAGCAACAGGAAAATGCCATGCTTTTGTTGATGTGCCGTCAGGAGTTGGCACAGTGGACGCCACTAGATCAGCCCAGTCTTCAGCAGACTCGAGAGCGAGCGAAGGGAAGATAGCGCGGAGGAAATAAGCGTTGAAGCCCGGTTTATCCCTCCACTCCTCTGACGAAGCGTGAAGAAGCATGAGACGAGTAAAGGAAGGTGGCTCGTACTTGGAAGGTCGCATGTTGAAGGAAGGTAAAGATTGATCAGCGTGGAACGGGCTTGAGACAAAGGCGGTCGAAGATGGGTTGAACGCGCCGTATAGGAATGCTCGTGCACCAAAAAGTAGTTCAGCAACAAAGTGGTAGTAATGATCGAGAAATTGCTTCGGCTCGTTTACAAGGAGCTAGGTGTTTTGAGTCAAAAGTGGATGAAAGAGTAATGAAATAACGCACAGTGTTTCCTTCAACGGTTGAGATGCGATTTCTCTCACCGTGAGTGATATTGCCTCCCCAGCGTCGTTTAGCCTCGTCCGGTGTAATAAACTGCATCTCCTGTGAGGTAGGTTCGCGCTGAGCGATATTTTCCGGGGTATTCTCAGCTGGTAAGCCTGTGCTGATCATCATGCGAATTTGGGGAAAGGAGGATTGTGGCTCGGATGAAAGAATGAAGAAAGTGCCATTTGACATGTAAAGATGATTGAATAAGGTCCAGCCTGGAGCGTGTGCAATGAGGGAGGTTTCAGGAGGATATTGGTGAAGACCAAGGTCGACGATGTTAGGGGTAGTGTCGACGTGAACAGCTGAGAATGAGGGAGGGACGGCATAGTCGATGATGGTGGAAAAGGTATAGAGACAAGAGGCTCCAATGAGAATTAACAGACCATCCCTTCGAGAGAGACGGTTCATGGTAAATTATAATAATGACAAGACATCCCTCGCGTCATTTCGGCAGGGGCGGGTGGCGGGAATGATCCTGTCACGGTCTGTCACATTGGAAGTCCGTGCGTGGATGCACGCCTTTATGTATGGTGAAGCATTTATGACCGTTCTTGGACCGTTCAATTGGGCTTGTGTCAAAAGTCATAGTCAAGTGACTAATAATCCTTTCACAAAACGCTAGACTATCCATGATCGAGCAGTTGTCGAATCGAGTGGCCAGTACCATTTAGCGCGCGATGGAGAGCAGTCGCAGGTGAGGGAGAGCCATGATGTCACGTCACACCCCTCACGCAATTATGCCAACGACTGTAATGCTCTGGTTCATTCTCTTCCTCTTAAACTTTTCTCCTCTCAACGCCACCCTCTATCACCCCCTCGTCGTCTGGCATGGCCTCGGTATGTTTTCTAATTTAGCCCATTTCCCTGTTAACATCCAACAGGCGACTCTCATTCTTCGCCGGGAATGCTCAATTTCTCCTCCATGATACGCGACATTTACCCTGGCATCTTCATACACTCCGTTTTCATTGAACAAGATCAAGACAAGGACAGACGCGCCGGCTTTGTGCGTACTTACTTACTTTTCATCCATCCTCTAATCTTGTCATCACATCCAGTTTGGAAACGTTGATCACCAAGTTGGTCTTGTTGCAGAACAGTTGGCGGCCATCCCCGAACTCAAGGGAGGGTTTGACGCTATCGGCTTCTCTCAAGGTTTGGCCTTGCGTTTCAAGGTGTCTGGCCTCTGACCTGAAGCGCTAGGCGGCCAATTTCTTCGGGGCTACGCTGAACGGTATAATCACCCCCCAATTCGGAATCTCATCACTTTTGGTGCTCAACACATGGGGATTTCTGATATCCCGCTCTGTCATCCTCGCGACCTTGTCTGTCAGGCTGCCCGCAGGATAACAAAATCTGCTGTTTATGGCCACTGGGCGCAGTCAAACCTTGTTCAGGTCAGCTCCCTGTTGTCCTAGAATTGAGCTTTTCGTAATATTCCTTTTGCAGGCACAATACTTTCGAGACCCCACCAAATACGAAGCTTATCTCGCAACCAACAATTATCTCGTGTCTATCAACAATGAGGTTGCTTTTTCGCGGAACCACACTTATGCACAGAATCTAGCCTCTCTCAATAAGTTGGTCCTTGTCCTGTTTTCCCAAGACACAACAGTTGTTCCAAAGGAAAGCGCTTGGTTTGGATCTGAAAGGCCTGGACAAGGTGATGTTTTGGGCTTAGACGCAAATCCCCAGGGTGTACTGGTGGAGGAAAAGTCAAAGATAATTCCTATGCGACTGCAACCTCTCTACTTGGAGGACTGGATAGGACTTCGGGAGTTGGATGAACGCAATGGAGTTGTATTTGAGGTCTGCGAGGGGAAGCATATGCAATTGGGTGGGTGCTGGAGGAACTTGGTAGACCAATTTGTGGGTAAAATATAGAATAAACAATGAGACCACGTGCCGGCTGCCACCACTGTTGTCCCTTGGAACTTGAAGTGTCCCTGGCTCTTCCTCGCGGTCGCTTCTGATTTTAACGTCGACGCCGTTTGAATACGGCATGGAGAGCGCGTTGAAACAGCCTCCTCGTCTTCGTATTTCTAGGCACTCGAACGATGCCAGCAACGCGACCATGTCGACGCCCCAGGCTGGTCCATCGCGTTTGCCAGAACTCACTCAGCTCATGGATGTCAACCTGAGTAATCTCGATGGTTTCGACAGCAATGACGACGACAGGGAATCTACGCCCAAAATAACATCAGTCCCGTCTTTGGCTTCATCTTCCCCAGTCGATACCCCTGCGGCACGCCTGCGCGCCTTGTTGTCCCGCGTTCCAACTCGCTCGCCCACAACTCCCTTGGTGCACCCGAGGTCTTCTCCCTCAGAGCTTGAATCGGATTACGAGGCGCCTCAACCACCGCCGAGCGTGGCGCGCGAGAGCCTCAAGGACATCTTTTCTCGGGCGCTAAGGGATCCAGGAGATACGCCCCGTAAGGCAGCACGGAGAAGGAACAGCATAGACATGAGCGAGGTAGATGCGGGCCCGAGGGTTGAGAGGGACCAAATGAAGAACAAGGGCAAACGGAAGAGCTTGAGCGACGACGAGGTTGAAAACTCCCGCAGTGCGCCCTATGTTTTTTTGCGTCGTCTTCCTCTAGATGACTGACCCCATGTTCAACTTATACAGGGATGTCTTGCACGCCGTTCAAGTCGGATATAAATCCTATCACACTCGATATCCACGACTCATCTCACGTTCAACTTGAATACGAAGGATCTTCCCCTCGTACGTGTTGTTGACAGGCGTTTTGGATACGTTTCAACTAAATTGAGTCGTATAGTTGATAATACAAGTAATGATACCGCCAGTATCCTCCGCGATTTAAATTCATCTAGGACAGCACCTGCTGCTACCAGCACACCTCAGGTATCGCTTAGGATGTCAGGAAGTTCTCAATACCCATTTCATTCTAGTGCGTTGACCTCGTAATTTTTCACTCAGATATATTCATTCCTTTTGTAGACTTGTTGGACCAAGATTCAGAGATGCAGCGTGCCATCGAAGGCTTGGACAGTTTTGATGGTGGTTTGCAGGACGACCAGCCTGGTATGACTCGAAGCCCGTATGTACTATTCGCTGTAAGCTCATTTTTTATATTTCAGAATGGGTCCCGCCCTCGCAATCAGCACCTGATACGAGGCATGAGCGTCCTAAACCCAGTCCTTCTAATAAACCTCGCAAATCCGGTACACCGTCGCGGCTAATGCGTCCTAGTAAGCGTTTTCCTTCCCTTTCAATTGTCATTTCTTTGACCTCTTCTCAGCGTCCCGGTCTAGTATGAGCTCATCGAGTTCTCACTCCAGATGTGAGTCATTCACAATGTTTTTCAAGGGGTGTAGCAGCGTTTGATTAGTAGCGCATTATCCAGCTGGCTCTTTTAAAGAAAACGAACACGGTTCTCATGAGCGAGATCAAAACAATGTTTTAACGCGACCAAATACTCCTGATCCCGCGCGCGGAGTGAAGACGAGGGATGTGTCCTCGAGGCTGTCTCGACATGGAAGTTCAAATTCTCTTCATGATTTCGACGATATGTCGATTGGGAGCTCCGTTGGTTCTCAGGCAGAATGTGAGTGAAGGCGTCATATTAATTACCTTATAACAGCGCCAATCAACACCTTTCCACAGATCGCGAGCGGATAAGGGAGTTAGAGAGAGAGCGAAACGTTGAAAGAGAAAGAGAATGGAATAAGCGGCACCCCCAATTGACTCGTCCAAAGTCTAGCCTCAGCCTGCACTCCCCTACTCAACACCCACGAGTTCGTACTCAAAGTTTTAGCCCACTTACCCGACAAGAGTCAGAGACATCCCTTCTGTCGCCCGAGAATCGATTAGGACTTCGCAGACATCATTCGTTCAACTCTTCTCGTGGCGCTTCACCATCTGGATCCTGGACGAGTCAAGACGAAGACCCGGAAACCGTCCACGAGCGGGAGAGAAACTGGAACTCTCCTCGCCCCAAGTGGCACGACCATCCCCCAGCGAAACATGGATCTTTGTCACCGACGTCCCCTTCGGGGCATTCTCCCTACCCCCACCCTCCTGCCAAGGGGCGACTTCACACAGAAAGTCAGAATATCTCAATGAGTTCTGCGAACGGAGTCCACCAGCAACACAACACCCCCTCACCCCAAGAGAAGGGCCGATCCAAACGCTTATCCTTGCCTTCACCTCCACCAGTCTTCCCGGGAAGAGAATCGCCGTCTGGTTCCTACCAAAATACTAAACCCCCTCACCGCACCACAACATCTTCATTGCTCCCGGTCTCCAAAGATAATGGTCACAGTCATGGCTCTGCCGCGAATCTTGGATATGGTTTAGTGCGAAATCGTACATTTTTGCCGCCCCTTGACCGTGATCATGAATCACCGCAAAGATCGCACCTACGGCCACATACGCCAACTAGCTCATCAGCGCCCGTGAAGAAGGGTTCTTTTAAAGAAAGTCACATCCCCGTACGTTCTCCGAGGAAGACCAATGTTCCTCGATCAGCTCTCCAGGACGATGACTTTACCTTAGATGCAAACCATCTTTTCAAGCAACAATCACTCCCATCGATTGAAGCCGCAGATATGCATTCCGAGAACGGCAAGTTTGGCCAAGATATGGATGGCTCTTGTAAGTTTTAACTGATTTCTGTCCTGAAGACATGGTTGATCTTCTTGTCCTGTCAAGGCACTGACGCTACCGATGATCCGTCTCAAGAACGAACTCCCACCCTGCTGACCGTTCCCCCACCCCCCTTGGAGTCAACTCCATCACAACCTAGTGCCCCTCCTTCACGAACTCCTCTCAGTGACGAACTACGCCTCCAAAACGCCCTTGCATCTCACATAAGTGACACCATACTTCAAGAATACTCCCCACCCCCCTCAGCGCCAGAGGAACCTCTCAGGATTCCCAGTCCTCTCTTCTCGTCGACCCCACCACGCGAATCATTTCGCAAACCAACCTTACACACAACTCCGCCCAAGGATTTGCCTGACCTGCCCGATCCTCCTTCAACTGACGAAGAAGACTCTGAGCCTCTTCCGCCAAAGACTCACACCGCACTAAATGGTGGGTCCGCTTTGGAACTGGCAGAAACACCCAGAGCTCCAGGAGGCTGGGCAACTGCACCAGCACCAGCCGGAAACACGAACCTTGCTTCGGACTATCTCCAGGGAAATGGGCAAGGTGTTGAAGAATCAACTCACATATCCGATATAAATAATATCAATTGGACAGCCATGAAAACTCCGAAGCCTCCAGGAAGTTGGAATACGTTCGCTACTCCTATACAAGCACCTCGGTTTGATAGTCCCTCCATTGAAGATTCTTCAGTGCCAGTCGAAACAAACGGAGGTCTCGCAACTCCTGTGGCATCGATCTCAAAGGCATCCCTGGCTTTTCAAACACCAGCAGCCCCTGGGGCGTGGGTTGCGACGCCAGCTACCAGGAAGAGCATTTTGAAGGTCCGTTTTGACCCACAAGCCTCCAAATCAGATGATTTTACTGCAGAGGATGTCCCGGAACACTCCACGTACGATGTCATGAACTCCTCAGAAAGTAATATTGCGGCCAATTCTGCTGGAAGTGATACACGAGGAGCCAGGCCATCTACCCCAGAGCTCCTGACACCAATCTCACCTGGATGTAGTCCCCATAATCCCCGCAAATCGCCAAGTATACGTATCTTGGATGCTTTTGGGAGGGAGCAAACCGACATAGTCGATGCCAAACCCGATGCATCAAACTCGGCACGGAGCAGCAGCACAAAACGGGTTCCGGATGCGATGGACCGTGAAGTGGATGAGGATGAAGATGAGACTTTCACTGCACAGAGCGATCATCCCATGAATCGTGACGAACTGCTATCTCGTGTTCGCCGAGGCCTTGGCGATATTGTCCAAGGGATTGATGAGCTCAGCCAGTGAGTTTACTTCAGCTACTTTATTTTGCAACCTGATACCATTGTGGCGGATTAATAGTATTGACGATGATCCTCCACATCATCTGCGGGTTCAAGAACTTGAGACAGTTTCCAAACTAGCCCGTCAACGGAGAAAACACATCTCGCAGCGACTTGGAGCGGTCAACGTTAGTTTGGTGGGGTCGCTGACAAACCAGCAACTTATGGTTTGTTTGAATTTTACATCCATCTACCTGTTCTCAATGGGCCTCTACTCCTCAGGCTCCCATTAACAACATGGTGGTCAGGATCCACAGCAGCCCATGTAGATTTTTATGCATTCTCCTGCTGCAAATTATATTTCTTCTGTTCATGTATCGGTGCGTAATACCTAACTGACCATGCCGCCCCAATTGTTGAACATTGTTCAGGTTGTCAATCATGCATGCCAAAAACCTTTTCCTGACCACCTATTATGACCCATTTTATCCGGATCTTCATCTTTATACGTCTAAGCCCCATATACTCTATTCTATACCATCATCTTCGAGAGCTTCCTGGTTCTCAAGGTTTGATATTACTTGTGGAGAAGGATGGAAGAAATGTTCTGCAAATGCGGCGGGAAACTTCTACATTTTTCTTGGGGATTTACAGAATCGGATCTGGGAGCAGTGGGGTAGCGAGGTTGTTCACAATAGCTGGCCTCCTACATGAGTTTCTGTTGTATGCTACTTATGTATAACGTCCCAATGAACGAGTCACTGTGGTTATAGCTAACCGCATAACTGTAGACTGTTGTCAGTATTTACTTTGTCCGCCCTTGTTTGCGTAGTAAAACAGGAACACCTTTCAATCATTACAGGAACACCTTCCAATCATTCTAAGTAATGTCGTAGTGCGGCGAGCCTTGGCAGCTTTCCCTAATAAATTGTAAGTTTGCGTGGAGCAATAAACAGCAGCTTGCGCCACCCGAAGCCTAAAGTGCCTGTTTAGGCGTAGGGTTCGAACAAGGGCGCTCGGCGGAGTGAATTAGCTATGATGTCATTTTTTATCTTGTTTTTATCCGGTATAAAATCGAGACGGACAAACTTTTTCTACTAGCAAATGAGCCCCGTTTACGATCCTCCTGTGTCAGAAGAGCAACACAAACAGCCAGACCTGCTGAATATCACTCGGGAGGATACTCCGGATGACTCGGATACCGACACCACTGCCGCGGAGTCGTTGAACGACTTTGATTGGTCTGAAGACGACGAAGAAAAATCTAATATTGGCGATCAAGTAGCAGCAAAAAGAGGAAGACGTTTATGGCTCGCCTTTATGAAACTTTCCAGACCAGTGAGGGTGGTTCTTATCTGTGTAGTCGGCGTCGCCATCCTAGTCACCCCGCTTCTTGTTGTCAATCTCCGTTTTCGAGAAAATCCTGCCAAGGTTCAGGTTCATGTGTGGTCGCTTTGGTTCACCATAATCTGGGCCGCCAGTTGCGGCACTTATTTGCTTGTCGATTCAATCACCCATATGGTCCTGATCATTATGACACTCCTTGGGCGCCAAGTCGAAAGACTGAAGATACAACTTGAGGTCTTTGGCATTCTTTTACTCCCAACATGTATTTATCATGCTACCCCTAGCTTATAATGGCTGTCAAAGCTTGGTTGAAACTTGCTTTAGACATATCATGGGCTTGGATTTCATTGTCTGTAATTCGCGCTGTATACCAACCTCCCGGCGCTTATTGGACGACTATAAATCGCGTAATGCAGGTACGGCCTTTCTTTTTATTATCGTTTGAATTTGACAACATCGCGACCAGTCACTTTTTGCTGCTGGAATTGTCCTTCTGGTCGAAAAACTATTTCTACACTTTGTAGCAATCAACTTTCATGAAAAGGCACTTGCTGAGCGTCTCGCGGAGAATCGTCTAGGTTTAAAGGCGCTGGATCGTCTTTCGAACGCGCGTCCCGATTCCGTGAAAAAGTCTCCACATGTCAAACGGGATCATAAAATTACTCCGAGTCGCCCCGGAACGTTTGATCCCTTCCCTGAATCAAATCGTCCTCCCCAAGTTTCCACTGAAGGATCACTGGCACCCGGTGAACAGTCAAGCAGTTCTTTACAGACCGATTCATTTGAAAAATGGCAAACTCAAAACAAGAAACGAAAAAGGAAGCGAGCCATGGCGGGAGTTATTGTTGACCAAGTGAGATCTTTTCATTCCCTCTTTGTTGACTCCAACTAATTATGACAAGGTTGGCGGGGCCATCGGTCAAGTTGCTCTGAAAAATTCGAAATTCAACAAAGATGTTGGCGGTGGAGGGTTGCATTCGGCACGGCGACTAGCGAGGAGATTGTTCAGTGCGCTAAGCAGCGTTAACCCTCCTCGGTCTCATCTCGTCGTGGCAGGTACGTTTACAGCCTTAAAGAGGGACTCGATTGAAAGTGATTTCATAGACTTCTACCCATATTTCCGCACCGCTGCCGAGGCCGTAAGTCTCAAACTCATGAAAACACGACTTTTGTGTTTCCTGATCAAAATACTTAGCACGACGCGTTTGCTGTGTTCGATAAAGATGGTAACGGCGACATTTCAAAGGGGGAGATGCGCGAAGCTGTCCAAAGAATTTACCGAGAGAGGAAAGCGCTTGTCGCTGGTCTCAAGGTTCGTCAACCTCTGGTACAGGATGTTAAATCTTTACCGGGCTTGCGCCTAGGACGTTGGCTCAATCGTAGCGAAGCTGGATGCTGTCCTCCTCTGCGTCGCAGTAATCGTCATAATCTTCATTTGCTTATTGATCTTCGACCGAACCAACACCATTGCATCACTTGTCCCCCTGGCCACTATTGTCCTTGGCTTCTCCTTCGTGTTTGGACACTCTGCCCAAACTCTTTTTGAATCCGTAAGTCCCCTAGCATTCTTCCTGGCTTTACCGCTAAGCTACTTACAGTTGATTTTCATTTTTTCGACACACGTCTTCGACGTTGGTGATCTAGTCATGATCGATGACCAAGTCTGTTCAACTATGATTTCGCTGATCAACAGTGCTGAGGTTTCCACAGGTTTTGTTTGTGCGTGAATTTGGTCTCTTTTCAACGACGTTCCGACGAGTCGACGGACAAGAAATCATCGCTCCTAATGCCTTGCTCGCGAGTGCAAAACTTGTCCATAACTTGCGTCGGAGCAAATCAATGTGTGTTACTCAAAGTCCGATATAGTCTTCACTGCTGACTTTTTTTTTTGTCAAGGTGGGAATCAACCAACCTAATGGTGTCGTATAACACCCCTATGGAAGCCGTCGACCAGCTTCGAAGCAAAATTAACACATATGTCAATGAAAATAACCGGGAATGGTCTGGTTTTGGACTAAATATTGACAAAATGGAGTATCAAAATGCCATTCATCTCATTGTGGCGATGGAGCGTATGTTTTCGACGTTGCAACGCTGTGATGTTCTTACGAGGCTTGTTCAGATCGGCCCAACTGGCAAGACTGGGGTGGTCGGTGGACTCGGCGAACCGCGTTTATGCGTTACCTGAAAGTTGTACTGGAAGAACTTGATATTCGATATTCAATGCCTCTACAGCCTGTACTTTTGCCTCTGGAGTCGGCTGAGCCGAGCCCAGGGGGGTTGCAGCCTCCGCCTTCGCGTATCACGCGTGAGGCTTTGGGCAATGCGGGTTTTTTTCAGGTGGATCATGGAGCAAAGGGGGTGTTTTAGATGTTCTTTGGAAAGAGTTGTAGATTGTGTAGCTGCTGTCCCAAACTTTGTAGCCTTACCTTGAATTGTAACATAATATGCAACCACCACTTCCCGAAACTCTCCTGTCCTCGTTCAAGAGATACCAAAATGACAATATCCTTCCAACAGGTGTCGTTCATCCCTTTGAGAATGCGGCCTCTGAATCCTCCGTACTTGTTGAAGATTTAATCAAGGCAACGTCCAGCCTTTCAACAGCGCTTCACGCTTACTCGTCCATACCGTGGTCCAACCCAAAACTCGTTTCGTTGCTACGCCAGAATGCTTCAATCGCCCACACACTTCATCTTGTCAGAAGCTCATTTCTTGCCCGATTTTCACTGTTCAACTCACACAACGGCAGGTAGTCTGACAAAAGTGGTCAGCAGTTTATTGCTGCTCTCCGCGAGCGTTCTGGAGTCACATATGGCGAAAGCATTCCGTTAGACCCCGCCCTCGTGCCTGAATGGTGCATCTCTAGGCTTGAATACTGGGGTGCCTCTGTGGGAATGGAGACTTTCAAGGATGATAGTCGCGAAGGAGACGTGATCGCAATCGTTCTCGGCGGCAAGGTCGTCGTAGTCGATATTGATTTTGCTTTCGACCGCGAGAACTCCCTCAAACCAATCATCAAGGTCCTCAATGTCAAAACCTCGTATGCCATTGCGAGCAACGGATCCTCGCACAACGACCCTCGTTCCGTTTCTTTGGATACATGTTTGGCTCAGAGCATCCAGAACTTTTGCATCGAGGTGCAGCGAGATGAAAATGTCCGGAGTCCTCTAGAAGCCGCGAGACTCGGTAAGAATGTGCTTGAACAGCTAAAATATCTGGTAGTGCTCGACACATTGGCGCAAACCGGGGGTATCAAGTGGTTCGTTGACATGCATGAACTTGGTCATGTCTTGGAGGAGTTTGCTAGAAGTGAAGCAAATTCGGTCGCATCGTATGTCCTTTCGACTTTTTACAATGCGATATTCAATCATGGTGATCACCTCTTAGATCTCTCCCCGTTGCTCAAGCACCACTTGACATTTTCCTCCTTCGATCACATTCGCTACCTCTGCCATACACCATTTCTCCTTCAATTTCGTTTTTGACCTATCTCTCTCCAGAAGCGTATCTGTCACTTTTTCGTGAAGCACCGTCAAAGGCCGTTGACGACCATGCTTCCTATCTTGACATATCCCTCCCTCACCTTCGCTCGAATTTGGCTAACGGGACTAAGGGGGCTACAATTGCAACCCTCCTTATCGAGACTTTTCCTGAGGGACACCTATCGCAAAGATCTATGCCAATACCAGGTTTGACGGAGAGACCTACATTTCACCTCGGTTCGAACAGGCCCACCGCAGAACACGCATTCCCGCGCCCGGCGGATGAGGTTTCACAGCTTCATGTATGGATGCTAGATTTTACACAAGGGGGAAAGTACCCTGGCATTGTTATGAGCCAATCAAGGATGGGAGAGATCGAGCTTATTGTTAACCCTCTGAGCGGCATGGAGGGCAATAGTCATATGCTGTCTTTCAGGACTGGAAGTTGGGTCGATCTCCTGGTACGTTTCGCAACAAGATTTCATTGCCTTGCTGAGGAAGTTGAAGCTGAATCCTGGGACGCTCGAGTCTTCAGAGACTTACACTTCCGTTTATGTCAGTCGTTGTTTGCTGCTCAATATCTAGAAACGTTCTCAAACCGATACAGACGTCACCGACAGGTCTGCATCCACCGCTTCACCTTAGACTGACTGCTCCTGAAGAACCGGGGTTTCTGCTCCAGCAAGTTCCTGTTCAGAACATGAGGGAGGTTTGGGGAATATTAGAAGTGAATAAATTTTTTCAAGGCCTCATAGTTCCTTTCGAATCTTTCCCCAGGTCGTCCGTGAGCAATGCTGGTTGAACGGGGTTCTATCAGGTTGCGATTGGAGCTTTGACAAACTAGAGTCGGGTCTAGGAGATGGGGTAATGACGACCGAAGTTAAAGAAGAGGAGTTGCAAGCTATTTTGACCGGTGCGTGCGGTTTAAGGAATCTATCAACTCATCTTACCAGAACTAGGGACATATCCGACCCATCGGATACCCGTCAATGTATCTCTGACCGGTTCCTCAGTCGATCCCATTTTTGGGGAAAGTGACCTGGACCCTATGTCCATGTCGGCGCCTCGTCGCCCAAAGATCACCATGTCATTTCCGGAACGACCTCCAATGTCTGGGCTCGTGGAAATTACTGTCGCATTTGATGAAAGTAAACCCAGAGGGGTCGCCGTCGAGGTCCGAGGCGCGATGGGAGCTGACATCAAGTTGGATGTTTTGGAGGAGATCTCACGCCGAGGAGGAACTTTGGGTCTCTGTGGAAGGGTCTGGATAAAGTAGTTCATTTAGGTCTAGTCGTTGACAACAATTTTGACACAATGAAAGGGAAAGCATGCAACAAAAGTTATTCCATTTTGAACATTGAACAGAACAGGTGAATTCAGGTAAAGGGAACCAGCCTCCTGTGGTATGTGCAACTTGAATCAAGAAGCTGGTTTACAACCCTATCTAGTACGTCAATCTGGCAGCTTGGTCATTGTGTCGAGCTACATGACCTTGAAACTTGAAACATTATTAATTCTACTAAGGATGGGGAGTTGTAGCCACTTTCACTCAGTATTCTTCAAGGGTATTCTGGGTCTCCAATGTGAGGGTCACTTTTCTTCTTCTTTCAGCAAGACTTCAGAAAATTCTGAGAAGGGCACGTTGCCGGAAACCGTGATAGCTGGGATGGCTGGGATGGGGAATCATCGTCCTCAGTTCCCGTTTTAACAGAGGGCGAAGGAGTATCGTCTGAACTCGTGCTGTCCTTGGAGCCGGGAGGAAGGTTCCCTGTGATGCTTTGCACCTTGAATTAATCGTGAGCATCGAAGATAGAATGATCAGCCCCCCAAGGGTTCAACGTACCTCTTGCCATACCTCCTCAACCTTTTGATGTTGCCTTGTTGGGATCACTATGTCATCTTTTTTTTCGTCTAATTTCGGTAAGTTCTCTGCAGATCGTGATTGAGCTTTAAGGGCCAGCAATTGTCCCGCGCAACGTTTCAGCACTCCCAGAATTTTTAACGTCCCAGCGACGGATCCCTTGTCGCCGCGTTGCACGATATCCTGAATTTCTTGAGATGCTTGAGCCGCAATAATATTTGCTTCTTCGGCATGGGAGTCGACTACATCCTTTACTGAGCTGAACACTCTGTCGACGACGACGTCGGCATTGGGGAGAACAGCAAGGGAAGTCTTTGCTTCTTGAAGCAACGACGAAAAAGTTTCTACTGCTTTTGTTTGGTGATCAGGAAGACTTCTAAGAGTTTGATCCAAGTGCGTCTTTGCTGTGTGTGCTGCGTCGACTGCTTTCTTGATGTATGATGATTGATACCAAGTGTAAACTATCGAAGCTGGGTCAACAAACGTTCATCGAGAAGGAGAAGGGTAACGTACCCAAAGTAGCGGCGATGGAAACTCCAAGGAAACGAGCAAGAACGCGGCGATGGTAGGGTCGAAAACGAGGGTGGGAGGCATTCCACATCCTACGTCCGGTCATCAGCCTCGGATGTTGAGGAAGAGGGCGTATTAATGGATTGCGAACAGTGGTCAAGGATCGCCATGCACGTTGAGATGGCATGGAAGTACCAAGCATCTTTCTCACTGTCAAGTTGTGCTGGTAGTGCTCACGGAACAGGGCGCTTGAAACCAAGGTTCATTCTTTACCTCAAGAATTGCTTAAGAAGCTGATGTGGGAAGTACTCAGCACGTTATTCACTCGTGGGATCCTTTTACAAATTCAAGTTTTCCGCAACAAAACAACAATAGCTAGGACAATCAAGATGAGTTGTCATGATTTCTTGATATGCTTAACAAGGCTTAACAATATTGACTTCAGAAGGACGGAAACGTATGCCTCTGCTGCCTGCCGCAAAGACATCAAGGCTCCCGCTCTGAGGCTACCAAGATTTTGACGAGTACACAGCTTTGCCGTTTGAACTGCGTCGACTACTCTCTTGAGGTACATATGAGATTTGGTACCAGGTGTAAGCTACTTAAAGTTAGATTAACAGGTGACCTATGATTAGAAACGAGTAACGTACCCCTCCGCAACGGCTCCAAAAAGCCCAACGAGAATACAACGATAGCTGGGGTCAACAACGAGGTTGCGACGTGTTATACATCCGATATCTGGTTAGAAGCCTAAGGTGCAAAGAAAGACGACGCGTTACTCGGACGAGGGCCAAGTTTCGCCATTGTTGGATCCATCTTTTCGATTCAACGAGTAAAATAGCCGCATCATGGCCTTGCTTGCGAATACTCACGGCGCAGCAGAATGAAATTTCACTTGAAAATCTGATGGAGGTCACTCGAAACCAACCAGAGCGTCCGAGAAGAAAAAAAATGGATGGATACAGTACTCAACATGCCTGTCTACTCGTCTGGGACCTCAACCTCACCCGAATCGATCCCTTCAATAACATCATGTGGGGGCTGGCCATTCACTGTGCAGCCAATGCTTTGGGCAGTTCCCAGAATCTCCTTCACGCAGCCAGAAAGTTCCTTTGCTAATGATTTAGTCTTCATCGTTCGCGCTATCTCGAAGATTTCATCCAATGTAACATTTCCCGAGTGCTTAATGTTCTTCTCCTTCTTCCTGTCACGTGGGGGTTCTGTGCAATTCTGAGAAACGGTACAGCAATCGGCAAATGTCAAGCAGACCTTTGAGTGCCCGAATAACCAGCGATGAAGCAGAGGGTACGACAGATACGGCCGCTTGACGATTTTGGATTGTGAGCTGCACAGTCACGCGTAGACCTTTCCACGCAGAGGTAGCTTTGGCGATATCTTCTCCAACTTTTTTCGGTGACTTGACTTGATGTAAGCAAATCGTCAAAAGGAGAGATCGGATGGTAGACGTACGAGACCCAGAGGACCAATTTTGGGAGCTAGAGCAGACGAGGCTCCGACTTCACCACCCGTCGCGCGAAGATAGATAATCTTGATCTCATTGGGATCCTATACTGACGAGTGAGAAGAATATAACGGCGAGAACAGCGAGATATTTACGAGCTTGGGCGCCATTGGAGTATGGGTGGATGGAAGACAATTAGAGTTTGGGCTCCGATTGGAACTGTATAGAGTATTTATTTGTGTCTATATGTGTTATGCTGCAGCATCGACTTGCTGAAACTAATCTTGATTTTGTGCGACGGTCTTCGGCGACATCGTGCAATGGGTTCATGGAACCTAATAGGGTCGAGCTACCTGCAATCTTTGAAGAGGCTCCCATAGATCAGCTCGTTCATCTTATAGGTATTTGTCCCCCTCAATCACTCACTTGTCGCTTGTCTCCTCATCTCCTGTAAAGCTGATATGATGGAGCGTCTAATGACCCACAACGATCGAATCCCCTTGTCGCCGTATGTCCCTGCATCCAACTTTAAAAATATGTATCTCACTTCAACCCCTTAGGGAATGCCTCACGCGCTTCCATTCCAGGACAGCTCCTTCCATTACCGTTCTGGATTACCTGAAACGCATCGTCAAGTTTACAAATGTTGAGGTTCTTTCCATTCAATTTGACCTGCGAGATCGAGTTTTTTTCTTGTTGCTAATCGTCTTCTAGAAATCATGTCTCCTCATCACTCTATATTACATCGATAAAATCTGTACTCGAATGCCCCTCTTCACACTCTCATCTCTCACCTGCCACCGATTTACCATCGCATCTATCACCGTTTCAAGCAAAGGACTTTGCGATACGTTCTGTCCTAATCATCTATACGCCAAGGTGGGCGGGATATCTGTCACCGAGCTCAACATTCTGGAAAGAGAGTTTCTTTCAATGATAGATTGGCGACTGATGGTTAGCAGATTTCTTTTACCCCCCGCACCCTACTTAGACAACCCGCCACTTCCCACTTTGGAATTACTTTGCTAAGCATTCAGCTGGTCCTCATGGTCATCCTTGCTCCCTTGCCAGTGCACTCGCGAAATACTCCAGGACTATTATGTCAATCTTGTACGGACACACAGCACAGGAAACTTCATCATTAGCGGTGGCCAGTCACCCAGCACATCATCCGACAGTGACCTAGACTTGGACAGTGGCCATTCATCTCCGCCGTCTCCAATTCCTAGCCATCGGTCACGTCCTTCAACGGCCGAATCATCCGTCATGCAAGACCTCTCCCAGCGCCCGACCATCGAGCAAAACATGGCATTCGCTGCACTCCAACAATCTCAGGACTACACAAATATCGCCACTGAGCGAAGATAATATACCATTCATTTGTCTAGTTTTATTGCACGATGGCTCGTTTGGAGGAAAGGGGGGGAGGTTAGAATATTAAATACATTTACCAACTATGGATGGCTAGAGCACAGGAATCTTGCAAGGAATGGACATGGTTTCTGATGATGACGATGAGCTACTGCGTACTGAAGGCTGGCTACAGTCCTGATACAAGAAGCAATTAATCGGTGAACCAAATGCTGGTAACAAGCTTTGGGGAGTAATCCGAAATTGACTGCGCACCGTGAATATACTACGTTAATACAACGCGACACAGGAATGCCTGATCCGTACCGCGTGCGGAGCCGGCCAGCATCCTTCCACTACACAACACCCCATCAGCGGCGGAGTGCGGACAACATTTTGGCCAAGGCGTTGATCTGGCCTTTCTGGACCTTCTTGACACCATCTGCGCCTTCATCCTTTCCGTTCGACAGCCCACCAAGGTCCGTGGTGCTGGTGGACGCATCCCTGCGCGGCTCAGGTGCTTTCTGAGCGACAAAGTTGGGAGGACGCTCAGTGATCGTATCAAGCTTCTGATCTTTGGGTTTCCTCGTGCGTTGTTTCCGGACAGGAGGTGAACCAAAGATGTCGCCAACAGGGTTAGGGAATTGTCCGCGTGGAAGCTGATCGAGTTCCCAAGGAACACCGTTCATGACTGGATGAGTGAACATTAGCAAAACTGATCACAAAATATCATACTGGGCAACATACTCTTGATATTCTTGGGGATATTGGAGAATGCGGAGATGTTGGAAGACGACGAAGTAGATGATGGCTTGACACTTGTACGCCAGCTAGCCGATGAAACGCTCGTGGCGGTAGTCGAGATGCTCCGGGAGCTCGAGTTGCTGTACCTCGTGAAAGCAGAGGTAGAGGTACCAGCACTTGAAGAAGTACTCATGGAGCTTCGCCAATTCCCAGACACCACGGAGCTCGCACTTGAGGCTGAGGGCCGGCCGCTACGAGAGCTAAGGGGCGACAGTTCTCGCTTGTCGGACATATGATCGCGAGTCGACGGCGGGCTGGTTGACATCGCAAAGGCGGGTGGTGATCTGATCGGGAGGTTAGCAGGCGGGAGCCCACGTCCACGACGACCTCTGTTCCAGGCCAAAGAACTATCGTCCGGTTTTGACAAGGGAGGCTCGACAGGGGGTTGAGGCGATGGTGCGTTCAAACCCATGAGCAGGTTTGTAACGTTGCTGACGGTGGCAGAGGGTTGGTTTGACAGATCAAGCGAGACTTCTTCCACCGGTGATACACGCCCAGCGCTGGCAGCGAGAGCAGAGGCACTGTTTTTGCCAAAACTGAGCTTCCACTTTGACGGCTTTTTCGTGACGGGAGGGGGAATGACGGGTGATGCCAAGGATGGGGGGGCATTTCGGGGGCCCAAAAGTGCAGTGGGCATTGCGTACATGCTAGGGGGTTCAAATGGAACTCGAGTCCGCCGAGACGAAGCAGCACTGGTCTTGGTAGACACAGACCGATGAGATGACGATTTAGAAGCTTTGCTAATCTCTCGAGCCAAGGATTGCGATGCTACGGCCAATGTTGCCAAAGCCTCATCCTGCGATGTTGACAGTGGAGCTCCCTTGCCCTTGCGGGCGCCTCGTTTCCGACGTTTGTGGTTTGAAGTCGACCTGGACGTCGTTTCCTCAATCTCGAGATCGAAAATGTTGTGATTACCATTCTCTCCTTCGTCATCTTGATCTATGACGGTCGAAAGTTCGCAGGCTTCCTCTCGTTCATCGGTTGGGCCGAGTGATGGTGCACGGGAAAGAGAACGTGTAGGAAGGGCAGGAGTGCGTCCGGCGGTGGTACTGATGGACGCTTGCCTAGAAGACGGTCGATGTGAGAACGGCATTGTGGCCGAGAGAGGATAGCCTTGAGAGCTGCTGGACAGGGTACGGTGAACGCCATGATTGCCAAGCAGGTCGGGAAGGTTCTTGGCCCACAGACCAAATTCGTGAGCTGTAATGCGCTGAGAATCGCCTTGGGGGTTGTCAAGGATGCAGAAGACTCTGGTGGCCAAAAGTTCTGCAACGGGACGCGTCATGCCAGTGAAGCGGGTCATGAAAAAGTTGATGGGATCCCGACGGAAGGCGTCAAAAGAGGAGCAGGCGCCTTCCGCGGTGTCAGTCCAAGGATTGTAGTGATACAGCCTGGAACAACCCATGAGATTTTGTTTAGACTGAATAGATAAACAACTTGCATGTTAATAAGCACTATACCCAGAGACCAAACGTCTGCAGCACTGGGACGGTATGTAGGGGCTACGTTATTCCTGCACTCTGTGGGAGACTAAATCAAAATGTGTGTGTTGACAGGGAGCAGTAGACATACCATAACTCATATACGGCGCGCTGCCGCAGTCCATATCAGAGGAATCAACATCTGATGTGGACAAGCCAAAATCGGTTAGTTTGACAATGACCTTGCGTTCCAGTCGTCCGCTGGGTTGAGATACCCAACCGTCGGTAACGATAAAGTTTTCGGGCTTGATATCGCGATGGAAAACTTGTTGAGAGTGGCAAGCGGCAACAGCATCACACATCTGGGCGAACATGGATGATATGAGGCGGAGACGGGAACGGGAGAGTAGCTGTGAGGGGTGAAGGTTGGAAAGAAGACTGGGAGTTGGGGGTGTTCGTGAAGAAGAGACTGAAGAGTCGGTGGTTGGATGATCCAAGTCATAATGGTCGCGGGCCTGCTCCAAAAAGTAAAACAAATCTTCACCGGGAACGTACTCCAGGAGGAGCAGTAAGAACGAAGGAGTCTCCAAGGTACGATGCAGTGTCACGATGCCCGTATGTAGATGGAGAGACTGGTGAATCATAACCTAATCCAAGGTCAGATTTTGTCAAAATAAAAATAAATGGCCTACATACCTCTGACATCTGGGCAGCCAACGCATCCTTGTCAAGGTTGGCTTTGGAAAGGCATTTGATGGCGAAATTGCGACCGTAGACTGTTTCCGGATTGCGAACAAACTTGCCATCATCACTAAACTCCATGGAACCAATGGTTGACATGTGGCCGTCTTCTGAAGGGGCTGGACGAAAGAGGACTTCTTGTACCAAGTAGACGACGGCATAACTACCGGTTCCAAGACGGCGGACAACCTCGAATTCCGTTGCAGGTTCTCTGTGATCAGGGTTTGGCAAAGTTGGGGATGAACCTATGGACACGAGGCGGATGAGTTCGCCCTGGAGGGAAATTCCTTCTCCGACGACGTCACCCGGAGCGAGAACGCCTTGATCAACAGAGGGTGCAATAGAAGAAGCGCGAGAATAGGTGGGAGAGACTGGGACGGCATTCTGGGGGTTGTAGAATGGCATGGGACTGGAAGCTTGACCAGAGAAGATGTAAGGGCTGCGGGAGCGGGTTGCGGAGGGGATGGAAGGAGAGGGGGAGGGAGAAGGGGACAAATTAGTTGAAACTGACAAGGAGTTGGGGCGTGCTGAGAAAAGGGACCTTGAGACAACGAGGGAGTCTTTCTGAAAGCGCTTTTGATTCAGCGAAGGAGAAGAGATGGGAGAGGTATCATTAGTGGAATAATAGACATGGTCCTTTGCAGAGAAAGTTTGGGGGGGAAGGTGGAGTGACTGCTGCTGCAACATGAGCGGTTTGCAAGCGATAAGGAATAATGCAACGCTCCGGCCTCTTGAGAAAGACGGCGGCTGCTGTTTGTAGAATCAGACGAGACCTGCTTGGAGTCTGAGCTGGTCAGGGCTGCGATACATGCAGCTGGAGGGGTAGGACGACGCCCCGTCGACGCCGGGAGTGGGCTGTCGAGGATTGAGGACGCTAAAGAGACGAATTAGACGGGTCAATATAGGGAATGATAAACTGACAATGGCAGAACCGTCAAGGACGTCGGTGGTGAAGAGCAAGTGTTGGCAGAAAGAAAGAAGGAAAAAGACGCGCAGTTTGAACTGGATTGAACTATATTTGTGTGACCATGTGGTCAGCGGCTTCTTTACCATGCGTGTCAAGGCAAGTGTCAAGGGTTGATTAACGTTCATAGTCTAGTCTACTCTACTCAATTCCTTTCTCCATTGTGCCTCTATAGTTTCCTTGTCAAAGCAATGCATCCCTTTCATCACAATCTCCGTAGCCTCTCTCCCTTTCCCATGCACCAACAGCCACCGTCCCCATTCAATCGTCGCCTCAACTCCCTCATCCTTCTTCCACAGCTCGAAGATTTCACCTAGCACCTTCTCCTTCTCCCCTTCTTCACATGCCTCTGACACTCTCGCAAACACCTGCCGCCATACCCTCCCAGTCGTTAGATAACTCTTCGCCATATGGCGAATCCAATGTAGCCAATTCACACATCCCTTTTCTTGATCCGACATCAACCCGGAGTTCGGCTCAACTCCAACCTCGTGCAACACACCAACGTATCTCACGAGGAGTGCCTCGTGCACGCCCCGTAACGAGACATCTTGTATACTCTCTTTCAGCAACCTCTGTAGAAAGTAAAATTAATAAATCATGTATCAACCTGATAAACCCCTTACCTCGTGCAATTCCTTCTTGGCCAGCGGTGATTCCGCCGTTAATAGACCCCAGGTCCATATCTCTATTCTCTCTTCGTCAGTCCCAACAATTGACCTTCTCGCTTCTGCCCAACATTTCTCCGTCGGTTCATCCGACAGTTGCTTCTCTACTGCCAGCCTTGCCAGCCATACACGTGGCGAGGTCGGTACCTGTCTCGTATATTTATCAGCAATCCAAAGTACCTTGGCAGGGCTCCCCGAAGATGAATGCATCAGTAGTTTGATGTGCACAGACAGTAGTGATGGTGATGGTCTTGCACGTTGGATTAGGGAAGTCAAAGACGCCATAAGGTAGGTTTTCTAATCCGGTCCTTCAGGAGTCGAACCAGCCAATCATCATCAAAAAGACGCACAAGGTCATCATCCACCAACTTCAAAAACCACCCCTCGATGAAATTTGCATAGACCTCGAGGAACGCTTCTTGATCATTGTCCTTGACTCTCGTAAGCAGCTCTTCGTTGGCTAGGCGCAGTCCTTCCACGAACTCTTCTCCCTGTGATTCCAAAAAGCGGCTGGCAAGAAGCAGTATCGCTTGCGGATGTTTGGGAAGAGTATGGTTAAGCACCTCATACAAATGAGCTAAAAGTGATTGGCAAAGCTTCTTCGGTGACGGATAGCTTGATATCAAGTCCTTCAACGATTCAAACAAGGCAATCTTGGGTATAGCTGTCAAGAGCACATGAGCGCCGCCACAGGAGGAGGAAAAAAGTTGGTACCTAGGGCCGCACTCGAAATCACAGACTTGACGATGCCACCATCCATAATTTGCAATCGCGCTGCCCTGCCTTCATCCCCCTCGTATGCATCCAGATCATCCTCCATCGAGATATCCTGGGCCTCACCACCGTGACCCATGATGCGTTCACTAGGATCATCGTCCACAGCTTTCTTTTTGCCCTTTTCGTCAATCCCAAGTACATCCCATCGACGCCTTAGGCTCTCTATGAATCCCAACTCCATTCTCACATATTCCCTCCATATATCAACGCTCTCAGGATTGAGTCGAATTCCCCGTTGTAACAAAGAGCGTGCGGCTGAGGGTGACAAGTTGTCCAATTCGTGAGACGCTGCGAGGATGTATAACGCGGGGGTGTTGGGGTGTAGTTGAAGGGCTCTAATTCATCATGAATATTCGGGAGAGTATGAAGCAACGCTGCCTACCTCGCCGTTATTCTGCCCACTAGCGCACGAGCTCCTTCACGTTTCGCGACATGAATATATTGTATCCATAAGCCGACGTCGGATTTAAACTTTCTGAGAGCTCTCTCGAAAACGTGGAATTGTCGCCGAACCAACGCGTAATCTGACACTGTTGGAGGAGCAGGCTGTAATTCTGGAAAACAAAGGTTAGGAAAAGGCTATTTCCGCCAATGAAAAACCTTACTCATACGGTCGACCCGCTTGCGACGCAGCTGCTCGAGTCCCATCTCATAAGTGATGTAGCGCAAGTAGTCGGCCTTTTTGGCGACGCGTCGAATAAGAGTGGTTTCAAATGCTGTCCTTTTCTTCATGATATGCTTTACTTCTTTCTGTGACATCCCTCATTTTCTTGAGAGAAACCGCGTTGGATCGTTGGCTTACTTGAGTAAAGAGCTTTTTATCGACAAGATCGTTGAGCTCTTGGAGCATCTGAAGAGAAGAAAGATCAAGTTGGGTAATATATAATTCATGTTTTAACACACCTGCTCCTGCTGAAATTGTACTCTCTCCATGTTGTAGACGAGTGATGAAAGAGTTGGTAGAGATAGGAAAAAATAAAAAATAAAAAACTCGATAACGTGACGGGCCGAACCGGTGAGTGAATCGACAACAGCTCTTACCAAACTCTACCGCTCTAGCACCGCTTGAGCACCGCAATGGCCCCTAAAGGCCAGAGAGCAGCGGGCACCAGCCAGCTTCGCACTCATTCTCGCTCATCGTCGGCAACAAAGCTAGGTGGAAACATTCAGTTTACCCAGAAAGATGTCCAACCACAAGGGCGCTCTGATAAGCTGCCCAAGAAGAACGGTTTTGAAGTGAGTTTTTTTCTCTCTTATATCTCTCTTTATCGAACGCTGCATCTTCTAGCCCCATGGCAAAGCCGCCCCACCTTTTGCACGGGTAAACAGCAGCCAGAGGATCGCTTCAAGAGACCATCTTCACCCTCCATCAACCTCGAGACGCGCCAATTTGCCCAAGCATGGCAAGGCTAAAGCAGGTTTTACCATCGCGAGTTCAACAGATGGAGATGACGATGAATGGATCTCCAGTGAGAGCGGTGTAGCAACACCGGCTCTCGAAGACTCTGACTCTGACACCGCGTCGGAAGCGGACACTCCACAGCACGATATCGTTCACACCCAGTGTCCCACACACGCTGAACAACCTGATCCCAGCGCTCAACTACAGGCGCCTCTGCCTCGCGTCGATACAGCACGACCATTTAATCTCGAATCCACCACATACACAAATCCAGACACCATTCACCACTACGATCATCCTCCGCATCCGGAGGAAAGTCTTCTACGCCAGCACCAACAAGATGAGCCCGAACATATGGACACGGTTGACGCATCTATTCAGCCACGAACGAGTTCCAAACGTTCTTCGCGTCCACCATCCACTCGTTCCATCTCCAGTCGGCCGGAGCATCACTTACGTCCCCACCCCTTGATCCGTGGACAATCGTATGGTCACGTTGGTAATATCAAGCCCGCGCCCCTTGCGCCATTGACAGTCAGGCCCGGCCCACAACCTACGACTTCTACACCACAGCTTTTGAACGATGATTCAAGAAACCACCTTTCAACTTCACCAACGAGTATACATACCGCTTCCTCTTCTGCCGATGCTCCATATCCCTCTCATGATCGCCGCACCTCATTCTCATCTACCCGTTCAGTAATGACTGCCCCTACCATCGTCCGAGAACCCGCCAAGGCCCACGACAGGAGTCGAACCATTTCGACGATGTCAGCATCTTCCTCCTCTGCAGCTCTCTCCGCCCTGGCTCATCTGCCTTCGGTCACTCGACCGCCCTCCCCACAAACGATCGCGTTCTTCCCACCCGTAAACCCGCATCTGAATATCGAAGGTATTCACCCACTGCTCCCAGCACCGTACTTGAACAATCACCTCACCATATTGGTGAGACGAACACCCATCAGGGAGTCATTTGACCGTGTCATTCGAGCCAAGCAAGCACTCTAACACCATTTGGCGAACGAACTCTTTTTTTTTTTTTTCCTTCCTTCTGGTGTTGTGTGTAAATTGGGTGTGGATTTTATGTTTTTTTTTTCTATTCTTCCATGTCATCCTGCCTTTCCTGCATGTAGCATTTGTGTTGCTTGTAAGTAAGTAGTAGGTTGTTGTTTATTTATTGCCAAAATTGGACTCTACGTCAGCAGCAAAAGTTCCACGCGATGCTCACGTCGCGGTTCACCTCTACAAGGCTCATTTTCAAGACGCACTTGTCCCCACTTGGCGATTTCGTTGCGACAGTATTCTACCCATAATCCCCCATTTCAAGCCATCCACCTTAGAAACTCAACATGTGGCTGTCAGACGCGCAAAGCAAGCCAATTCACCTCATATTCCACTTCTCTTCCTAACATGTTCTCGCAGAAATTGGTGTGGCTCTCACCACCTTTGGAGGGCTCTTTATGCTTCTAGGCGTGATGATGTTCTTTGACGGCGCACTACTCGCCCTCGGAAATGTGTGTGTCGCCTCTTTGTCTCCCCACATAAATCAACGAGCTGACCTCGCCCAGATTCTCTTCGTTTCTGGACTCACACTGATCATTGGACCTAAGAAGACGTTCTATTTCTTTGCCCGCAAGCAGAAACTAAGAGGATCCATCTGTTTTCTTGGCGGTATTGTGCTCGTCTTCTGCAAGTGGCCGTTCATAGGAGTTATTGTTGAAACCTTTGGATTCTTGAACCTATTCGGGTGCGCACCTACTCTTTCTCTTGCCACAGCAAGCCCTGACACGAAATTTCATTCAGTGACTTTTTCCCGGTCGTGATAACATTCCTGAGGCAACTACCCTTCATTGGGACGCTGTTGTCTTTGCCGTATATTCGTGGAGTGAGTGCGCTTGCTCTGTGGGACTTTCCACTCACATAAAATTCTGTTCTAGGCCGTAGATCGCCTCGCGGGGTCACGCACGTCCGCAGTATGATATTGCACATTGGAATCTACAGTAATTTACGAATCACACGCTTGAGCTTTAGATGTCTGTTCATTCTAATACATTTCCAACGGATATTGGTTCCGCTTGAAATACATAAACATCAACTACACCCATCAAATTGAACAGGAAGAAATGCACCAACATCTTGCCGCTGCACTCGAGGTTCGAAGAAATCGTCAGCGAGATCGTGCTTGACGTCCTGTTTAGCAGCAATATGCGAATGTCAAGCTCCAGTACCCAGAAGAGGGCCGTCGGAAACGGATCCTCCACGTACTCGCACATCTGTGGGGTCCCCTTAAGCTTGCAGCGACGCCCCCCTCCGAGTCTCTGCATGGTCCATCCGTAAGGGTTCGTTCTTCATCTACCCGCTGATCTGACTTTGAATTCGATAGTCAACCTCGACTACTATCCAGGACTTTGACCCCATGGATCATCTATTGGATGATGAAGAGTTAGGCGTAGTAATCAGAACAGATTACTCCAACGAAGACGCTTGGAATAATTTCGTGAAGAAACTTCGACAATCTGAAGTGGAATTTGTCGAGAGCACCCAAGAACCAGAGGCAGATACAGAAGGGACTGACAAGGCGGCCACGTCTAGCGATAACATGGCAATCGACCCCCCTTCAGCAGATTCCGATGACTCTTCAGACGAAATGTCCATTATCAAGATAATCGACCCAACCACACCAGAAGACAGAGGTCTGTTACACGACATATCCAACCTAACTGCCCTCCGTCTGCTCAACGACGTCGATATTCGCCCCTCACCCGACCGGCCTCCTGGAACGAAACCAATATCTCCACCCAACCCCTTGGTTGATCAAGGAGGCTGGCAGGAAATATACTTTGGAAAAAATATCTGGATCTATGACTCGCGTTCCAATCTCGACGAATGTGTTCGCGTTATAAGTCAAGTGGGGGATATCTACGGAACCGCTACGTGAGTTTGCTTCAGTCCCGCAGACACTCCTCAGACCTGACTCCTTGTGATGCAGTGGGGACAGTTGGCGGGCTCGCGTCACTCACATCTGTGAACTGCAATTCAATATGTCGTACCTTGGGATGAAAGTTGACTTTGGAGGTCTTGATAGGTGGGACTATGGTGAAAGGCAGCGGAACTTGAAAGAAGCCGCCATCGTATAATACAATAGCGGTCGGGCCATCGATCTCACGAAAGTGTCTTTGCATTTTTTTTGGTCATTTTCACACTACAAGACGAACAGCAGATGGAATCGCGCCCCCAGCTATGAAACAACTCGACGACTTTTTTATGAGGTGACGGTCCACACACGGAGTTGGTTGTCAGTGAAACCGGCGAAAAGAGTTTGCCCATCCGCAGACCACGCAATCGACACACATTCAGGCTGCCTGGCCTCCTCACCAACATCGGTGTAAGCTGGCTTGAGCTCATCAACGATAGACCTGATTCACCGATGAGAGAAAATCAACTGGCGGAGCAACGACGGGACTCACTTGCTCTCCAAATCGAAGATCTTGACGCAGCTGGCGGTTGCGGCGCATAGCCAGTATCGGTTAGGCGAGAAGACAAGGGCATTGACAACATCCCCCGCCTCTAGCGAATAGAGGTGCTTGCCCTCGTTGAGGTCCCAAAGCATGGTGATGCCGTCTTTACCACCAGAGGCGGCGAGAGAGCCATCTGGAGAAACGGAGATGGTGTTGATATAACCTGTGTGTCCGTAGTGGTTGGTCTTCAACTTGAATTTGGAGAGTTCCCAGACCTGTCGATAGGAGGTTAGTATGAATATTCTGCGGGTCGAGTCCAAAAATAAATCGTCAGAGATCTTGGTGGAAAATGTTGTCTCATTGGGTTGATGGCCCTCTGAAGTAGCAAATATATAAAGATAACATCATACGAAGGGAAGAGTGCGAAGGGAGGGTAAAATTGATCACTCTCACCTTCACCACCTTGTCCCAACCGCAGGAAACGATGACGGGGTTCATAACGTTGGGGCTGAATCGTACGCAAGACACCCTACAAATAAATTGATAAAAAGTTTCTTGCAAGGAATGTAACTGGCACTGACCACTCGGTGTGGCCATCGTCCTTGATGTCGTACTTGCACTCGCCCAAAGTATTCCAAAGCTTGATTGTCTTATCGCGCGATCCAGAGACAATTTGTCTGTTGTCGGCGCTGAAGCTGACTGAGAGAACATCGGATGTGTGTCCAACGAAACGGCGCGTTGTGAGACCAGTGTTAAGATCCCAAAGACGAAGAGTGTGGTCCCATGAGGAAGAGAGGGCGAATTGGCCGTCGGAAGAAATGACAACATCAGAGACAAAGTGGTTGTGCCCGTGGAGAATTCGTTTAGGGTATCCGTAAGAATCATCATTGCGAGTCAATTGCCAGACAATGATCGTCTTGTCTGTTGATACGAGGTTAATGGTCAATTATTCTGAGAGAAAGAAATCTGATATATACCTCGTGACGCCGTGAGGATCATGTCTGGGTTCTCTGAGGAGGTTGCGATGGCGGTGACCCATCCTTTGTGGCCCTCCAACGAGCCGAGGAAACGCAGGGATTCAGACATATTTTGTGTTGCAAAGTTGGTCACTGTTGGCAACGATAAGACTCATGACTTCGGCCAATGTCACGCCCAGCCACTGTGACATAACTGTACAGTTCCCGGCAATCCCCCGCTCAAATAAAGAAAAGTTAACTGTCATTGATACTACCTTGTCCTCAAAGCAAAAAGTGAGTTTCATTCTCGGTTTGAACTGTTTCCATGATGTCAATCTTTTATATTTGCTACTTCAGAGGGATACTCTCCCCATGAGACTACTTTCCACCAAGATCTCTGATTTTTTCGCCTCTGCTTCTCATCCAAGAAATTGAAGAATTACGCTAACCACCATTCTTCTATAGGTTTACATCTTACATACTTTGTAGCCCATTTTGTTGTACACCATTTCTACAATCTTACTTGTTCCATGTCCCTGCAACGGAAAAGAATACCCGTTATCAGTAAGCTCAAAATATATATTCTTCATCACGCTTACAGCAGTTGTCCAAGTTGACACGGATCCTGGGGTCGATGATATCATTGCCATGTCTGTCTGTTTCTGTGTCATAGCGAGGCAATTCTTGGTGGCTGAGTTTCCGCGTATTTCCTCAGCTTGCTTGCGATAGCATCGCCAGAGCTAGAGATTCTGGCTTTCATAATCTCCTTTGGTCAGTAAAGTCGACTTTCTGAGGTTACAACTTACAGATATCCATCAGGTAACACTGATCTCGACTCCTCTTTGTGAGTGGCTGGCATGTCCTTGTGGGCAAGCCATACAACTCACATGTCTGCAGCTTGAATATTTTGAAAGCTTATCAGGCGATCGCTGGCCATTTACAAAGGTTCCCTAAAGATAAAGATAGATTTCCCAATTTCTGCCCAAAAGTCAAGCCAATACTCACCAAAGGGAGTGCAGGTCCTTTAGAGGGAGACCTTCATAGTGCCCAGTATTTTCATGGAAGGTGGCCGACATTTATCACAAACCTCACACTTCTTCTTATATACTTCCAAGAGATGGTTTAGGGGGGATATCAGAACGACATCCCGACCTCGACTTGCCTCCAGATACTTTATCTCGAGCCCATCCATGTCTGGAAATTTCTTCCCGATCCGGCGTTGACGTTGCTCTTGACTTTATCCGAGATATGCCTTCGCGGACTATCACCTATCTCGTCCTTGGACCACTTACCAATTTGGCACTAATGATGAGGCAAGATAGTGAAACCATCATCAATCGTATCGGCCGCGTCGTCTCCATGGGAGGTGCGTTGGACGTTCCTGGTAACACAAGTCCAGTTGCAGAATGTGTGTTGAATCTTTTTTTAAACATCTACAATTATACCGCTGTTTATCAACGTTCCCCCCATAGTCAACTTCTTCGCGGACCCTTACGCGGTCAAGGAGCTCCTGATTTCCCCGTCAATGCACAAAGGTTTACCTCGGGATCGGTTCCTCATGCTCCCTTTAGATATCACGACACCGCATCAACTTCCATTTAGTGTCTACAGAGATGTCGTTGACCCTCTGTTCTCCTCCACGGCGTTGCCGTCCATACCAACTGCAGAGAAATCACCCTTGACTCATTTTACAAGTTCTTTCCTGGAGAGAACCCGTGAAATCATGCTGGAGTTCGGCAGCGATGCGGTGGAACTGCATGACATCGTGGCAGTCTGGTGTGCCATAGAGAACCCACCGTTTGGGGAGGATGATGTCATCTGCACGGGAGAAGGCTGGCACACTCGAAATCGAATTTTTGATATCGAGAGGTATGGTTCTTCGGTCGTTAGAATTCTAGCCGCGCCGCACCTAATCACAATATCAATTTTTTAGAACCGGCGAGATAACTCGTGGCATGTTGGTGGTTGACAGACGGGATGATCAATCTGCATATTCTCCGGGAGCAAATCGCGCCGAGGTTCAGAAAGAACTCGAAAAGCTTCACTATAACAGCGCGATATGGGAGTCTACCGCATTGCCCGCTCCAGTCGAAATTGAGAAGGCTCCCATGATATCTGACGGATTGAGAGGCGTGCTATGTGTTACACAAACCCCCGGCCCTAAAACTTTGCTACGCTTACTACTCAAACGAGTGTGGGGGGGCGTCCAATGAATGTGCTTGGACTATAATACGCTCATTACATCCGACAATTTGCCCTTTTGATTTTGCTTTTGATAGAGAAGTTACTGTTTGGCTGACGCGTCCAGAAACAACAAGCGCGACACCTTACACCATTCTGACCGCAAGTTGCACAATTATCAGTTTATGGCATGTTACAAGAAGATAGCTTTCCTTCTTCACGTACAGATATAATCCGAAGCCGGGCGTCGAGGACGACTCTAGTGCATGCTCCTTCTTCATGACTCGGGGGCGCAAGAAGGATCTCACTATTCCTCCGACTCGTGCATTGGTTCAGCAGCGTGATTATCGCGCTCGGAAAGCTAACTATGTATCGGACCTTGAAGAACGCCTTCGTAAGGCGGAGGAGGAAAACGCCCAGCTTCGAAGAGATTTGACGTTGGCTAGGGCTGGCGTTGCCACCCCATCATTGCTCTACGACCCCTCGATGGTGAGTCAACGTTCAAACTCCATCTGTTAAGCTTTTCTGACTATCATTTTGTAGACGGAAGCTTCTGCGGAGCTGTTGCACAACTTGTCAGTGGCCACCGCCTCTCTCACTCGATTTCAAGAGATAGCTTTATCCAAAGCATGTTTTCCAACGCATACTATTCGCCCTTCATCCGAGTCGGAAGCTGCGACCAGACCTTGTCCCGAAGTCTTCTCATCTCCTGAACCTTCTCAGGAAGGAACTCCGTTAGAACACGCAGGGCATTACAGAAGGGGTCGGAAGAGGCTATATCGGGAGAACTCTCCTGATGACACCGATTTTAATGAATCCTATCCCTTGTCGATAGCCAACCATGCAAGTCGAAGTGCTAGCATGGAATCCGAGTGTTGCGGAGGTGTCCTGGATTGCCGAAATCTCGTTGAGACGAGTAGTGATGATGTGACAGCTCATGTACCTGTGTAACCGATATATTTTCATTGTCGGTTGGTCTAAATCTGGGTTACAAGGTTGCGAGCTTAATATGATACATTATGTTACAGTTACAGGTACATTGATAGCGTAGTCAAAGCGAACTTGCAAAAGGGCTCTAAGCAGTCTGTATCTCATAGGGATGTCTTACAAGTTCATCGTATAGTTCTGCAGGAAGATCACGAACAAGTGTAACGGCAATGCCGATTACAGAGAGAGCTTCCAAAGGAGGGAAAGTACGCAACAGACGCATTGGGCTAGATTGTCAAAGTTAATGGCTATAAAACGAATAGTGCGAAGAGAATGCACCTAGAAGAAGCCATAACCTCGTCGCGCATCAGCAACAGCTGAGCAATGACACATAAAACGTTCAAATGCACGCCAAAGGCTAGAAGAAAATCCCATAATTGCAAAACTTGATCTAAGGGAGGTGTGCACGCGCACAAAGTGAGAACAGCTGTCGGACATTGAGTGAGGATAGTGCCTCGGCATGAAGCGTTTGCGTACAAGGGAAGGCGTATATTTCTGCGGAAAGGTTCTTGGAACGCAAATAGCCATATAGCTCAGGATCCACAAACTTCAAACATCGGTCGAGGAGCTGGATAAAGAATGCCCGCTGTGTAGTACGTCTTTGTAAATCGAAACGTTACGAACCTTTAGACCTCTATGGACACCTTCCAACGTTGGCTGAACATACAATGGGCAGGCTTCCTCGATGAATTTGGAAAAACAAAAGAATGCTTCGAGCTCCGAAGGCATGGTATACAAAAATGGAGCGGCGAGAACATTCATTCCCTGAACATAGGTAAATCCTAGTTGGTGGGTTTCCTGCCGATCTGCGAGTTGATAGACAGAGCATGAGCATCTAAGCAACCTCAAGGAAGGATGAGATGAACCGTGATTTCTCCATACAAAAGCATCCAAAAGGCGAACTAGCATGTCTTCACGGACTCGCTCTTTGAATCCTTTATCCGTTGCGAGAGTTCTGTGACCAAGGTCAGTACCGTTCACGAGCTATCTCCTTGAACTAACCGGAAGGTATCGTTCCTAATTTTCTCTCGAACTTCGCATGGCCCGCGTGCAACGTAATGAAGATAAGTTTCCGCAGAGAGATCGTTAACTCGAAGTAAAATTTTCCATATCCTGGGCCGCAACGTGGGGTCCTAAGAACCGGTGAGTGGTTTTCAAACAAAATTCAAGGACCAAAACTTGCAACTTTGGAAGGAATACCCTCGACAAGAATCATGCGGCGAAGCTTCTTAGTTCCATCGTCAGGTTCTCCAGACGCGCGAGACTTGGATGTGTACTTTGGCTGGGTTAAGAGTTTGTTGAACGAGTGAGCAGCGTCGGACATGATATTCGTTACGTAATATCGACTTTCACGTCCCTCGCTCTCCCTCGTCCGACGATATGGACGTTCCCTTTTCGTCTTCAGGTGCGCTGAGCAGGGCCCACTACGTGATTGTTCGAAAAGTGGAATCAGCGACGTCGTCTCAGGCAGCGGATCAGCATTTAGCTGCTGAAATCAAGTCCATAAGACGCCAACTGGCTCACCCTGCGCTCGATCTCGTTCGCAACTACTCCTTGCTCTCGCTGCAGCATGGGCTGAGTTTCTGATAGAAAGCCTGCAAAGAATGTCTGATCATTCTGTTATATTGCTCCATGGCCATCACCTCGGGACTCCTCGACAATGGCTACCTCGACTTTGCCCTATCCCACGCTCTCGTTTTGGCAGAGGCAGGCACAACCGTCGAAGACAAAAGAATAGGTAGCGTTGCGTGTTGCTTTTGGTTTCGATAAAATTTATGGCCCAAAGGTTACATGTTTTGTTCCATGATCATGTCTGCAGAACATGAGCTACGGCTAATGCTTGTGAACACACTCCGCAAGGTAGGCTTCATCATATTTGACGCGTATTTTTCTGAAAATCTACAGGACCTTGAAGACTCCAGCGTTCCGCGCATTTGCCTTGCCCTCGACAGTTTGATCTCCCTTGCCAATGAAGATCTCATACCAGCAGTCCAGTCGCGCCTGCACGACCTGCTTTTGCACAACTAGTCAGTAGGTACCCTTGCTGAATCTGCCACGTTATCCTAACAAAACGTTGTCTCTAACTAGTCCACACGTTAGACGACGCGCTTTGCTGGCACTCCGGTCGCTATCTCGTTACGAACCTCAACTTCTAACACGCGCCACCAGTACCATTCAGAAGAGGCTGAAGGACCCTGATCCCTCAGTGGCTAGCAGCGCGTTAATTTTCGCATCTGACATCCCGGATGTAAGTTACTTCGCTGGCCAAAGTCGCATTTGGGTTGATATTGTGGCCAGACGGACCCCAAACAGCATGACATACACGATATGGTTAATAACATGTTGCAAGGCACCCTCTCAACTCTCCACAAGACATCACATAAGACACATTGGTTCATTTTGCGAATTTTGCAGACTCTTCTTACGATGAGGTCAGGAAAGTTGTCTTACATTATTTCCTTCAGTAACACTTTGGCAGACTTTCTGAAGGAAATATCTCCGTCGTGCTTGATATCATGCAAAGTTTCTCAGGTGACTCTCGTCATGCAGGTATGTCTCCCAAGAATTCTGTTACAGATGTACAAAGCGTGGCTTTTTTTTTTTTGCAAAGGTATCATTTTGGGAATCTTTCGGAATTTTTCCCTGCTAAGCCCCGAGATGCTGCTATCGAAAGAGAAATCACAGGGTATCTCTGCGGTCCGTTGTATCAAGGGGCTTCTTACCTCTCAAAACCCGAACGACCAATACCTTTTCCTCTCTTGTCTCGAATGCTTGGATCCCATGATTTGGGCCGGCACTACCGCGGAATACCCTACCATTCTAGACGCCTCCGAAGTAGGGCGCGTGATGGAATTCTTAGACGCCCCAGACCATTTGATGCGCAAGAAGGTGGGACCCAAAGTTACTTTATCCAACCTTCAGCATCGTTGACACCGCTTGTAGACCATGGAAATATTAAACCGCATCGACTCCAACATTCTGTCGGCATATTATACCCAAGCGTTACAATCTATACCTACGGGTTTAACCATCATGGGGCAAAACGCCTTTGTCGTTCGTCTGCTTGAAATTCCGGGAATTCAGCATAAATTGGACGGTGGGGAATATGGCCGTAAGGTCAAAGAGATCTTTGCACAGCTGGAAACACGACTTGGAGAGGGCCAGCATCGTATCCTCGAGGACGCAGTCGAGGTTGTTCTCGTTTACATTCGAACATGTAAGTCGTGAGAAGTGAATCTTGCGTTATGTTTGCTAAGTTTTCATAAGCGGACCTATCATTCCGACTAGCTTGCGTTGCCACGTTGATCACAATGTTCATTGACTCGGACACCTTACTGGAACCAACATTTATGGTGATCGTTTCGGCACTCGCTGCGGAATATTGTGGGGTGTTGTCAATACCTCCGGCTCAAATGCTGCTTGCTTTTAGTGTCAACTTGAAGGCCTATTCTCGTTAGTCGATTTGGGTTGGGCGTTGCTTTGACTCTAAATCTTGCCATAGCGGTTGTTCAGGACACTTGCATTGCTGCCATGCTCCGTATCGCTGCAGACTGTGACGGCAAAATAGCTGAAGAAGTCATTTCTAGCGTTTCAGAAGTGCGCCAAAACGCGGGTCGTCATATTCAACGGGTATATCGCTTGTTTTCAAGACATCCATGACACAATGTAACTCTTGACAGCGTTGTGATCAGTTTCTAGCATACTCCGTTGAGGGCGGGCCTTTGAAAGCAGCTGTTCGCAATGCGACATCTTCTTCGGTGAGTGTGACTTGCAGTTTCTAGCTTCCTGTTTACCTTTCATAGCTCCCCGATTTCCTACAGGCCCTTCAACTAAGTGAAGAGAAAAGGCCACAATCTCCGTCGTCTTCTTCGCCGAGACTAGCGTCCTCCACAACTGTGGGCTCCTCTGGTAAATTGCGATACACAGCTTACGATCGCCCACAAGCTATACCGAGTCTGAGAGTTGAACGCCCGCATAGTTCCTTGAGCGACGTGGGAACCACAAACTCGTTCACTCTTGAAAGTTTACCAGCCATCAATCTTGCAGTTGGCTCGCAGTTGTTGGAAGGCGTTCCTGGAGTGCCTTCAGAACATGAGGTGTGCTGACCGTAACGGTGCTTCACGTTATTCTGACATGTGAATTTTACAAGGGCTCTCGGGAAGATCTCATTACACTTGATTCACCATTCGTGTCAGACGCACAGGGCGGAACCGATGGGGCAGGATTTGCGGAGGAGTGGGACTCCCTGGCCAAATCTGTCAATGCCCGTGGATGGTGCAGCGAGACTGTTGATGAGGTGACAAGGCAGCTTGGAGAGATGGAAGGATGTGAGGTGAAAGTGGTTGGGGGTAGTATGTTGCCCTTTATTGGTAGGTCAGATGTTGCTTGAGATTGCGTGTGGTGACTCAAGTGATAACAGGTGAGGTGAAGATATGGATGTCATGGGATGGCTCTAAACGTGGAATGGTCCAATTGCGGGCTGCTGAAGAAGACGGTTGCTTGTGGCGATTGCGGTGCGGGGATATGGCTACTGGGAGCATGATAAGGAGAGTGCTTAAAGAGTGATCGTGGGAAAGTGACGATGTATATATAACCAGCCTTCCAAAAATTTCAGTTACTCCTTGCTGGACGTTGTCCCCCAACTGTCACCTCTAACCACTTTGCTATACTCTATGAATATTTCCTTCCCCCGCTTGGCACACCAAATCAACAACATTCTCTTTGGTCCCCTTGCCTGCCCTCTCGTCGACACAGACCGTCCTCCTTAGAGCCCTCTTGTTCCGCACACCACTTTTGCCCCTACCTCCATCTCATGGGATAAATTTCTCAAATTCGTTGGATTTACTTCCCGGATTTGCTTCCCCTAAAACTCCAGATTCATTCGCTTCCAATCTCTTTACTTGAAAACACAACACTTCCGGTCGAGCAATGATGAACGGCCTCAAGCATCCGTCTTTCTTCCGTCCTGCCAGCCGACCTACGTCTCCCGCCCCTCTCCAACCTGCTTCCCAACTCGATGGTGATCGATACACTCACCCTCTTAACAAGTTGTCGTTGAGCAACTTTAGGCGCTCAACTGCTTCCTCTACAACCGCTACCCCCTCTGTCATCACATCTACTCCGACTGCTCCTTTGATTCAGGACGGGTCATACTTAGAAACCCTAGCTCTAAAGCTAAGCGAGGCTGTGTCCAAAGCTCTGTCTCAGCCAACTGGCCCAGCAAACGCCAGCGAGCAAGTCCTTGGAAAGCGTCCCATCCCGCAGGGTCGAGGTCAAGCACTCGGCTCCCTCATAGCAACGTTTGTCTTGTCAGTTTCCCCCGTCTCCTCTATTTGACCATCATTCCAGGGAGCTCAAATCCACCCAAGACAATCTTCACTTGTACCGTGCCATAATCCGGTCTTTACATCGCCCTCTGTCGGTGTTGCTGACTAATTTATCTGCCCATTTGATGCCTCTTCTTTCGACGCCGGCGTTCAACTCTGCCCCAACAATTCAAGCTCCTGGTCTCAATGCGTCCCAACTCCACGCAATAGCACTTGCCGGCTTTTCTGAAGAGTTACTGGTGGTCTTTGATGAGTTTGACTTGGGAACGGAGAACGATGTTCGTGGGGAGGGCCTGAAATCCATTCGGGAGGGGCTAGTCTCCGTCATCAACAGAGTGGTTAATCCTCTGGTGGGGGCGATCCGGAACGACCTGATACCCTTAATGGAAGCTCTTGAAAAGCCCAATACAAATACCGCCAAGCCGACAGCGGGTACCAAGGGGACTACCGTGCTTCATCCTTCCATCGTCACACTTCAGACACTTATGCCCTTGTACGAACGTGTCCTCAGGAGATGCACAACATGCACGGTCACTCATACCACCCTCGCTACTCTTCTCATCTCAGTCCTTTGGAAGGGTTTTGTTGCTTTGTCCCATCGTCCTGACATTGCCGCGTCCCCTCCATCTTCGCCTGATATTTCTCCAGTGATGTCTGTGCTAAGGCGTCGTGGATCTCCCACGTCGACCCCTTCCATCACGCCGCCTCCAGGAAGATTTACAATAAAGCTACCCGCCTCTCGTCCTCCTTCACCACCCAGCGCAGTCGTCCTAGCAAGCGCTGCCGGTGACTGTCGTGCTCTCTACGAGGTACTCTCCTTACTTCCCCGTCCAAGCGCAGACAAACCATCCACCAAGCTTGCTGGTGAGGCTGTCAGCGAGGCATTCGAGGGATTGAAACACCTCGGTGGTTTGTTGGAAGCCCTTCAGAACAAATCTAAAATTCCTCCCGCCCCAAATGATTTAACCACATTGACTGCGGAGCTTCCGACCCTCATCGCATTGCCTGTCATTCTCCGTGCATTTTTACCAAAGTTGCAAGGAGTCCCAGAGATTCTGGGTCTCTCTGACGAAGAGTATAGGAAAGGGTGTTTGAGCGGTTTCAGCCGCGCCGAGGAGTGCGCTGGCGTGGTCGCGCAGCGCGTTTTATATGTCCTTCGCAAAGATCCTGGTGCGAATGAAACCCTAACTAAATGGTTGGAGGTCGAAATAATGGAGGTGGGTGAGGACTAGACCGATCTTTCAAAAATCTATTTCTTTTTTGCTTTCGTTTTTATTCCCTTTGAGTCCTGAGATACCAGTGTGCCCCTTAGAAGATATCGATAGATTTTAGACAGCAACAGTACCACAATCGCAAAGGAACACATAGCCTAGAACGCGTTAAAGATTACTAGTTCACCACGACTCGTCTGCAGCTGCGCGTTTCTCCTTTCTGAACTCGCCCATAATTTCCTTGGCGTGATTGTCCAGCATCTCTACGTATGACTTTAAGGACGTCCTTGACCAATCTGCCACAGCAGGGCGCCCTTCCCCTTGTTCCCCTTCAGTTGTCACTTGGGTCTCATCTAGTTCTCTAAGAAGCTGTCCAACGGTTGGGACTGTCTCTGGATCGAAATCATCGATGGTTTTCGGATTGACTGGCACACATATCCGGCCGGTTTTAGGATGGACACAAAATGGGGCTTTGAGCAAGTGGTTTCTGTGTTTTGAAACTTCCGCATCCAGTCGTGGGTATGTGTACTGTATAATGATGTCCTCCATTGCTGCAGTGAGATTCAACTGAAATCCAACAAGCTAAGATAAATGTGAAGGGATAACGACGACGACATACGCGTTGCTGAGAACCCTTGTCGCAACTTCTAATTTGAGCCTTAAAGTCTTGCCACCTGTCTTCGGAATGACGGGAAGGATCATCCGACCACAGCTTTCTTAGGGCCACGACCACGCCAGCATCGGGGATTAATTGAAGCAGAGTTTCTCCCCCCTCTTTGTCTCCAAAGCAATTCTGATCAGCGAGAATCAACTCGCTAAAAACAACTGCCAAATGCTCCAATATGCTCCTGAAAGAAAGAAAAAAGTTGGGTTACAATTGATCAAAACCACATTGAAACGCACTGCAGGGAAGGGGGCAACGATCGCATGCCACTACGGATGCTGAGCTTCTTGCTTTCTTTACCGCCGCCTTGTATAACGGTGAGCCAGCCAACCAAGGCCTTCCTCTGCTGATCGGTCAACTCCATCGCCTCCTTGTCTGATATCCACAGATGGATACCACGACGGCCAGAGTAAACCCACAAAAGCTGCTCGTATCCAAATTGCTCGCGGATGGCGGTATCCAATACGTGGACGGCAGCAGAAATAAAAGCCCAACATCGCTTGCATATCCCGGCTCCTGAGCAGCATGTGCGAATGGGATCATAGTCTGTCATATCGATATCAAAAACGAGTTCGCGCATTATGGGATGGAATCCGCCCGCCCGTGCGGTCTTCTTGTCTCTAGGCTTATACGACCGTGAGATTCACGAGGTTGAGAAAGAGGTTGTCCAACAGGTACCTTTGAAGAATAGACGGGGCCAATCTCAAATCGTGTTGGATTGAGTTGGCAGACTTGCTTTTTGAGATCGTCATGACTATTGAATGATTGGTAGCGGAGGTAGACATCTCCTGCGAGTGTAAATGCAAATTCGCGCTGGTTAAAGAGCTTGGAAGGAGCATGTTCATGATTCAGCCAGTTGAAGATAGCCTTGAAGGGGTATAAGCGCCGATAGAATGTAAGCATAACCTCTTCGATGAATTCAGGTCTAAATAGTAGTTCATTGTTGTTTCCGTTTGCTTACCTGGAGAAGGATCCATGTCGTTGAGAGCAATAATGTTCAAAACTGAACAACGTCGAGGACTCTTAAGTTCATTCACAATCAAATTCAAAACTATCATCGCGCAAGTCACGCTGCACGTGACTTGTGTCACTCGATACAAGCATTCATATACATCGTAACAAAGCAAAGTCCTTCAATATCGCCAGATCATCGCAAACATCTTCAACCAATTAGAGGGGCTCGCTCCTCATCGCTGAGAGCAACAATACCGCCACGGGAGCGGATGACGAGGCCGTAGATGCCCTTGATAACCCAAATAAGGGCAAGTATGGCGAACACAAATGCCGACCAATGGACGAAACCAGAGGATGTCTGATGTGCAGAGATGGCGAACAGAGACCATGCAATGGCAATGGACGCAGGGAGGTCACCCTCTGGAGTGGAGAAAGCATACGTGGCAGCAGTTCCTTCGAGGAAGAAGCTGAAAGAACCAGTGAGTTGTGTGCAATAATAAAGTAAAAGAGGACGTACAGCGCAAGGAAGACAAAGACCTTTGTCCAAACACCAGCTGGGTGGGTGAGTGCGTTCACACCGAAAGCCTCAAATGCAGTGACGACAACGAGGACGGTGGTCCAACCATGGTAAAGGGAAAAGGGAAGGTGGATAAAGAGTTCATCTGAATAGCTTTGTGGGGAGTGATGTTTCTTGACAATATAGTAGATGTGCTGGTGGTAAAAAAGATTAGGAGATATGAAATAAACAACAAGGGGAAAGGAGGTACTTACTGTAACCGCTGAACTGACAAAGAGAGCAAAGATGAAAGCCACAACATAGTGATGAGTCGCCCAAAGATTGATGTAAATGGCGTTGATGATGGCGAGGAGGGGGAAACGCCAGGAAATGGCGTCTATGATAACGGCCTGTCCGGCCGGGAAGAATTGATAGATGATAGTGCCGAGAAGGAGGACATGGATGAGAGACCAGATAAGAAACGCCCAGGGGGCAGGAGTGATGTACGTTTCCTTGCCATAGTAATAGATGGAAGAGGGACCAGCTATTGTGTAGATATTCGAACCCAAGAAGAGGAAGTAGACGATGACATTTGTGATTTTGAGGAGAATACCGTCTTTCCAGTGAGCGTCAGGCATGGTGAGGGGGAAGAATGGGTTGGGAAATGGTGCGAGAATGAAGACACGGGTCTTAAGTACCGTAATTCAGTGACATGCCTCATGGATTGCGTCATGTCTGATGACACCTCACCTGACCATCACGTGTTGCTCCATACCACCACCATGCCCGGATTGCGAGCCATTTGCCAAAAGTGTGCAAAAACGACGAGTACACCGATAAACTTCCTTCTTACATGCTCTTCCTGCTCATCATCATGGCACCACCGTGAGCTCATCCAATTTTCTCATTCGTCTTCCTTATTCTTTTTTTCCCAAGGCTGTCACTCCCCGCTAGTCAGTGACCACGAGCTCCTCACTAGGATCAAAGCTACGAATGCCAAAGACTCCCTCAACGACATCGCAGCTTGGAAGTGTGCACCATGCATCGCTCCACCCATCCCAGCCGTCATTGATCTGACGGTGTCTAGTGATGAGGAACCTCTGACTGCGGCGCTTCCCAAAACTAAACCTGAAAATAACTTGGCACCCACGCCAACCCCTTCGAACGGTCTGGCCACTTTCTGGATCCGCCAACGACACCCTGATATATGGCTTAAGCCACGGAAGGTGTCTCGTTCCAGAAAGCCTGCAACCCCGACCAAATCGCCCAACAGAGACAGTTTTTGCTTCTCAGCTTTGCAGTGGTTGCAAGAACGAGCGCCATCGAATCCAAGTCGTTTTTGACAATAATTATGTACTATACAAATCTCATCAGAGTTCGGTATGCGCCCAACTGTCACTCGTCCCTGCCGCCCTACCATCATCCTCAAATAGATTTTTTCCGATTGGTTCTACTTTGGTCTGGATTTCTGATTGGAGAGTCGTTAGCCGCTGGAACGACAAACAAAGGGAAAGAGTCCCTTACCAGCCAACTTCAATTCCAAAACGTCTAAACTTGCGTCCTTTCCGTAATCTTCAACCCATACCGAGGCATCCTGAAGGACTTCCTCGAGGATCGACTTGTCGGACGCAGAAAGATCCCCCCTGTTATTCATCTGCCCTTTCAGCCCATACACATAGTTCTGGAGACTGTTTAGTTGTTCGACCCGCTTTCTGTGCGCTTCATCCTCGGCAGAAAATTGGTCTGCTTCGTCAACCATCCGTTCTATCTCCTCTTTGGATAGTCTGTGATTCCCATCTTTAATGGTAATTGATTCCGACTTGCCACTGTCGAAAGAACATCATAAACAAACTCTGAAAGCAATTGGGACGACATACGTTTCCTTGTCAGAAGCTTGTATTGTCATGATACCATTAGCATCAATCACAAAGGTTACTTCAATTTGGGGAACTCCTTTTGGTGCTGGGGCAATTCCGCTCAACTCAAATTTGCCCAGCAAATTGTTGTGCTTTGTCTGCCCCCGCTCGCCCTGATACACTTGGATAACCACGCTCTGCTGATTATCAGCGGCTGTCGAGAAACTTGAAAAGACATCAGCCAAGCGTGAAAAAGTGGTAGATTTTTCCCCTTACATCTGGCTCTTTCTGGTGGGAATGATAGTATTCCGTTTGATAATTGGCGCAAACACCCCTCCTGTCGTCTCAATCCCAACGGTGAGCGAGTTGACGTCGATAAGCGTGATCTCGCTGGGTTCTTCAACTCCAGAGAGTATCGCTCCTTGAATGGCAGCACCGTATGCGACCGCTTCGTCGGGATGGATGCCTCTGGAAGGCTCCTTTCCAAAGTAGTCTCTTAACATTTCTTGGATTTTCGGTATCCTCGTTGATCCGCCGACAAGAACTATCTAATTGGCCGCCAACCATCAGTATGCGCGCTGCCAAAAGAACTACACAACTCACCTCATCAATCTCATCCTTCTTGACATTGGCATCCTTCAGTACTTGTTCCACAGGTTTCATTGTCTTCCTAAACAAGTCAGCATTCAGCTGCTCAAACTTGGCCCTTGTCAAGGTGTCCGAAAAGTCGTTTCCATTTTCAAAGCTCTCGATTTCGATCTTGGTACTCTGTTGAGTCGACAGAGTCCGTTTGGCATGCTCCACCGCCTTCTTGAGCTTGCCCATGGCGCGCTGATTTTGGCTGACGTCGACCCCAGTTTCCTTGTTGTATCTTTTGACCAGGTATTCGATGACGCGGTTATCAAAGTCTTCTCCTCCAAGATGAGTGTCTCCGGACGTGGCCATGACTTCGAAAACGCCGCCCTCGATCGTGAGTAGTGACACATCAAAGGTCCCGCCTCCAAGGTCGTAGACGATTATCTTCGACTCTGCACCTTTTTTGTCCAGTCCATAGGCGAGTGCTGCGGCGGTGGGTTCATTCAAGACACGGAGAACGGTTAGTCCAGCAATTGTGCCAGCATCCTTGGTAGCCTGTCGTTGTGCATCGTTGAAGTCTGAAGATTCGGGATCATGCGTCCGTCAAGGTCAATTTCATGACAGTCACTTACAAGCTGGGACTGTGACGACCGCATGGGTGACCTTGTGCCCCAGGAAACTTTCGGCAGTCTCTTTCAACTTTCCGAGCACCATGGCGCTGATCTCCTCTGGTGACTGGAGGGAGACTCAGTATCAGTGCACCGAGCGGACAAGCAGGAAGATTGGGCATACAAATTGTTGCTGAACCCCCTTGTAGTTGACACCAATTACGGGTTTATCATCTCTCTCGGTAACAGAGAATGGCCAATGTTTGAGATCAAGCTGAACATCCGGTTCAGACAGTTGACGACCTATTAGTCGCTTTGCGTCGAAGACGGTATTTCTCGGATTGGAATGCAACGCGTTTTTTGCGCTGTCACCGATCCTATTCCCATATCAATGACGACCGTCACCAACAACACACAAGAAACGTACAGTCGTTCATCGCCGTTAAAGCTAACCCAAGAAGGCGTGATTCGGTTGCCCTGGTCATTGGCGATAATTTCCACGCGTCCGCCTTTGTACACCCTGATGACTGAGCGTCAGAAAAGGGAGGGGATATCAAACTTTCATTGTATACCCTACGCAAGAGTAGCTGGATGCATAAAAAATGTCTATCAATCAAGTTGTCGCGAGATAACATTTTCAACTTACGTTGTGCCAAGGTCTGGGACAAATCGGTCAACATGTCGTAACTTTCTTGTTGGTGAGGTAAAACACTCACCAATACCAATAACAGTCCCATATTCAGGTCGCGGAGTAGGCTCGGCTTTGGTCCCTACGGGACACAAAAGTATCAGAGAAATAAACACGAGAAAGAAAATGGATGTGGATATAAGGAAATTATGCGATTGAGCACGACTTGGACGCCGACGAACGCGAAAGGATGGACGAGACATATTGTTGTAATTACTTTGGAAAGTACTTCTCCTGCTTTTATATCACCCATCTTTCCGGAAGATACGACAGGACACGTTCATAGTAGGTGGCTCAGTGACGTGGTCCAGCGTGGTCCTCGAGTCTGCATCATTCAGTCTAACATCTACAAATAGAAATACTCATTTGTGTTCTAATTTACACGTACAACCGTCCGATGGAGTGTTTAAGCACTATGCCATCGATCCAACCCGAAACATATGGAGCCAGGATGGCTCAAAGCTGAGGACCAGCGAGCCTAACCTTGGGCTCAACATCGTTCTCATACAACGCAAATGCTTTCCCGAACATTCCAGCCAATTTCCTGAGTTCCTTCTGGAAAGCCTCCTTGTCAGCCCACGCCAAGGAAGGGTTAAGGAGTTCTCGAGGGACCCCCTCGAGGGCCGTCGGTATCGAGAGATTGAAGGTGGCAAAGTTCTCGAACTCTGCCTGTGCGAGCTCACCCGAGTGAACTGCGTCGACGATACGGCGGGTATACTTGAGAGCGCAACGCTTGCCGCTTCCAAACTTGCCTCCAGTCCAGCCAGTGTTGATCAACCAACAATCAACCTTGTGCTTCGCCATGCGCTCCGCGAGCATCTCAGCGTATCGGCCAGGCTATATATATGGCCGTTAGACGAGAACTGAAAGCGAAAGACAATGTCACCAACATGAAGAACGATGAAAGGTGCACTGTAACAAGTTGAAAAGGTTGGGATGGGTTCAAGGACGCCATCTTCAGTGCCAGGAGTTTTCCTGAGAGATGAATGAAGCATGTCAGCGCCGAAGGGAAGGCTGCGTTTATATAGACTCACGATGTATAACCAGCCAAAAAGTGGTAGCTAGCCTGCTCAGGCGTGAGGCGACTGACGGGAGGAAGAACACCGAATGCGTCACAAGTCAACATAATGATGTTGCTTGGTTGACGGTCGACGATGCAAGGAATCTTTGCGTTGGGAATGTACTCAATGGGGTAAGCGCAGCGAGTGTTCTCGGTGATGCTGATATCATCGTAGTCGGGAGTCCGGTTGGCAGGATTGTAGACGACATTCTCGAGGATGCTACCGTACTTGATAGCATTGAAAATATCGGGTTCCTTCTCGGCAGAGAGGTTGATGCACTTTGCATAACAGCCACCTTCAATGTTGAAAACGCCGGTGTCTGACCAGACGTGTTCATCGTCACCAATCAAAAGTCGGTTAGGATCCGCCGAAAGTGTCGTCTTTCCTGTTCCGGAAAGACCGAAGAAGAAGGTGACATCATTCTTTTCAATGCCGACGTTTGCGGAGGAATGGAGTGAAAGTTGACCAAACTTGATGGGCTGCAAGTAATGCTGAAAGAGTGATATAAAGTCAGAATTAAAGTAAAGATCCGGATAAGAGGGGCATACCATGACTGAGAAAACGCCTTTCTTCATTTCTCCGGCATACTCAGTTCCAAGAATAACCATCTCCATGCGCTTGAAGTTGATCTCGACCGAAGTTGTGGAGCTCATACCCTTTGTGAAACGATTGGCCGGGAATTGGCCGGCATTGTAGATGATGAAATCAGGCTCGCCAAAATCGGCCAGTTGTTCCTCCGTGGGTCGAATGAGCATGTTGTGCTAACAATGGAGTTAAGATGGACTAAATCGTGAAACTGAAGATAAGAAACATACCATGAATAACGCATGGTACGCTCGGGCACAGATAACACGAACTTTGATGCGGTATTTAGGATCCCACTGCTCTGGAAATGAGCAATGCTTGGCTTGGTGATAGAAATATAAGAGTTTACCCCAGCATATCCATCAAAGACATATACGTTTTCGCGAGTATTCAGATAATCGATAGCACGTTCTCGGTTAATTTCGAAAGTGTCTGGTATTATCAGGTTTGAGCGATCAGTTAGCCAAGAGGAAGAGATGGCTTACGCTCGTCCATCTTGATGTTGACCGAACCCCACCAAATGTCGTCTTTACTGGTCTCCTCATACACGATCCGCTTGTCTTTTGGGCTTCTGCCGGTTTTCTTGCCGGAGAAGTTAATGAGGGCACCAGAAGAAGAGATGATGGCGCCTTCGTTGCGAATGGCATCCTCGTAAAGCAATGCGACAGGGGCATTACGTTTAATCTGGATCCTGTCCATATCAAAACCAGCTTGCGAGAAGTACTCGAGATCACGACCGATGACTGTAAATGTGGATAAGGTTATGGGATGAAGGACGAGAGAGATGAAACATACGCTGGCTGTATTGGTCGGTATCATGAGCTTGAGCATAGTTTTTGTGGAGAATGTGTGGGGTAACATAAGGCGTTTGATGAGGGAGAACCATTTTTACAAGTGGGAGGGACTGAAATGAAGTGTTGTGAGTGGTCGTATATATAAGATAAATAGGAGAAAGCAAGATCCGCAAGCGTGCGAAGGTTTGAGAGGACATTGATTTTTAATCATGTGGGAGGGACATCTGGAGGACAGACATATAGAAAGAGAACGTACCGGAGATAAAGACAAGAAACGAGGTCGCTGTGGCAAGCGATGTACTCTATAAGGTATGGGTAACTTGACCGCTGATTTTACTGCTGATTTTATAGCATGTCGCCACCGTGCTTCCATCCCTCAATCCTCCGGAGGGAATCCCAACGGGTGGAATCGCAGGGAATCGCAACTACAATCGATAATCCTAGGCGTAACAGGGCGTAACCCTGTTTGCGTAACCCAGTTTTCCCTTACTTGCCTTTCATCGGTAGAGAGAGTCGCAGTCTCATCCGAAACAGTAAATGTCACATGCAACTTTCTTTATGTACACGGTCCGACGGAGAGCCGCGTCGCGTTCGCGTCATGCCTCGTCTCACGAAACACACATTTCCGCCGTTCTATGCTTGCTATCTGCTAAAGTCTATCCAATCTCCTCTATCAAAAGCGTAATGTTATTTAACATCATATTCATGAAACACTTTTATATTCATCGCTAGTCATTAGAACATACATAGGAAGCACTCCATCTCCTCCTCGCCGAATACGGTGCACCCAGAGACCTTTATTTTACCATACGCAACTAATATGACATAGTCAGCACAATGGTGAGCTCACTCAAGGCGCCCGGAAAACGCGTCATAAGCGTCCATGGGTAATGCAAATGATTGTCCACGGATTTCCTTCACGACTGGTCCGTGTCGCGCCGTTTGCATTTCACTTCTGCTCTCTCAAGCATGGTAGAACAGGCTGCACTGCAATTTGAATGGGCATGGCAACATCCTCACGTTTCCAGACATCTGCGGGATCCTCTGGGCAATCCTATCTTTAAAAATTCTGCATCAAGCCTCAAGAAAAGAATCGAGTTTGTGTGTGTTTCATTATACGGATCTTGTCACCAAGGCCATCCTTTTTAGAACCGTTCGCGCAATGGTATCAAATCACCCATTCAGTAAATGGCCACTACATGTCAAGCTGTTCACCCAAGAGGCCGTCGACCACTGGGAGGCTTCTACTCAGGCGTTGCCTTTGCCAATCGGTTTCACTTGCTGCATTGAATTAGAGGGTGTTGACGGCAAGTCAGGGAAAACGGGATCTGGTCGCAAAGGTCCTCTCAGTGTCACTGATGGTGGGTGTAGGAACGATCCAGTTTCAATGCACACTAACACGCACATGCATTTCAGAACAGTTCACTTCCGCCATTCTGGCGAAGAACACGGCCCTTGTGGCATCAGGAGTGCCGTTGGAGTGTTCTGTGTGCAAGGAGTCACTTGATGAATATGCCATCGTATGTTTTTTCTTTTGTGCGTTATTACTGAATGTCATTTTTTTTTCAGGATGCCTTAACTACATGTCTCTGCCCCACACCAGAATGCACGACTGTATCTCATATAATCTGTCTTTCACGTCATTTCCTCAACGGTGATGCTGAAAACATGATCCCCAGAGGGGGACATTGTACATCATGCCGTAACTATATCCTCTGGGGTGATATCGTGCGTGGAAGTTACCGCCGTGATGCAGGGGGGAGTGTACCTCAACCGGCAGACGATGAACAAGACGAGGCGAGCACATCCGAGTCAGATTTGGAAGAACACCTCTCTGCTCCTGATAGGCCCTCAACCTCAAAGGCCGGAAGATCAAGGTCAGGACAAAAGTCGTCCAAGGCCTCAAATGAAGGGCAGAATTTAGAGAAGCACCCAACTTTTCAATCCTCTGAAACTCACCGAATCAAAGCGACTTCGACGTCAAAGCCTAGAAAGTCCCGACAAAAGAAAGCCATCGCAGGGGACGAAAGCAGCGGAGAGTCGTTTGATTTTCACTCAGAGTCTTCCTCTGGATCGACGCGTTTGCCACTCAAAAAGACGCGTGGTAGGCCCCGAAAAGTCGCGGTATTGACGTCAACGACTCCAGAGTCGTGTCAAAAGAATGCCATCATCGGGGTGAACGAAACCAGCGGAGAGTCTTCCGACCTCCAATCGGAGCGTTCCACTGCAATGACGCCCCAGAAAAGTAAGCCTCGGAAAAGTGTGGCTTTGACATCCATGCCCAGAAAGTCGCGACAGAAAAAAGCTATTGTTGCTGGAGATGAATCCAGCGGCGAATCATTCGATTTCGACTCCGAGCGTTCCACTGAGTTGGCAAGTCAGCCACCTAAAAAGACCCGCGGAAGGCCTCGAAAGTTCCTGGACTCATTTCCTGTGCCCCAGGAACCTGTGGTAGGAAGCTATTCTTCGACTGCGCTTAGTATATCAGAAAAACATGGGGATTCTCTTGACTTAAATGGGATCAGCTATTTAGAAGCTGCTGCTGATTCTGTCAACGAGCCTGCTGCCCCGGCTCAACGGTCTGGCAATGTTGTACGCCTTTCTCCTAAACTTGTTCTGCCAACATGCGACAAGCAGCTTGTGAGCACGACAGCGCTTACACGAACGATGGGAGGTTTGTCCATAGGGTCATCGCCAAAGAGTACTCGTAAGCCACTGGTAGACGTGGCGGTTATCGAGGTATCTGACTGAGGTAAAAATTGTGTGTATGAAGGTATTTTATTAGGGATGGAGGCATACAGTACGTGTGCATATAGTTTCATGGTGTCAGTTGTTCCACAACTTTGGTATGTATTATCCGACCCAGAGCACCCACCAGATCAGTATCACAAACCACTCCAACGTCAATTGCAGCAATGTTGTGACTTTGGACATTTTCAGCGAGCATGACTTGCTTCACAGCGTCCAGGACTATTTCCTTGAAATGTGGGATGGGCCGCAGCATGACTTCGTTCTCAACTGTCTCAGGAGCCGTGCCGCCCTGCCGTTTCGTCTCAAAAAGAGAGTGAGAGGCATCAAGTATTGCAACTCGTTGACCACTCATGAGTCGAAGGTCTAGCGCGTGTCTAATGTGAAGGTCAACAAGGGATGAAGACGAACGCTGGCGAAAGACATACTTCAAGTCTGTGTAAAGTAACCGGTACCAGCCAGCGGCTTTGGCAAAGACGTCGATGCAACTACCCTGTTTGCTAGAGCGGCGAATCGACTCCAACTCGACAACGATCGGGAGAGTGTCTCTTAGCAATGCCACCAAACAATGAAGCGATGGCGCCAGTCGTCCATGACCGTGTTGCAGAATATTATTCATAAAAGTTTCCGCCTCGTCATGAGGGTTGTAAGAACCTTCTTCATCTCTTACAGAATCCTGAGGACATCGGGAGAAACGAAGATGAAAACTGCCCCCCGTTAGAGAAAGCTGATCTTCACAGGATATTGATACGGCGTAATCCTCGACTCAATATTCATTCAGAGATCAATCAGGGCAACGCGAAAGCTTACCTGGGCATAGGCAAATTCAACAGTCTGCAAATCGAAGGATAGCAGGCGTATATCGTGCCAACCCTTGACCTTTGTCATCTGTGCCACTGAAAAGCCCGTTTCGATAACGATTCGCGATGTAATTGCTTCGAAGCCTACCTTCTCTAGCAATGACAACCATCTTCGATACGCGGGCCCATTCTTCGAGAAACTCGTCCACACATGTGTTGACGTTTTCCGATAGGAAGGAGACGACAGCCTCTTTGGTGTCGTATACAATGCGTTTTGAGGGACGGATGACAGATCTACCAGCGGTTTTGCCCATTGGTTGTTGAACGTACTTCAACTTGACACAGGTTACAACCTATTGACCCCGGTGGGTCAGAGATTGACAGCGTAGAAGGGAACAACCGACCTGAGCAGTGTCTTCTGACCACCAGTTAAGTGGAATGACGCGGATATTGGGCATGGCAGCTTCAGCTGCTGGAGCGCCGGATAGTATGTCTTTCGACTGCACGCACAACGCAGGAACAGATCTTGCCAGCGAGGACTGTATGTAGCCAAGTTCCGCAGAGGTCGGACCACCAGTGGGGTCAACATGCGTAAAGGGAATTCCACGCAGCTTAAATTGTCTCTCGACGTTCAAGTAGGCCACGCGAGCACTTGACGGAAATAAGTTCGAGTGAACATGTCATAATCAAGAAAACCTACCAGCAATAACTGTATAACTGCCTTAGGGCCTGAATCTCAAAATCGAAGCTCCTGCACAATAAGATCAGCTCCCTCACAGAACATAATTGCCTGCACTGACCCAGACGTTTGACCAACCTGGTTGTCACCACGTGCATTGCCATCGACCGAAACTCGGCTTCGTTGCATGCTGATATGAGGGTCGAACTCAGCTGAGTGAGCAGTAATCACGATGTCCTCCCCAGGCATGGAATCGAAATCAAGGAATGCAATGTCTTCCATCACCATGGTAGCGGATGATGACTCTGGCAATATCTTAGTTGATATCAGCGCATAGTTGAAGCCCCTGTCTTTGATAACGAGAACGAGGTAGTAGTTGGGGAAGTTGGCCAATTGAATAAACAGAGTCCCACGTGCCCCTCTAAGTTTGTAGATTTCTGCCAGAGGGTTGAACAGATATCTGTGGAGTGAAAATCGAGCTTACCGTTTGGCTGGAAATTACGACGTCTATAAGACTGCAATCCAAGGTACTTGGCCTTTTGTTCTGCTGAATCAATGATAGTCTGGAAATGTTATTTTTTAATAAAAATAAGTTGATTCTTGTTGGCAAAACAATTATATTTACCAATACTCTGAGATTTGTCAAAGCCGATAAAAGATTGGGATCCTCGTTTAGCCGTTCAGATATCTTGAGAAATCGAGGCCCTCGCCCCGCTGTTGCTAAGTCGCCAATGGAACGAAGATTTAAACGACCTGTCCTTGAGTCGACAGTGACGGTCACTATTTCGTCAGCACACAGATGAATTCGTAGAGCTTGGATAGTATCTGATCAATATCGATTAGGTTTGGGATGCAGGCGATCGTAGACGAATAGGCACCGTCAGTGATGAGCGAGACAACGCCGGGTGACGAAAATTCGCCTGTTTTGTCTTTCTGAAGTCGACTTTTAAAAGCAGAAAGAATAGCTCCTGTGTGTTGTCTGATCACGGTTTGCAGCATTGACTGAAAGTCCAGCCTGTCGGCATCCTACCCGCACGTTCAGGGAGAAATATATGGTAAAATCGACAAAATGCTTACAACGTTCAATGCGTCTTCAGACAGAACGATATCTGCTGGTAAACAAGTCACCCCAAATACTTCTTTACTTGGCGTCCATTGAACGACAATTTTAAGACTTTCAACTTCGTCCGATGGTTTCGCGTCACCTAATTTAGACCTTTCCTGCAGTTGCGCCAATACTCGTTGCTTCGGTTTGCGGGTAGTGGTTGTTTTGGCTTCAACAATAGATACAATAAGGGTTCCACCTTGCGGTGGTATTTTCATCCATGGTCGACCTGGAATTACTGCGATTGATGGGCGCCTGGGCACTTACATGAGTACGTCGTACGGTAGAAAATGAATGGGATGTACAACCAATACAATGCTGTTAATGTCTTCCGATTAGGGCTCATGTTGACTGCCAAGTAATCTTTCCAGCCTAAAAAGCGCATACGCTCTGCCTGGGCTTGATGTGAGTCATCTCCCATGCAAATTATGAACGACGGTACCTGATACCAAAGTATTTCTAGTTGATATGACAATGTCATCATCTCTGTATAGACCGTTCATCTTCAGATCAAATACTCAAAACGAATAAACATACGTAAGAAATTGTACACGCGAACAAGAGGTGTGTCGACCCTGCCTTCTGGTAACTGAGGCCGCGAAGAGGTTTGTTCTTCGGTCTGAGTGCTAGGTGGTGGGAGGTAGTATGCAAGGCGAGCATCCGCTTCATCCATGATGTGCCGCTTTGTGATTCCTTTTGGCGCCCGCGGAAACTCTGTTAAAGATTACAAAATGGCGCTGTATTGAATGCTGAAGAGTTGACCTTGCAGTCCAGTCGAGTCCCCTCCTACATTGAACAAGAATTCCACGTGGACGAAGAACCACCCGTCGTCCTTTTCAGCTCCCCGGAGACATAGAGATGTTTCGAATAACTTGGGAACAACAAAATAAACTCGTCCATCTCCTAGTATTCTATGAGGAAAAACGAATCTGCAGAAACAGCTCAGCGGTACCAATGTGATGACGCGACATTTCCACAGGTATGATCTCCGTCATGCGGAGACGGTAGCGGATAACGTCCTCCATATTTGACAAGGTACGCTTTACCTCGTCGTCTGTCAGCAACGGTGGTGGAATGACTACGTTCTATTTGACCTCATTCAGAATATGGCGCCGGAGATAGGATATGGAAAAACCTTGATGCAAGTAGGGAGCCTTAGATAAGAACCACTTGTGAGAACATCGAGGGATGTGAGTAAATCGTGATTTCGAAGTCTAACATTCCATGAAGTGAGTTAGACAGCAGCGCAGGCGAATTATCTAAAATCACTTTGCAGGATTGAGAGATTCTTTGCCATAATGTAAAGCTTTGACAGCGTCCTCAAATTGTTGATTCTGTGTCATAAGAAACGCTGTTATGTTCTAATAGAATCACATCAACTGTGCGACTCGATCTGCAGTGGGCACCCACCATCGACTTTTGAACCGTATCTGCATCCCGTGCCCATTTAACAGCAGCGTAGAGTTTGACGACCTGCTTCTTAGTTTTGACCACCCAGTCGGCCAACGTGCGCTTGCGAGCGGCATCTGACATGCCAGGCATACTAAGAAGGTTCAGAGTACGATGTTAAGTGAAAGCCGAAGGCTGCCCACGTTTCAGCCAGTTCCGATAGCTCTGCATATATTGATTGCATTACCCGTGAAAGTAATTCAGAAAGTGGAACTTGGCCGTCGTATACCACAGGCAATTCTTCTTGAAGGATTTCGATGTCATTCTCGGAGAGAACGGATGTGGATATTTGAAGGAAAGGACCAGATTCTGAGTGATGGCTGTCCAAAGTTGAATGGAATTGAGGTTCATGATGGGTCTCTGTCGCCATGGGCAAGTACTCTTGTTAGTGTGTGGGCTCAAGGGCAAGCATGAATATCCTTCGCAAGAAAGGAAAAAGGCAAGTGGAGGATGTTGGGTTGCACAAACTTGGCAACAATGACCACAAGTGTGTGTCACATCTCATTCTCGCTGCTTGCCGCGACTCTGATGATACTTGGATGATACCCTGAAGAAACCAAAACAACTTCCTTGACGGCATTCACGAATCCGCATAGGTCATTCCACTAGACTTGGGTCTCTTCAAACCGTTTTCACCAGGATACTCCAATGGAATATTTAAGGACCCTTGGGTCTGCGGCCGTCTCGACGCTGGTGCAAAAGTCTGGCCTCAATTTGCCATTTTACCTTGGCACAAAAGTCGCGTCAGTCGACGGCCTTTATACCCTTTATGACGGAACTAAGAGGGTACGTATTAGTCACAAGCTCGTGTTCAGATGTCCTCAGCACCACTTCAGGATGATGGAAGCTTAGTGTCGATCTTCGAATATGAACTGAACGATTCCGCTAAGAAAAATGCGAAGCCATTGGCGCAGAATGCTCTTCGGAAGCTGAGAACAACCCGCCATCCCGATATCTTGAAGTTTATGGATGCCGTCGAGTCTGACAGCGTTATCTATATCATGACTGAACGTGTTCGTCCTTTACAGCCGGAGCTGTCAAAGTGGGCATCTAAAAGTGCGCAAGAAAAGGAAGATTGGCTTCTCTGGGGTTTGTATCGAATCTCTGTTCGTTTCTGGAACTCAAAGATCTAGCCACTTTTCTCACTTTCAGTCCCAGATAGCACTCACATTTCTGAATGAAGCTTGTCATTCGACTCACGGCAAACTTACGACATCTTCAATCTTTATTTCTCCTTCGGGTGAATGGAAGCTCGGAGGGTTGGAACTGACAAGCAATCCAAAGGAAGAAAACTCGGTATTATATGTGCGTGATTGTTAGGCAATGTTGGACACCTTTTCACTTCAGCTCAAGACAATGGGAGGACTCTTTTCTGGTTCTTCTTCTTGGGCCTCGCCCGAAGTCAAGCAATCTGGATGGCCTATTTTGAAAGAGTGATCATTCAACATGAGTACCTCAAAGTCAATGTCTGATGGTTTTTCTAGGTTCCATCCAGCAGTATCAGACGCTTATGCGCTCGGTTTACTTCTTCATGCCGTATTCAATCCATCGCACCCTCCGCCTGCCACTGCGCAACCACCTCACACACCACCTTCGTCCGCGTCTCGGGGATCGATACCTCAGTTGGTTTTTCCATGCTACAAGAAACTCTTGAACCCCAGTCCCAAAAGTCGCATGACCGCGAAGGATTTTTTGAGCGTTGGGATGGCTGAAACCGGATTTTTCGTTTCTAATCGGCTAGTAAAAGCGTGCCTGGGTTTAGATAACTTAACTTTGAGTAGCGAGGCAGACAAGAATCTCCTATTACGGTGAGTTATTTGAAGACCCACATAAACGATGAATGAAGCTAATAGCCAACAAGCACTCTCAAGGAGACAGCATCTTCGTTTCCTCCCGAGTTTGCTTCATACCGCATTCTTCCATCCCTTTTATCTGCACTGGAATTTGGGGGAGCATCTGCGGCTACCATTCTCCCCCTCGTCCTTCAGTTTGGTGCAAACATTTCACCAGAAGAATACCCCAATGTCATTCTTACTCCTCTTATCAAATTATATTCAAGCCCTGATCGTGGCACCCGCATGGCTCTCCTCGAGCATCTTCCAGAGTATGGGGACAAGTTGGACAAGAAGATGGTTTCTGAAAAAATCTTTCCCAATCTTGTGAGTGAGTGAGTCGATAACATCGTATCCCCTCCCAATTTCAATCTTTCAATAGCAAACAGGCTTCTCCGACACTGTTGCTGTGATCCGGGAAGCCACCGTTAAATCTGTCATCTTGCTGGCGCCCAAGGTAAGCACGTTAACAGAGGTCACTAATTTTGCATGACATTCACTTAGTTGAGCGACCGCTTGCTGAACAATGACCTCTTACGCCTGCTGGCCAAGTTGCAAATGGATCCGGAGCCTTCAATCAGAACTAACACATGTATTCTTATTGGTCGCTTAGGTCCCTCTTTGGGATACAACACTAAGCGGAAGGTTTTAGTCCCAGCATTCTCGCGCGCTCTCAAAGATACCTTTGTTCATGCGCGTGTTGCTGGGCTCATGGCGTTCATGGCAACGATTGAATGCTTTGAGATTGAAGAAATGGCGGTGAAAGTGATCCCAAACATGTCTTTCACGCTCGTGGATAAAGAAAAGTGCGTAGCCCATATCCTCCTCGTTGTTGTGTGTCTCAACAGCCTCTCAACTTTTAGGCTAGTTCGCGACCAAGCTTTCAAAGCTATAGACCTTTTCTTGCAAAAGCTTGAGAGCCACGTGAAATCGATGGTTTGTGGTTTTCAACTCCCACCCGTGCTTTCCTTGACCCTTCTATAATTATAAGCCTGAGAGCGAATTGGCCAATGCGAATGAGAATAAAATGGATGTCGCTGGCCCAACAACGTTGGTGAACTCGGCCGCGGGGGCTGCAGGTATGCTAGCCGGCTGGGCCATATCATCTTTAGGAAAAAAGGTATGGTCCTTCCTCAATTCTATTCTCATCTTGACGGGCGCAGCTTGCCACATCCGATCTGCAAACAGCTATAAATGGAGTTTCCAACCAAAGGGCTGATAGACCACTTTCCGCGTCGAAAGACAATTCCCCTAAAAATCATATAGGTGAACTTTCTACTCGACCAACTTCGAGAGCTACGCTACCCTCCCCTGGCATCTCCCGGCCGTCGACTGTCCCAATAGTCAAGCCCTTGAAATTGACCGCCAACAATAACATCAGTTCTGTCGCAGCTCTTGTGGAGCAATTAACAGAAGAAGTTGCCAGTGAGGCGAACCCATGGGGCACTGACGACCTCATAGATGTTAATGCTGATGATGGTGACTGGAGTGCGCATCTCAATAGTTATGTTGCTTTGTATTCTAACAACCTTTTCTTGCTAGGCGCCTTTGAGACCGCCCCAACGATAATTCAACCCAAACCCGTACTTGCTACACATGGTGGGAACCTTACAGTAACCAGCGCCGTTACTGCACCTCGCCCACTGAGTAATGGACCCCTCGGTATTGATCCGCGGACTCGGCCTTCTTCCTTGCAGAACTCAAAGCTCTCAGACTCACCGGGATATAACGCCTCACCCTTATCACCTTCCGATTTTGACTCTCGTCCTTACGCAGATGGTCCTGGGCGCGAAGGCAACATTATTCGTCAGACACCCCCGCTCAGTGGGTCGCCGAACGTGACTAACATGACAAAGGAAGAGAAGACAGCAGAAATGGCAAGACGAAAGGAAGAACGAAAAAACGTGTGTGACGGGATGATTTCTTCCTCGAGTTGCTCAACGTAAAACATTTTTAGCGCATTGCGATGCTAAAGGAACAAAAGAAAAGTGTCCCGAGATAAAAGCGAAAACGACCGCCTCATTTAAGTCTGGGAATGTTATCCATTTTTGACAATGATTGTTAGACTTTTCTTAACTGGCGTAGACGATTTATGGTTTCTCACAACGCCCTTTGTCTACCCAGCCGCCGCTTGCTGTAATTCTTCAATAGGTATTCGCACTAATCGTTGTCCCTCTGAGGGTATAATTGTCGACGACTCGTCTGCCGAATCGAATTGTTGACGGGATGAGACTACAAATAGTTCCTTAGCTCTTCCAAACTATCGATAACCCGGACTCACGAAATTGACTCAATATTTGAAACATTCTAGGCCATTGTTGTAGTACTTGTCCGTGAACTGTGCAAGTGGGGGTCAGCTCCGTAGAGAGCTCTACTGTTGATGGTAACCTTGTCCAGCATCAGCCATGATTGTACAATCTTCACTGATCGCTTCGATACGCTCCAAATACAACGCGCTTGCTCGCTCTAGGGCAGACACCGCGTCAAATTCTTTCTTCTTTTCCAATAGTTTGGAGGTGGCTGCATGTGAGGCTCCAGCGGCCTGAGAGGCACGGCCTGGAGCAACGGACTGACGCATCAACTAACTGGGCAAAATTGGCAGGACCCAGGACCCAGGAGCGTCAGGCATTGGCGGCTGGGCCAAGTCTGAACCACGTGACCTTGTTTGTTATTGTGTGAATTTAAAGGTGAACAATCAAGTACTCAGCACGCCTGCCAGAAGCGTTACATATAGTACCGCAAACTCTTCTGCATGCACCCATTCCACACCTTGTGATGCGCGAACGAAAGGATGACAAACAATCTTCCACAAGTCTTCCAGTATATGAATCTGACCCGCCTTTTTGGCTCCCCAAGATGCACAGTGCCGCAGACATTGGTACACGAGCTTAGCGATGTCGGAAGCATGATCTCACCTTGTTTCCCTGATATTTGTAAATAGGCTACGCGGGATTTCACCCCCCTCGTCCAGGCCAAGATGAGGACGTTCTCTCGGAGACAAATGTAAAAAATGGGTTCATCCTTACCCAGCCCGTGTCGGTAGGGCCAACTTTATTCATTTGTCTACTTTTTACAACTAAACGTTAAGCTCAGGTCGAGACCTTTAGCGCTCAAACAATGATAAACGAGAACCTTAAATCCGAAGATTCCCTCGCTAAATTAGAAGAACTCATGAATGAAGTCTTTATTAAGAGAGCAGACCATATTCCTTCCGTTCCGTGAGCTAATCCTTCACCGGCCTATATAATGCCATTTTAAAGTATTGTTATATCCAGGCCATCGTCATTTCGCATGCCAACAAGAGTTACTTTGAACGATGCAAAGCGTCAGGCATGGTTTGCAGACTTGGCCAACCCGGATGTACCATTGTACAAATTGGGCAAAAGTGTTCCTCATGGCGCGAAAGGTCATGACCTGTTAGACCTACTGCATGCAAACAATGTTGCAATCTCTAGGGCTGTTTGGCTCCTTCGCGTTTTTGGCGCGAATGAAACGGTAAGGACCTTATTGTTTCCCCCGTACCATTTGCTTAGGTTTTCAACAAGGCGGGGCTTCGGAATAAGCCCTCCTACAACCCAACGCTATATAGCGTCGAGTGGGCCAATGTTGTGACTAGCTACATTAAAAAGCAACTATTAGAAATCGCGTTGCCAAGCGCGCCGCGTCCTGGGTTGAACATCAAGCAAACATTCAAAGGAGTTTTATCTGATCTGGATAGTCGAGAAAAATGGATATCCCGGTTTATGTATTGGTTTGTTTTTTTCTTTGTGACGAATTCCCCTACTTACATGTTCAGTCTCAAGCTCCTTCGAACTTTCTATGCTGAAGGTTTGGTTGACCATCAAACTTTTCTTGTATGGATAGTTCAGCAGATGGGATGCTGCAATCTGGCGCAAGCTGGCTTTCTCACTCGGCTTACGGAGGAATACCTTGACGATATTCTGGGTAGTCGAGCGTTGGCTCGCCCGTTAGTCGAGGCGTGTTTAGGTAAAATGTCGGAAGCGAGTATCCATCATAATTTTTTGCCTCACCTCTCTGACGCTACATAGATTGGCACCGCTTCTGCGCAGGAGTTCCTTTCCGGCACGGAAGAATCCTTGAAACATCTCCTTCAGGTTCGCCAAGTTGCAACTACTTTCCAGGCTGACTGATGAGGAGGATTTAGCGGTCATGTCTCATTTTGCCAGATGCCTTCATTGGTCCTCGGATGTGGCTCGCATACCCCTCCATTATAGAGAGAGTCATGACAGTGGATAGTTCGAATCACTTGAATGACTGGTTTCTCAGTCAAAATATTCAAGATATACGGCAATCGATCTTCGCAAACTTTTTAGACGTAAGAAAGCGGAACGAGGCATTATTGTTTTGCAATCCACCTCCACATATGTCGATTCGACTTCAAGCGGCCGTTTCCGACGTGAAGGTCGCGTATTTGTCTTTTTACGAACCCATTTTTTCGCTTAAAGCATCCACAGTTGTTAAATTCCATTTCAAGTGACACCGAAATGAGCAGCGTGACGTTCTTTGGCAATGATTTCAATGACTCGCCGTTTTTTCAAGAAAAACTAGACATGCTTCTTAGCTGGTGTGTCACCCCCCTGCAGTATGGTAATCATCGGCCCTTTGCCGCAGTCACTCTTATCAAGAATTGGCGTGACAAAGCGTGCGAGCGGGCTACGCGCAGAGATTTTATCACTCCCAATGAGTTGTTGCAGGATCAGCTTTTTGATTGGCTTGACAAGTCCGATGTTGCAGGCGAGCCAAACAACATCCGAGATGTTGCTTTGCTCTATGGGAAACTAGTGAAGCACGAGCTATTTTCATATGCAAGTTATATTCAGCGACTAATTGCTCGTGGAGAGCCTGGTCTATCCTTTGCCGAGGTAACGTTTGTACCAGAGGGAACTTTCTTCTCTTACGTGCTTTTTTTCAGGACATTGAATCCCGCCATCGACGATTTTTAAGTTGGATACCTCTTTTTCAATCGACGTCATCCTTAATCAACCAACGCAAAGTCACGCTGCACGGTGTTAGAGCCAGGAACATACCTGAGGATATGACGGAACGTGAAATCCGCAAGGAAATCCGATCTGTGCTGCCAGAAGTATTCGGAGGTCCGTGTTGAAAAGTTTGATCAGATTCATGACCTGAAAAGTTACAGGTGTCATCCGATCTACATTGGAAACAACAGCAGATCTTCTCGCCAACTGTAATGCTCTGATGACAGGTACTCGTTTTGAGCAAGTTCGTACTTTTAGACAGTGGCTGCTACCAGCGCTCCAAAAACACATCGCGAGGTACGCCCTTGACAGAAAATTTCCCTTCGGGCATAGTCACTGATTGCTTTCTGCAGCAATAACGATCGTCCTTCGGCACTCAGAGCATATCTCGTCACCGTGGAGCTGATGACTTCCACAAAATGCTTCCATTCTGTGCTCGACGTACGTTACCTATTTTTGTGGTCATCAATATTAAGGTTTAGTTTTCTAGTTGACATTTTGCATGCTGGAACACTCCACAGATTCCGATTCGATGACGGCGGTCTTAGACACATTTCATCGCCATGCGGTTATATGGGCATGTATGGGCGCTATGAACGCAATCGTTAGCGCTCTAGATACCGCCCATCAAGTTTGGAAGCTTCGCGGAACCCAGTCTCGTCCTTTATTAGCGTTGCTCATCGAATTTGACAATGGTCGTTATCTCGATGAGTTATCTCGCACTCGAATCACCGCTGAAATGTCCACTTTTACCAATGTCAGTCCTGTCACTTAGCGATGACTGATCTGACTATCTTAGTAGGCTCTTCAACCGGTCGTAGGGCGACCGAATCATGTTCCAGATATCCTTCCGGAAATATTACTTTTGGCAGGAGACCCAGATGACAACGCACCTGCCATCCTTGCCAATGGCCTTTGGATAAAATATCGAATGTCCCTTGACTGGGCATGGAAAACTTGGGACAACACTGTTGCGAGCCTTCGTCAAGTCCCAAGTATGACATCAGACGTCAACTCTCGCCGACTTCATGCACTACGCTACGGCACATTTTTGTGGCGAGTGGATCAGCATCTGCCGAACGGGCTTGACATGGATGTTCTGAGGTGGTTTAATGGTCCTGGCAAAGGCGTGCTCGTTGCACTCAGCCCAGATTCATGGGATATGTTAATGACTATCCTTGTCTACCTCATCGTGCATGGTGCACTGGAAACTACCACTATCTTGAGTGGACTAGTTTATCCCGCTTGGGAGTTGGGGGCTTTCTCTAGTATGGAACAAGCAGCTTTCCCAGAAACGTATCTCCGTGCCGCGAATGATCTGTGTCACCGCCTACTTTTACAGGAAAACGACAGTGGAGACGCAATACCACCGACCAATCTTTTCGAGGTTCAATGTCTCAGGACAAGACGTCAAGTTGTCTATTACGAACCTCATTTCCCTTGCCTGGTGACCAGCATTCCCGTTTTAATTTCTCTCGAAAATAATCCAAATATCTCCGGAGACCTTCGGCGCGATTCGACGTCTTTGCGACAACGCCTCTGTCAAGACGGAGGATTCCGCCAGGGGGCATACCGTAGTATGGACGTCGTCCGCGAGGCTTTTGAGAATTCGCCCTACTTCAAAGACATGGGCTCCGAGATTTTAGGTAAACAAATGATAGCTGGGTTGCGAATGATTTTGTGTGACTCGACTGATGGTATGTCATACCGAAATGGTCTCCATAATCTTACCCTCAATCAATCCCTCAAGACACGAACCTCTATGATTGGCCTGAGGTCACGCGTTTGCTCAGCCCGTGGAAGGTCGCAGCCACGACCATCCAGATGCAATTCCAGATCAAGCAACTAGGCCGTTCCCTTGCTCAAGATATTACCCATGATAATGCTAGTGCAAACCTTGACAAGTTAACGGTGATGCTTTTCAACCACACTAACACTGCAGAGGAAGCATATTATGTCGGAGAAATGGCTCGTGGAGCAGGTAGTGCTGTCGTGGCCAAGGTTTTTCAAGTAACAAAAATCTCCTACAGATCTGCACTGATCACCAGCACAGTTTATCAAAAACGGCCTGAAATGCATCGCAGAAAATTTATCGGCGACTTCATGCGATGAGGCGCCTGGAATCGAGTGTCCTGGTTCAGTGGCTGAACTTCTTCGCGTTCTTACCCATGTAAGCTCGCCTTTCCGAGACGGATTGTCATCTCTTCCCTCGCTGGACCCTTCCACGCAAACTCTCTTCTTTGAAGTTATCCATGCAAAATTAACGACACTTCAGCCCCAATGTATCTCAAAGGAAAAACTTTATTTGCAAAGAGATAATATAATCCTTCTCGCTCGATTGCTACAGTTTATTCTTAATTTTCGGGGTAGTTGGTCTTCCAGGGCGAAAGAACTAGGAAGTGATCTGACCACCATGGTTTTCCATGTTGCTTTGGTGAGTATTCTGTCCTCCCACAAACTCCTGTCGTTGAACGGAGGCTTTTAGCATCATGCCACTGGGGATAACCTTGATGCAGTTGTATATTCGATCTTGATTGATACTCTTCTATTTCTTTACGATGGTGCGCATTTACTCAGCTTGTTCCACTTGCAAAATTTGAAAAACGATTTTGTTCTTCCAGAGATACCCTCTGATGGGAAGGTGGGCGCCTTTGACCCCTACCGACTATATCCAGATATACCAGTGACCGACTTGCCGTCGGATCTTCCCCCCGTGTACCGAAAACAATGCTTGTCCCTTCTATGTCGTACCACGACAATTTCTACAGTCCCAGATCTGGTAAATTCCCATCGTGACACACAGGGAAATTTAGTTCTCGGACCATACGTCGTCAATAGGCCTTGGGAGTGGATAGAGAATCTCGAACCATCCGTTCTAGATAGGAAGGAGGGCGAAAAGGAACGGGACGACAAAGATAGCCAAAAGACGAAGTATCCGGTAAAGAACTCTGGCTCCCTGTCACTGGATGCTTTCGGAGCTCGACTGACAGGGGACAGCATCGTGCCGATTGTAGCCGATGGGTGCAATTTGAGGACGGAAGGCAATATACGTTCTTTTCAAGACGGCACATCATCTGATAGCCTTTTCATACGGGATTGGCGAGAAACAAGGCTCGACCTTAAGTTGGAGATACCTACAAGTCTTCGTTCGCGGCCGAAGAGTGACTTTCCTGTCGGAACAGGACCCATCCATACCGCATCCTTACGACCCGACCCTCGGACAACCCCAAAGGCTTCCCCTGCATCGTCTATCGTCTCCCGTTCATCTGCACATGATTTTTCATCTTCCGCACGACAACAAAGTCCTGGCCAAGGTTCTCATGGGCACTCTAATACCGGTATGGGCGAGGCCAGTGGCGACGTTGCCGGGGCCTCAGCAATGACTTTACGCAAGGAGCCAACGTCTAAACGCAAAGCTACGGCGTTGGTCAGCGATGAAGTCGAAATCATAGAGGGACCAGTCCCAGTACGCGCAGGGACGAATTCAAAGAAAGCGAAGGTCACAAAGGCCCCAGTAGCGAAAGCGAAGGCTAAGAGGAAATAACCAAGAATGAATATGTAGCCCCATGCAGTTGTGTATCGAATAGTACAGTGAATAACATAATTATAAGGATATAGCAACTGCAATCGGATTTCCATTGTCCGACTCATGAAGGGCCAGGGCAAAATATTAGCGCGAATTGAGGTTTTTTGCGGAGTACGGCCATTACGTCCTATTTCTTGGGAAAAAACCGTCCCATGAACCTGTTGGGGGTATGGTCGCCTTAGCTTTGCCTCCTTTATTGCCTGAATAAGCCAGAGTGGTGTCCTTGGGTATTGCTTCGCCTGTCGCTTTTGCGACAGCCCTGACAAGTGCTTTCAATGTAAAAACTTCGGCTGGCCGGACCTTAACAGGTTCTCTGCAGCTGGGGCATGTGTACTCAGGTTCCGGGGGCAGGTAATGGGTGAGCATAGCGGCCATTTGGGGGTTGTTTAATGCGTGTGGATTCTGCAGGAATGCTCGCAGGTGTGGCACAAGCGGATGGGGTTGGTTGACATTATAATGAGGGTTTGCGGCCATGAACTGGACTAGTGTGGTGCTAAACCAATCTTGAAGACAGGATAAACAGAAGATATGGCCACAACCCGCGAGACTTGAGGGAGTACGTAAGGAAATCGGGTGAACATTCGCTAGCAAAGGGGGAGGGACGCACAGGAAAGGTGACCACATGCGCGAGGTACATATCTCGCAATTAACGCAATCTTCGAGTTGTGAGTCTTCCTGGCAGTGTTGCTTCAACGCCAGAGGTGTAGCAGTACAATGAGGTCAGCTCACTAGGAGGACTTTTCCATTTTCTGGTATTCGAGTGGCTTTCAAATCAAGAACTTCTTGGCGGAGTTGTGCATTTTCTAAACGGTCTCTTTCATGGTCTCGCTTGCTCTTGACGAGTTCCTATCATCGGCTTAAAAAACGGGTCAAAGGAGATGTTGCAAATGAACGAACCTCGCGTTGCTTCGCGAGTTGTCGGCGAAGATCTGCAATGGTGGCCGTTTGACCCGTTGATTGACGCGTCGTTGGCTCGTCGTCGTCTGATATTTCGATGACTTCTCCAGGAATGATTTTCAGCTTTCTTGGTGGCAGGTTAGGAGGGGAATCGCGGTCAGAGGACGATACGACGATGAGGTCTGAATCAGGGTGTTTTTTGCGATGAGATTTGTTGCTTGTACGACTGGCAGGCATGGTTCCAAGTCCAAGTTATAATTGGGTCAACTTGTAATTGAGCAGTTAGGAGAATACTTACAACTCGCACGTGACTAGTAATTTACTGGTCACGGAGCTCACCATGAATTCGTTCCGTTGCTTCCGTCGCGTATTAGTCCCACAGATAACCTCTCTCAGAATGTCAACACTCGCAGAGGGTTCCCCCAATCGCCAGCGTTTTTTTGTATACGCCCCTGACAAGACAGAGGAAGGGACTTTTGAACGGAGACTCTCCGTGAGGCCAACCCATCTTGAAACAGCAAAAGAACGAACTTTGAAGGGAATCATTCGTTAGTACCACTTCAAGTAACTGCGTACCAGTCACTTGATTTCCTTGTTCAGGAATTGGCGGAGCATTGCTCACACCGGAGTCTATCGCAACTCCCACCGCCGACAAGAAGATGATTGGATCTACGTTCATTTGCGAAGCAGGTACCATTGACGAGTAGGCACGATTTGCATTGCATGATTTTATGGCTAATGAAGGCTTCAGAGTGAAGGCGTTGATTCAATCTGACATCTACTATACAGCGGGCGTGGTACGTGCACACATCTTTACGACGTAACTCAATGTTCAATACCACTCTAGTGGGACGCTGATAAAATTGTCATTTTGCCGTTCGCCGCTGCCACTCCGATACCTTGAATATTCAATTTTTACTCCTTGTGCTGCTGTCCGGGCCGAGAGTTGCCGTCGACCGTTACGTAAGGTACTTTAAATAGAGAGTTGTCTGTTATTCACCTGAACGATTATTGTTGCAAAATGGCTTTTCGCTCCGTTTTAAAGCCACGATTGAACTTTTCTCCAGTCCGCCTCATGTCCACCTCGCAACGACAATATAATTTCATCCTTGTTTCGCGTCCAGAGCCTTCCGTCGTTCTTGTTACCCTCAACAGGCCCAAAGCATTGAACGCTTTGAGCAGCCCTCTATTCCAAGAGTTGAACCAAGCTCTCGAGGAAGCAGACAAAGATGACACGGTTGGCGCGATGGTTCTAACCGGCTCCGAGAAAGCCTTTGCAGGTTTCTTTTCTAATCCGTTATGCTGCCTACTAAATTACTGACACAATAACAGCTGGTGCCGATATCAAAGAAATGAAGGATAAACAGTGCAAGTTTTCTAGTTAGTCAAGTTTGACTACACGTCCTCACACTGCAACAGTCGCAGACGTGTTCAAGAACAAGTTTTTGGAAAATTGGGGAGAAATTGCAAGCCTCCGTAAGCCAGTGATAGCGGCCGTCAGTGGGTTTGCGGTAAGCCGTCACCGTTATTCTTTACAAATGCTTTACCTAGTATCTTAGCTGGGGGGTGGCTGCGAATTAGCCTTGATGTGTGACATTATCCTGGCCTCTCCAACCGCCAAATTTGGCCAGCCTGAAATCAACCTGGGTGTTATCCCTGGTGGAGGCGGTTCCCAAAGGCTCGCGCAGGTTATTGGAAAATCTCGGACCATGGAAATGGTTTTGACAGGGCGTATGGTCTCTGCGCAAGAAGCCGCAAATTGGGGAATCGTTAGCAGGGTTGTTGCAGACGGTGAAGGTGAGGTCGTCAAGGAGGCGGTGGCAATGGCGAAAGATATCGCGAGCAAGAGTCAAATTGCTGTTCAGGCTGGCAAAGAAGTTGTGAACGCTGGTGCGGGCTTTCTCTTTATTTATTGACTTCCTTGACGCCAACCATGCTCCTAGCTTACGAGCTGAATCTTGCCGAAGGCTTGAGGTTAGAGAGACGGCTTTTCCACGGTTTATTCGCAACCAATGACCAAAAGGAGGGTAAGTGTTTGTCCGTCGCTAGGCCCTTGTATGGAGTTAATAACTAATACCGCGTAGGCATGTCTGCGTTCTCAGAGAAGCGAAAGCCAAACTTCACTCACACTTAGTCTACGGAAGTCCTTTTTGTTGAAATACACGAAATTACTAGCATTCCATTAACTCTAGCTCAACAAAAAAAAAACGTCATTTGAACCACCTAAATATGCCTCCCACCAACAATGCTGTAAGAAGTATCGTGTTGAGGGTGCTTTAACTCTGGGAATGAACGGAACGAACGAACCTACGCCTACTCCGGCTAACATTTTCTTTTGTCCGGAAGATCCAGGCGCCGTTGCTCGAGCCTGCCATATTGCGTATGACCCAACGCCAGAGAGAGTACCAGTCCCGATAATGCGACAGGATAAGCAGTCTTTATACTGCGTTTGAGGATGTGGCTCCATTTAGAATTATGTGTGTACCTGTTTTCTTGAAACTCACATACTTAGGTGACTACTAACCTCCGCATTACATACTTTTCCTCACTCGACGATGCAGAGAACATGCACCAGATCACAAACCACTTTCTTGCAGACGTGTGAGTTATACCTTTCTTTCTTCGTGTTTATGGCTGAGAAAAATTTAGTCGTAACCCGACGATGGAAACATTCCTCCACACATCAAGGCCTTTTCCTTTCATTGACAGGTCAGAGTCCAGCTATACGAGTTACATATTTGCCGTGTCGGAGAAGTATCAGTATAACGTCAGTTCTCCATTCTCTTTTTTTACTTGACTTGCGTTGAGTGTGCAACAGGTCGAAGAACCCTTATGCTGTTGCTTCTGGTTCTGGCCAGTCCTCATGGGACCACCTGTTCAAAGATCTCGAAAATGCAACCCCCAGCGATTTGAAGCGTCCTCTAGCCCCTCGCAACCCCAAGCAGTCTATGACAGCGCGTGAGATGAAGGCTTTCGAGAGCATGATTGACATGGTTTTCGACTCGTCCAATGACGCCGAGGCGTCATCTGAGCGCTCTTCAGACCGGCCAAATAAAGTCGATGATCTTTTCAAAAAGCTGAGGAGGCATTCAAAAAAGATGAAGTGGTCCACCGAGGCGGAAGATATGCTTGATCGCAAGAAGGAAGAAATGGATCTTTGCTCAACTGATCAGGAGTTGCTGGAATGGGCCAACGACAAAGTTTTTGGGGAATTCCGACAATACCTTGAAGCGGTTTTGTCCGGGAGCAATGAAGCCATTCAACAACCTCCTACATATCCCACCATAATTGCGCTCCTCGTTCGCCAGTTCCGTGACAGGTATCACAATCCGCACCTCGCTCTAGCTATTTTCGATCATGCCCGACACCTGTCTATCTTGTCGTACGTCTTTGGATGCTCAACACAGGCGTACAATGAACTCATCCAAACTCGCTGGTCTTCCTTTCGAGATCTCATGGGGGTGAAAGATGCATTGCAAGAAATGTTTGTCAATGGTGTGGAAACTAATGCCCAAACCCGCAAGCTTGTAGAAGGTTTGTGGAAAGATGTTGGTACGGAAAATATTTGGCCGGACCATAACCCAGAGAGCGAAATTGGATCGACCCTCGCTGAGATTGAGCGGATGATGCCACGGGCTCGACCAGAAAGCACCTCCAAACGGGGGCAACCAATGTGGGATGCTTGGAAGAATCAAGGTTCTGAAGGGAAGGATGCTAGCTATGTGTTCGATAGCTGGGATGCACCTCCCACCAAGGAGAGGTAAATGTCAACCGACACAACCATACAGGACGAAGCAAGGTTGTCCTTTGTGCTCAGTGGCGAGATCGCCATCATAGCCCTCCACATCACACTTTGTTACAATTGTTATAATGTAACTCCATCCACATCTAGGCGAGACTAAGGTTGACAGGTGACCCTCGATGCACCATATAAACGTATATCCTATCCAACCCCTCTTTGTTGGCAACTTTGGCGGAAAACGAATCTTGAAATGCGAGCGAAATTTATTAAGCAAATACACTAGTCCTGATGAGAGATCCGTCCCCGCTGTTATATTACATGAAAGTATTTCATAAAATCGCCGCTTCCAGGGTTGCAAGAGGGCTACGCTGTTAAGGATTAGGCCGCCGGGAGCGGGTGCGATTCGTCTTCTGTGTAGGCACGCTCGGAACAGCCCCCAAACCGTGTGCAGGTTGATAATCGGTGTCAATCTCATCACATCTTAGATGTAGAAGAAGATTATAGACAAATATTTGCTCGTATCTGTAACGGGCAACTTGTAAGTTCCCGTTTGACGACTAAACGCGTGCAACTCACTGGGCGTTTGTGAACACGACAGACATTGCGTCTGAACTACAACGCAATAAATTGGGCGCCATGACCAATGCCAAGTTCGCGGGTGTCATCTTGGTAATACTCTGGGTTCGTTCTTCAAGGAACAGTTGCAAGAAACTAATGACAAAAAGAACGACGCGACGGTTGATGGTTGGAAGCCGTTCCACGATGCGGATACAGGCAAGATGATCCCTAGAATGCTGAATACATTCGTTGTACATTTCACTTGGGACAAGGGGATCGCAGAGCTCGCGCAACCAGAGTTTCATCAACGACGCAAGAACATGCGGATCGTCGACGGCATCTAATGTATAATAGCCGCGGTCGATCCGTAATTTCAGTTCGGAAACTGAGTCGTTGTCACCAGGAACACGAAAGATTCCTTCCGACCTGGGACCACCAAGGGCAAGAATCCCATCAGCAAGGAAGGGTAAAATGATAGGAACTTTTTGGTGAGGATAATTCCTTTCTTGAAGCCTGATAATGGCGTCCAAAGATTCCCCGAATGTTGATGGATTGAAGGCAGCATCCTAAAACGACCGTTGGAAAGCGGGATGTATGGGAATAAAACGAATTTACCGAAGCCGTCTCGATCTCGGCAATAGATGGAGGCTTGCCACGCGGGCCTTTCATTGAAATTGACGCTAAACGTCGCAAACAATACTTGGCCATCACATCCACCCGGCTTTCTTGATAGGTGGTATGATTTTGTATGAAAGCATGAAGGTATGTTTCAAAGTTTTTTGAGGGCGGAAAGGTGATGAGGAGGACGCAAAGCAGTTGCCATCCTTTGAATATACTTTCCCTGCCAAAAAAACAAACAAACTTAATGAGCGGGAGTGAACAGCCTGAAGTCCACTCACGTATTCGGGTTTGTTGTCAGCTGTTTCATCAATTGACAATAAATCTCGTCTCTGAGTTCGCCATGCGTAAGACCCTCACTAAGAACCCAGCGTTCTTCTTCCAATAATCCAAAGGAGTTACCAGATAAAGAAGTCGTGGACGAGTTAAAGGAAGCAACCGCCGAGAGGTGACCATCGTGTGGCAGACGAATATTAATAGACTTTTCCCGTTCTCGATCTCCCATGATATGCTGGATGACCTTGAAAACTTTAACTGCATCTTTGTGGAGAGTCCGATTCAGCACAAGCAGGGGAGACGTTAGTGGAGCCTAAGTCAGATAAGAGTAAGTTGAAGATAAAGTATGCGGTTGTTCATCACCTTTTGCCAAGCCATGAGCTGTGCAACTGGGACTCTTCGCCTGAAAATGAAGCCGCTCCGGTGAGTAGAAAAGTACTGCTTCGCATAATCAGACTCTGAAAACTGCTGAATATCCATAGCCAAGGCAGACGGTAATATCGGGTAAGTTCTAAATCCAAAAAGATGATTCATAGTGGTAAAACGAAGATTAACATTTGCGTACCCCGTGTTCAGTGTTGCGGTCGACAAATTTGACGCCGATGGGTGCATTATCGGTCCGACCAGAATTGGTTGGCCTGTGGCACGATTCTTCACAGGGCTCAGTTCCAATGTTGCGGCTGAAAGACTTTAAGAAGTAGCGTTGTAGGCATAATATCATACACACCATGGTTCATGATGGGACTACTAATTCCCTTTCCTCCGACTGTTGGGACTCGTTGTGGAACGGATGGAATGGGTCGCTGGGGCGAAGGAGGAAAATCACGCTTGCCTCTGCTCCTAGAATGGGTTGAAGGACTGTCTTCGCCTGAGTGAACTTGGCCGTAAGCCATACTTGAATCACTGATACTGGATGCGACATTGAGGCTCCTTGGTTGGGAGGTGTGACCACTATCTGAATGTGACGTTGAAATCATCTCAAGTGCAGCGTGGAGACTTTGAGGTTGCTGTGGGCGATGTGATGTATATGAAGATGACTTTGAACGAGCCCGACCATTGTAATCGGAAGGATATAAGCTGTCGGTTGGGCGACCTTTCCCGTTTGGGCTGTCTTTTTTTTTTGATGGCGATATCTCCCCGTTGGCATCGTTGACAAAACTTGCTGTAGATTTTTTGGAGGATGAAGGCGACGACGGCACAGAACGGTCTGTTGCATAAGGGGAACCTGGTATAGGCGTCAACTGGGAACCGACGGTGTGAAATCGACTTGTCCCATTCTGGACACTTTCTGCCCCATGCGAAAATAGATCGCCGCCGGAGGCGGATCGTGCGATGGATTGGCGGTTGCCATTATTTTCTAGTGCTGGGCGATTCGATGGGGACCGTAGCTGTAAGGTTTCCTTCAAGGGCTCCTGAAATATCTTTACAAGGAAGAATGGTTATTCAAAGCTTTTCCACGCACTGGTCTCTCGAGGCTTGCTGATATTCGTTTGGAAAACCGGTCAAAGGTTGTCTGCGATAATCTGCGACCAAGAGCTGTATTCTAATGCAAGTCAAACTCGTCGCACTAGTTTAGACACTCTCCAAACTCACTTGTATGATGCCTAGGGGTATCACAAAACCTGAAGGACGCTCCCAAACAGTTTCGCCGGTTTTCGTCTGGTAATAGTATGACAGACCACCCCGAGAATCATCACTCAATTCCCACCACTCTCCTTCGGTACTCGGGGGTAATCTGTGGTTTTTTTAATGACGCACTGCGTCGCAAAATGAACAACGGGGACTCACACAAAGTTCCCAACAGGTGGATCCCAGCTGACTTGTCCAGTGGCAGGGCAGGCAAAAAAAGAAGTTTGCGTCTATTCCATTGGTGTTAATGAGACAGCAAAGAAAAATCGAGCTATAAAAACCTGTGGATCGACCAAGGTGACCCAGAAATTAGCACCCCAGGTCGCGTCGTCTCCACTTTCTGGGGTTTTGGGGGCTGCTTGTTGGGGTATGGAGTGGTTTGGTGTGCCGACCTTGTAGGATGTTCCTGAGGAATGTCGTGCAATGGGATGGTGACCGGGAAGTGGGGTAGAAGAGGGTGGTGCGCGAGAGGTCGTCGGTGAAGGGGATTTCTTCAAGGTCATTGTTGGATATCGATAGGTGTGGTATTGAGGGTATATGAAATGACAGCCAATTGAGGGTATAGTTCGAGTAGAGGATGGACTTTCAACTGGCGGTTGCCGGTCGTCGACCCTGCAAAGTGCATTCCACAGAACTTAAGCTAAAGCAGGCAAGGCACAACGATTGATAAGAATGAACATAGATAAGATTATTCTTTTGAACATGTGCATCTAATCTTCGTCCATATCACCCACTGCTTTCCTCTTCTCGATACGCTCAGACATGATTTTCTTTGCATCCTCCTCTGCTTTCACTAATTTGCCGCTTTTAGCTAGTGCAACCAATAATGCATGCACGAGGCCCATATGGTTGTGACGGCGAAGGCTGTTCTCAAACTAGAAGGGTCAGAAAAGCAGGTCAGGGATAATATTCTGAAGGAATGCTTACTGCCCAGCGTTCTCGTTTTGAGTTTTCATTGGATATTCTTGCCATAATTTCGGATGCAGCTTCTGAATGACCAGCAGTCTGATATTGTTGTAGTTGGGATTGAAGTGTAGGCAAAGGGTCCTCTCGCAGAGCAAGAAGACTAAACTCGAGCTATGAAAAAGTGTTAGTATCGTAGCAAATCAACATAACTCTTTAACCGCACTGCACCGGCTGGGTAGGTATTTATGCGTGCTCCGATAACTTCGCTGTGCAGGGATGATGTTAGAGGATGAACTGGAGCAGTGAGGTGGACTAACCGAGCTGTTTTGAGCCAGCCCTCACCCTCCTGACTAAAAGGAGCGTGCCTCACTGCATGCGGTTTCAAGCCGTCCAGCTCGTACAGTGCTCCCATCACGGGCAAGTACACCACAAAATGATATGCGTCCTCGCTCTTTCTCGGAAGTCCAAGTCCATCCAGTGAGACCGCACTTGGTGGAGAAAGTGTGTTATGGGCTTGGCGAAGCCAGTCTGCACTCGTGACTACTAAACCACGCGTCTGAGGATCCATTCCAGTCGTAAATGACATGAGTTCTGAAAGTTGAGGTCCCATAGGCAAGGAAGGGATGTTGCCAAGTGCATTTAGTACAGCCAAGGTAGCGCATGCGTTGTTCACGACTTGATGCGCGAAAAATCCTGGAAATTCTGGGTCGTAGTTGCCATCAGAACGGTCTGAGGAGGTGGGGATCCATTTGAACAGGAAAATCAGAGCATGTAGTGGTTGCAGGGCGGACAATGAGTCGGAATCAAGGGAATACAGATCATCTACAATGAGAGGGACACCCAAGGACTTTAGCAGCTCCCTGTTGTATCAACGATGAATGCTAACCACCTTTTGACGGAAAAGAAGAGTAGAGCAAAGAAAAACGTACGTAAAGACACCTGGGTCTGATTCGGTTAGTTGCCAGCCACTAGATTCGTCGTCCCCCGACATTTTTCTTCCACCTGAGCTTTGTTTTTCGAAGATTGTGGAGTGCTTGAGGAAGTACTCAACGAAGTCAAGTTGAAGTTGTTTCGTAAGTGTAAATAAAGTACACAAATAAGGCAACAACCACGACGGCGGCGCCTATTTGGCAGTTGGAATATTCCCTCCAAGCTTCATGCATGGATCTCTTGAACGCAAACCAAATTCCTACGACTCCAGCCTCTGATAAATTCGATCCCAAAGCAGCAAATCGCGCAAAATTTGAGCTCGAACTCGAGTTCCTTCAGGCATTGGCCAATCCATTCTATCTCCACTCTTTGGCACAACAGAATTATCTGGAACAACATTCTTTCATTAACTTTCTTGAGTATCTTCTATACTTCAAGGAGAAAGATTATGCACGATTTGTTCAGTAAGCCTCTATCCCCACCAACAGAAACATTCGCTGAGAGGTACAAGTTACCCTCACGCTCTCCACCATCTGGAGCTGCTGCAACATTCTTCATTCAGATCCAGGATGAAGAAGGATGAGTTTTTCAGGGAATTCTTGCATCAAAAGCAATTCGACCATTGGCGAACCTGGTCAGTCCGTTGTTCTCTTGGCCATTGAAAGAAAATCTAATTAAAAAGGGTCAGGCGAGAATTGCTCAACGATCCCGCTGGCTGATTTTAGCAACCAGAAAAGGACCGTTCACGAGTAATTATAAAGAGCTTTAGCCTTGCTCTTCAACTTGTGCATATTTGTGTATGTTATGTTACCAACTGCGACGTAAATAGTGTTAGTCCCATGATCAAATGGAGCGGACGGTATCATGTCCCACAGACCCCTCAATGGTGAGGAGTATCCTTTAGACAATCCACTTCCCCGCGGGCTCTCTATCGACCAAGATGAAGGTTATCCTGCCACATTGCACAATCGAGGGCTACACTATGCGTCTATAGCGGAGAAGAAACGCTTGTGGTGGAGAAACGCAATTATCAACGCCTTGTTCATTGCATCCTGGTGCGTGACCTACCTGGTTTCCTTCGACCCGATTTAATGATAGTATAGGTTCTTATTTGCGACTCTTCTTTCAGTATACAACAAATGGATGTTTTCCAAGGATCATTTCGCATTCCCAGCACCGTTATTCGTGACAACGATGCATATGTTCGTCCAGTTCATCCTTGCCGCTCTCTTACGAGCGCTTTGGCCTATGCATTTTCGCCCGGATCGGAGGCCGACTCCCGAAGAGTATGGGTGAGTTAATTTTCCTGAATGTAACTTGCCGACCGTTGTGCACTTTGAGCTCGGTCCCAAATTTATATCTGTCCATGGTTTACGTTGACGGCTAGCCGTGAAAAAGCTTTGTTTAGCCATTCTGACGTCGTTGTAATTTAGGAAAAAGGCTTTTCCAACCGCACTTGCGACAAGCCTTGATATTGGACTGTCAAATCTCTCACTCAAGACCATCACACTATCCTTCTACAGTAAGCTTAGAGGTTATTTGGTCGATCCACTTAATAATCAGACAACTTCCAGCCATGTGCAAATCATCCTCCCTAATCTTCGTACTCTTTTTTGCTTTCATCTTCAAACTTGAAGTCTTCTCATGGCGCCTCATTGGTGTCATCTTCCTGATTTTCTCTGGTGTCGTCCTCATGGTGGCAACGGAAACGCACTTTATTTTAGAGGGTCTAATTCTCGTTCTCAGCGCTAGTGCTCTTGGTGGACTTCGATGGACTCTTACACAAGTTTTGTTGAAAAACAAGAAATTGGGTCTCGATAACCCTGCTGCCACCATTTTTTGGCTTTCACCTGCCATGGGGGCCATACTTGCTGTTGTTAGCGTTACAGTGGAACACTGGAGGAGCTTATTCGGCTCCGATTTTTTTCGTGGTCTGCTCAAAACATCCGAGACTGTGTTTTATTTGACTGCGCCTGGGATCCTAGCGTTCTGCATGGTTCTAAGTGAATACTAGTACGATTCTTTCGTCATTACTTCAATGATTCCATTGAACATGACCATTCACAGCATCATTCAACGCACCGGTGTAGTACCGATGTCAATTGCCGGAATCGCCAAGGAAGTATCGACGATCACGATTTCTTCTTGGTTCTTTGGGGATGAACTCACTCCCCTCAATATTACTGGCGTTGGAATCACAGTATGCGGTATGATTTGTTCACACTCAAGTACGATTGGCGTTAATGTCTTTTGAGTTAGGCATAACACTCTTTACATACCACAAATACCGAAAGTCGATGGAATCACCTGTTCCTTTGGATGCTCATGGCGATCCAGTATCTGGTGAAGTTGATGAGCCGCTTGGGAGGAGTGATGTCATAGAGGATGCCGAAGAGATCAACCTTCTTTCGCGAAGTGACGATCTAGAAGAGGTAATTCCCTTCTGATTTGCAGCGACCTGAGACTGGATCTGATAGCCTTTGCTCGGCCGCTCTTATAGGTTGGAAGCCCCGTAGACGATCGTTCGAGACCGTCATTCTCGTCTGGAAGTGACACGCTGGAGGTCCGCAGTAATCAGCCTTCTGAGTTTCACCGGGAACCCGGACACCCCGGGAAAATACGAAACGGTGCGATTGCATTCCAGGACGGATCCATAGAGCTCGTAAATGTATAGGCCAAAAATACCCGGTGACGGTGGAATCCAATTGTTTTGGGACGGATGTTTCGTTTGCTTGAAACCACCAACCATGCTGCTGAATGCCCACAGAAGATTTTTTTTTTGAACCGACAAACTCGGGCTAAATCCTGTCACATCATATTGCTACTTTCCGCCCTTTTTGATTCCATTCCAACCCTTGCACGAGAACGACGACCAACACGCGATGCTTGAACTTGGCGCAATCTTATCAACAGATCGAGTGCGGTTGTAAGACAATTCTTGCAGCGAACTGGAGTCAACTGGCGTCCCCTTGCCATCAATCTCATGGGCATCAGCAAGGTATCAGACCATAGAGACCATAGACGGATGATATAGATTGGGCCCGTGATTGGGTACCTTTTGGGTGGTTCCCACCGTTGTAGGCGGAGTCAATGGATGAATCCGATGTTCAAAAATGGCGGCTTTGTTGTGCAGAATGGACCAAAGTGGGCCGTGCGGCGAGGGAACCGCGGGGACGGTATCTGCCACGTGTGGATAGGCTTGACGCGTTCACAGATCCGAGACGACACTCGGAGAAAATCAAGTGACGATATGTGCTGAGTCAGCCTTACTGATTGATTGATGGATTTGTTCCGGTTGTGTTTTATGGTTTGCGTTTCGTGTTCAGACAGGTGGCTTGCATTGGCTTGCACCAAGCTTGCATTGGTTTGCGTCGGTTCAAGGGGTTTGTATCGGGCCGTATGCAAGTGAGTGGCTCAGGTCTTTGATGGTTCGTGACGGGTTCGTGACGGTTCACGGTGTTAGCAGTGCTACGAGCGCTGTGTTAAAAACGCAGATAAATTATTTTCTTGCGCGCCTTCTTTCCTACGCGCATTCTCTTCCTCTCGACGGGCATGGACGACTCTTTCCAGTTTATTATAGAATCTCCGCAGAACAACCAGGGACATAAGAAAAGGCCTCGTCTCGTCACCTCTTGCGACAACTGGTAACTTCAGCTTTGTCATCACTGCCCGCTATCCAATCTAACACCTCTACCACAGTCGTCTTAAAAAGATAAAATGTCTTCAACCATCTCCAGAAAGTAAATGTGATGCTTGCAAGACTGCCAAGATACCTTGTCGTTTCCGGGATAGGGAGCGTTACTTTGCAGAACGCAGCCGAGCTATAGCTGGTCCTACCTCGTATGGAGCAGACTTCAGGCAAGCAGCTCTTCGTACCTTTATGGCTTCTACTCACCAACTCTTTTTAGAGCCGAAGCGAACCCAGCCCTTGATGCCTTCTCAGTGGCCTCCAGCTCTTCCAGTCCTTCTCTTTCTTCCAACTCGAACCCTCGATCCACTTCCCACTCGCCGAAAGCAAGCGGGCTCGTTTCAGCCGACGCGGAGCACACTGGGAGATATCAGTCATACCCTCCTGATTCTCGTCGAGATTCTCATCACAGGTTTATCACCCGCCTCACATAGTCGTTACGTGCCACTGAATCCTTTTCACAAGACACAGTAATTCTTCATCTATTTCATCACGCAACGGTAATCCATTAGCCTATAATTATGGTGGACCTCCACCCACTCAACTACTACATCACCCTCATAATACACGCAGTCCATCGCATCACTCTGATTATCGTCCCATTCACCTTTTCGATCCTGATCATCCTCAATCACCCCACCCAACTCTAATGCCACATTTCATACAATTATTCTTCGAGAACTTGGGCGGTGAATTCACTTTCTTATCATACGAGGAGTTACTTGCGGATTTTTGGGACCACGTACTGCCATCTTTGATGGCAAATTGTATTGCAGCTATGGCTTCCAGGTACGTGATTTCTGTTCATATCGTATCCGAAACCTCACTACCTCTATCTAGATATTCTAATATTCCCGAGCTTACTGTACGAGGCCTCCATAACGTCGCAGAAGCATACACCGAGAGCGCCAAGGTAAGTTTCTTTCTTCGCCGTCTCCAATTGTTTACCGAGCCTCCATTTTCTCAGACTATCCTAAGCTCCGTCGCTCATATCCCCACAATAGAAACCTTGCACGCTATAATGTTACTCTCCTGGTCGGAGTACAAGAACAATAGACTTAGTGGTGAGCTCTCTTTCTCCACTGGCTTACAAGGTGACCTGATCTCGGCCTAGGTTTCCGAGCTTATTGTCAGATGGCCATGAGGATGGCTATGGACCTCGGCTTATCAGATCAAAATGCGATCCAAATGCATCCGAGTGAAAGTGAACGTAACCGCAGGCGGTCAACTTGGGCAGGCATTCTACAACTACATCTTACCTCATCGTCCCGTACGTGATATTAATGAATGTGGAGCATGTTGTTGACCACTTTCTCTCTCCCCAGTCTAACTTTAGACTGCATTCATTTCTGACAATTGACTGCTACATACATACAACTCATCTGTCCTTATACATCATATAATTCTGCTTAATCCATCATCATCTGGTCTCCCTGTGGCTACACCAAGCTCGCGGCTACTACCTCGCGGGCAGCCCAAGAGAATACAAACTTGAAACTCTTCCGCTGTCGTCGGGTCCTCCATAAATAACTGGGCCTCATATATCTTTTCAATACACCATGGGAGCACTTCGACAATTATGTGGGCGTGTTTCAAGTCCGGATTGATGGCATGATTCATTCGACCCATCAATACACCGCGTCCCCTATCCATGTAATCGCAGATTCGCAGCCTGACCGAACTCTAGATGAATTAGCCTATCATAGAACCTCTTCCTCAAACAATCTAATAATCAAAATTGTCTTCCAAGAAAGTGCTACGAGAATGTGTTACGAACGCGACTGTTGTTGAGTATAGCCGACAAAAGAAAACGCTGCCACGCAGCGGATCCGGAAGAGACTGCAGGGGTTGGACGACACACACGTTACGCGGTTCACCCTGATACAAAGAGCAATAAGAATAAGGACTCGAGGTGCTGTACTGCAGGGTCCTGAGCGGGGTAATAGAGAGATAGGGAGTTGCTGCCGTCACAATTTCGCGAGTATAAGATGGCAAATCACCGAGGTTTAGCGGACGTCGTCACGCGGTTGTTCCAGCTTGAAATCTATCAAGATCAATTTGGGTCTGGTATATAAAAAATCTTGCTTCTTCAGCACCAGGTGCATGTGTACACAAGCCATTTATATAGAATATGCTTCCGCATCCTGAATATAGAGGCAAAAAATCGATAAAATGTGCATAGCTGCACACTCTGTTTCGAAAGCCGTTGTCCGTGTGGCGCGGAACACAAGATGTCGAAGGTTTGGAATTGCCTTGCTGCCTGCTGCTTGGTCAAGGAATTTATCCAATGAAAAGATGGTCCCATGGTAGCACTTCATTGAAGAGAGTGCTTTCCCCAAGACTCCCTTCGGAGGCACTAGGGCACCAGTCGAACAATGTTGCCAACTCTGGGGATGTCACGTAGTATGAATGGAATCTTGAATGAGGGTTTCGTTGCAGCCGCTTCGACAATAGAACAGAGTGACAGCCGTATTTATCGAGCGAGTAAGGGAGATATCCATTTCGTCTCTAAGTTCAAAAAGTAGATGATTTTCGTCAGGATCTATTTCCCCATAGCAATACATCCATACCTCTCCTTGCTCTGCACTCGGGCTATGACCCTCGTCAGGGTCCACGCCAATGTACCGAAACTTTGCTTCAGGCCACCGTATAGCCGCTCGGTGGAGTTGTGTAAACCTCATCCGCTTGAATTCATAACCGATGACCGTAATTCTTTCAGGGAAGTGGCCGGTGAATTCGCGAAAGCGGGCAACGGCAAATAAAAGGTTCTGATACGAGTCGAGCGCATAGTTTTCCGTTGTAACGCGTCTAAAGACGGGGTCAGAGTTTGACGCATGGAGTAGTTCGGTCCTCATCGCCAGCCTCATGTACGACTCGGCCTCCGTCGTGGAAGAGGAAAGCCGCGTCTGACCGCTGAAACAAAAATGAGTTATTGTTGCGGCATGGGCGTTGAATTATTACCCAGAAAATATGAGGAGCGAACGGGCATCTTGCCTTGCCAGCTCTACGCTGAATAGTGGAGGTTAAGTCCCATTCTTACGAAAACGCCGAGAAGCACGTACCCTTTTTCTATGTGTTTAAAAAAGGCTGCTACACGTTTTCCCCCCTTCTGATATGGTTCAAGAATCCAATCCTCTTCGTTCAGCCTTGAACTCGGATCACCTCCCTGCCAGATAGCGTGGCAGGGTACCACGACGAGATGATCAAGATCGGCGAGTGCATTGGGTCGGGATATGGTGGCAAGCATTGCAGATCCTTCCCGAAGTGAATTTCTAGCGTAAAACCGGACATTGCACAGCAAAGAGATGCCACATAGGAATGCTAGCAGAAGGATGGCTAGATTGGTCGCTCGACTACGGCTGAGCAAGGCATCGAGGACCCTTTTCCGCGGCGAGGTGACGCGGCGAAAGGCTTTGTATTTAGGGCCTGAGGAGACTGGTGGTGGCAGCATCTACGTCGTAGCATCAGTGCTGGCAGTCGCTGCCTTGGCGTAAAGTACACGAATTTCACACGGCAAACATCTCTATTTGCTCTATAGACTCTAACTCTCAGCAAAAAAACCTAGAAGTCCGTCCTGGTCCTCCGAAAAATCACTCTCAAACTCCATTTGCCAGCTTTTCAAACGCAATTTCATCAATTCGTCCCAGAAAAGGGTGGGCGCCCCATCGTTACTCTTGAGGAATGCTCGAATATGCTTCAGCCACTGTTTGACCAATTTGAACCTAAGTTCCACCTTTAAGTTGTCGGGTGAATTGGGTTGAAAAGGCGGCAAGCCCTCTTGATATGCTAGGAGCGCGACTTGTCCGAGCCAGTAAAAGGGCAGAACTGCATTTTTGTCGCTTAGCCCAACAGCACAAAAATAACAGTATTCACAAACCGTTGTGGATAAAGAGCGGCTCCTCTCCAGGAAGAGAAGCATCAAGTGTCTCAGGCGCAACTAGTTGACTTTGGAACCAATTGTGAAGCGCAAACTGTAGTCGCTGAATTTCCTGATTGATTTCTTCCGGTTGGCAATCCCCATTGGTTGAAACTTTTCGGCCTTCAAAGCACGCAGAGAATAAACGGCGTAGAATGGCATGAATAAGAATGAAGTGCGCGAAGGGATTGAGAGGATGAGGAACGGGAAGGAGGCGACTTTCTTCCAGAGCTGCCAAAGAATCGGGGATACTTATCCCGATCAGTCGTGACTGGATCGAGCCATACGGAGACGCCGCCTGTAGTGCCATGAACCACTCCGTCGGGCTAGCGGCCTGCCAAAGCGAATCCTCGCAGGGTAGATTGAGTGTGAGCTCACTTGCGTGGTACGACGGGGGCAGGGCGAAGTAAATGCCCTGACAGCAATCGTGCATATACGACCACAGGATTGCGCTGTAATATGTAAATTAAGATAAAACGAAAGCGCAATGACTTGATAGGGAAAGTACCGTTTGGTCATCTCGTTCATCACCCACTCGGACCACAAATGCTCCAGGGGGACTTCAGTAAGATTTCCCGGTGTCCATGAGGAGATTTTTGAGATCAAACCAGTACGCCGTATCATCTACAAGAGAATCAAGACAAGATTTTAAGGGATGAGGTTATTTCATACCATAACAAGCATCCCGTGGTAGATGCTCGATGAAACCCGCTGTTCGGGCTGCTGGTGAAACAACCCAATGGTCTGGAGAAGAACCACCGCCAAGATGAGCTGAATTTGATCCATTGAATCTGTGGGATTTTTGGCCTAGACACATATTAAGGTGCGCAGCAACACAACGCAAAGTTGGAACCCACAAAATCCTGGATCAGGGCATCCCGAGCGGACGCCAAGGTGGTCGTGATGAAAGTGCTTGCCTTTCGCGTTCGGACATACAGAGCCCCGCATGCCTGCATTGCACTTAATAAGACAGGCGATTTGACTTGAGATCGGAAGGTGGTTGCATGGACGATCGGTATCTGGGAAGAAAAACTAGAGAAGAACAGGTCAACTTGTGGGTGGTCAGCATTCAAGAGACGGAGAGGTATAGCCAGGATACCCACGATAGTGCTGTGATTCGATATCGTTGCCCGAAACAGAGGGACTGGAACGCGACTCAGTCGCCGTGTAGGACGATGAAGGACCGAGATCCCCAAAAGAATTCGAGCCCGGCGCCTGCGCCATGGAGGCAAGAGGAAACTCCGATTCTGCACTCTCCGTCTTTAATCCCATTCCTATCCACGAGTGTTCATCCACACCAGATACCGTGGGGCTAGATGTCGCCGAAAATACGCCACTGAAGAGAGACTCAAGCATGTCACTAGCAGAAGCAGAAGCTATGACAGGCATGGCATCATGTCGAACATCAGTGTTGCTGACCCCATTCAAACTTGTTGGTTCGGAAGAGGGATTCTCAGAAAAAGCGCTCGTTTCAAAAAAGACAGAAGGAACAGCTCCTTGACCACAACTGGGAGTATCGCACGCAATGACGGGGCAATCACTGAACGGAGAAAGCGAAGCTGGAGGGGACGGACATGAACCAACGCTTAGGGATGATGCCACATCTTGCCAGTGTCCACTGACACTTCGATTTGGCTTGACACAGGGTATATTGCGTGCCTTGCACTTGAAGCAAGGCTCCAGGCGATCGCACTTGATTTTTAATTCCACGCAAGAGACACAGGCATCACGACGAGAGTGATTGTAACTGTTGTGGACGAGGATAGAATCAGTGGAAGGTTGTGTAACAAGCAGTGAGAGACAGACAGTATGCTACAGCGCCGTTGGTGACGCCTGAGAACGGAATCGGAAGTGAATTGTGCTTCGCAAGTCTGGTGACGTCTGGAGTAAGAGTAGGTTGACGCAAGTGTGGAAACTGCTCACATCACAGCAATGTAGCGGTATATCGGCGTCTGCGACGTCAGAGTGACTAAGACAACATAAGTGAGTGCAAGAGAGCTCACGGATGCGCATGTGTCGGTTCAGAAGAGAAGCACGAGAAAATCTGGCTGGGCAGTACGGGCATAACTTGGTACGAGAATGAACATGTTTATAGTTTCGACTAGTTCGGAGCTTGAGAAGAGAGCCTGCTCTTGGGGTCGTCATGGTCAAAGTGAAAAAGCGTTTTGCAGAGCTGACCCCTAAACTCGTTTAAATAACCTGGCGGCTGACACCACTGACCTGATCGGTTGATTTCAATGCAAGCCAGACTAAGTTGAGTGGGCGCTATCAGAAAGCTGAATACAAACGAATTGCTCACGAGAGTCTTGACAGCGCTAAGTACTACGCATATCGCCCAGAATATTTTCTCTCACTTCGATTGTGGACACCCTGCGATACTCTCGCTCAATGGCCCACCACACAGCTTCTCCGACGTCCCCGGCATGATGGTGAGGAGTATGTATCGGAGGCCCCTGGTCTGCACTGTAAACTCCAGTGCGAACGAGTATAGAAGACCAGTTGGCTGCATTGGCGCCTGCGATGTCTAAATCCCCGCCACCATAAGCAGAGTGAGCATGACATCAGCAATTATCATACCTGACTCTGGGTTGTCTGAGAAATTCTCGATCAGCGTAAAAGACGGTGGAAAGAAATGTTTTCATACCTCCAATCATATATCTATAATGTTATCCTCTCATTAGCCCCTCAAACACATAAAAGGAACGAGTATCATCACAAACATGTTTGGTAGTGGACTTCTAATTCCGTAAAGTGATTCCAATTCATGTGTCAATACATCCTGAGCAAATGCATAGGTTGGTCCCGTGGGTTTTCCATATTGCACATGTGGGTATGTTGATCCGGTCAGAGCCTAGCACAAAATTCCAGCTTTGGCCTTTGCTATGATGGGGAAGACGAACGAACATAAAAAACTGCATGGAACGCCTCTTTGAATGCTCCCTGACCCAACCTCGGGCGATCAAAATCAGAACGCCACACGAGGTCGGGATTGCAGAAGATAAGTTGTACGGATTGCTGTTTGTCAGTCCGCTCGTCGAAACGAACTGGCGGGCCACCGATTATGCCGCCAGACAAGATCACATCGCAGATGACTTGAACTAAGAAAGCACTTTGAGCTCTTGCGGAGGGCCACAGATCAAAGACTGTACCATCTAGTGCCCAATTTCGTGGGTCGTGGAATACGAAAATTGCAGATATTGGTGTCTGACTGAAGTCTACTGCCTGGGCATCATAAGCATAGGGCGTGAGTCAGCGGAGTAAGACGGTGTTTTCATACCTTTGTTGTTTCGCGCTCTCCTTGTGAAATATCGTAAAAAGGCCAGACACTGATGCAAGATAAGCACAACTGGTTCTAAAAAATGAACATGACTGACGCGGGGTTCCATGCCAGAACGTCGAGTGTGGTATATGCCTTCTTGAAGCCGTAGCTAGGGAATATATAAAATTACTTTCCAGCCGGCCACCCAATCGCACGCACCTTTCAGCTACCTTGCGTACTTTATCCAGCTTACCACCGAGGACGAGTACTGGTTTATTCGCGTATTTGTGAGCGGATTTCTTGATGATTGTGTGAGCCTGGATGTACTGACGCTGATTGATCTGACGAAAAATGAAATCAGCTAGTTACACGAAGCAGCCACTCGCATACGGTCACTCCTAATTGTGAGGACAACTTTTTGCACCGTTCCTCTTCGCTAACGCCACCGCCATTGGTCAACTGTTGGATTATTTGAAATGACAAGAAGATTGAACAAGTTGGGCAGAACGGTTTACAAGGATATATGGAATTTTCCTTGGTTGGGTAAGACGCTGCACAGAGAATGCACAACTCCACGTACTTTTTGAAAGGATTGTCACCTTCAAGTGTGCGCAAAGCTCGCTTGGCAGCTGGTAAGACGTCTTCTCCTCGAAGAAGAACACCGTCCTGTATGTTACGAATTAAACAATAAGTTAGCCGCAAAAATAGAGAAACATACAATGTCAAACGCGAATGCTAGCGGCGGCGGAGAGATAGCGGGTAAGGATGAGTATGCGCGTCGGAGGGACAGGCGAAGCATACAGTTTATTTGTCAGTGGCGACTCTTGCAAACAAGCAGGAAGTGCAAGGCGAAGGCGGCAAGCTCGCAAGAGTATTCTTTGAATTTCGTTTATGACGCCTTTCCAACAACAAGCCAATGCATCTCCCTCTATTGCCCTCGAAAGGGGTGCGTATAGAATGCGTGCGCCAAGTACCCGAACACGATCATCGCAGGAGACGACGACGAGGCCACCACCCCCGACTTCGATTCGTCAAGGCCATATGCATGCAAACGTCAACGTCGTCCTTCTTCTCGGTTTGGTCGCCTTTGCCTGCATCATTTGCTTTGGAACCGCGTATTATCTCTTCTCTACCAGGTGAGAATGCCCGACAACCTGTTTACTTTTGCTAATTTCATGGTGTTCGAGTCATCGTACAACATTTTGATATAAACCCCTAGGCCTTGTTCTAAACTGTTGCCGCTGCCTCTTACACGCATTGACTTTTTTGCAAGATACAAACTTGTATCTGAAAGAATTTCATACCCTGTTCTATTCATACCACATGTACTCATTGTCAAACTTTGATCTCCATCAAGCACTGCCTTCAAGTGGGGCTGTCCTCCTGACCGGTCGTTATGTTAGTCACTTTTGATGGCTCGGGATAGATAAAGTCGATGAGTGGCACTGGGATGGCTTTTCTTTGTCCTTGGTACCCTTAGCCATCCCACCCCCAGATATCCCAATGTCGAACATTGAACTCACTCCCGAGGTCACTGTCTCCAATTCAGACGCGACTCCAGCTTTAGCTTCAGGTCAAGCTAATGATGCTCTCCCTACCGCTCCTCCCGCTCTCGAAGGATTTGACCGCTGGATCAAGGATTTCCACAAGTATGAATCCATCTTGGTGAGTTCTTCTTTCCTCAACACCTGGCAAGTCATGTTGATTGTTCCCCGAAAGGCTGAAGTGGCCAAAGCCTCCTTGGACACCAAGTTCAAAGACGAACTGAACACCATTGAACATTGTGCGCATATTCTGCATTTCTTCCCTGGCATCCAATAATCAACTACTTCGAAACAGGGTTCAAAGTTCTTTCTGAACCTGAGCGAACAGCTTCAGTCTACACCCTCCTTCAGCACTCTACCCAAGATCAGGTTCTTTTCTTTATGTCCGTGCTTCAGCGCATGGTGCAACCTAAACCAGAGCCTGGTAAGCGTTAACAGGGTATACGGGATGTTTCTTCAATCGACCTGTCTCCCTTTCAGTCTCCCTTGACATTTTATCGAAACCGAAACTCGCTAAGTTGAGCTTACGTCCTCCGAGTCTCAGCATCCCTCTCCTTGGTTCCCCGGCGACACCTACACCCCTCACAGCGAGATCTGCGTTGGATGAGCAAGGTCATCAGGCAAATTTACCAAACCTTCATGATCCCAGCAGGTGGGGAAGTACGGTCAATACACCACTTCCGACCTCGGTTGATGGTATCAAACCCACCCCAGCAGCCTCCAACGCAACTGCTCCTATCCCTGGCCTTGGTATGATGAATCCGTACACTTTGAACATGCTTGCCAACGCAGGACTCTCAACCGAGGCTCAGCTGCTCGCTGTTCAGCTCATCATGAGCGGCCTAGTTCAGCCTACTGGCGTGGCAACAACTCAGCCACAGGCCCAGGCCAAGCAAAAGAAACCATCACTGGCATCTAATTGGCGCACTCCCACAAGCGCTCGATACCCCGCCAGCGCGCTGAAGAGTAGTGGACTTCGTCCCACTAGCAGCTTGAAGAGTGCTGGTTTGAAGAGCAGCGGGCTTGACAGCGCCGCCTTGCCGTCCCCACGAGAAGAGGACTTTGATCCGGAAATGCTTAACGACATTCCAAATTGGCTGAGGAGCCTCAGGCTTCACAAATACACAAGCTGTTTTGATGGTTTAACGTGGCAAGAGCTAGTTGTTCTTGATGACGTCTCCCTCGAAGCCAAGGGCGTTGCCGCTCTAGGAGCCAGAAGGAGGCTCTTGCGCACCTTTGAACACGTTCGAAAGACGATGGGTATGGAAGAACCCAACAGCGCAACACCGACTACCAGCGCCATGCCGACCAAACTTCCCTCCGAGTACGGACGCATGCCTCAAAGTGCTGCTCCCCGGTCTAAGTTGTCAATCAATTCACCGGTATTCACCCCAACCTGGGATTCTAAAGTCCCTCACAGTGCTGCTCCGAATTTTTCGAGCTCTCCACTCGTTGAAGCTACCCTCCCTGCTGATTCGGCCACGCCTACTGATTCGGCCACTCCTGCTGATTCGGCCACTCCTACTGATTCAACCGATGTTGCAGTTTGAAGTTGGTAATTTTGTCCTTCCTTCAGTAGCGGAGCGTCTCGATGGAGTCACATGCGAGATATAAAGTTTTCTTCCTTTCTTACATTCTCTTATATTCTGTGTATGAACGGGGTTTGGGATCCTGGCACGATACTAAATGATATACCTCTTGATGAGAAAGAATGAACGTTGTGAAGAATTGGCGAAGAACACAAGTCCACACAATATACAAGAATCAATTCCGGAAGTTGTGATTCGTTTCACTCTCGGTCGCCACAATTGAAATTTCAGCAATGCATATATAATTTAAGGCGGCTAAGCATGATTACCGCGGGGTACTTCTACTCCATACAATTAGAGTCTAGACACCCTGACAAAGTTCAAAGGTCTGGACGCTTGTTGTAAACATCGAATTTGGGCTCCGTTCCAGCGAGCTGTAATAATCGAGCAACTCTCTCCGCTCCCTCGAAAACACGCAATAGGTTCGCTCCTGTGAGGCCAGCAAGAGCGAACTTGTTCCACCCACGCCTATACAGCTCGGCGATCTGATCATTAAAAAATTTCAGCACACAGTGCTGTTTTCTTTTCTCGAGAGTTACTTACTAAAGCAGGATACTTGGACACATCCTCTAAGCCAATAGGAACATCTTCAATGCCATCAAAATCACTCCCTAATCCAACGCTGAGAATAAAGGAATTATCAATCTTGATCGAGGAAGGAGGAAAAGAAGTACTGACTGTGCTATTCCAGCGATTTTCGCGATATGCTCTACATGGTCAGCAACCGCAGCGACAGTTGCCTCTCCAGGATTTGCAACAAAGAAGGGAGCAAAATTTACCTAGCATATCAAATGAGCCTGAGTTACTACCTCAAAAGGGGTGCTTACCATGACGACACCATCCTTCTGGCCTTCACCAGTTCCAATAAGTCTCAGCACCTCGTCAGGAATATTTCGAGGAACATCGTGTACCGCACGCGCAGAAGAGTGGGACCAGATGACTGGGGCTTTAGAATGTCGCAGAGCTTGTGTGGCTGTTGCATCGGAAGTGTGTGAAAGGTCAACAAGTACACCCAAACGGTTCATTTCCTCAATCAGAGACTTCCCCAGAGCACTAGAAAAATATGAGATTGTAGCATATACGATATAAAAACATACCTCAGGCCGCCGTGAAGAGGAATGATCCCTGGTAGATAGCCACACGAGTCCGCAAATGCATTATGGCAGGTGTGTGTCAGAGTCACGTAGCGAACTCCTAGGGCATGATATTGGCGTAGAACAGCGATGGAATTTCCCAGTTGATGACCACTAAGACGGTCGTCATTCCAGGAAGGAAAAAGGCTGGCGCCGAAACTTCAAAAGCGCACCCTTCAACTCCCAAAAGACTTGCAATTTTCCTGCTGTTTATTGCTTCTTTGATATCATCGGATGTTAAAGCCAAACGGAAGGTCTGCGTCACGTCAAAGTATCAGAGGACAACGTAAGAGATGAGATACGAATGATTACCTTTGGATATTTTTCAATCAAGAGCTTGGAGACATCAATTTGTTCAAGGGTATCTCTAATAATAGAGCCTTAATTGGGGCATGTAACTTCGTCAGAGACTTCAAGTAGACGAACCGAACGCGCCAGCTAGCATCAAGGAAGTCCCGGTCTACTCCATCAGGCTCTGGGCAAGCAACGTATGTAGACCTAGGGAAAATGAGGAAGAGAGGACAGAAGCGGTGTGTTGGCTTGCCAGAAGAACCCTCCCACTTTCCCTTTTCTTAACCTTGGAACGTCGACATGCCCGGGCATGTGGGTAGCCAGATCGACGGCAGTTACATTGTTGGCGTATTGTGATCGCACGAGATATGGTAAATCTATGAGAAGGGATTGGAACGTCATAAACGCACTGAGCGTGGCAACTCACCAATATGACCGTCCTGGATGATTTATTTATTAGATAGAGGTGAACACTATATGTGCAACGACGCACGATAACGGGGGCATCACGAAGGATTATCTGAGCTGCAAGTAGTGGGTCTTTGGGCAGAAAGCCGAGCCAAGGCCGCACAACATCACCAAACTCGTTGTTGAATCCGAGCACAAGAAATAGGGCAATCAAGAAAGTCAAAGTTAGAGAACCCCATACCACCCCGCGAGATTTGGGATTTGGTGCCCGGAGTTTCTGCTGATGTTCTTCGTCAAGGGGGTCCTGTAAGAGTGGAGTTGCCTCAGTGGATGCATGGCGACCACGGGAGGACATGGTGGGTGAGAACAGGCGCTGCGCGACGCCGAGGAAGAACCCGTTGGTAATAGTACGAAGTTGTGAATATAGTTAGTTGAGGATGGGTCATTTAATCTTATTGCCTATGCATGTCTGTCAGGGTGACAGTGTTTGTCGCGGTAGCGGCATGCCTTCGCCATAAGCCATTGATTTGTATGAGTTCGAAGTGGAAACAACATAACATATGCAGAGATAGTACAACATACACCGTTCAAGCCACCGGGTAATGCTTATATTATATATAAATGATGTGGATGAGGATATGTAATAGAATACGGCCCAAAGAGTTCAAACAACATCTCTACTTTTGAATGACGGCGCATGAAAGCACAACCAATCATCAGCGAGGTCAGATATCTATGCCTTCACTTTTCCGATGACGGAGTCGGGTGCATATCGAGGAATGACCTTGGGGTCATGTAGCATGTTGAACTCTTCCGTGGCATCGCGGCCGGCATACAGCAGAATAGCCTTCTCACCTCCAGGGTGGTCAGGAAGGAACTAGAGTTTCAATACAAGTCAGCCTCGATAGTAAATAGGTCGTAAAATCAAAAGACTCACGCTGGTGACATCCAAGACTTGCCCGTCGACGACGACCCAGACATCGTCCTTTTTGTTGTGCTTCGCAACTTCGGCAAGAGTGTACTGACCAGAAGCGGAAGGTGCGGCTGGTGCAGCCGGCGCAGCTGATGTGGTCGAAGGGGATGGTGATGAAGGTGATGAAGTAGACGATAGCTGACCGGCCAAGGCACTCAAGCGGCCTCCAGCTTTCTGAATGGCAGCACTAGTGGTTTGTAGTTGATAGGCCGCTGCAGAGTCAGCGGAGACCCGGCCAAAGACGACGCAACCAAGAAGCGATGAACCACCAAGGCGATTAGCACCGTGCACACCACCAGCTACTTCACCGGCAGCAAAAAGGCCAGGAATCGGTTTGCCCGATTTGTCGAGGACGCGCGACTCTTGGTCGATCTCCAGACCACCCATTGTGTAGTGAAGCACAGGCGTCATGATGGCGACATTAAAGAAGTCATCGAATTTCCATTCACCTTGGAAAAACTGTCGAAAATACGTGAGATATGCTCAGTGAAGCCTATTTTGAGACTTACCTTCTTGCCGAAAGGATCTTTCTTTGTGCGAACACTTTGGTTGTAGTCGTCGAAGGTCTTTCTGAGGACATCGGCGGGGAGCCCGAACTCCTTGGCGAGGGCATCACCACTCTCAAACCGCTTCATTAATCCACGACCGACATAGTGCTTGCAATGCCATTCAATTTCTTTAGAAGCATTTCCGTTGAGAACAAGACGAATGGGGTACTACGACCGCAGTGTGTTAGTACGCAACGATGTAGTGGTGTAAAAGATATCCACCTTCTTGTTTTCCCATATCTTCCCAGTAACATAGTCACGATGTTGCAGCTCGTCGACGAATCTTTTGCCTGTGTTGTCCAGCAGGAGACCACCAACGCCTCTCAGTGCCTCCGCTGCCAAAAACTTCACCTTGGCGTCGGGCTCTTTGGGGTCGACCAAGCCAGTGGGATGAACCTGAACTTTCTCAAGATCGACGGCACTGGCACCAGCAGCGATAGCAAGCTTCTGCCCGTCGCCAGTACAATGCTCGCCGTTGGTAGTCGGAAGATCCCAGTATTCGGGGCGGTACTTCTTGAGAAGAGAATCCTCAGTAAAGTCGGCGGCGTAACCACCAGTTGCGAGGATGACGGGGCCGTAGGCAATCTCGGTCTTTCCACCGTGAGTGTACTCAACACCAGAAACGGCACCATTATCATCCTTAACGAGCTTCGTAACGCGGGCTTTCTTGATGATCCTGACGCGCTCAGGGATGCTGACGGATAAATCTTCGAGACGTTCCAATTGGGCATAAGTCATGACCTGCAATACAGATGAATACTGGAATACAGATGGTTACCAACTATTACATACCATTCCGGGGAACTGGGCATCACCACGATGAGTACGAGGCTGGCTGTGGCCACCGAGACGCGACACTTTCGAAAGGTCGAGATTGAATTTGTCTTGAAGCCAGTTGACTGCGTCACCAGAGCGACCAGTTAGCACGCGAATCAAATCGTCACGGGCGAGGTCCCGAGCCTAAAGAGATAGTATAAGCATTATAGAATCGAAGTGAAGTCTACACATACAGATTTCTTGGTGTCCTCGAAGAAGATCTGGGCGGTATCTGGGATGTTGAGGTTGCGCTGGGAGTCTGTTCCAGCACCGTTGATACCAGAGGTGGCTTTAGTAGAATTTCCACCCATAAAACTGTAGTTGTGGGGTTATGAGAAGAATGGGAAAACGAGCGTACTACACACCCTTGTTTGTCAAGAAGCAAGACATTGGCACCACGCTCAAGAAGAGTATGTGCAGCTGAGAGACCGGCGAGACCGCCTCCAACGACGATAACTTGGGACATTTTGCAAAAAAAAAAGTGGAGGGTGTAGGTGAGAGATCGGGAGTGCAGGATTGGAGGAACGGGTCATGCTCTTATATGGGACGGCTCTTCCGCTATCTATTTGTCATGTGAAATGGCCGTCACGCGTTATCCATGTCACGCTACGGATGATCCACTACCCGGCATAATCCACTCCTTTACACCACCACCAAATGTTAGTCATGTCGGCATCAAATTCAAGTTCTACTCGAGAGCGTAGCTGGGTTATGCGTAGACTTGCTAAAATGATAATCACAGAGGCAGCAAGACGATGTTCTGGTACATGTTGCCCCTAAGTATGTCGATCCCCCAAAGGAACCCGGTCCGAGTTTTGATCGTTCGCCAGAATGAATTACTCGTCGACTTGAAAACCGACCCCAGAAATGACTGGGTGGGGTAAAACAGCTTCCTCGTTTTCCTTTCGACTTGAACACCCATAACGTATTGCTTACAATCACAAGAGTGTCGACAGTATGTACCGCATTCTTAATACTTGTTTGAGACCATAAAGTTATCGCTCACTTTTTCAATTAACGATGGAACCATATACTCTAGAGGTCTAGGCTGATCTAGGCTACAAAGACCCACATATGTTCTTGATATTCACCTGCATACGGACCCCAGAGGCAGATGATTTTCTGGCGTCGATGTATAGCGCTAACGACAATCCGCATAGACCGGATTGCTCGTTGAGGATAGTGCGACGAAAGAGATAAACCCCTGTTTGCGATCTATCGTAATCCAAAAAAATCTAAGTGTCATAATAATCCTTTATAGTATAAAAAAAACGTCTAGCTCTTCCCCGCAGCCTCTTTCAATTTTTGACAACAACGATCAAAAGCCTCCCCAATATCCATCTTGAGGGTCTCCAATACCAAAAGCTCTTCCACTTTTGACACCGGTTTACCGTTTTCCACGTCCCCGGTCTCAAATACATCCTTGTGCGCCTCAAGATAGGCTGGGTATACAATTTCTTCCCAGTAATGCGGTGGATCACGCCACAAAGTTCCTTCTGGATCGGATTGCACTCCAAATTGCGGTCCACGAGGACAAAGGATAGCGAGCGAAAAATTTGCGTTCGTCAGTGCCATGGCAGGATTTGAGTTAAGAGATAGACGGTAGATAGTGGAAAATAATCAGGGTTGCGAACTGGAGCGGCTAAACGCCAGGCAAAGAGAGGCTGCATCTCACCTGCGGTGTGGTAACCATGTCTCTCGTGTCGTCTTTGCTTCAAGGTATCGTGGGGAACTCTGAGGAATATGCGCACGTCCAGTTGCTGAATGACCTCCTAAGACGCAAGATAATTATGTCAAGCAATGAAAAGGCAAACTGGCCTTACCGGATGCCAGTACAAAAGAAAGCCGTCAACCAATCCCCAGACAATCTGCTCTAAGCCTGCTGCCTCCCTTTGCTGCTTCAACTCCGCGAATTCATGAATCCATTTTGCCTTGACGTCGCCGTCCAGCTTTAGTTGCTTTTGTTCGTTCAAGTGATCATGACTCCGGTGGTCAGGTGGAATTTTCCCCGTGGACTTTACGTCTCGTAAAAAGTCAATTAAACGAGGCCAGGAAATTGCGCCAGGTGCGGCGTCCCAGTCCTGCACTCCATGAATAGGGTGAATTGGCACAAGTTCTTGAGGCTGAGCAGAGTCAGACGAGCATCACCGTAGCTTTTAAAAACGCACAGGAGCAAAATCCTAAGTGGAAAACAAAAAAAAGCCTGCAGATGAGGACAGAGGAGAGACTGAGCAGCGTTGAAGGCGACTTACATCTTGGTGGATGATAACGCTATCTGGTAGGATGTTGTTGATGTGTTTTGCAAGGGTGGTTTTTCCAGAGCATGTAGCACCGCTAGGTTTAATGTTAAATCGAGAAAGGGATGGCGGCAACGAGACACACCCAATGCCAACCAAAATGACCTTCATTGGAGATGAAGAGTAAAATAAATTCAAGATAAGATTAGGGCGCATCACGTGTCACATACTCACGTGTTATTGCGTCACTGACGTCATACAGGTGGAGAGCATTCAACTAGTACAAGACTCCATTATGACTTGAAGACACGCGTTTTGCTCCTGCCCACATCATGTTGCGTTCCCAACTTCTCCGTCTCACAGCACGACCCATCATCTATCTTCCAAAGGTATGGTTGGTGTCGCCCAATGGTATCGTACATGATAACACCTGATCACACGCGCACATATTCAGCCAACACGGCAATATGCGACTGCACCAGGACCCCTTCCAGGACAGGCGGAGCTGAAACAAAAAGCAAAAGGGTCGGATAACACTCTAGTTTATATCGCACTTGGTCTCGCTGCTGCTGGTGGAGCGTATTTCTACTTCAACAATCCTCAGGACACCAACGCGAAGGCTAATAGGGAGCAAATTAAACAAAAGGGTGTGGAAACTACGGAAGCTACTAAATCGAGTGACGATGCATATCGCCAGGCGAAGGTGGGTTTGCATAACAATGAGATGAAATATTCACCCATTACGCACTGCAGGCACAGGGTCAAAGTAAAATAGACTCTGCGCGTTCGAACATTGACGATGTGGCTGGCGATGTTGCAACGCGTGCACAAGGTCTCGAAGAGAATGCGGAAGCAAAATACAGCACTGTCAGGGATTCAACCAAGGAGTCTCTCGCAAAAGCACGAGGTTCTACGGAGAATCTGTACAAAGAAGCTCGAACAGCCACAGGACAGACGGCTGAACGTCTGAGCGCTGAAGCAGGGAAGGAGGAAGAAAAGATAAAACGTGGGTGGTTCTCGTGGCTGGGCGGGGGAAGTTCCAAGGCCGAAAAGGGGAAGGAGAAAAGCGAGTAGAAGGCTGGACTTCCTCTGAACGTCAGATGGAAGATGGATTCTGTCAAGATTCTGTACCCACTTGTACACAGGTTGCATAAGGATGTTTCTGACACACCCAGGACACACCGGTTATGAGAGCCGATGGCCGATGTCCAGGTTCAGGTTCGGAGGATTGGATCCCATTGGATCTGATGAAATTTACAGTGATGAATGTGTCGACAGTTGATGCAATCACAACCAGGCTGCCGCACAGGCAAAGACAGGGGTCAAAAACCAGTTAAACTTTTAATACTAGGCATTGCAGGGCTGGTAGCAGGCCGATATCGGACGAAGGTGGATGTGGAACTCAACTTGTTCAAAGTGGGATTACAATGGAATTAACACGCCTTCTTCTTCCATGCACCTGGGAAAATAACCTTCGCGTACTCTCCGAATGATATCTGACTGGATATGATGGGTGCATCCCCCCTCCTTTCTTCTCCTATTAGTCCGCAGTTCTCCCAGACAGTCTTGATCCGCTCCCCCCTCCATGCAATTTCGTCGCCGCATCGACATTAACTCTGAGGATGACCCCTTGTCAAGAGCCATCGCGCCCCCTCCGAACGAGACACAGGAGGAGAAGGATACTCGCATTGCAGCTGAGGCGGAAGCTCAGAAGCGGTCGGATGCCATTGACGAGGAAATAAACCGCCAACGAACAGCCGAAAAGAAGTCTCCAAAATTTGTCCGAGTGCTCTTGTTGGGTGTGTGGACTCTAATTATATAATCCCTTTCGATTCTTACTGATTTTGCGACATCCAGGCCAGAGTGAATCAGGTAGAGTACTCCTCTATGGTCCGGCCTGTAACGCGACTCACCGGCCAACCTCCTAGGAAAATCGACAACGCTTAAGAGTACGTGGTTTACAAAAACAAAAATTTAATCGCTGTTGAATTCACGTTTCTAGATTTCCAACTAATCAACTCCCCAAAAGTAAGTGGTCAGGCCTCGGTAACCTCAGTTCACTGACTTGGCTGCCGTAGGCCTTCCGCGATGAGCGTGCCTCGTGGAGAGCTGTCGTGCAGCTCAACGTGGTACGCTCCATTCAACTGATACTCAACACAATGGCGGAAGTACAAGGCCAAGGGTCACCGCGGCCCGATAACCTCCATACTCTCACACCGGAACATCTCAAGCTCAGAATGCGGTTGTTACCACTCCACCAGGTGGAAGAAGCGTTACTGAGGAAACTCACACCTCCCGGATCTATTGAATTTGAAGCTACTCACTTGTCATCAGCAGTCACCAATTTTAATTATGCGACACGCTCTGCGCGCACTCGCAAAGAAATCGCTGTGAACTCTACATCACAGTGGAAGGGCGCTTTTAGCCGTGTCGTAGCAAACACTGTCAGAAGTAGCATGGACAGTGGAATGGACATTGATTTCGACGACCCAAATGATCCTGGGATTGTCCTTCATGCTTGCGCGGAAGATATGACTCGTCTGTGGAATGATCCAACGATCAAAGGCATGCTCAAGACTCGTAAAATTCGTCTTGAGGATAAAGCAGGCTTGTTAGTAAATCTCCTACTCGCCGTCCCCAGCGCTGAAACCATATCCAGTTTCCTGGATTCTCTCGACCGGGTCACCTCCCTCAAATATGTGCCATCTGACGGTAAGTCGTCCTGTCTGACTCTCGCAGAAGGCTCATTGATGACAACCATAGATGATATATTACGTGCGAGGCTGAAGACTCTTGGTGTATCCGAACACCGCTTCAAATTCAAAGCCGGTAACGTTACATGTTACAGAGTTTCCATGTACGTCCTCTCACCGTCTTACAGGAAATATGGTTGCACACGATTGGAAGGTTTTTGATGTCGGAGGCGCACGTTCACTAGTGCGTATCATTGCTCATTTCCTCCGTACATCTTTGTATCTAATGTGTGGTACAACAGCGAGGTATGCAGTGCATATATCTCCTTGCCCATGCCCCACAAACTCACAAGTATGCTCTTAGCGGCGTGGGCTCCGTTCTTCGACAATATGGATGCTATAATTTTCTTGGCTCCCATATCAGGTTTTGACGAAGTACGGATTCCAACTTCAGAATGAGACTGCAACTAATGACGTCGTTAGACGCTAGCTGAGGATCCCTCCGTTAATAGATTAGTGCGTCGCATGCCCTAGTTTTTCTGGGGGTGAAGCATTCAACTTGAATTGATAGGAAGACTCCATTTTGCTATGGAAGTCTATTGTATCAAACCCACTACTTCAGAACGCCCAAACCGTTCTGTTTTTGAACAAGTTTGATCTCTTCAGAGGTAGAGCGGTTTTTTTAGCCTTGACCAGACCGCTAACAGCTTCCTAGCCAAGCTTGATTCTGGAATCCAGTTCGGTCAGCACGTTGTGTCATATGGGAACAGACCAAATAAATCTGAAAACGCGTCGAATTGTGAGTTGCCAGTTATGCGGAGTTTTTTTCTTCCCCGACACTTCTATCCATGACTAGATCTGCGGAAAAAGTTCGGTTCGTATCATTCTCTTCATAGCTCTCGAGCTCCCCGTAACATTCATCGCAGCCAACTTGCACAAGCAATATTCTCCTTCACCGCGGGTGTTGTATTGCCATCTTACATCAGCTATTGTACGATCCATATCCTCTTGTCATCTATGTCTCTAATATTTTGCAGGACGGCAAGTCAACTCAGAGTATTCTTGGGAATGGTGGGTCTGCTTCTGTCATTCATAGGGTTTTTTATTCATCTTTTCATTTCAGTTAGGGACATGGTCCTTCGGCAGTATTTGCGAGAAAGCAGTTTAGTCTGAATTCAAGTTGACTTATTTTCTTCTTCCTTTTTAGTTTGTTTTTCAGGCATTGCGGAACCCACCCTTTGCCGTTAATAGGAGTATATCAACTATTTACTTAATGCTTGACACGGTGCTCTCTACTTATACGTGTATACATAAGTAGAGCTTTGGGCTGTACTGTACTTGCCCTCTCATTATTCCTGATTTAAATGTTTAAATGGCCCCACCGCTATCGACTCCTTATATGTTAATACTTAAGACATACTTTCGATAAGGCGGTGCTCTACTACAGCTCTCTTTCTCCACAACCTTCGCTTTAGATCCAACATGTCAGCGCTCAGCTTGACCATTGCCATCCTTGTTGCTGATACAGTTTACGCGAAAGGCGGTGGCGGTCATGCAAGTTCCCATAGCTCCTCGAGTTCAAAGAGCTCTTCGTCGAAAAGCAGTTCTTCAAAAAGCAGCTCCTCGAAGAGTGGTTCTTCCAATAAGACATCTGGAGGATCAGGACACTCGGTGATCATCGTTGGGAGTGGAAGCTATGCCCAATGCCATGATTCTGTAACGTGCGTGGTTGGAGCCTGCAGCTGCCAGCAGACCTTGCTATCCCGCTAACTTGAAAAATCTTGCTCCGTAGTAACCAAATCGTACGATGTCCCGTTAACAGCAGGCAAAATATCATCATTCTTGTTGTTGTTTTCAGCAGTGAGTGGAAATGTTCTTGTGGCATGGACATCTGATGTGCAATGGGCTGCCTTTGCAGTCCTAGGAGCAATCTTCATCGGCATGGCCGCTTGGCTGTGCATCCGACGGAGGCGAAGAAACCAACGTCAACTAGCGAATAAAATCGTCGTCTTACCTTTCGAAGCGAGTTCGAAAAAAGAATATCAACGATTGGAGGACCCCGTGTAAGTTGCCAGCCACGGTACGACACACTCATTGTCGTATCATTCACGCCGTATGGTGGATACATATGTGATCTCCATGCGCATACTTGTAAGATTTTTGGCGTAGTAATTGAGTATTGACTTGGATTGGAATACTTATGTATGTGCTGGTGCAGCATCGATAAATATATATGCTTTGTACTTTGGGTTCTGGCAGGTATTTGTTCATCATGGAACTATCACCACGTTCCTTCCGCCTGCACCACGATGGCCGCTGGCGACCGTGATTTACCTTTCATTCCAATACTTTCGAATATTGCGTCGTCATCAAACTCGCATTCGACTCGCAGTGGCCGATCGCGCCGTCATCCTTCATCCAATGACGATCGCGAAGCCAGGGAAATCAGCCAACTGTTGCTAAAATTTACTGAACAAATCCAGGTGGAAAAGCGACGCGCTGATGAAGCGGAGAGGAAGACCAGAGAAGTCACTGAGCATCTGAGGAGGGTGAATGACGCAAGACTCCGAGCGTTGCAAGAGGCCCAGAAGGCGAATGAGGAACTAAAGTTGTGGTGTAACAACAGTTTTTGGTACTCTAACTGATATGGCTTTTTATACAGGCTGTATAAAACTCAGCTCCTATTGGCGCAGAGGGAAGTAAACCGTGCTCAAGATGTCCTACAGGTTGTGGACAGACAAAGACACCAAGCGGAGAAAGAAGCAGCAAAGACCAGATCGAGATTCCGCCAATTAAATGAGGATATGCTTGTCCATCAGGCGCGAGAGGAAGGTCGACGGATGGGAATTCAAGAGGGCCTAGCAAGAGGAAGGGATCTGGTTTTTCAGGAAAACCGGGCATTGAACTCATTCGCAGAGGATGACAGTCAAGATATAGAAGATATAGACGAAGACTACGATCTGGATTCCATTGACCAAAGCCACTCATCGGTTTCCGACACTGCTGACGACGACGTTGACTTTCAGTCACGTCCGCCCTCTACTTTTGAACATATTCGACCATCCACTCCTCCTCCTCTGCCAATCCCTATGCCACGACAAGAGCCCATTCCAGTTCCACCAAGCATCGTTCGCTCGTCACCTCCTAGGCCCCTGGAAATTGTCCCACCGGTGAGTGTCCGTGGAGTGACTCCATCCCCTCGGCGACCAAACGTGCCCATTCCGCCGGACAACTTTATACCTCATCTCGACCAAGATAACATTCTTCGTATGCCACCCCCGTTTGAATTCCAAAGGGCCGCAACGCCTGAGCGGCCACAGACTCCCTCTGTTACGGGCCGCGATAGCGACGAACCCCTCATGGTCCCAGGCCCTCGCGCAATCAGTTCTCAGAACAGACATTACCCCCGACCATCCTCTCCTGAATCAAACTCGACGACGATTTCACAATTTGAGATGGTGAACGAACCGTTTCTTTCTGCGCTAAGGACGCCCATGAGCGTTATTCCTGAAGTCCAGAGTGATCAATCGAGTCCAACTCCTCAGATGAATGGCCATCGCGATCTTCGCCATCAACACTCATCGGTTGGAAGATCTCATTTTTGCGTCGACGATAAGCGCACTTACAAGCATTTCTAGGGCTCTCATGCCAGCTATCAAGTACATCCTACTGCAAACCTTGCCAACAGAGACCGGTCGAAACGAGGTACGCACAGTCGACGTCCTTCAAACGGAAGTCTTTCTGCCCCCCTGCAAGCAATGCCACCTTCGACCTATCAGCGTCATAAAAGTAGCTCCTCGTCTGGGAGTCTGGCTAGCATAGACATAGCCATCCAACCCCCAGTAAGTACCACCATCTTTGATTTTGACAGCGAAGTATTAAAAAATCTAGTCGCGTCCTCTCTCCCACATATCGCAAGATCGCAATTCATCACGACGGCTTCGCCCTCCGAATTCCCCTGAATTTACAATGGGACCTTCAAGTACTGCCACCGCCACTAACCAGGAAGCCATGCCAGGAGGCTACTCATCGTATGTCAAGTCACAAGAATCTGGCGGTCCGCCACCAGTCATTCCTGACCCAAAATTATATGGACCTGACACTGATGACGACGCTGTATCGTCTGCGCAGAGCTATGACACACTGACAACGCCACCACCCTCTAATGGGCGGAATGAATCCGCGTGGAATGCTGGTTTGGCCTTATCCGGACAAGTCCCTCTGTTTTCTTCGTCTGTCACAAGTAAGGGTGCTCCAGTGGGGAAGACTCGAAAGTCGCGAACATAGCTATACCGCTGTAGTATCCACATCTAGACATAATACCATAATCTGCACAGTACCATAACCTACACAGGAGTTTGACTGGCGGCTTCTCGATCTAACATGTGTGTCTAATGACAACCGCACGTTGGACTGCACAACTCGGTAGGTATTTGACTCGGGTCCATGTGTATAAATGATATCTAGACCAATGTCGTCCAGTATGTATATATATTGTAAAACCCGACAAATTGGGGAGGCGGAATTCACCTTGAACCTCAATTGTCTCCCTACTTCCGACCAGATTCACGCGAGCGATCCCCCCTCTCTCCGTCACCATACCCTCCTCGATTTCGCTCCTTGCTGCGACCATACTCGTATTCGTATGTCCGTTCTCGAGGACTGGAATCCCCGCGTCGGTTATCCCTCCTTTTATATCCAGGATCACTGCCATCCCTGGTGTCACGCTCCCTGGACCGGCGCGGGGACCTGGAGCCTCGACGGGAGACAGGTGCAGATCCCCGTCTCGGCGAGAGTGATCGTTCTCGTCGACGACCTTCCGACGTGGAACCGGAATTATCATTGCGTTCCTTCTTAATTATAGGAACGTAACGACGTTCTGGTCGTGTGTTCTTGCTGGCTTTTCGTTTGCTTCCGTCATCATATACCTCCTGTTCCTTTGCGCCAATGCCCAACAATGCTGGTCGTGCAGTGGGGAGATATGGTTCCACCATGCCCTTGCCGGGCTTTCTGGATGCTGCAGTACCCTCCTTCCAGCCCATACCTCGCAATAGAGCAGCTCCGAACTGCGATACGGGAACGCGGGCGTAGTCATCAGGCGTAGCAACGTCAGGAAGCTCGTCCACATCTTGCTTCAAAGCATCGGTTTCGGAGATGGGTGTGGGGATGATGTCGACGACAGGGCCGTCATGCTCAACCCCGTTTGTTTCCGCCAAAATTGCGCGCAAAGCTTTCTGGTCCTCTGTTTCTTCATCCTCCATCTTGACGTCTGTTGTTTCCAGATCCTCTGTCATTTCATGATCTAGATGCTCATCACTGCCACGGCCCTCTCGTTTCTTCACTTGTAAACCAGAAAGAACCGGTCCCGAGTTTATGGAGTCTCTCGTTCCTAATCCACCGACACTTCCATCCTTTCCAGTCTCTGCTTTTGCAGAGGCGGGCACGTACTGACCAGCACTTCGTCGCTTAAGAGCCAAGGCACGCCAATCTTTGTTCTTTAGTGCTGGGATAACCAAAGGTTCTTGCTTAAATTTTCTCTCTCCGGTAAGACTATAGAAGAAAATATAGTGGTCGACCTTTTGTGAGTTGAACAAACCGTGGATAAGGCGGCATAAAAGAACACACCGCTGAACACCAAACTTATCGAAACCCGTCACAAGCTCATCCTGTACAACGGCATCCTCATCCTCGCTCGAATCGTCGCCGGCTGGATAAGAATGTTGCACCTGAGTCGGTTTTGGAGATGAGGTAGTGCTGCGAGCGAGGGGGCTACCTTGCGGAGTAGAAGAGAGATGCCGGGGTAGAGAAGGAAGTTTAAAGGAAGGGGTTGTGTCGGAGTCGTTGCCTGGCGATGCTGCCCTCGATACTGGAGTTGGCCTGCGAATAGTAAAGGATACTTTTTGTTCTGCCATGGACGTTGTATGCAAAGCCGGTGACTCGAGATTATGTAAGGGCCACTCTCAATGTCTTCTACCTTCAACATCCTCCGACGGTGCACAAGAGGACAATGGACAGGAATCAGACAATCCAAAGGACTATACCGACATATATCGTTTACACATCATCGACAAGCAGCCCTTGCTTCAAAACTCCCAGCAAAACCAACCGTCGTCCTCAAAGCTCCTTCTCTAGAGTATCTCAAGTCGGAAGAGATTGATGTCGAGCTTATCCCCAAGGACCACGTAAACCTTGAAATCACCGATCGTGCAGCAGAAGTATGTAGTTTCACTTTACTCCATCGCCTTTATTCATGAGAGAGCGCCAGCAATTAATGTCAATAGCAACTCGGGAGAAAAATCCCGACGCTGCTCTTCGAGTCTCTGTAGAATCGGGCGGATGTCATGGCTACCAATACAAGATGGATTTAGCGAAAGAGCGCTTACCCGATGACTAGTACGCTGCCTTTGCCCTCGTTGGAACACAATCAATCCTGATGAATGATGTTGGACCCAGCCATTTCACACATCCGACCATCAAACCGTCCAACGTATTCGTCGATGCTATCTCATTCTCTCTTCTTAACGGTTCCACTATAGACTTTGCAACGGAGCTAATCGGGAGCAGCTTTCGGGTCAACGACAATCCCCGCTCAAAGGGGACAGGTTGTGGTTGTGGTGTGAGTTGGGAGTTGAAGGATTAAAAAGGTTTATAGAAGGTCAGGAATATATTTCCGGCTCTTTATAAAGAGTAAATTATAACCATTTTAGAGGGACGATGTGTGCTAGATGCTCCCAACTGTTGCTACAATGTCAATATATTGTCCTCCCCAGTAATCGGATCGAACGGAGCAAATATCCACCTTCTGTATGAGAAAGAATGTGTGAAATTTTCTTTAATTCTTGACAATAGATAAACTGACGATGGGTGTGCTTTCACAAGCTCTGGAAGTGCTGCCAATCCTTCCGCCGGTATCGTTGGCCAATACTTTGAACTCTTCTTGTCATGGTGCGACATACAGAAGCTAGAAGAAAGGCATTTTTCGCACCAGTGGTGAAGATGCAAACTAGGTGACTCACGGTAACAAGATGGATATGTCGCTTTGTGCTGCCAGCCAGAGCACGTTTCCTAGGGCGCATCCTTGTCAACAAGTCTGCATACGGAATAAGGCGTTCGCTAACCTTCAATCATTGCCCGCATCTGAGCTTCGGAGTAGGCTCCAATTAAATATTCCCCTTGGATGCTTTCTACCTGTCCACTGGGTGAGAAGAATGGTTCCCTGTTTTGTGAGCTGGATGTTACCTGTTTCCGCATTCCTGTTACGATCGGTTCTTCGATATTCTGCAGGAAATCTACAAGCTCGGACGGAGTATATGAGCTGGGACACTAGAATCGCACTTGTCTTAGCTTTTGGAATCACGACGAAGTGTTCATTCAAACCTTATTCCAGCTGTGGATCATCTCATCCAAAGACGAGATTTGAAGTGCGATCGTGCTAGGAAGGGTACAATCTTCTCCGAGAATGTCTGTCAAACTCTGCCCATCAGAGTTGGGCGTTGTAAAAAAAACGTCGTCTCCTAGCCATTTCGTTCAGCTCCAGTTGTGAAGATCAGAAAATTGACGGGCTTGCCTCGGAGGTGTAGCTTTATCATTTCACAGACCATCTGGGCATATTCCATGAATTCCCGGAAATTGGGATGTTCGCCATCATTTATCGTCGATGCTGCGAGATAGATATCGTTCAGGCCACGAATTAAGGCATTCTATAGAATTCTCCATTCATGCGAAGTCGAGGAGTGACATGAGGAGGGCCCACCTTCATAAAGGTATTCTGATAACGAAGAGCAACTCTAGGGCTGAAGGGAAGAAAGTTGCTGTCAACTGCGTTGTGAAAATATTCAGTATCAACTCACTCCAGACTGGCAAGGTCATCCGAAATTATGGGGAGGAGGGGGAACATGACTTTCGAGTAAGTTGAGGGGGAAACTTCGAGGGACAGAAAGCGTTGAATATAAAGGATGGTATGGCCACGCTTCTTTGTGCGGTGACCCACCTATTGATATATGGGTGGCTGGAGTGGCCACATTGCACTCTTTGTTATAACGGTTGTGGGCCACATTCTTTGCTTCAGGGTCCAAAGAGACAGCTGTGTTGGTCAGATCAGGCCAATTATGTCGGCAGCTCAATGCTGGAGTTTGGAAAGCAGACAAGGTGGTTAGAGACGGGAATAACTTGGTAATAACCATTTACTACAGGTGAATCAAAAAAGTAATTGTAAGGAATCAAACCAACTGATGAACGTACAAATAAGTATGGATGATTTCCCTAGTCCATGGAAATCCGTGAAAAGTTGGTAGCGAGTAAGGGGCGAAGTTCAGCATAGGAGAAATCGCGCGACCTCAGCAAACAACACAACAATTCCAACTCTTTCTGACCTCCTTCTCTTGAACCGGAAACTTTCCGCTGCTCCTTCTCCGATGGTGCTTACTTGAATCCAAAGTTGGATTGTGGTTGTCTACGCCGTCCCTCATCAGCATGCTCGCCCTTGTCGCGGTTTCGAAAACATCGTCAACTCCTTCGATTTTCAACGCTGAACACTCTTTATAAGCACGCGCCCCAATGGCTTGTGCCACTCGTTCTCCTTGCTCTCGTGTAACCCAAGGGGAAGGGTTGTCTGGGGAATCAGGATGGAAGGTATTTGGGCGGAGATCGGCTTTGCAACCGACAAGTATGACGGGAATGGTAGGACCACATATATCTCGCACTTCGTCGATCCACTATTAAAATGAGTGCGAGATAACAAAACGATTGGGAGTGTGGATACCTTTGTTGTAACGTTTTCTAGAGAGTCTGGTGTATCGAGGGCAAAAGCAATTAGAATGACGTGAGATTTTGAATAGGACATGGGTCGAAGGCGCTGAAGATAGCTCCGTCATGAACTTGCAAGGGGCTGCAGAAATAAAAATACCTCGTACGATTCCTGGCCACTAAGAAGACCAGTGGATTATGAGTTAGGTATAGCTCTTACGAAAGGCTGGAACGTACGCTGTATCCCACAACGCCAGCTGAACGGGCTTTTCGTCTAAGCGGATTTCAGCAACATAATTGTCGAAAACGGCTAGATTGAATGATCAAATTTCAGATTCAGGAGAACGGTAAATTTCGCGAACTTGGTTGCTAGAGTGAGAGAAAATGAGAAAAGGACAGTAATAGTCTAATGGAACGTACGTATTCTTTCGGAAATTCTCCCAAAGCAAAAGAGCATAACAGCGACGTTTTCCCACAAGCACCTGTAGTATACGAAGGATTGAGTGGGTCAGGCGGGCAATGACAGGGTGATAACATACCGTCGCCAACGATGACGAGCTTCCTTCGAATCTGCAAGAAAGAGGGGTAACGAGGTGAGGAATAAAGGGATTCAACCGGGACGCACAGGATTCTGTGAAGCCATCTCGAGGTCGTTGCGGAGGTCGGTGCTCGAAGTCGTTACGGTCGTTGAGGTCGTCAAGCGCTCACAGCCTCGGCGACTGCTGTCCTCCGTTTAAACATTACTGACGTCACACAGCCACGCCCACGTGACTGTAACTTTTTTTTCCCTTCTCCCTCCAGCCCAGAACTATGTCATTGTCAAAAGTAACGTCAAGACAGTTTTCGGCGACGTCAAAGCAGGCTTTGGCAGCGTCAAGACGGGTAACGCTGCAAGCCCTTGTCTCGTCACAATCCCCTCGCTCCATCAGACTCGTCCACTCTGCTCCCCCTCCTCAGCCAAAATCATGGCTTACTCGCAAGGTTCAATCGTCTCCCACCGCCAAGAATGTCTTTCTTGCTGTCACCAACGTCCTCGGATACGGTAGTCCGAAGCAGCTTGCCGGTCGACGCTCATTCGCGATATACGAACAGCTATGTGCAAGAGCTGACGAGGATCACATCTTTTGGCAACAAGGTGCTTCCCATCCCCTCTTTACCTTATTGCTATATTTATTCAAGGTTTAGCATGTCACCTGCCCCCGACTTTTCAATCCTGGTTTACAATTACCAACTTCCATGTCTGGCTACTTACCGTCCGATTCCGTGCTCTGCCGAGCCCTCATGGCAAAGCCTATATCCAAGGTCTTATCGACCATTTTTTCTTAGACGTGGAGGACCGCATTCGAGCGGTGTTACAACCTAGCGCAAATCCCCCTGAACCGTACACTTTCAGGTCTGCCTTCTACAGCAGTCCAAGCGCACCCTCATCATCTTCATCAAAAGAGGCAAAATCTATTGTGCTCAACCGCGCGCCGGACCGTTTAGTATCGCAGCAAATGAAGATTTTCAAGGAACAATGGGCTGGGATGGGCCTTTCCTTCGACTTGGGGCTTGTCAAGGGAGATATGGAATTGGCTGCAGCTGTGTGGAGGAATCTCCTTGGTGCCCGGGGAGCCCGAGGGATCGCTCTTGAACCGACCGCACTTGGAGGTCAGTTCCGGAGGTCCGTCAATCTGGTTGGGGGAGAGGTCGTTAATGTTGCCAAAATCGACATTGAAAAAGAAGAAGTCAAGGACGATGGATCAGGTGTCTTCGACTTTCCTCCCCAAGATTCAGACAAGTATGTCGCTTTTCCGGAGGTAATGCTTGACCTCGTCGCATATATGAGGAGGGAGCTAGTCAGACTTGAAAGCTTGAGCGACGACGAGATTATAAACGGAGATATCAGTATCCTGAAGTTCCAGAAGATCAAAAAGCAAACCCTTCCCTAACGCTCCTTCTCATTGGTTTTCTCCGTAATCCCCTCACCGCCTCATGCCGTCGGTCATTTTCCAAGCCTAAGCCAAGTGGAATGGCCGCCTGGACGATTTTTTATTGCGCACAGTCATCTACTATCGTCTCGGTTGTATCAACAACTTTAAAAAACTATCTATCTGTTTGAAATTCAATGACGCTTTCTTTTCAATGTATTTGCAGCCTTTTGTGCACACAGAGGTCCTTGTTCGATCATAGTGTGTTCCGCGGTGTCCATTTCGATACCAAGATCCTCCGCAAGATCTATCGCGTCTTGGGGTGGCAGGGCGTCCGTAGCAAGATTCCAGAGCCTGAAGATCGGGTGTCGGTCGCTCATTTGTTAAAACTATGATCGGTGGTTCGGTGCAAGAATATTTTTCAACACGCACATTTTGAAAACTTTTTTTCGCCATATCCACTCAGCTCTCCACTTTGTCCAGTCGGCACTTACTTTCTCGATTTCTTCAGGGGAGATAAGGGGTGCACCAGAACGAAGGGGTTGAAGACGAATTGCAGCTTTCGAAATCTAAATTCATGTGGTCAGCACAGATGTAACGCCGCCAGCGGACGTTACAACAGCGGACTCGAGCTCCGCTATCTGGGTCTTCAATTCGGCGTCAGTGGGACTTGTCTTCAGCTTTGCCAATGCTTTCCGCCAACAAAAGTCTTTAAATCTTCGCACTCTCGTACGATCTGAGGTACTCACCTGCAGTAGCAGCCTTGACTTCAGCTGCGAGGGCCTTAATTTCGTCGTTGGTTGAATTCAGTTCAGCCTCAAGAACGGCAATTTGCGCAGGTGGCATGGATTCCATGTTGGCCTGATTTACGACGAAAAACATAGTTTTTCCTTACATTGCCTTGTTAATTGCGCGCATATATGCTCCGCAAGAGTGGGCTGACCACATGTCTTTTGCACTAGTTCACCTTTCTCAGCCAAGGCGACAAGAATTTTTTGGGTCGCTGATTTTGGGACAACACCCTTCAAATTTGCAGACACGTCCACAGCACCATACGGGCGATTCATCTATGATGATTTAGCAAATTTCCTCGGATAATTGAATTCAACCTACGCGCTTAAGGTACTCTAGGATTTTGTCCTCGGCTGTTGAAACGTTGAATCATGAATGATAATTCAAAATGCTGCCCAAATCTTTCACCTTCCTGCCCTTTCAAAACAACTAACTTGGATTCTGGTTTCGACTTTGATGCCATGGATATTCAGTTCCTTGTCGTGGCTGGATGTATCGCACGCGATTTCGGCCAAGTTTACTCTTGGGAGTCACGTGTTTGGTAGCAGCTTGATCCGGATGTGAAAGTAAATTTGAATCTACGTACCCTGTTCTTCTGAACACAACACTTCCTTCCCCCGCATTGTGCCCGCCTTTTTAGCCCATTTCGCCCACCTGCATGATCTCTGGGCGTTGCGAATGAGTACAGGTGCTGCTTCAGCGTCCTCAGACAAGCAATCTCTGCACTATATCATCCGTTCTGGTCTCGCGGGTGGGGTGGCTGGATGCGTTGTGAGTTTCAATTGACCAGCTGGACCCCGTTCAACCCTGATGACCTTTGACCAGGCAAAGACTGTGGTCGCGCCGCTTGACAGGGTTAAGATTCTGTTCCAAGCTTCAAATCCTGAGTTTCAGAAATATGCCGGTAATGATCATCTTATTCCCGAAGGCCGGCTGTCGCTCACGAATGTGTAGGGAGCTGGAGTGGTGCTTTTCGTGCCGGGACGGAGATTTTTCACCAAGGTGGATTCCGTGGACTGTTCCAAGGTCATTCGGCAACGCTTCTGCGTGTGTTTCCATACGCCGCTATCAAATTTATGGCTTACGACCAAGTCCATTATGTTTGTCCGACGCCCAATATCGCATCATTTACATTCTGACTTTTCTTGCCTTTGTAGTATCTAATGCCCACGAGACAACAAGAAACCAATGTTAGGCGTTTTGTTGCTGGCGCCCTTTCGGGTATATATCATCTTCTCTGTGTGAGCAAGCTTTACTGACGTTCGAGACCCCAGGCACTATCTCTGTATTTTTCACTTACCCTCTTGAAGTTATCCGGGTAAGGATGGCCTTTCAGACAAAATCACCTGGCGAGCTCTCCCGTCCGTCCTTCTTAGGTGCGGCGCGCCACATCTTCCAGGAAGGAACTATGCAACCGCTTTCCCAGGCCTTCCCAACAGAGACCGCCCCAAAAGGCATATTCAGTCGATTTCCAGCTCTCAAGTTCTATCGTGGTTTTACTGTTACCATCATGGGGATGATACCATATGCCGGGGTCTCATTCCTAAGCTGGGGATTCTTGAGGTCCCGTCTTCTCCCTCCCTCCCAGGTGGGGCACACGCCACCGACCCCCGCTGCAGATCTTGCAATTGGAGCACTCTCGGGGGCCATTGCTCAAACAGCATCATACCCATTCGAGGTTGTACGCAGGAGAATGCAGGTGGGTGGGATTACTCACCCTGACCGTTGGCTTGGGTGGGGGGAAACACTTAGAGGGATTTACCATTCGAGAGGATGGAAAGGATTTTATGTCGGGCTAAGCATAGGTTACCTTAAAGTTATCCCTATGACCGCTGTCAGCTTTACAGTATGGCAAGGGGGTAAACGGTTGCTGAATGTATGATGGTTATAATAAGCACATGATTTGAGCACATGATTTGAGCACATGACCTTAGCACCCTCTCTCATGAACCATCGCCAGAGTGCAGTCGAGTAGAAGACCTATGCCCGTTCCCCTGCGGACAACTCACCACAAGGCCGAGGTAAAATATAATGTTACCACAGAGTGTACGTAGCTGTCTGCTCGTCTTCCATCTCGTCGTCCTCCTCATCTAATTCTTATTGTTTCAGTCCCCAGTCTCGGCTTGCACTCTGCTGCTGCTACCGGGAACCTCGGCCTTGTAGAATACGCTTTGGACCATGGCCAACCAATCAACTCTGTTCTTGACGGCGTTTTGCCATTGCATGCAGCTTGTGCTGGAGGGAATGTTCAGGTGGTTAGATTGCTCATCGATCATGGCGCCGACGTTAACGCTCCACGGTTCGTTCTTCTTCCTCTATCATTTTTACCCCACCAACCCTCTTTTCCCTCAAGACTGCCTCGCCGTTACTCGAACGACAAAAACAGGGATGCTTCCGCTCCCATTGTCGGCACTTCGGGTTCTACCCCGCTTCATTTTGCTGCTGCCAACGGGAACACTGAGGTTGTTACCGTCCTTCTTCTGCACGGGGCACATGCGGATCGTCCGGATAAGCACGGGGTCACACCGGAGATTCTTGCCCGGCAGAACGGTTGGGTAGAGTGTGCCCAAGTGCTCAAGGATTGGATCCTCAACAAAGATCGTGACCTTCGCGAACGTGAGGAGCGAACTACCACTGACGCTCAGACCACATCTTCCACGAAACGTGGGCTATCGGGATCACCTTTTCAAGACATTGATACTTCACCTCCACCTTCCCGTCGACGGCTACACGTGAAGCAATCAATCGACACCGCCTTGAACATGCTCAAGTCTTCATCTAGCAGCCATACAGACGGACGGCTGACAGCGCCTCAAGGAACCCCGCCATCATCTCCTCAGAAGCCCCTTGTCGAGTACACCTTTTACCCTGCCGATGACGAGGGACCAGTTCATCCAGGATCACGTCGTCCATCACTCCCTCACATCATGCAGCCGCCTGCCGATGAACCTTCGCCCAACTACAAGCATCCTTCATTGAAAGGTATCTCAGATGAGCGGAGACCGAGGTCGGCTGGCACAGGTGCTGACCGTCTACAGGACCATGATATGATGTATGCACCCTATGGACGAGGCGGTTCAGCTCGGAAGCTGGGCAGCAAGTACTCTTTGTTGAATATTTTCAAGAAAGCTCACCACGGAGATGGTACGGAAAGCCCTCAGCCAGACTCAAATCTTGCTCGAGAGCCCTCCGACTCGGATTTATCCCCACTTTCTGGATCGGCGCTTACTCTTCCTCTTTCGAGCTCCTACAACTCTAGTTCTGCTCAACAATCCAACATTGATCTCCATGACCAATCTTTTGTACAGACAAACACCCCATCTTCTTCCAGCTCTCCATTTTCTCGTGCTGGTTTTCGGTTTCATCGGAGCAGTGATGCATCTTCGAAAGTGCGCACACCTTCGCATCTTCACCAACCTCAATTCCCCCCTCAAACTCAGCCATCACCTTCACCTTCGGCCGGCCTGCAACGTTCCCCTCCACTCGCGACCGAAATTCATGATGTCCTCGTCAACCAACGTCCTCGTTCTCGTTCAGATGCAAGTGTTACTGACCAGAGCGACATAGAAGGCCTCGCGGGTTCAAACTCTAGTCCTTTGTCTCCTCTGCAAACAGGCCGAGTGGATGCGTCGATTACATTAGATGATTCGAAACCACTACCACCGGTGGGCATACTTGATGACGACTCGGCTGATTTTGGAACGAACCCAGATATGGGCAGCGGTAAAACTAGCCCAAGGCCGGGAATATTGCGGTCGCGTAATCACTCCCCATCTGTCGGCCAGGGCACTATCCCCCCCAGAGCTCTTCGGTTCGATTCTACTTCCAGCGGAAGTGCGGACGAGCGCAAAGGAAAGGATAGTGGCACAGAAAGCCCTCGTCGGGGGGAACTTCGATCGAGCAATAGTGCAAGCTCGCTCAGAACGTCGAAGTTGCGGGATCTTGCTCAACAGCATGAAAGAGCAGGCTCTCCTTCACGGGTTTCTTCCCGTGCCGATGGACAAGTCTATAACTCCGTCCACAGCTTGATAGAGGGCGCTCAACAAAACGATTCCACTTACCGCCTTCCAATCCACTGTGAAGACTTTGGACCAATCGTTGATATGGAAGGCAGTGACGATCTAAAACCCCCAACAGCACTCCTCTTGAGGGAACGTGGAACATCATTTACCAATTCATCGCAATCGTCATTGTCACCCATTCTTTCCAATGAGAACCCAACTGAGGAGACTAGGGCAGATTTCCCTTTTAGCATAAACAGGCCAGTGCCACTCGTCCATCAAGAAGACGAAGGGTATCTTGTTCCTCAATCTCATCTGGCAGTCCCTACGTCACAGGATAATCGTTCAAGAGGGGATTCCTTGAGCAGTAACAGTACTGCAGATAGCTCTGTTTACCCCCAGCTCAGCGTAAGCGGCACGACAGCCAGTGGATCCAGTGTCACGATCTCGACGCCTGGGGCAGGTAGCTATTTAGCGCTGCTACCATCATCGAAGGTTGGCCTCGAAGAAGAATACCATGCACGCAATCTTGGTAAAGAATCCTCATTTGTACTAGGCGAGAATCTGTCAGTTGAGTCGAGAGGACTCGAAAGAAGGTCCAACTTGAACGAGAGGCGGTTTCACCACCCCTTGGGTATCGATATTAGCACCATCTCTTCCCACGCCCAAGCTGAGGCTTTGGTGCAGCGGGCTCGACAGGACGTTCTTGATTTAGCAAATGGACAAGAAGACTCGCCAACCACAGCAAGCACAGGCCGTACGCCTTTGAGTGCGAGGCTTGCAGCATATGGAGAAAGTCTTGCTCTCGAGCGCAAGCTGCGGCAGCAGGTGGAAGCACAGGATGATGCGAAGAAGTCTCACACTGGCGACGTGATATCTCCACGTTCACCGTTAACTCCAGACGATAGCTCGCTTACGCCGGTCTCAAATAAGAAAAGTCGAGACGGCGTGGAAAGACAGCTCAGTCTAGAGCACAAGTCGGGGGCATCGAAAATCAGGTTAAGGGCCAGGGACCCTCGGCGACCTTCTACAGCTGAAGGCCGTGAGTTTTTCGTTTATCCGTCACCTCTTTCGTTTCGCTGATATATTCAAAGTATCAAGTAGGGGTGGTAATTTCTTTTTCAATGACCAAACTGGTCCATTGCACCCAGCTTCACGTTCCACCTCTGTTTCTGGACGGTCGCGCTCAACCTTGATTGCGGACGGCATGCCTGCCCCAAAACGAATGCAATCGCCTGCGCCCATTTCGACTGAGATCCACCCAGATAGCCCAGATCTTGTTTCTGTTTCACAATCCGCGTTGGAGCGGGAATCTCTCAGTCGAGTTAGCTCCTTGGATGGCCTCGACACTGAAACCGACTCAACCCATACCCTTCGCCGGGTCCCCACTGCGCCTGCCGCTGGCTCTGGACAGACGCGTGGTAAACGCGAACAAGTAAGAAGTGCGAAGAAACTTACACGCATGGGTTTTTCCCCTGTCGAACAAGTGGGGCGTACCCCAGCCCCTTCCGGCACGAGGTTTGGGGCCATCAAGTCTATCATGCAGACGTTCAAAGGCAAGACATAAGTAACCGCACATGTCCTCTTCTCTCATCCACTGATCTCCATTTCTTGTCACTGTGTATGTTGTATCCCTTCACTTCGTCTCTTCATCATTATCGCTATCTCTTCAACGGCATTGTTATTCACTCATTTTAGGCATCTTTGTTGTAAACCTATGTACCGTTATTCCAGCACCGACACGCGTTGTACTACAATCAATCTGAACAAGAACTTCACTGGCAGTTTGAGTTTGGTTTTGAGTTGTGATATTTTTGGTCACATGGCACATGTATACTTGCACGTGAAGTATTACTATATTGCATTCAGAATGGATTGCCGGACCGGCACTTGTAGAGTCTCTGACTTTTTTCCCAAAGCAAATGCCTCGAAGAGCTCGCATTCATTTCGTTTCTCTCAGATCTTCACTTGTAAACCTTCCAATCTCTATATATGGACCACTTCTTGAGCGCGGTGTTGTGGGTAATCTACTTTCAATAATAGTGACAAATTCTGACTTCGTCGAAGCGACCTCAAACCCTTGCGGTACATCTCACTCTCGTAGATAGCAGCCCAAATCAATCCCACAAGAAAGTTGAAGTCTATGTAGGCTGGACGGGCATGGCGTCCGCGTCTTCACTGGCCCAATTCAATGCCTCTCAGACGACCGAGGGTGGTTTCGAGACGATAGAAATTGACCCCCAATATTCTCTAGGGCTTGGTCTGGCGCAGGGAGACCTTGTAGGAAAAACTACATCCCTATTCAAACTAAACTCACGCGTCATGTCGTAGGTGGAGATCGGTCTAGTTCATGACTTAACTTTGGCTGAATCTGTTGCAACGGAACCTCTCTCTTCCGATGACTGGGAGATCATTGTGAGGATTTAATTAATCCGGTGCAAAACCTGTCTAATTTCAGGACTTTCAGGAAATTCATGCATCTCATGTCGAATCAACACTCCTTTCTCAGGTTCGAGTTGCCAAACTGGGGCAGGAAATCGATGTTTGGGTGCTAGGCAGAACTCGCGTAAGACTGAGAGTCAGTGGGTGACGTTTTTTGAACCTGTCAAATTCTGCGCTCATGTGAAAGCATTCAGCGAGCCTGAATCCTTCGTCAAAAGGAGACGCTCTCCTCTTGACCACCAATACAGAAGTCAGCATCGCGCCTAAGCTTTCTCGGAATAAACAAGCATCATCGAAGCAAGTTTTCAATGGAACATCTGCCACCTCAGCTGCGAATTCTTCAGCTGCTGGGGCAAAATCTGAATCCCCACAACTTCCTTCTCAGATACTTCGCGTTCTTCCCTTGCGTGTAGCCCCTCCTGTGCAATTTCCCAAAAGCTCAGGCTCTGAGTCTTTTGCATTTGTGTCACCACATACATTTTCTCGATTGTATCCATCTCGAGGAGATGACCAGTCTTTACAGTTTTTGAAGACAAACTTGAAGTGTCTCACCCGACCGACAGATCCTTCACATCCGACCCTACCTTCCTCTCCCTCTCCAGACCTCGCTACACGTCTCCCGAACTCAGGGGGAAGTGAAACGGGATTGAATGAGATCAACAAAGCTGGGGTTATAAATGATGTATACACAGGGATCATGAAGCAACTGCCAGCCAATCACATCCTCTTTCTCAATCTTCCAGCTGGAGTAGAAGAATGGGATCTTTTACGGTTAATCCCAAATGCCATATGTTGCCAACAATTTTACTTATTTGCCTTACCGTTATTAGCAGCTCGGCAATTCAAGACTGTCAAGTAATAACCTTCGAAGCCACTGAAATCACTGAGGAAACCAAAAACGCATTGTGGGTTCTCCCACTATCATTTCTGCTTTACTCATTCAAATGGCAATGTAAGGTCGAGCCCTCCGCCTAGCTTTCTAGCGGGCGTTGATGAAATTTTAGGACGGTGCATTAGCTATTGCGTCACACAATATGTTGCACATTCGTTTACGCGCTCTGTCTGCGGAGGTGAGCTTTGTCACTGGTAGGTTCCTTTCATCTCACTTAGAAAGCAGTTCCTGGCCTCCTGGTGACGGGAAGGGCGGGTAGTGGAAAAACGACTCTTGTCCGGGAAGTGGCAAAAACTCTTCAGCAGAACCCCAAAACATTTACATGTAAGTCATTCTTCCGCTCCTCTTCAAAGCTCACGATGTTACAGACGTACACTATGTCGACGCGTCCCTCTACGCCGACAAAACCGTGTCGGCCCTGAAGGCCCTTTTTAATTACTGGTTTGACAAGGTTGCTTGGCATCGTCCAAGTGTCCTTATCTTGGATAACTTAGACAAACTGCTCAGCGCCGAAACTGAGGTGGGTTTTGATTGAACATCTTTGAAGTCCAGGAGTGACCATATCACCAGCATGCAGATTCATTTCGCACACGTCATTTGACGTCAATTTTTTTAAACATATTTTCGGCTTCCGCTCGAACTTCGTCGTTGAACGCTCGTGGAATTGTCCTTCTTGCTACAGCCTCGTCAACAGCTGCATTGCATTCTTATATCAGCACTGCACATCTATTTAAAGAGATTGTGAATGTGCACCCACCCAACAAAGATGCTCGTCGAGATGTGTGTTTTGAACGACAGATGTATATTTTACAAGTGCTCACATCCGATCAGATTTTAGCAAGAATAGTGCAAGACCGATTGGAGATTGCCACAGACATGCAACAGAGCCCGGACTCTCCTCTTAACTTTGCCGCTCTGGCCACGCAAACAGAGGGCTATTCGGCAGTGGACTTGCAGGATCTGGTTGCTCGAGCTGTGCATCAGGTTGCCATAAGATCAGCAAATGAAATTTCTGGTCCAGTTAGTTAATTCCGACCAGATGACCGACGAAGTGTTCGAGCTCACTAACGCGTACTCTACAGCATCAATTGACATATGCAGACTTTATGGCAGCACAGGCTGATTTCGTTCCCTTATCGATTCGAGACATCAAGCTAGAGAAGTCGGATGTAGCTTGGTCGGATATAGGTGGTGAGTCTCTCACTGTTCGGATGTAGTGTTCTTTTAAAAAGTAGGCATCACAAATCCAAGGTTTGTACGAAACGCGTCGGATTCTTCAAGAGACTCTGGAATGGCCTACCAAGTATGGGCCCATTTTTGCACAGTCACCGTTGAGGTTACGATCTGGGTGCGTTTTTGTCAGTAGACCGAAGGTTTTTACTCAGCCTTGTTGTCGCAGGCTCCTTTTGTATGGCTTTCCTGGCTGCGGAAAGACCCTGCTTGCATCCGCTGTCGCGAAAGAATGTGGTCTAAACTTCATTAGCGTCAAGGGCCCTGAGATTCTCAACAAATACATCGGCGCCAGCGAGAAATCTGTAGGGCACATTTTATTTTGCAGTGATTAAATGATCATGATTTTGATCTAGGTGCGAGATTTGTTCGAACGTGCAAGTGCAGCTAAACCATGTGTTCTCTTCTTCGACGAGTTCGATTCTATCGCTCCTAAAAGGTACCGTGTAGACATGCGCCATAAATGATGACATACGTTTCTTACAACGATAGTTAGAGGACATGACAGCACTGGAGTTACAGATCGAGTCGTGAATCAAATGCTGACACAGATGGATGGGGCCGAGGGTTTGGAAGGAGTTTATGTTCTCGCGGCCACTAGGTGCGTCCAAGCCTCCTTTGTTGTTTTGGTAGCGAACGTTTCATTGCTAGTCGGCCCGATCTGATTGATTCTGCACTCCTTCGCCCGGGACGTCTTGATAAATCCCTCTTCTGCAATATGCCCGAGTACGAAGAGCGCAAAGATGTAGGCTGCTTAACTCTCCTGCATGCTCGCTGTTCTAAGAACTTCCGAGATTCTGAAAGCTGTGGCAAACAAACTGGCAGTTTCCCCATCTGTTGATTTCGACAACCTGGCTGCAGAGACCGACGGTTATACAGGCGCCGATCTTCAGGCCCTGCTATACAATGCACATCTTCAAGTAATACATGCCAGCATCGACGCTGATGCCTTGGCCAATACCCCGTCATCGCGACAAGAGGATGAGACGCCAATACAACATGTGACGATAGGAGGCCCAGCCGTAACAAAAGTTACAAGGGCGGAAGAAATGGCTTTTCAAAAACGAGTGAGTGTCATGTTGGCATCCCATATACAATTAAACCGTGACCTCCTTTCTGTTCCATAGCTTCGCCAGATACAGGTGAATTCAGCCCCAGCTGCGAATTCTTTTACTCCGGGGCAACCCCCGCCTCCACGAAAGATGGTAAAATTCTATCATAACCCCACGGATTTTCATTGACGGCATGTCTAGGACGAAATTAGGCAGGAACATATTTGTTTGGCCCTTAAGACAACAAGGCCATCCCTAGCACTAGAAGAACGCCAGCGTCTTCAGCGAATGTGAGCATTCTCGCCAACGACAATTGACCATTATTTCATCATTATGCTGCAGTTATCAAGGGTTTACTTCAGACCGCAGCGGCGACTTACCCGTTCCTGATGCTGGGGGTATTGGCAGCCATGTAACACTAATGTAGACATGTATGGGCGCTTATCGCAATATATTTCCTGATATATAACACAAAAGCGTTCCGGGACCTATCAATCCGATGGGGTAGCCGTAGTTTCACGCCAGGCCTGAAGTACCCCTTCTGCCTCCTCTGCCACAATGTCGTACGCGTTTCTCACATGCAGTTCTTCCGTTCTAGCGGCCCCGACGGCGAATCTAATGCAGGAGATGCCATTCAAGTTAGTTTGTGTGAGCATGATATCCTGTCTAGCGGATAGACGTCCAAACAACGAGCGATTTAACTCGTTGAGCGCTGCCAACGACAAAACGCCCTGGACTCCAGCAGGGACGAGTCTGAATACGGAGAGTGCAAAGGACGGTGGGGTTACGAGGGACAAAATCTTTGACTCGGAAATAAGACCAGCAAAGTTATCGTTGAGCTCTATGGCCTTGGTTGAAGAGAGGTAAGCCTTGATCACGCACAAAAAAGAAAAGAAAATATGACGAACTCGTCGGATATGTTTTCTGAACCCCTCAGCGCCAAAACTTCGCAAAACAAACCACAGCTTCAATGAGCGGAAACGACGTCCAAGACCCAAATGCCAGTTCCTGTAGTCAATGGCCATGCCTAAAAATTTGCCAAGTAGTCAGGCAATGGATTTGATACATAGTGCAGACTTACCTGAATCATCTTTTTTTGACCTTAAGAAGACGGGGGTAACTTCTAGAGCGTCCACGAGATTCGAACGATCCCGTATCCATAGGGCTGAACAGTCAAAATTGACTAACCCCCACTAATTTTGTATCCATGTCAAGGTCTGAAGAATATAGGATAGTATAAGCAGAAACCTTGTGGAAATTGGTGCAGAAAGAGTCGGCAAAGCCGTTCATTTCTTGAAGGTACAGCTTTCCGCGGTTCTCAGGACAAGATAGAGCGACGCCGGCCCATGCTGCGTCAATGTGAACCCATAGGTTAGGGTGCTCTCGTGCTGTTAGAATGAATGAAGGGGTTAAATCCTACAAGCTCAGAGGTTCGAGTGCAGGGTCCTACCAACTTCCTGTATCTCAGGCAGATTGTCAATCGCTCCAGATGAGGTTGTCCCAACAGTCGCGACTGGGTAATAAATTGATAAAAGAAGGACGCCAAGAAAGAAGTGACAATTTACTGAGGATAAAAGGCCGCTTTCCCATTTTCGCGTCCTCTTCCAAGGCTGCCTTCAAGGTATCGCCACGGAGGGAAAATTCGTCCTCAAGCTTGACGTCGATTGCCCTTACCTGAAGGCCTAATACAAGACCAGCTTTCGCACCAAGAGAGTGAGTTTGCGTGCTCGTATATATCACCAGATCCTCTAATTTGGCTTCGGGGTGATTGCGTTGGTATCGTGAGCGGGCAGCCACAACAACTGCGAGGGCAGAATCGGAGGCGCTGGTCTAAAACTCCACGATCAGATGTACATAGGATCAGGATCTGTTAAGGTGGTATTCACCTGAATAACACCACCTCCTATGGTCGAAGAATTTAGAAATTCTGGAGACAACCCGAGGAGCCGAGCAGCCCAGTCCATCATGGTGACCTCTAGCTCGGTACATGCGGGGCTGCTGGACCACTAGGAGAAAAAAAAAACAGCTGTTATTAGACATTGATGAGATAAGGAAAGATTTTAGCCAACATTGAATCCAGGATTGCAGGCGCTGGAAGAGTAGAGGTCTCCGATCATGCCTTCAAAGGTGCAAGCGGAGGGAAAGTATGCAAAGAACGATGGGTGTTGCCAGTGCGTCAATCCTGTTGAGGTTGATGCTCGGTTGAGTTTTTCAATTTTATTTTAGATCGTACCAGGAAGAATGAGATTCTGGTAATCGTCCGCAATGAGTTGAAAATCTTCTCCGGCCTCTGGCGCACACGCTATTCATGCGTGAGTACTGTGTATTGAACCAGACGCGGGTGGTTTACGCGGAATATGATTTTTCAGGTATCCAGGCTCAACTTTCGGGATAACTGATCTATTTTGCAGGGTGTAATAATATTCGCAGATGCGGTCGACTGCTTGATAACCAGCCTTTCGAAACCTAGGAAAGTGTGAAGGTGGAGATTTTTATAGATACGAAGCGCTTACTGTTCAACATCCATGGTAGTTATCGTAAGTGTTGCTGGGCAGTCAAAGGGTTAGTCGATAAAGGGGGTCGGTCAAAGATACTGACTTCAATAAAACTTTCGTGGGATACCGGATATGGCGGGTATCTGACGACATCGATGATCGCTACTAGTAAGTACGCGGCATTCATCAGGCAAACCACAGGGCATTCCGAATTTCCAGATTGCTAGTTGTGTGGTATTTTGGTGGTATTCATGGCACGGCTGCGTTTTAGACATTTAAAATTAGACTAGTGTTGCCGGAGCTCGGCTTTAGCTTGCTCCGGCTTCAAGCCCGCTTAGCCGTGGCTTGGATGCCAAATTCGGAAACATGCAATTTTCTCAATGGTTAGGGGTGCCACGTTCAAAATTTTTGGGAGGACATATCTACTGCATGCATAGTTACATGTCAGTGTGCTGCTACTTTTGACTTCTCTCCGTAATGTTGCGATTGTCGCTGTTCAACTTCATGTGTGACATCATTGAGCCGTGATCACATATGTGACCACCAAGTGACCACCTAATATTCGAAATGCTCAGTAAAACATGGGAAGTTGATAGAATGCTATAAAACTCTGTGAAAGGCTATGTTAAGGTTTCCTTTCCAGTATCCAGCCTTTTGTGTGGCAGAATATGTTTTGCAGCTATAAATTGCTATTTCGAGCCCGAGCTATGAGCGGTAGCTCAGCTCGGCTGGTGGCTCAAGCCAAGCTGAGCCAAGCTTCGGCAACACTAAAATTAGACTTGCCTCGTAGCCTGATCCAATCCGGTGACGATTTCCAGTTGGTGTCCCTGAACAAGTGGGACTTGAGGGCATTGAGGTTAATAGCCATGAGATAGAATTTAATGTAGTTTGCTCGAGAATACATGCACAGCCGTTGCTCGTAAAGACCCTGGAAAACATGGACAAATTGTATTTTCTTTGGTATGTACGTGCCTCCTGCCACGAGCTAGCAGAGATGGACGTGTTCAATGTACAGGAACTCTCCTTTTCTCTCGGTAAGTTCACTTCGCAGACATGTGGACGTCAAACTCAATCATCTAGTCCGTGATCAACCTTACCTGTCTGCCTTCCTCCTCGTGATGGGATCCATTGGTGTTGGTCGCGTCATCTACCAAACCCTTTCAGTTTTTCTGCAGACATTTATCCTACCGGGAACGAACGTATGGATCAGATACATCACTTGTCAAGTAAAACGCTCACCCTATCTATATCCTCTAGCTCAGGAAGTTTGGCGCGAAGAAGGGTGCTTGGGCTGTCGTCACAGGAGCGACTGATGGTATTGGCAGGGAATTCTCGCTTCAGTTGGCAAAAGCGGGCTTCCACGTTTTCCTCGTTGCTAGAAACGAGGCACTGCTTGCGTCTACGGCTGCGGAAATAGGTTGGTCTTGAGCTTTGCTGCCTGTCACTGGGCTTTAACTGAAGTTGCCAGAACAAAAATATGGAGTATCTACTGCAACGCACTCCATCGACTTTTCAAAGGCTGATAAATCAGCCTACAATTCTCTCGGAAGTTCCCTCGGCAGTGTAGACGTCGGTGTCTTGGGTAAGCAGGACTGGAAGTTCTTGTTTCAAAGCTTTACATTATTTTAAGTGAACAACGTTGGGAAATCCCATGCTATGCCCGCTTATTTTGTGGATACTCCCGAGGAGGAGATGTCCGATATTGTGTCAATCAATGTGCAGGCGACTCTGCAGGTTACCCACTCGGTCCTGCCCGGCATGGTTCAGCGGTGCGCGAAGACCTCCCTATCTGAGAACTGTTGCTGAATCTTGACCATAGAAAACGCGGGTTGATTCTTAACGTTGGATCGTTTGCGGGTGCTGTGCCATCGCCCATGCTTGCAACATATTCAGGGACCAAAGCGTTCCTCACTACGTTCTCAAGTGCGTTAGGCGAGGAGGTCAGAAAGGACAACATTACTGTCGAACATTTGAACACCTATTTTGTTGTACGTCCGCGATTGATTGACCAGTTTGAAGTATGCTCAACAACCTTTACAGGTGTCGAAGCTCTCCAAGATCCGCAAAGCGTCGGCCCTCATACCTAAACCAGATGCCTATGTTCGTTCTGTATTGTCAAAGATCGGTCTGCCGTGTGGTGCTAGCTACAGTGGTCGACCGAACACGTCAACTCCGTTCTGGTCACACGCGCTTCTGGACTACGGCCTGACGTTGATTGGGCTTCAGAGTGCATTCATCAGTTATACGCACGGCCTTCACAAGGATATCAGACGGCGTGCGCTGCGAAAGATGGAGAGAGATGCGAAGTTACAGTGACGGTATGGTGATTGTTAGAATACGTATTTTTGCTTGTTTGTGTTGGAATGCGATTGCAGCATGTCCATTGTGCCGGCGATTGCGCTGAAGAGAAGAACGTTGTCACTGCGTTGAATCTGCGTGCATCGACAACGCTGCCCGTAGCAGGCTCATTGCTTAAACAATCCTTCATCGTCGTTTCCTTTCATGACCATTTCATTCTTGCCTTGATTCATCATGAAGCGTCAACCATCTCGTGCTCCATCGCCAACACCAACAGCTTTCTCAGGCATATCCAATTATCGCAATGATTCCTATCGCTCAGTCAGAGACAAGTCTGCCGTTCCCGCAGTCCCTACAGTCGATTATCGTCTCGTTTCAAGGACACATTACGATGAATTAGGCCGTTACTTGGCTGCGTATCTCGCAAAGTGTCCGTTCAATTAAAAACCATTTGCTTTGCGCTTCTCTGATTCCTTCTCGTTACGTCTTCGCAGCTCTTCCCAACTCTCGTTCAACCGCAAGACAAAAGCTTACGCGACTTACCATTCAACAATTTCACGAGCTTTCCACTGACGTCTATGATGAACTGGTTCGTAGAAACAACGAGAAAGAGGGTATGTCCTACAAATATCCTTACACTCCTAGATCACTCAACCATCCTTCAGTCCCCTTCCTCCCTGTCAGAGAGGAATTCCATCCAAAACGAAATCAAGCACGCCAGAAACTCGCTACCCTACCGACCTCTCGCTTTGAAGACCTTTCCAGTGATGTTTACTTTGAGTTATCGCGAAGATACCCAGAATTTAAGGAAGAGGTGCGTAGCCCTAATCATGGTAATAGTCACCTGCTGATTATCTAGTCTTGTCCGGTAGAGTGGTAGAGCCTCGGATTCGGGGTATGATGACTATCCTGCTCCCGACTTTCCGTCAAATTCGCCGCCTTCTCCGCCACGCAACACGAACGCACGGACATCTGGGCGGGTTTCAGCCGATCGACCATCGGATAGCGGATACGGAGGTAGCGGTCCCAGTAGAAGACCATCCGAAGACCGACGTAGACCAAGCGAGACCGAATTCGTTCCACCCCGACGGAGCGAGGAGTCTTTCCGGCGGCCGGAAGAAACATTCAACGCTCCAAGAATAGGCGAGGAGAACTTCTCAGCGAGCCTTGCTTCTCGTCGGAAGCCTTCTCAAGATACGACGCGGAGATCCGAGGAAAGAGAGCGAGACTTTGCGCGACGACCAAGCGGAACTGTCAGTATCAGTGGGGCGAGTGATAGCACGACTACGGCAAACGCCAATGCGGCTCAAAGTACCACGGCCACGAGTGGAATGATTATTCCAAATAAGAGCACCATCGAGGAAGAGTACATCGAGGTCCCTTATGGTCGCGACGGAAGGGAGAGTGGAAGCACGACAATCGATGAACGAGAAAGGGGCATAGAGATGCACCGGGATGGTGCCATGGGGCTCGATGAACCCGACAGCGCCAGTGATTATCCCAGTGCATTGAGCCCTAGAAGTCCTCCAGCGGGCTTAAGTGGACTCAGTGCTCGACTCAATGACGTGGATGACGATGACGGCGATCCAGCAGGTCCTGGTAACAGGAGCGGGGATGATTTTTATGACAAATATGGCCGCTCATCTGTTAACTCAGATCGATCTGTTGGAACAAACGCATTTGCTTCACGGATGATGGGTGGACGGGCGAGCGTTTCTGATGACCAGGAAAAAATTCGCCGTGACTACGAGTTCAAGATCGCTACGATGCAAACGCAAATTACCAATTTACAACGCGATTTGGGTGACGCTGCAGAACACGAGAGGAAGCTGAAGGACGGCGAAGCGCGAGTTAGGCAAATGGAAGATGAATTGTCAACTTTCCGTCGCGTGAGTACCGTGTTCCTTTTGAGGTATCTTAAACTCATGGCAATATAGCGTGCTGAAGAGCAGAGTGCAGCCATGCGTGCCCTACAAAAGGAGCTCGATGAGTTGCGTGATGTCCGTCAGCGGGAGAAAGAGCGGGAGTCTAGGAGAAACAAGGAAGACGAGGAAGAGTTACAAATTCTACGCGACAGATGTGAAAGATTGGAAGAGGAACGGGAGAATCGCAAAGGAGGGGTATGTTCTCTAAATTAGGTAGATGTACTTTCCAGACGCTGACCATGGCTCGATTTCATAGGCAGACAACGAGATAGTTGAGCAACTGAGGTCCGATATGGAAGGCCTTCTGACGGAGCTTAATGACCTCTCTCGACGCAATGACGAGCTCATGACTGCCAAAGACTCTGACCTGGTTGTGATTCGCGACCTTGACAACCAGCTCAAGGATTACAAACGCAAGTACGAACAAGCAAAGACAGAGCTTCGGAATGTGAAGGGTGTGTTTCTATGTCGCTCTCATGTCAAGTAGACCAAAACCATCCTTGTTAGTCACCTCTCAACTCTTTCTTCAAGCACCGAAGTTTGACAAGTCGGAGGATCAACTCCCCGTCTCCCCAGACGGCGGCGTGCTTGACATACATATCACCGCTTTCCTTTCCGCGATTGACATCCTATTGACTGCCGGACGGTCAAATGCTCCCACTCGAGTGCTCACGCCGATGAAGACTGTGGTGAACGCTGTAACCAATATCATAGAAGATGTTCGAAGCTTTGAACGACGGCCGCAGCGAGAACGGTCAGACATTGACCTTGATGCTCTTCGGTCACTCCGTGAGCGCGCCGATGCAACTTTGAGTAACCTCGTAACGGCCACAAAAACCCATGCAACGAGTTCAGGGATGTCTCCCGTCAGCTTATTGGATGCCGCCGCCAGTCATGTCTCCGTTACAATCACTGAGATTGGCAGGACGATATGTATACGAAAGGCTACCAAAGCTGAACAAGAGCAATTTTCCTACAGCACCTTCGCGCCCCCCGCTTCCTCTGCAAACAACTTTTCGCCTTCCCTTCGATCGGTTGACGAGACGAGAGCATCCCATCAACGTAAAGCAAGCCAAGCATCAACGTCCAGTAGAGGCCGTTTCTCTGAGTCACCTGTCTCTCCTCCCAATCGGTACAACGACACCAGGCGGCGGCCTCCATCAGATAATTCAAGCTCTGAACAAACCAATTCTCCACCACCGATATTTGATCAACAACCCGGCGGAGTGGTCAGTGACGATTCCGCGCCAGGAGATGGATTCGAAGATGCTTGGGCAGAATTGAAGGTATGAAAGACGCCTCACATAGTTATAGTGTTAAGGATTTGATAACGACATCCTTGCAGCCATACCTCGAAGCCCAGACAGAGTCCATTGTTTACGCGATACAAAGTGTACTTTCGGGCGTCCGTAGCCCCACGCCCTCCCCAACTCTGAACGAGAATCTGACGCAAATCATAACGATCGTGTCTAGCATTGTTGCTGTTTGCAACGACAATCTCCCACCAGCTTCATCACAACAAGGAAATGAAATCTTACGGGAGCTAGGTGAACACGCGAATAAGCTGAGCGAGGTGCAAGCCCTGCCCGATGTTACAAAAGAGACACGACAAATTATGGCCAAGTCAAGCTTTGCCATTGCGAACGCCATGAAAGGGTTGATGAAGTTGTAGTTGTATTTTCTTAGGTGTACTCTGCAGCACCATCCGGATACTTAGATAGTTCTAATACCCCTATGATATCATTTGAGCACGTGATAATGAAGCACGCCAGAGCACGCCATCGTTTGGATGAGATATATAGTAGCTGAGCGGATAATACTACACTTTTACCACCTTTTCTCGCCCAACACGTCGAGTGCACTACCTACCCCGTGGCAGACGTGCACTGGGACCACTTATAGTTCAATCCGTCACAAGCAGCGCGCAAAGACTCAGCTGACACCATTTTACACGGTCGCATCCAATCGCATTCGTATTGACAGTCGTCACGGTCATGGTCCCGTCTTGATCCTGTTTGGTACGTTCTTCATTGGTTTTTCCAAGGTTCTTCGTTCATTTCAGCACCATTCATCCTACATCACGTAAGCGGGTAGCCGTCACCCACCGGACCTTGACCTCACTCCGCCGCGGTTCTAGGCGATTCTCCCAAGATTTGCCCTATCTGGCGTGTGTCTTTGCCCCTCTGGTGCCGCAGTCTCGGATCTTCTTCCCGCTTGGCGCGCCAATGTCTCGACCTTATCCTTTCTTTCGATGGACCTTGCTGGAACTCTTTTTTTGTTTTGTTTTTTGCATTGATTGCATTTCCATCACGCTCTTGCGCATTTCCAGTCGTGGTTTACAACGATGTTCCAACTGAAGAGACTTCCAATTCGCCTTTGATATGATCGACACCACTTTCCGATCAGGCAAGCGCTTGATTCCTAGCGCGTATCCAGGCGCTCGGCTCTTATTTGACATAACAAAGCTGTATGGACCTTCGTTCCCTGTATGTGGCAGGTAGATATAAATAATTGATTCCTTTGCCATATCATTCGTTCTTGATTTTACCCACCCCACAAACATGACTGCTACCTTCTCATCCTCGTCCTCGTCAAGCGAAAGTTCAAGTTTGCCCAGTTCCCGTTCTACAACCCCTCCATCCGACATAGAGCAATCCTGCAAACGACTGCCTGCGTGGCAAGCTGCCGCCCATGTCTTTCTTCCCGCTGAATCAAGCCCCCGTGTGCTCAGGAGCGTCTTTGAAAAGCATGCTTCTGAAAACTGCTTGGGGGTGATCCTAGCCAACCCAACAGCAGGTCACCTTTGCGAAGAGTTCACCAATGGGGCATGGACTGCTATGCATATGACCATTGGGAACGACCCCGTTGTCAAGTACTCCCTATCTACAAGCTGCAACAACCAGCGCCTGTTTGACACTGAAGTAAGCACCTTCGTACTCTTTGATCCTTCCTAGCTTTATCAAGTTCCCAAGCCTCGTGCTCTTTTCACCGGCTTGACCTGTGCAAGGCACCTTCTCTTAATTGCGCAGGCGTCCCTTCGCTCCATCCTCTCGGTCTCGGTTGCCGCTGGGAACGCCACATTGTATATCCTTGAACGGCCTTCGTTTGCCTTTCCTCCACTTGCCTCAACCCCTTCGTTCAGCCATGATGGCACGGTGGCGCAAGGCAATGTCCCTACCCTGGAAGAATGGGAGAGACTTTGGTCGGCATGGGATCTTGTCACCCTTCAAATGATACCCCAGGAAATGCTCCACCAGAAGCCAATTGATCTTCGCCACAAGTGTTTGTTTTACATTGGACACATTCCCACGTAAGCGCAGCTACATACTCTGTTTCTTTTTTTAGCTGGACGTTATCTCAGTGCTTTGGCTTGATAGATTTTTGGATATGCTGTTATCTAAAGCTATCGGTGGCTCACCAACCGAGCCCAAATATTTTTGGAATATATTTGAAGTATGCATTCGTATTTACTATGTCTGCCTTCCCTTCTCATAAGAACTTCAGCGCGGAATTGACCCACATGTGGATGATCCTGACCACTGTCATGTAAGCGCCCTCTTCGCATTGGCAATCATAGGTGGCTGATATGGTGTTCTTTTGAAAAGAACCATTCAGAGGTTCCTGAAAAAGACGAAGATTGGCCCACCCTAGACTCAATTATCATGTTCCGCAACAATGTTCGCGCACGTCTCGGAAAGCTTTACCTTGATCTTCAGGCTGGAAGGCAGGCCTTCACCAGGGGTATTGCGAGGACCCTCGTTATGACTCTGGAGCATGAAAGCTTTCACATCGAAGTTAGTTGATTTCAACGGCGTCTTTTTTCTGTTGCTGAGCGACATAACAGACGCTTTTGTACATGCTAATGCAGCGGGCTGGCTCTGGCACACTTCCACCGCCCGGATTCACTGTACCTCCTTGGGAAGCTTTAGCCGAGCAATGGAATTCTATTCCCCTGCCATCTTCCTCTACTGTTCTCGTCGGTCCCGCAACGCTTGTTTTGGGGCACCACGATTCCGAGGCAGAAGACGGATTGCCTAGTGTTGTGGAAAACGTCAAGGACCATACTTTTGGTTGGGATAATGAAAGCCCCGCTCGAACCGTTCAGGTTGGCGCATTCAAAACCGAATGGCGTCCCGTGACCAACAGAGAGTTTGAAACCTTCAGAAACAACCAGTCGAAAGGCGTTGTTGACTTCCCCAAGAGCTGGGTAGACGAGGATGGTGAAATTAAAGTTGTTTTTCTTTTTCGAAATACAAATTTCATTCAGCTGACCCACTACCTTAGGTTCGAACAATGTTTGGGCCTGTACCCATGGCTATTGCGGCGCATTGGCCCGTGCTCACCTCGTATGACGACCTCGTCGCATACGCAAGTTCCAAAGGCGGACGATTGCCGACCGAGCCTGAGTTGAGGCTATTCCTTGACACGTATGATGTGGGGTACGAAGGTGGCGCGAATATCGGCTTCAGAAATTGGCATTGCGTACCGTGAGCTAATATTTCAGCTTTGGATAATGTGTAAACTAACAGCTTCAATGTGGCAGCGCTACGACCGGCCTGGAGGCCTACGACGGCAAAGGCAGTAATGGTGGTGTCTGGGAGTGGACTTCAACTGTGTTTGATACACACGAGGGGCTTGCTCCAACAAACATCTTTACCGGGTAGGTTGAATTCAACGATCCTATGTATGGCTGCAAAATTCTAATTCACTTCTCAGCTATTCAACCGACTTTTTTGACTCGAAGCATCATGTCGTGGTAAGTTCAATTTTTTCTCTTTGCTTTTATTTCCAGATCAGCTCTGATTTGTTTGTTGGGTGGCTTCTAGCTCGGTGCCTCATACGCGACCGTCCCTCGTCTTGCAGGCCGTCGTACTTTGAGGAATTTCTATCAACACAACTACCCTTACCCATGGGTTGGTGCTCGGGTTGTGTATGACGTTTGAACACAATCATAGCCTTCTTTTGGCCTTCTTACCTCTTCGTCTCCTGTATAATATACTGCTCCGTCTATCTGTCTTAGTATACGTCGCATTGCTGAAATATGTTTGTTTGCAAAACCACAAATTATGATGAATCCAACAATATTCGCCACATGCCAAACATGATGTTTACGAGGAAGCCAACCACTAAACCCATCTGCATGCGACGTCTAGAGGAACTGGATTCATGCCAAAGTATCTGTGCGGATTATAACCTGAACTCACGAAAATATAACATTCGTGGTTGGCGCGTCTTCGTTTCCATCCTCCCAAAAGACAGCAGCCTTTTTACTCCGCATAAAGAAGAATGGAAGCAATGGGAAGAAAAATCCAATTAGAATTCCTTGAAGAACAGAGGAATTGGCAGAAGGCGAAGATTGTGACAGACTTGCTGTGCCCGCATTGTCAATAGAGTCAATCCATTGTTCCTCGAGCGCACGGGCATGCTCGTCATCTAATAAATCAGAGTTGGTACTCAGAAGTCGGATTTTTATGGTCGAACCCACACTCTTCTTCAGTCTCAAAATCAACATCAAGATAATTCGCCGATGACTGGCTGTGGAATTGCCGACGAAAATTGGCGATGTCCGCTTCAGAGAACCCGACAGACGCAAGGCGATCGAACCCCCTTACAGGTTGTAGTTGGCTAACCTGTAAAGTAATTGAACGATGCTTTCAACGAAGGAACAAGGTAAATCTCACTTGAGTATTTCCCTCATCGGTCTCTTCTTCGCCTGACGCTAGCTTGGGTCCAACTGAACAATGGATCCATGTTGAGTTGGCTGTATCCGGACCAATGCTGTTCTCGGACGTGGCTCTTCGCTGCCTTTCTTCGAGTGACAACAGCCATGCGTACAGAAATGTACCATCGGTCAATAATCGACCGGAGTGAATGAGTCGCAGGCGTCGGTCTTTCAGATCTGCTCGAGCTTGACGAATCTGCACGGCTCAATAGAAGGTTTATTTAAGAGTTATGAACCGCAGAAGAACATACATTCTTCTTGACATCAAGGACCGTGTCGGAGTTGTTGACGGTGAGTATGAGGTCTGGAGTGCCTTCTGTAAAGCGCACTACGAGTGTACGAATGAGCTCAGAGGGCGTAGGAGCCGACGAGGACGCAATGGCATCTCCTGAATGCTCGATTGCCCTCTGCTTCCCTTTCGCTTTCTCACTTAACATTGTTCAAGCGAGAGCTGAAGCAAGCAAGAAGCAAGCCAAGTTTAACTTGAAAGCACCATACATCTTACGTAATCGACACTGACTTCAATTTCTTACCCGTAAAAAATCCAGGCAAGTGCTTATCTCCCTGAAAGTTTTTTGCAGCAGCAATCGCCGCAAACGGAACCTTTGGCACCTTTTTACCAGGTGGGCCAAATGACACGCCCAGGTTCTTTACCTCTCCAGTGGCCGGGTCATGGACGAGCCCATGCACAAACACTTCAATGCCTGTGTTCTTCCCGTTCCCTTTGGCACCTCGTTGATACGCCTGAAAGACGTTTGAGCAATAGATCATGGATCGTTACCCTCGTGAAATTTACCTTCGCAAGGATGCTTTGACTCCGCAATGCTTTCACGCTCTTCTTCACGTTTTCCTCGACCAGTGCCCGAAAGCCGGCTGAGCTATTTATTAGATAGGACTAGGGAGATAATTTTATAAATCGTACGTTCATCAGCCTTGGGAGCCTCTGTGACCCCATTCCTGAGGCCTCTCCGCGGCATTCTCGAATCGCGAAGCTGAACGATTTCTTGCCTAAAAGACCACTTGTCAGAGAATGCAGGCTGCAATGACGTAGTCAAACCAATGACCTTCGAGATCTCCGGTACATGTCAATCACGGGCTGGATCCATTTGGTTGCGGGGCCGTTGGGACGACTCTTTGTTCCATTAATGGCGGTTTGCACACCTTTGCAGCCATAATGTCCGAGTACGATGATGTGCTTAACATCGAGCGTTTCCACTGCGTATGTCACAGCCGTATCCCTAGTCGGGCTCAATTATGAGCGATCCCTTAGGCAGAAATCCCCTTACGTGCTTATATCCTTTGAAGAATACTGATTTGCAATATTGTTTTGCGAGACGATGGATCCAACGGGTGTCTGGAAGATCGCTGCAGGGCTCAATCTTTCAAAAGTTGAGTATATGTGGAAGAACCCCTCTAAATTTGCGATGTACCTATTGTCCAAGCAGCCGATAAACATGAAAGATGGTGCTAAGGCTAAAAGTTAGGTCGGGTAACTAGAGAAACTGGCGACGTACGTTCTTCTACCACTCGGGCTGCTACCGCCCGCCTTCCTGCACTGGCTCGGAACCTCTGATTCCCTCTGTACAGTGCGTCCAAGGTATCAAACTTGATGGTAGAATTTGCTTTCGTTGGTGCTTCAGCGGCATGCACGACCAGCGCGATCGCAGTGGTCGCAAGCAGTAGAATGTTTGTGAACATAGTACTTCCTTTCAAACTCGAGGTAATGGCACCAGGCCAAATTGACGATCCAGCGTCTTGGAAAGAAACGAAGAGGAAGAACTGTTCCTATGTGTATATGGCGGTTGAGGCTGTGTTCGGCGCCGAATTATTTCCATCCAGTTGACGCCCATCCCTAAAATAACTCTTTTCAAATCGGTACCCACATGGCCATGGACGCGATGGACCCACAACCTCATACAAGCATTCACAAAACGATCAAGCACCCTAAAGCTGCTGTGGACGACGCCCTCATACTTCCAACCAACCCCCGACTCGATAATGATCAACGTCGACTATGAAGAGATTTACAGGTTTGAAAAGATGGCAGGCTCGAAGGTCTGTCCTGCGGATGAAGCGTACGTTAGATTTGTCCATTATGACTGTCAGTAGCTAACGAGTAGATATACCACTAGAGCCGACATTTGGCCTCCTCACTCTGCTGCGAAAACCTCAATGGAGTCACTCATGTCGGGCGATGAAATACCAGATCGTAGTCAAGGAACACTTCAGTTCCTGTGGGGAGGAGGCTCGGATAGTAAGCTAGATCCCATTGAACACCCAGTTGGGGATAATCTGTTTGGACGTACCGCCGTGGGTTCTTCCTTCGTCCTTTCATTTCTAGTCTCAAGCGTGATTGTTTACTGCTTGCTTGTAGATGGAGGCTTTCGAAGAGGCCTTTTCTGATCTCCCATCTTCAACAAGTCGCTCTTCGGAGCCATCGTCTACTCACTCTACCCCGGTTCTCTTATCTGACAAAACGTTGCCGGACGTTCAACTGGGACCCGCTATCCCAGGACCCGTTTCCCCGACATCGCCAGAACCTCCGGAGACGGCTTCGGAATCAAACCATTCTGAATATAGCATACCCACAGGTGCTATGCCGCTGACGGTCGTTGCAGACTCAATTGAGACGCAGCAGCTGGCGGAGGACATGGAGAGCCTCCCTTCAAGAATGGAATCAACGATAGTCTTTTCAGAGCCCACCGAATCTGTGATATCTATTTCCGATGCTGTCCCAAGGACGATTAAGAAAAAACCGGGTTTGAGAAAGAAAGTAACTTCAGTCTCTCGACATCATCCAGAGATTACTGGCGGAAAGATCAAAAATCTTTTTGATGTTCCACGACAACGGAATCCTCGGAGTAAGAAAAGGCAACCGTCATACAACGAGGATGATGAAGAATTCGACGTTAATGGCTCCTCTGCTGAAGCCTCAGGTTCGCAATCCCTCGGGCAATATAAATGCCCTTATCAGTGGTGTGGAAAGCGCTTTACAAGGAAGAACGATGTCAAGCGGCATCTTCAAAATGCTGCTGTCCACAAAGCCGATGTGCCTCAGGACGCTTGGAGCCCGACTAGGTGCAGGAAATGTCATGCTGAACTTTCGCGGGTTGACGCGTGCAAGCGACACGAAGCCAGAGATGCGTGCTGGAAGCGTACCCTTCCTTCAAAGAAGCAGCACATAAATCAAAGAGAAGGAAAGGTATGTTACACCACAGCTTTTGAGGAGTTGCTTACGATCTGTCTCAGGCTTGATACCCCTCATTTCCTACAAATTTTCAAGGCGATGTACCATTTTGTGTTGTTGTGTTATTTCGTATGTTCAGACGAGTGCTTGGGTGACGAGTTCGATCTTTTATTGGATGACGACCGTGTTCGTGGCAGTGATCGATTTTTTGTGAACAATGAATCCTCGGTGAAACATCCATCCGTCTGTCTAGCAAAGTGTATAGGGGTACATGAAGCAAATCGAAAAGGGACAGACAATCGCCAGTCTTCGGTCATTAAAGGGATGCTTAACACGTTCATCCCTCATTCTCGTGCAGATGCCTGCAGCGAAGGTAAGGAAGCAATTGGGTACGGGATAACTAGAAACGACGACATACTGGCCCAAAACTTTGTTCATTTTAAACATGTCAATCTTGTCAACGCCGAAAACAGCCTTAAGATTGACATCGCACATAATCTCGCGCTTGTTTTCTGGGTTTTGCAATTCGTTTCCTTTAATATAGACCCAGAGTTGCTTTACGACCTGCGGTCGCGAGAGTTTGTTGACTTGCAGCACGGCAGCTAGTGGTTCGCTGCAGGAGACAGGGTGTTGTAAACCTGGCCTGGTAATATTTATAAAGATGAATAGGATACCTGAGGAGAAACTCTTTTGCAAAGCCGCCTTTCGCACCTCCGGATGGTTTCTTAGGTTTCTTTTCGGTGACGTTGTCGTCACTGTCGTCGTCAGAATTTACAGTTGCCGCACTTTTCTTCTTTCGACCCCCTTTCTTCGCCCCAGAGTTGGAGCTACCGCGGCTCTTCCCTCCCGTTCTTGTTGACCGACTGTTAATTTCGCTGGAGAGTTTCCGCGCCAATTCGGCGTCGCTAATATCCTTTTTCGCCTTTTTCGCCTTCTTCGGAGGTGGTGGTGACTCCTCATCTTCATCACCTCCGTCTGACTGCTCATCCACCTTTTGCTGCCTTCGCTTCCGCGAAGCAGACTTCTCCTCGACCTCGACGGGATGTTCTCGCGCGTCCTCAGTGTCGTCAACTGGGCTCACCTGCTCGAATACGCCCGATATAATAGCATCTACATTATCCTTGTTCTCCTTCAGAAATTCTGCCGTCAAAGAAGGATTAAGGTCGAGTAACTGGCGTCTAACGCGCTTTGCGCTGATAGTTGCCAAATCTGTCCCAGGAGCTGAGAGTATTTGACGGATTTGTGGTTCCAGAGTGCTGAAGTCGAAAGCCATGAATGGGGAAATTGATAAGTTAAATAAGAAGTGGTGAGTGGTCGACGTTGAAGGTGAAGAAGAGGACCGTGATGCCCGAACCGCAATATGCCCGCTACGTAGTTAGCGGGTCTTATCCTACGAGCCACCAAAGCTCTTGCGTGGGTAAGTTTAGCCATGTTTGGCCCCCCCTAGTTCAACCCGTGTTCCTCCACCATGTCCTTTTGTTTCCAGCTCGACGGCTCTCCCGTTTCTGTTGAGCTTTCGTCTGGTCGATCCTATGTGTCTGTCGCTTGTTCGAACCGTTAGGGCTCGTTTTTCTTGCAAATCCAAGGCACACAGCAAAGCCACAATGACTAGGAGGCCACGAAATCAAGATTAAGCAGAAAAGTCAGACGCCCCAGCACCCTCAAGCTTTCGTGTAAAGGTGTAAAGCCGCCGATGTTGGCACTTGACGAGGGTCCCATCAATCGGTCGTTCATTTAGAACGTGGCTGTCCCTCCAAGAAGCGGAAGTACGCTCACCTGGGGGAATTTTGAATCACTTGCTGAATGGGTTCAAAAGTGGAAAAAAGTGAGTGAATCAAAAGCTTGAACATTCTGAACCAACCCCTCGCATTCTAATCTAGTGGGTTTTTTGTGATATTGAGTGAGTTTGTCGGACTGCCAACCTCTGTGCAGTGACACACTTACGATCGTACTCAGGAGAAGGGGAAGTGTTACATCAACGATTAGTGGCGTGATGTTAGAGCATTGAGAAACAGCAACGGGCTGAGGGCAAGCTGAGGGGAAGCCTGTTCCTCTGCGGCTTCTCATTGGGTAGGCTTGATTCAAGTTGTTGGTCTCTTTCCCTTTTCTTCTTTTCCTTGCCTGCCGAGCAGCGTTATTCGATTTATGTATCATAACATCACTATAATTATAAACAGATTCAACGATGTGGCGGAGGTTGGGAGAACCTCTAATTTATGTGTCTACCGCTGCGAGGAGCTGGCCAAAGGCCGAGCGACGAGCAGCGTTATTCAATTTATGTAACATAAAACAAAACCAACAGTTTTGAGCGGTCGGCGACAAGCAGCCAATACCAAACAAGTAGATGGTCACTTTACAAAAAAATCCATTTCCTTCTCCAATGTGAAATGCTAGCGCTCCTTGTAGCCATCAGATGGTCACATAAATGACCTTTTTCTGTAACCCCCGCGAAGGCAAGTATTATTTGGATTGGTCAATGGAATTTAAGTACCTAATCGCGGTAGCGGGCTTTGCGCCCGGAGGCGCGCTGCGGTGGTTATTCTGCAACTTGAGCGCGTCTTAAAGTGTTTTGTTTATTATACGAGGAACAAACAATACGGCATAGCCTCTTCTACCTCAAAATGGCCCAATCATTTCTGGCAGGATCACCAGGGGGCGGAAACATACCCGCATCGCCATTGCGCGCAGGTTCTTGCTGCTCACCTGCAGGCCGTTGATCACGTCGCATCCGCTCAACAATACGCGTCCGTATGTAGAGCAAGATCGAGATCACAAGGCACAACAGGACCAGCAGCATTGTCTCCCCAAACTCATCCACCTCTCCTTCCTCGCGAAGACCACCCCTCATCGCACCCTCAAAGTAATCCTCGGGACCAAAATCACTGTCGCGTTCTCTCTCCGCTTCTCGTCGTTCTCGTGCCCACTAAACAGATCTTTAGTCAGCGTCGCAGAACCGAAGGGAAATGACTGACTTGTATCGGGTCCTCTTCCCCCTGGCGAATAGGGGGCACCTCTCCACTTTTGCGTTTACGAAACTCCTCCTTGGCCTTTCCAAAATACCAAGGCCCGTCCTCCTCTTCATAATACCTTTCTTCTTCCTCGTGTTTCGCAGCAGTTGCAGCCTCACTCTGTTTCCCAGCCTCCAGCTCTCGTACGGATTCTCTCTCGCTAGCGGATGGGACACCTACCAAGACAATTTAGCCAAAAAGTATATTTGAGCGAAAAAAAAGAACAAACTTTTTTCGTCTTCTTCAAGGTCCCAAATGTTGAGCCCCCCTTTGCCACCCATCAAAGTATGCCAAATGCTTTTCGTATAGAGCTTCCACAGAGAAAGTACGACAGGCAAATAAGCTTCTGAGTTCGTTTCCAGCGCTAGATCATAATGTCGTTTAGCAAGATGGAAATCCTATGCTTACAACGTCATTAGAATGCCCAAGCGAAGGCGCGCAATTCATTTTACCTGAGGGACGCCGACTCCATTCTCATACATCCAGCCTAGGTTCCACATAGCTAAAGCGCTCATCTGAGTATCAGAAGCTGATTGATAATATCTTGCTGCTTTTTCGAGCCTGGATGCCTGCGACTCGTCTGCAGAGACTCCGAGTCCATGATAATAATAATCTCCAACTTTGACAAGGGCATCAACATTCCGTTGGGCTGCAGCACGAATCCATTGTGTTAGGGCTAGCTGTGCGCTGTCGTTCGACGGAACGGTAGGCGAAAAGCGTGTAAGACGCAGGATACTTTTGTCTATCTCGGATGAGTGTTAGACAACAAATTCATAAACAAGGTACGAACCTTGATCTAACACGTACGCCAGATTGTTTTGCGCAATTTCGAAACCACGTTCTGCTGCGATCCACCATTTCAACATGGCAGTTTCTTTGCTTTGGTCACTTCCTGCGATCCAGGCAATCTCAGCGTCTCTTAACAAATCGTCGTCCCAGACACCTCGCTCAGATATAAGCTTGTAGAAAGAGACGGCCATCGCGCAGGAGCTTGATACCACATGTGGAGGCATATTAGGAGCGGTTGCTTGCGCAGAGTGGATTTCGCCTAAGTAATAGTATGCTTCAAACGGTGAGCCACTCCTCACAGCGTTTTCGAAATATGTAGTAGCAAGAGTGAGTTCACCACGATCTAAAGAACTTGAGTTAATATGATGTTTGAGAAATGGTTAATGGCTTACAGTAGTGATATTTTCCCAAATTCACTTGCGCCTCTGGAAGTTCCTGTCCAGCCGCTGCGTTGAAATGAGCGAGGGCTAATTTCATGTCCGCCCGACCACCCGGCACCAACCCGTCGCGATACATAATGCCTAGACCATTATGGCACTCACGATCACCATGATCTGCCCCTCGCTCGAACCAAAGTTTCGCCAGTGCGTGATCAGCTTTCACACCCTCACTGCGGAGATACATACGACCAAGGTACGCCGCACTCGCCGCAGCATATCCAACTGGCTTGTGTTCATCCTTAACTTGCATGGCGTTAGGTGGGTCATGTGGCCAGACTTGTCGCGCAATGAGAAGGAAGTAGTGACGCGCGATCTTGTAGTTGCGAGGGATGGCACCCACACCCTCGCTTCCAGACGCAATTCCGCCGCCTGAAGCGTATATGCTTCCTTGATAGAATATTTTCCCAAGACGGTAGGCAAAATCAATCTCGCCGCGGTCAGCGTTGAACTGCAAACAATTTCAATGTGTCGTTTCAGCTGTAAAAGAACGACTTACAAGGTAATATTCTAAAACATCCTCCCACGTCTCCCCAGCGGCTCGTGCGATACCGGCTTTGATCGCGGGTCGCTGAGTGTTCAAGCCTGTGGAAGCAACACTAGCACCAGGTCCATAGATACCACCAGCGAGATCCGAGAGTCGTGTCGCAGTCTGGGGCAGTGTACGCCCCCCAGGGGGCCCTGAGAGAAACTTAGCCATGGCTGAAAAAATGAAAGTCAGCGAATTTGCTAATAGGCAAAAAAAGGTGTCAATGTGACCTTGCTCAGCAGCACTTCCATACCAGGCCACAGCTCGCTCACAGCTCTCCGAAGTACCGATGCCAGTCCAGTAGCGATAACCGAGAGCCATTTGTGCACCTTTGTCACCACCGTTTGCCGCAAAAGTGGAATAAAGTTGCGCTTTTCCTTGATCTACGGGCAAAACTCCGTGGTAACCTGTGGCATAAAAAAAAGCGAGATATGATTGAGAGGTGGCATTTCCTGTTTGACTTGCATGTGTAGCAAGAGCTTCGTAGGCCAGTTTAGGATCTGGGGGGAAATGTTGTGCTGGTGGGAACTGCGTGTGATAATGAGACCTGAAGAAATGAAAAGAGACTTTGAAATATTACAAGAGATATCTGAGCAAGTGTGTAGAGTGCATCCATGTTTCCTAGCTCAGCAGAATGTTGAAGCAAATCGACAACCTTGATGGCTTTCCCGCGCAGCTCATCGTCTTTCTTTTTTGAACCCAAACCCAAACCTTCCTGACTGAATCCGGTGGATATACGACGAAATGTGTGGTGATGCAACTTGAGAATTATGCGAACAGCGCTTGCGATGGGACCCTGCCCTTGTAGATTGGGAAGAAAGGAAGAAAATATTGATTTTGAGTTGCCACTTCCAGCGGCTAGAGACGGATCGGATGTATGTTGCGGTGTATGTGCTCTTAACGTCGCAAGGGTAGTCATCGCTTGTTTATACGCACGCGCAGCTGATCGACCAAATGTCAGGAGCCAGAATCCCACAGAACGAGTACCCACACCTTCTGCAGCTTGAGCCAAATCATGTTCGGATTGGGCAGCGACCTGTTTGAATTTAACGTAGACAAAGGTTAGTATGCAAAGGACTCCGTACTTCGTGCTGGTCGCTCTTGAGCACTGGTTGACTGCCATGCGTGGACACCACAGGTACGCTCACAGCCGGAGGAGTTGGATTCGTGAAGGTCTGAGTGGTGTTGAATTAAAACAAAACATGGATGGGCAATGATGAATGTACATGAGTAGATTCAGAGAGAGAGTGCTGGCCCGTCCCAGAATCCTGTCCAGCGGAAGTTGTTGCAAGAACCACGAGGCCAAAAGCTAGCCACGCAGCCTTTCTTGGGCAAAGTGGGTTTCTAGTCTTCATGGCGATAGAATAGAAGCGGTATGAACCGACGTAGACAAGTCGTGGAACGGTGCTTGACGTTGAAATTCAAGACGCGTACATACATACGTTGAAATTCATTGACATCAGAATAATTCCTGCGACACGTAGATTGTCACGGGACTCAGTTAAGCGCCAGACCAGAATCCTCTTGAGTCCACTCCAAGTCCACTCAAACATGCAAGTACCATGAAAACTATACGAACACCCTAATGAATATTTACATATGTACGATAGTCTCGCTTAAATCACTCTAGGAGTTACTATAACCAAACCAGCGTAGTGTTTGACGGATCGCTTCGTTTGACGTTGAGCTTGCCTGCATGTCCTCTAGAATCACTCTTCTATTATGAGCTGGCATTTGGCCAAGCGCGATCCGCAAAAACATCCAGAGGGATTCGTGAGAAGGGTAATGAGTTACAAGGAGCAGAGCATGGTTGGAAAAAGATGGGAGGGAACTAATTGCAGATTCAGTCGCGCGAGGGAAAGAAGAGGAAACGAGATGGTCTATAAGTTTCTGTGTCTGTCCAAAGGAATGCATCGACGAGTAATCAGAAACATGCAGGTCGATCCAGCGCCGTAGGTTTGCGTGTTCCTCGATTAGGATGTTCCAATACTCCTCAGAACCCTCGTCGATCGCCCCCCCTAAAGCATAGCAGATACCAACTATGAAGTGCCTATGGGTCCAGGCATGATAATTTCGTGGATACGTCTCACAGGCGTGCGCTATGATGCGGAATTCGTCCCGAATGACGCATTGCGGTATTTTCGGCAGTAATTTCAATTCCTCTGGAATATACCATTCATGCAGCAGCGGCAATGGCATCTGGGTGTTGACGGCGCCGAGGGAATCATAGAGGCGCTTGAAGCACCACATGCGATGATCCCAAAGAACGGACTGTTTGGCACAATCGGGGGGTCCGCGCAAGAGGAGTCCTGTATATTCCAGCTCTTTTTCTGGAGATAGGAGTCCAGCAAGGACAAGTCGCTTTCGCGTGTTCAAAGCAGTTTGATGAGCAGGATTGAGAAGAAGGGTGACACAAGTGGAAGCCTTTGCATAATGTGGGTCTGCGTTGCGGGGAACGGCAGCCGTGGTCAGGTAAAGAGCATATAGAACTTTCTTCGGGATGCCGAGGTTGCCCTCGACGAAGACGAATGGGAAATCGGCAGAAGGTTGGGGTGATTCCAAGGGAAGTTCAGCTGACAGCCACTGTTCCAGGTCACCTGGAAGAATTTCGATTGTTTTTCTGTATATTTACACGAAGAGTGAGCTGGAATGCGACGAGATAGAAAGAAACACACGGTGGCTGATTTATGAGCTCAAAAAGTTTGAGAACAAGGGGCGCGGCTTCGTACAACATGCGTAACTAAAAAAAAATCATTTTATTTCGAGTCTTCTACATACATGCTACGGAGTCTCGCTTTGCTGCGACACTGCAGAAGCGCCTCCTTTGACCCTCGCATCGGACATCCCTCTCTTCGACTTCACAGATTCGCCAGAAAAATGGCAACACCCATACAACCTCTCGATTTCTATGACGGTCCTATAGTCTGGATAGACTGCGAAATGACTGGGTTGAATCCTAGGAAAGACAAGATTCTGGAGATTGCAGTGCGTATTTCTTGGTCTTTCGTGTCCCATTTTGTTCTCTTAAATCGGTGTAATACAGGTCCTTATAACGGATGGGAAACTTAAAATCGTTGACGAAGGGTTGGAGTTTGTGATCAAAACTGAGAAATCCGTGCTGGAAAGGTCTGTAAACGCTGCAAAGTACAGTTTTGACGTGTCCCTCTTACGCATGGAAAGGAAATAGGATGGACTCTTGGTGTACTAGGCAGCATGGAAACGCACGTCTCCCAAGCATCTGTGGTGACCGTTAGTAACCCCTCCTATAGTCCGGCCTTACACAGGCCTGTCTAAAGTCGCCACACACGACCGAAGACGTCTCAAAAGCGGTCCTTGCATATATCAAGAAGTGGATACCCAAGCAACGCGTTGGCGTCCTAGCAGGAAATTCCGTTCATGCCGATCGTTCGTTTTTGGTTGAAGAGATGCCAGGAGTTATTGACTGGCTACACTATCGGTCTGTCTCCCTCTCGTTTCAATCTAATATCAAAACTGACGGACTACTTCCTCTGTAGCATTATTGGCAAGCATTCGAGTTTACTCTATCAATGGAATGAAGAGTAGTGACCATTCTCGTCTATAGATGTCTCTTCAGTGAAGGTGCAGTGTGATTTACCGAGTATGCCATTTTCTTGAACTATATCCTTAGGAAATATCTCGCCGATGGTATCCTCACCTTGGGCTCCCTCGTCTTAGCGAGAGTTCTCATCGGTAAAAACAATTGTTGATCTGTGCCACCGACGCTCATTCTTTTTAGTGCGCTGGATGACATTCGGGGCTCTATCCAAGGTATTGCTCCATCGCAATGGACTATCGCAATTCTTAATCTTTCTCAGAGCTTAAATGGTATCAAAACAATATCTTCATCGCTCCGCCAGCTCCAGCTCAGGTTGCTTCTAATGCCCGAGAGAATTCATCCACACTCCCCCCATTGGAGGACAAAACTGAGGTTTGACAGACTTGGTGGCCGGATTCTCATGAATTCCATTTTCTGCAAGATATACCAAGATACAACGACTGTCGGGGTGCGTACTTGTGCAAGGTTACATACAATACACTACATTTCAGGTCTTCCTCTTGTTCAAAAATCCCACAAGGTACCCTGGTAGAATGACGGCGTGATGGAGAAAAAACGACACAAATGAAGTTACTCACGAAAGCAGGAATGCCAGCTTCCTTGCATCCTTCCATCATTTCTGTGTTCCCTTGAAGGTTAGAGGTGATGAAAACAACTTCCGCACCCCAAGAGTGGTACGCTTCTTTGATGAGTTCCATGACATCTGGTCGTCCACCTAGGCATGCGTTCAGTCTCATGCGTTCCCCTCTGAACTCCGGCTCACCTCGCTTCTTGGAATCCCAGAGTGTGACGCGCTCGGGGCCTAAGTTTCGGTGGATAAGTCCTGAGATGGTTGGTCCGAAAGTCTTTTCTTGATCAGAACCGATCCAGATCAGGTACCTAATATATATAAAAGTCAGCAGGTATTTCTCGAATGGGGTGTCCTCACCAGTCGGGACTCTTCCAATGAGAAATTTCATTAGTTTCAAATGGGTCACTATTTTCTTCAGTCCATACCTGTAAACACGTCGAAAGCGCGGCACCAAGACCCGTCCCAGTACAAACTCGGATGCTACGTTTGTAAAGTGTAGATGTGTTCGATACCCCGGCAAACTTTGAAACATTGAGCAAACAACTCCGATTCATCTGCTAGAGTGACTCTCACCTTCAATTGACGTGTCCAGATTCGCGTCGGTGGGCTTTCTACAAGCGACTTTGTGAAATCACCTTGTACTCCGCAGATGAGGTAATGAACGTCGGAGCTCGTCCCTTCCCTGTTACACAGCGTGAAGCGAATACAAGACAAATAAGAGGTTAATGCTCACGAGATGATCCCAAATGCATGATACTCCAAAATGGCACTTCGGCTTATTCTCGTCAGCAATCCCTGCTGCATTCCCCGTTTGAACCGGAGGACAGCCACCTTTGGAGATGGCTACGAAGTTTGTCAGGAAAAACCGGTTTAGATGGCTAGTGATGAAGACCTACAATTTCGACGTGCACTTCGACTTCCCGAATTGTCAGCCACGGAGTCAGGATGCTGTTCAGGGTAATGTAAGTCATAGGATCGTCAAGCCAGACATTAAACTTACAAGGCAGTCATTCCCATAGCAAACCAAAAATCTTGCTGCCGAAAGATGCTGGCACCACGGTTCCAGGTGTGGGTTTTTGAATCGTAGCTGTCTCCCAGGATAACGAAGATCCATGCTTGAAGCAGAACAATAAGGCAAAGATTTTTGTACAAGAGGAATGCTCACTGAAAATCAAACCAGCCCTGGGAAGTTAACTGTATGAGCGTATATCATAAGATATACGTGGACTTGTATCTTACCAGCCCAGAAAACGATGGTGTCGCTCGAAGACACTGCATTTGGTGAATGAAAAAGACGTAACGTTGTCGAGTGGAGAGCTTACTTGTGGTGCGTATTGCGAACCCAAGGAACCGCAGAGACGATAGAGAGGCCAATGACGACGTTCGTTACCACTCCCATGGCGATGATTGCATCGTGGATGTTCGAGTGGTTAATGAACAATATAACTACCCGAAATACAAACCAAATGAATCCAGAAATAGCACATCCAGAGTGGATACCGCCGAGTTGTTGAAGGGCAGATGTGCATGCCAAACGGAATCCAAGCGGGGACCACTAAAGGTGAGAGAATTTAAAGCAAGACTAAGGGATTCCCCAATCAGACTCACCTTTGCAAATAAAGTATTCACGAATAAGTATAAAAACCGTCCAAACAGCTCGTTGCGAACGAGAATAGCAATGTATAGATTTCCCAGGATGAACGCGCCAGTATAATGTCTTGGATACGACCACACGCCCGTCGCGGCCAAGATGAAACCAAGTAGGTTGAAGGCCAACACGGTTGTAAAGAATTTACTGACGAAAATTCAGCAAAAGACAACCTGAAAGATTAGGCCATACCGATATGTATTAAACCAAAGCTGGAATCTAATCCATCTACTAGCTCTCTTCACAATCCGTTTCCTCGGAATTTTCTCGGCGACCAACGTGTCTTTCAAAAGGTCATCTTTGGGAACCGATGTGGCATTTGGGGGGTCGTCATTGGAGCGGTATACTATGGAAGACCGAAACGTAGCAGCGGCTCTTACTTCCGGCGGGGCCATCGCACGGTCAGAAGCTAGCGATCGTGTGGCGAAAGACCTGTGGGATCTGGGCCTAGCGAAAGAGTCCTGGTCCGGTATTCCCAACTCCACATCGTCAAGAGACGAGGAAGGCATGACTAGCATAGTTACACGGTTTCGCTCCAGTGCTCTTGGAGGTTCAGTTGGAGAGGACGGAGGTATCGAAAGAACGGTGACCCGCTGAGTCCAGCTCAGATTATTTCTGCGGGTAACATCGTTAGGCCTGCTGTTCCCTCCGCTGCGTTGCGAATGTCTAGGTCTGGGAACTCCATGAGAATTCTCCAAGTTACGTTGTTGAGAGATTTCACTCGAGGGTACGGTAACCGGCATCTCCCCCTGTGAGTGACGATTGCAGACGGCAGAACTTGAGTTTGATGATTGCAGAGAGCGTGGATCCTGGGGGAAGTAAGGACGACTGTTAGCAGGCTGTATCGAATCGACGGCTTTCATGCAAGGTCAAACATGGGTGTTGAACATGTTTCATCCACCCTCCATCCTCGAGGCAGGTAAGTAGTCCAAAAGATGCAATTTCAGATATAAAAAGCGCGTAAACCATGTTGGTTTGTACGCTTGCTCGTAATATGCAGGTTTGGGCAGTACTGCCCCCGATAGATGCCATAACAGGGGCCTTTTTGATGGGAACTTGGTTCAACTGACCATGTGTTGGGGGAGTTTGTGCGTGTTGTTAAATGCACAGAGACACGGGGTTTGCCAAATGAAATCTCCAAGAGACGAGCCAGCGCCGATGGGGGACAAAGCTGCAAGATTTGAAGGAGTGAGGAGGGGGTAAAGGAGCGAATATTGCAGCTACTTGGAAAATTTCGATCTAAAGGTATGACAAAAATAGAATCATTCTCGATGATCGAGCAATGAATAAATTTTAAGTCAATAAACAGGCGAACTCCAGGTAGACGATTGGTTTTTCCGTGCGATCTTGATAGTCCAGTCTACTTGTCTACATGGACAGAAGAGATAGATCGTAGAGTGCATTCGAGATTCTGCTGTCGTACGTGTGACTTGTCTCTGCCGAAATTCATGATCAGAACCGCGTAGGTGACCGCCAGCACTCTATGAGTACCTGTGAATATATAGTACGAAGCAGCTGACGCGGTGTCTGGAGATGGAGCGAGGTCATTTGAGAGCATTTGAGTCTCAAAGCACGTCACGCACGTGAGTGAGTCACAAGAACTCTTTTAAGGTTAGGTGTACAAAAAAACTTCGTTGACCTATATTCGTTGACCTATATACCCTTCGTATACATCTCCATCCTCGGGCCCACTCAGCCATGAGTCTCGCTCGACTCCAGTCTCTGGGGCGACGAAGTCTTGTTGTGCGGTCCGGACGTTCTTTTCATACTACCCCAACACCTCGATTCGCTTTAGCCGCTTCTAAACCCCTTCGCGCCGTTGCCGCACCTGCTGTTGGTGCATACGCTCCAAAAGATGGCGAACATGTCATCAATTCCCCCTCAGAACTTGCCAGGAAAATATCTGCCAAAGTTCTGCCGAATCTACCACGACCCAACGTTCAAAAGGTTGTAGTTGTCGGCAGTGGTGGCTTGAGCATTGGTCAGGCCGGCGAATTCGATTACTCAGGTTCCCAGGCTTTGAAGGCTCTTAGCGAGGAGGGCGTCTCTGCTGTTCTCATCAACCCGAATATCGCTACATGGCAAACTTCTCACGAATTGGCCTCAGAGGTTTACTTCCTGCCTATTACGGCAGATTATGTTGCCTATGTTTTGGAAAAAGAACGTCCAGATGGCATCCTTCTTACTTTCGGAGGGCAGAGTGCCTTGAATGTCGGAATTGAACTCGATCGTATGGGTGTGCTCGAGCGTTTAGGCGTCAAAGTTCTAGGAACTCCAATTCACACTCTCGAGGTGTCCGAGGATCGTGACCTCTTCGTTCAGGCTTTAAAGGGTGGGTAGGGAATCGTTGAGTGTTGAACACTTGTCTCTCATCACGTTTTCATTTTAGAAATTGATATCCCTGTCGCCCAGTCGACCGCCGTTTCCTCTGTTAACGCAGCACTTGAGGCTGCAGAGGTAATCGGATACCCCGTCATTTTGCGTTCTGCCTTCACTCTTGGGGGCCTTGGTTCGGGCTTTGCTAACAACCCGGATGAACTACGTGATCTTGCTGCCAAGGGTCTGAGCTTAAGTCCTCAAGTCCTCATCGAGAGAAGTATGAAAGGTTGGAAAGAGTTGGAATACGAGGTCGTTCGCGACGCGGCAGATGTATGTTTCTCAATTCAGCTCGGAGACCCCACCCTCATAAATTTTGATTAGAACACTATCATCTGCTGTAACATGGAGAATTTCGACCCCCTTGGTACCCACACTGGTGATTCAATTGTTGTCGCGCCTTCACAAACTTTGCCGGACGATGAATATCATATGCTTCGAAGTGCTGCATTAAAGGTCATTCGACATCTTGGAGTAGTTGGGGAATGCAATATTCAATACGCCCTCAACCCAACCTCGAGGGAATACTGTGTCATTGAAGTTAACGCTCGGTATGAATCACGTTACATGTTATGGAGCGGCCTTTTGACATTATTCATTTAGATTAAGCCGCTCAAGGTTAGTTTTGGATACCGCTGGTGTTTAAGATACTCTGACATCCTAGGAAGCGCCCTTGCTTCAAAGGCAACTGGCTATCCACTCGCCTACACAGCTGCAAAGATTGCTCTGGGACATACCCTTCCAGAACTCCCGAACGCCGTCACCAAGACCACAACTGCGTGTTTCGAACCTTCTCTGGACTACATCGTGACAAAGATCCCCAAATGGGATTTAGCTAAGTTCTCCTCACAGGTCAACCGGGAGGTCGGTTCTTCCATGAAGTCAGTTGGTGAAGTCATGGCTATCGGTCGTACTTTCGAGGAGAGCTTGCAAAAAGCAATTCGTCAAGTCGACCCTCGGTGGAAAGGCTTTGAAGTTGTTATCGAACCTGAAGATCTAGACATGGCTTTAACCCGGCCTACAGACATGAGGCTTTTTGCCATCGCATATGCAATGTTCCGAAAGAACTACTCGGTTGATAAGCTCCATGACTTGACCAAGATCGACAAGGTTCGTTCATGACTGATACATGAGAAAAATCTTACTCAGTTTTAACAGTGGTACCTGTATAAAATAGACAACATCGTCCAAACTCATCATGCTTTAAAAGCCGCGGGTTCAATCGAAAGCATTGACTACGCACTCATGCAGCGAGCCAAGCGCATGGGTTTCGCTGATACCCAAATCGCCGATATAATTGGAGCTACCGAGGATGTTGTTCGAGCCCATCGAAAATCTCTAGGAATCACTCCCTTCGTCAAGCGCATTGATACCCTCGCTGCTGAATATCCTGCACACACCAACTACCTCTACACGACCTACAACGCAACCGAGCACGACGTCAACTTTGATGAACACGGAACAATGGTTCTTGGCAGTGGTGTCTATCGCATCGGCAGCAGTGTTGAATTCGATTGGTGTGCGGTGACATGTGCACGTAAACTTAGGGACATGGGCAAACGAACAATCATGATCAACTACAATCCCGAAACAGTGTCCACTGATTTCGACGAAGCTGATAGGCTCTACTTTGAAGAGCTTGGCTTCGAGCGCGTCATGGATATCTATGAACTAGAACAGTCTCAAGGAGTCATTGTCAGTGTTGGCGGTATGTGCGTCACCCTCTCTAGTTTCCTGCTAATAGTCTCCCTAAACAGGGCAACTACCTCAAAATATTGCCCTCCGACTCAAACACAACGGCGTCAATGTCTTGGGCACCGATCCCGAACAGATTGACACGGCTGAGGATCGCCACAAATTTTCATCGGTTCTAGATAGCATTGGAGTTGACCAACCAGAATGGGTTGAAGCTACATCATTAGAAGCGGCAAAGGAGTTCGCCAACAAAGTGACGTGAGTATTAAGTCATTCCGCTGTCATCACTTTGCTGACAGAATACTCCACTAGCTACCCCGTTTTGATTAGACCATCTTACGTTCTTTCAGGGGCAGCTATGAACGTTGTGTATGAGGAAGCAGCCCTCGAATACAACCTCTCCGCCGCCGCATCTGTTTCTCCCCTCCACCCTGTGGTTATCACCAAGTTCATTGACGGAGCCCAAGAAATTGATATTGACGCCGTAGCGCACAAAGGCAAACTTATCGTCCATGCTGTTTCCGAGCACGTTGAGAATGCCGGAGTCCATTCCGGGGACGCAACACTTGTTTTGCCGCCTTTCTCTCTACCCCCCAACGATATGGCTCGCCTGAAAACCATAGCAGAAAAGGTTGCTGCGGCGTTCAAGATCTCTGGCCCATACAACATGCAAATTATCAGAAAACTCGCAGAAGATGGAAAGGGGGAAGCAGATCTCAAAGTCATTGAATGCAACCTCCGTGCATCTAGGTCGTTCCCTTTCGTATCGAAGGTTCTTGCCCACAATTTCATTAACACCGCAACCGCCGCGATCGTCGATGAAGGCGTACCAGAGCCCGTCGACATTATGAACGAACCTCGGGATTATACTGCCATCAAAGTTGCTCAATTTTCTTGGACACGGTTAGGCGGTGCAGATCCTTTCTTAGGAGTTGGTCGGTCTCAATTTTCTTGCTCCATGACCACTCGTAGCTTACAGATACCCAGAAATGGCAAGTACTGGTGAAGTCGCGAGCTTCGGCAAAGACATTCACGAAGCCTATTGGGCCTCTTTACTCAGCACAACAGGATTCAAGGTTCCCCGCGCGGGATCAGGGGTGCTCATCGGTGGAGACATCACCAAGCCTGAAATGGTTGCTATCTCAAAACAACTCATCGAACTTGGTTTCAAGCTTTACTGCTCTTCTCCAGTTGTGGAAGAATTCTTGAATTCGATTCCTTACGTGGCAGCGAAACGTATCTTCTTCCCAAAATCAGACAAACGAAAACTTCGGATGGTATTCGACGAATTCGAGATTCAATGCGTCATCAACCTTGCCAAGGCTCGTGGTACAACCTTCACTGATGAAGATTACGTCGCTCGCAGGTACGTTCATGTGTAGTCCTTTATGTCGCCAGCTCAGACCCCCTGTAGGAACGCTGTCGACTTTGGCCTCCCGTTATTGAACAATGCAAAGACTGCACAGCTCTTTGTGGAGAGTCTTGCAAAGAAAATACCGCAAGGTGGCCTCAGAGGTTATACTGAAGGCCGAATCCCTTCTGAGGTTCAGTCTTGGCGAGAATTTGTTGGAAAGCGAGCTTGAGAATTCAGGATATCCTCACATGGGCTCTATCTTGTCTAAGCATCTATGGATATATATTTCAAAAAGGAGAAATAAGTACTCCATGTACATTGTAATCAATAATATATATTTTTTCAAATCCTGGAATGGCGTATTCATTGTGGTCACGAGCCTAGTTCTGCTTAGTTCTCCAGGTCTTGCTGTGTGCATAATTGATCCAAGTCTAATTCTATGGCCGGACCAGACCGAGAGGTATCTGGACGGACGTAGACACGATCGATGGCGAATTTTCCAGCGACCTTGGGGTCGAGCTTGTTGTCTACAAGGTCCGCAACAAGACGACCGATGACGGGAAGAAACTGCCAAAAGTTGAGCCTGGTGAATTTGCAAATTGCAATCAACGAGTTTACTGTATACCTTATACGCGTGGCCGCTACCTGCAGTGGCAAGTATGAGCGACGAATCCCCTGGGAAGCGTCCAATTACCCAATCTCCATCGGGAGAGTCATTGTACCTGGTAAAAAACAGATTAAGGAATAGTAGAGTTTTTCTAGCGTTGCCTTGGTAGTTACCAACAAAGACGGGTATTGCTGAATGATTTGTCCGCGAGATCTGGGTAGACACTGCGTAAGTGCTTTCTAAGCTCTTGCAGACTAGCTTTTGGAATACAATGGCCATCCTCAGGGTTGCTGCTTATCGTGCGAGGCGTCGAGACTGTTTCGTGTGTGTGTGTATAGCCTGCTGAATGTATTGCCATCTTCACAACATTCTTGTCGTTGGGCTGACGGAGGACGATTGGACTAAAAGTTGATGAATTCGAGAAGTAGAGAACTCACTGGGAAAATGTAAAACCCAGAGCTAAAATCAAGGACCACAGGACAGTGTCGATACTTGTCCGCCTCTTCGTCTGAAAGCTGAACCATCGCGATAGACTGCCTGAATGTTGAACTGGGTTAAACCGCTAGCTTATTCACTGCTTTGATACCTCACCCAGTGGCGAGGCATGCACGGCCTAAATTTAGCCCAGGAAAAGCGGAAGGAGTCCAAGATCCTGTTGCGAGGATGACGGTCGTAGTTTCAAACGCGTCGTCATCTTCGCAGAGCACTCCAGCCGTTCTTCTCTCCTTTCGGATGAGGTTCTTAACAGCCTTGCCCGGAAGGATCTTCCCCCCCAATGCAACAACTTTCGATAGAAGGACGGACAGCCCCTGGCCCGCCTTAGCCCATCCCCCATCGCGATTGAGAAAGCCAGTACGCCCGGAGAATGAAGCCGTATGAGTTTGTACGGGAAAAACTGAGCGGATCGCGTCAACGTTGTCCAGTCGTTGGACGACGGCACCTAGTGCAACATCGTTCGCGTAGGATTGATCTACATAAGTTTTCCCTTCCGTGGCGGCGCCTAAGACCAAGACGCCCGATCTTTCAACACAAGTCTATGACTTGATGAACAGTACAGCAGGCTTGGATCTTGACGTACTCGTGATAGGTATCGCCCCATTCCTTTACGTCTTTCCAGGACAATATGGCTTCTCGCGCAAGGCCAGAATAGAACCTGTCCGAATAGGACGATCGCACAACTGGTAGGCATGATCAGGAAAGCAAGATTTAGAGATCTTTGTCACTACTTCGGTTGAGATCATTACTGGCCGCATCCGGTGCTGGTAGGTCGAAGGACCGGTCAAGGACAGTAACATCAACGTATCCCCTCCTCAGCAGATGGTACGCTGTGGACAACCCAAAGCACCCGGCTCCCACAATCACAATTGGCTGGTCTGCGTGGACCATGGCGAGAAAAAAGAGTGGTGGCAGCAGAAGAGTAGTGATATTATTTTGTGACTTGCAATAAGGTAAGAATACATATTACTTATGATAGATATTATGTAGATGCGATGGTATCTGGGTGTCCTGAAGCCAATCCATTGCCTTTTATTCATGCGAAGAGGCCGACAATTACAGACTGCATTTTTCCATCCCGAATGGCCTAGAGATATGAAAGTTGGAATCCCGTGGAATATGATTAAAGAAGGGAGTAACACACCTCGTGAATGAGAGAGACATTTTGTCCAATTGTAACGTCGTCCACCCCCAATCCATTGACAAACCGGTGATAATTTTCCGATCCGTGCATTTTGATACCCAGCGTTATTCGCACAAAGTCGTATACTGGACGGGTCTTATTTAAGAATGGCCGTGCAGGCGCAGCACCCCGAGCACCCGAGAGGTACGCTTGTCGCAATTGGTCGAGTAATGCTGCAGCGCGAGAAGATACCCGGGAACGGAAGGCGGGAATGGAAGCGAGCATCGATCCAACATGCGCCGGGGCGACAAATCCTGGAGTTGTGATGGAATCAACTAGGACAGTGGTGCTGGAAGCGGCCACTTTCTCCATACGTGCCGTTACATCCATTGTACTTGTAGATTCAAATGACTCCTTCATAGCCTTATAGACGTCAGCCGTGAGAGAGGCCAGGAGTGATTTTGGCAAGTAAGAGCCCAGACCAGCTGTCAATTCTTCAGATGTTATCTTATCGAGTCCCAGTAAGAATTCATGCTGAAGGGCTCTGAGATCGAGAGCTATAACAAACAGGGACGTCAGCGAAGCAATTCACGATCGAATTTTTGGCTTGCCTTGGCAAATAGCATAAAGATAAGAAGATATCAGGATCGAGAGAACTTCTAATGAACTGATCGTTGCGCGAGCAGAAATCAAAGCGAGCGAGCTGAAGAAAAAATTAGAAAAATGCACGAAGGTATTTTGCACAAACGACGTACTTAACAGCTTGATTGTGCATCTCGGCAGATTGTATATGTGTAGAAACGGGATTGGCCAAGTACCCAAGTTCAGAAACGTAGGCAGCCATAGCAATATCGATTCCCTTTGCATGATAGTCTAGGGATGGGTCGGTAGCCGCAAGAGAAGGAGGCAAGCCACGATTCATAGCTGGATTGATCAGCTCCGCGCACTGGCCGAAGAGGAGTTTTCCAAGATGGTGCAGACTGAGCCGAGTCTTCTCCATAGTGTTGGTGACAGCCATAGCCTGAAAATTCCCTCCGTTATGAACTTTTCCTGTATCTCCATCGACCAATGGGTTGTCCGTCGCTAAAAGAGGCTGAGATTAATAGAGCAAGTACGCCATGCTAGATCACTTACTCGAATTGCACTCGATGGTGAGAGTTTCGATAGACTGGAGAAGATCCTCAATCTGAGGCCCAATGAACTGAGGGGCGGTCCTGAGAGGATAGCGGTCTTGTCGGAGAACGCCTTGGTCCTGCTCAATTGTGACTTCTTCTTCTTGCGTAACCGCGAACTTGCTTCCTTCCAAAAGATCCCAAATGTTTTTGGCTGTCTCGATCTAAAATTAAACATTGATATAGCTAAATCAAACTGTAGAAATGAAAAGTCGTACCTGACCGGGATGAGGGCGAGCTACACAGTTGATGAAGGGGTCGAAAGAACCGCGACAGCCTGCAAGCGCTTCAGTTCCCATGGCCGTGCAAACTTGAGATAAAAGGGCCAAATGCACAGCGTCGTTCAGGGCAAGGCAGGCGACTGATGCCGAAAATGCTGTGCCATTGAGGATCCCAAGATGCTCCTTGGAGGCAAGTGGAATAGGCGAGATGTTGTGCGCCTCCAGGGCTTGTCGTGAGGAAACTATTTGACGACCTGAAAAGGCGGCGAGGCCATCGAAGACCCTGATTGAAGGGTTTCCAATAAGAGTGCCAGCAATGTAAGATAAGGGAGCAAGGTCTTTTAGGAAGAGTTTGTTAGAGAAATAGAAAATCTGATTCAGAAAATATCACACCTCCAGATGCCGAAATAGTCCCACGCAAAGGAACGAGTGGAATTATGTTGGCCGTGAGGAGCTCGCCCATTTTCTCAATCAGTTCCCATCTTACACCCGAATGGCCGCGTGCGAGCGAGTTCATACGTATGAGAATAGCTCCTCGGACCCATGCCTCAGGCATGCTCGTAGAGCCGAGTGGATCCTGCAGTGGCAGGACCTCCAGAGGGTTCGTTGACGAAGGAAGGATGCCACTGTGCTGATGCTGAAGCAAAGCGTTGCCCAACAGGATTGGGTCATCGGTACGCGTGTCTGCGCTACCCCCAAACCCTGTTGACACGCCGTAGATGCTGGTGCCATTGTCGATTTTGCAAGCTATCACCTTGCGAGCCTTTGCAACCTTGGCCAACTTATCAGGTGACGCGTCGAGGGAAACAGACGCGTGGTAGCGCGACGCCGCTGTAACAGCCGCGATAGAAAGAGTTTGGCCATCGACAACAACTGGTTGTCCATTCCTGTAGATGAACATAAGCCTTTGTCTCTTCAGCAACGGAAAGATACGCACTTATAACTTTCGAGTTCTTTGTAGGACTGGATGAATTTTTCGACGAGGCCCGTCGACTTGGGTTTGCTCGATTTTTGGGCAGACCGAGGAGACAGTAAACTCTTGCTGTCAAGGGAAGCGTGAGTGCTGACGGTGGTGATTTTTATGCTTGCATGATGATGGAAAAGTTGGGCTCCCGAGGAAGACGAGCGACGAGGTATAGGCTTAGCCTCAGAAGAAAGGATAGCCATGGGTAAAGATACGTAGAGGGTAGGAGAGTCCGGTACAGCTGAAGGTGATATCGAGTCATTGGAGTGTAGACAGCTTATATACGAGAGATCCAAGCAACTTGAATACGGTAAAGATCAAAGATCTAGAAAAGCGATTACCCCTTTCGCAACCAAGTCCTAGCAAAATTTACTGACTCACTCGCAAGTTACAATAGCTTGCACTCCCATTCTCGTCTGGGGCTGTACTGCAACTGCGACCAGCGCGGAATCGACCACCTGAGTCACTCGGCGCTACATCATTCCTTGATTCCATGGCCATACACCCGTGTGCTGTGCACCCACCAACGTCATGGAAGGGCACGCATCTGCCTAGTTTTGAGGTTTTCGCTCTTGGGAGAATTAGGCGCAAGAATTAAGAGGTTGTCAAGAGTGTTGCATTCAACTTAGGGGGTTCTTGACAGTGGACAACATTCCTCTCGTCGTTTAATTGATCTGTCGGCGTCGAAGTGTTGCCGAATCAAGTTCCTAGTTTGCCTCATCTAATGAAATCCGTCCCCCGATCAATTGCGGAAGTAGGGTCCATCGAAGTCTGGAATTTACAGGTTTGGGCCGAAAAAAAGTGTACCTATATGAAACTTATGTACATCGTTGCTTGCGGAATCATCCAAAACGTCGTACAGCCTCTTACTTCCAGTTTTACAAGGACCATTTAGTATGGTGGATGCGGACTTTGTTTTAGGACTGTGTCACGCGCTCAACGTTCTCAAGAAAGAGATTTAGATGCAGTGAACATTCTCTTGACCCCCGAATGAGATCCATATATACACGAAGAACGCCAGATCGAACAAACATGAAGGGAGGAAGTCAGCTTGGAGCGCCTTGGTCTGGTAGGCGCTCAATTGCGTATCGTCGCTTTACGATATACATGAGTGGTACGCCAGGTATTTGTCGTATCCGTCGACGGAGCTCCCGATCACAGGTTGCAACGATGTAACACTTGTGAGCCGTTACCCTTTGAACTAAGCAATCGTCGGCGTAGGTGCCAGTGTGCGAACACCGCAAACGCTCGAATCTGGTATCGCGAGCCACTCTATTGTGACATATATGAGTGGAGACTCGCTGGTGTGGAGGGTCTGTTCTCACCGGAGAGCCACTCGGTATCGGTGCCCCAGTTTTTCCAGCTCAGCCATGACACAGTCAGTCACGCATGGTATGCCTTGAAAATAGGCGTGGACTGGTCAACAAGCAAAACAAGGTTTGAAGGTTCAAGGTGATTCACATTTTGCGTAGAGGCAATCCATCATCCCGCTCACAAGTTCCAGCTTGTTTTGAAGACTGAAATTAATAAAATTGGTGTCGATGAGTACGCGGTATGGAGGAACGAGAGCGGTGTTGTGCGCTAGGAATAGGGATGATGCGATCTGCGGCCTGCAAGGACACCATCAGAATGGGCGAATCAACAGAACAAGTTTAGTACTAACACACGACGAACGGCCTTGGCCCTCTCCTCCTCTTCTTTCTGCTTCTGTTTAAGTTGATTCTCCTTGCTGTGATCGACGTTTCCTTCAATGAAAAAGTACGCAGTGACGACAAACTTACAGCCGGATGTCATTGGGATTAAGCAATCGCTTGACAGTGGCGAACTTTCTGGTTTTCTTTGCTTTACCCTGGATGAATAGTTAAGCATTCGCGGAATGAGAGAACTGTTAACTGTGTACCATATTGAAAAGATTATGAGCTGCACAGCCACTTGAGTCTAGAAAACAAGTCAAAACAACGCATCCAAAGCGCGGCTTCCAAGCCGTTCTGTTCTGACTTGGTTCTGACAGGGTTGGACGTTTTGAACTTTCAACGTTTAACTGTTGCGCAGCTACCCTTTCACTCAACTTTTACTTTCCGTTCTTCTGTTTGGAAAGGAACGATTAGGAGGATAATATGCTACAAAACGAAGATGGCCTTCCTTCCTCCTATAAGTATGCCTGGTCAAAGGATGCAGAGCTGTCTCTCCCCGACTTCTTGACGAAAGTGAGTCTAAACAGGCATTTGGCATTTGGTTTACTCACCCATGCATTTAGTTTAAACCGTCAATGGTCCAAAATGACGGAACCAAGCCCGTGAGTCGTGCATCAATTCGAGACATAGATGTATAATGTCACTTTAAGTGGATATGGGTGAGAGGTTCTGATTCATCGGTGGAGGATGTGGGGGTTGAGGACGCAATAAAGGAAGCCTCGGAATATTGTGCGTTGACTGACTTTGGCGCTCCTCTTTCTTGGTTGATTTTCAGGTTGCAGTGAATGAGGTTACCGAGAAAATCGAGAATGTCAAGGTTTGTTCCCGCCTTGGTTCTATTTTGCCCTTCTCACCCCATCCTGACAGAATGACGAGTCCATACCTCTTCGATCTAGCAAGAAAACTGGGGCGAAAAGCAAGAAAGAGGTTCGAGAACAGGTGGGATTCTTGTCGTGGTCTGAAGGTATCATCCATAAAAGAAAATAGATACAAGCTGAGGCTAGCAAAAAATTAGAGGAGATAGCGGTCAGCCACGGATACTTATCCGGAAAGTGGTTCGTATACATCTTTTTCTACTGGACCTTCTCAATTCATCGGTCACAGGTTGATATTTGCGTCATCGGACAAGGTCGACATGATATGGTCTAATATTGCCAGTTTGTGTCAGGTCGCATCGGTTTCTGCCCAAACGCTGAAATTTTTATTTTAGCATCAATAGTTTCTGGACCTCTCTCCTCTACCTCCGTTTATCTAGCGAAAGTAGCAACGTCTCCTGAGAGCGAAACTTCTAACGCTCAACATCTCATTTGTGTTTACATGCCCAATGTATACGACAAAGAGAGTGTTACCGAGGTGGGTAGTCTTCAGCCACCCCGCATTTCATACTCAGTTCTTCAGGTCATGAAGCTGCTGCTTCGAAACCATGGCGTTAACCTCAGTGGGGTTAAGTCAAACCTTTACACATCCATTGGTTTGTTTGATTTTTGAGAGATAATATTCCAATTCAATGTGCTTATCTAGGAATCGACAGTAAACATGCAAGCGGCATCCAATCAACTGTAACTACGCCGCTTTCACTGGAAAAGCTTTGTTTTAGCTGAGAGGTCCCCTAGATCTGGAAAAATTCCAACTTAATTCCGGAATCAGAATCCAAAGCAAGTTTTCCATTGTGCACGCTTGTCGAGTCTAACGCTTTTACAAATTCAGGCATTGAAGGATGCCTTTTTTGCAAACTTATCCACTCCCCAAGCTGTGGCTCCCGTAAAATCTGATGTGCAAGCTGCAGAAGTACCTACGACATCAAAAGTCAAGCCAAAATTGAAATTGCGGAAAAAAGTCGACGATAACCCATTCGAATCCGATAACGAAGAACCAGAAACGGTACCCGCCAAGAAAAGCGTTACAAACAAGGCGAAGAAGTCTGAAACAGACAATAAAGAACCTCCACCAGCACCTGAACCAAAGAAAGGTGGTGTGAAGGTAAAAGCAAAAAGAGCCAGTTCTAGCGATGACGAGGACGACGAAGAAGAGCGACCGAAAAAGAAGCGAGCGGCAGCAAAAAGATGAAGTTCGTTTCACGATATACATATGCTAAGTATGTATGAGAATTAGAAAAGTAGGTAAATCGAATTGATCGCAACTCCATCATGTCAAACCACATTATGTGTTGGGTCTGGCAGCCTATTTTTCTCCATTGAATGTCCGTCTGTCTCGATCGAGGGCGTAAGAGGAGAGGGTTGCTGAAGAATGGGTGGTTGGGGAAAAGATGATTGAGAGTCGGTTCGAGTATCCACTGCGATCTTTTTTGAACGAGATCTCTGTTTTTTGGCTTTACGAGAGAAATTTTCAGCATCAGTGCCCTCATTTGTGCGAGTTCGCTTTACGCCTCGCTTTTTTACCTGAGATTTGCGACGTGCTTTGGAATCATCATTGGAGGTATCAGCCTCATCTTCGGCCGTAGGCTGATAGGGTGTGTCCATAAGAAAACGCTTACTTTGGCGACTTTTGAGAGACTTGGGGCCTGGAGGTCCCATTGACCCACCTTCGCCCTTATCAGAGGGCGATGGCCGCGGTCGTTCTGTTTCAGGGAACTCCATATCGGTCATGTAATCTTCAAGGCTGTCATGGTCACTGAGGTGGGCAGTATTGGTTGAGTCTTTGTCTGAGTCGATCGCTTTCCTCCGAGCTGAAAATGAAGTAGATGATCCAGCAACAGACGCGGGTGCCCTGGTCGACGCTGGCGAGCGAATTGAGTATCCGGGGGATCCTGCGAAGCTGGAGTAGTCGTGACTACTAGTGTTTCTGGCTAGACTCATCCTCTCTGAGCCACTTCGCCGAAGAAGAACCTTGCGGGTAACTTCTTCACCTGGACTTGGGAGATAGAAGACTTCTTGCTCGCGGAGAATGTCCAATCCTACCAACTGCCTGAGTGTCCCAATTAAGTAGGCGTCAAAATCTAAAGTTTCAACATCTTTGACCATCCGTAAGCTGTCATCGTGTGTAGCGTCCCCATGATCTTCGATCTCCTCGTCCTCCATCAGTTCCTTATCATTGAGGGAGCACCCAGGAACCAGGAAACAAACACGAGGACCACCTTCTTCCTTTGGGACGCTGATTTTATGATATCGACAGTGGGATCGTGTCACTGGCGAATTTGAGGACTTTACATGGACTGAAGTCGGAGGCGGGGGAGGCGGGATGGCGGGCAAGGCTTGTAAATTTGTGCCGGTCGCCGAGAAACTAGTTGATGTACTGGGCAGTCGTTCGTCGATTTGAGAGAGTGAAGAGAACGAGGGTCCTATAAGTGTCTGATGCTGTGGTTGCTGTTGCTTTGCTTTCGCGGACAGCAGCTGCAAGGTCTCCTTACGCTTTTGACCATGGGCATGAAAAAGAGGGTTAGGGGGGATGGAAGGCCGAGTAGCTACGGCACCTGGCTTGCAAATAGTAGGTGACGGGTGGAATGTCATGGACATTGTGTCGCTGGCCGCAGAAGAAACAACGGATGAAGCAGGGGAATTAGTTTGATTGTCAGGCTGGAAGAATCTAGCCGCTGAGCTGACCCCCGAACTTGACCAACTTGTTGTTGAATTCAGAGATGTGTTACGAGTTTGCTTTTTGGTAGCGTTGCTGCCCTTTCCTTTCCCCTTGGGCCTGGGATTTACACGAATCGTTTCCTCGTCTGTTTCCCTATCTACCACATTTGTCTTCTCCTTCACCGACTTGATGACGTCTGTGGACTTGGATTGTAGAGTGCGGGTTAGTCGAGAAGGCTTCGGAGACGAGCTACGTTTTCTCTTGAGACCGTGGCCAGAAGTATAAACATCGTCAACATCAAGGGGATTAGCACGCAAAGCCTGTGGTTCGATCTCTTGTGAAGATGAGCCAGTTTGTGGAGCTATGCTTGAGGTGGAAGTGATGCCGTTCTTTGGACCTCCGTTTGCCGGAATTGACGTGACGGTGGGGGACGACCTAGTGTTCTTTGAGCTGAGGGGGAAGTTAGCAATAGGAAGAACATACGATGCTACTTCAGCCAGACTAAATTCTCCATGTTTGACTTCCCCTTGTGCAGAAATATGATCGGTTCCCATTGACTTGAACGGATCCTCGTCTGCAGCACGATCTATGACGCTTGCCTGAGACGTTGTTATCGAATTTCTGTCGAAATCTGGAGCATGGCCGCTGTCTGCATCCGATCTCCTTGTCGAGGGTGGCAGTTCTGTTGTGGGAAGGAAAGACAATGGAGACTCTGGTGCGGCTTCGCTCCAAAGTCCTGGTTCTGTTGGATACTGCAGTTCAGAGTCATCGACATCACCAGTATGGTCGGGAATGTGGTTGAGATAGATATCGTCCAAAATTTTGTCAAAGGTTGAATTTGACGACATCGAGTTGTCTTGCTCAGTGTCCTCTTCTTCAGGAGCTTCCTCCTTTGGTGCCTCAATGAAGCTGGGAATGCCTGGGGTTGACAGGCTGTAAGGATAGGGATCATTGCATAAAAACAATGCCGGAGGCTTGCGAGTTATGATCGGCTCCGTTGAAGCGGACGGTGTCGTGAGTATACTTGAATCTGAGACGGATGTTGCCCCTGTTTGTAAGATATCCCTGTCATTCGGCCGAGTAGATTCTTCCCACAGATTAACTTTAGGTGCAACAAGCAAAAATGAAGGGCCTACCAGGTCCCAACGTTGGCTGTTCATTGCCAACGAAGTCTGTTACTCCTTGACGAACGCCTGGGGATGACGGTGATTCTGATGGGTAAGCAGGTTGCTCGTGGTTAGGTTTGGGCACGATAGACGTAGGTGCCATGGAGTCAGGCTCAGAGGATGTCGCGAAGCCTGAGGATGCAGCCGGTAAGGTCAGTTCTTTACTTGAAGGTGCAGCAGAGTCCGTGGCATCGATGATAGTGGTGTCCTTCACGGTGGCAGACTCGAGAGTGTCATTTTCCTTGAAGGCCTCAACCTGATGTGCATCAGGAAAAGAAGGAACTTCGGTTTCCAACGAAATAGATGGCTCTTCTGCTTCAGATACTGGAGATTTCGCATGCAAGTCATTCAGATTTTCTTTTGCATCGACCACCTGATCAGGGGGTTCCTGTTGAGGGAAATCAGTGCCATTCGCATTCCATTGCGCAAGTTCAAAAGCTCGCCTCTGTAAGTCGTGCCTCAGAATCAGTAAAAGGCTCTTCCACGCTATAACCGATGTCTACGTCGTTTTCCTGTCGAAAATCAGTGCTGACTGACAGAATATCAACGTCCCAATCAGGCTCTCCCTCCGCGTCCTCGCTTGTAACGCTTCCTTCATCTTCAATAACCGTATACCCGGTGATAGTAATTTGTTGGGTTTCTACCTCAACACTTGCGGAGAATTTGTCAAAAGGGTCACTTTCATCCAGGCTGGGACCTTGATCTTGGTCTTGAGACGGTAAAATCTCTGGTGGTTCACGCGAAATGCCCGGTAGATCGGTAGGTCGAGGCGTCTCGGAAGATAAGGCTGGAAGCTGATCAGATTCTTCCATCACTTCGTCGCCGTGGCCTGATTCGCCAAGAGCTATGCAAATATCAGTCACTGAAATCAAATAATCAATAAGGATATCTGAGAGTAGAGTTATGAGTCATTTACCAGTCTCATCCCGTTCATGCACAACAGAAGTAGTCTCCTCTTTCATTACAATCTCTTCATCCTCCTTTGGGCGTGCTTCTATGTCAAGTTCTTTCTCTGAAAACAGGACATTTTCAAAATCCTCCACGTTCTCGTCCTCACCACTAACAGCGACATCTTCCCCATCATAGTGAGCATCTACTTCGGAAAAAACTTCCGTGACAGTTTCGTGAGGCGCTGTATCAGGCGTCTGCTCAACGGTCTCGACTGACTTTGAGACGGCAAAGGTCTGCAGATTTTCTTCTGTATCAATGAATTGTGTTGAGACTATCTTATCCTCCGAGGGTGGGGCGACAGCTAAAACAGGCGAGGGTAGATCCGAGGCCGCCGCTGTTTTTTTTCCTGAGGGGTTAATGTGAATAGATGTGATTGTTGCACGAAAACGAACCTTCATGAGCTGCGGTCGCCTCCTCGCTAGCTGTTTCTAAATCAGTACCCACATGATTGATAGAATCAATATCCATCTCTCCTCCGGGGCTAGCTCCAATTTCCATTTCTAATCTGTCCGTAGGGGGGGTTGAGGGAACAAGATTGTCGGATTCGAGTTCTCCCTGAATATCGCACGGTTTCGCCTCTTGCATGGAAGTTTCAATCGCAGGTGCAGATCCCTGATCCAATTCGACAATAACTACTTCCACAGGTTTCGATTCCTCCAATGGAGACATGGAACTCGTCGTTCGGACAAGTGGTTCGCCAGCAATGTCGTGGCCCACCTGGTTCGTTCCTTCCACCATCCGATCCCCGTCTTTCAAGATTGCGGTACCTGTTGTTTCGCCATTGTCGGTGGTCATGATGAATTGATTCGAGTCTTCGTCTTCCTCCCCCAGATAATTAGGGTCCACACTTGGACCAGGAACAAGGCTGAGGTCGCCGCCAGCATAATAATCCTCTGCATACGTTTCAGGACCTTCCCAAGGATTGGGTATCTCAATCGCCAGGAAAACTTCAGGGTCAGAAGCAGAGTGTGACGGGAAGGCTGCCAAGTCGTGCGTCAGGCTTAACTATTAACGTGGGTTGGGTTTTTCTTACATGTATCCTTGTCTGCTGGTTGAATAACATCCTCTTCGTGAATTTCATCAACATCAGGTTCTTCCAAGAAATGAGGGTTCGGGTGATGCGCATGCGCCACACGCGCGTCGCCACCAGCGTAAAAGTCCTCGGCATAGGTTTGCGGTCCTTCCCAAGGATCAGGAAGTTCGACAGGCAACTCATCTTGTTCTGTGTCGTGGGGTGGAAACGCTAGCCATGGTAGTTAGTGACTGGACTCGAGTGGTAGAAACCAGCGACCTACAGGTGTCGGATTCCAATGGCTGTATGTTATCCTCCACTGGTTGGTCCGTTTCAGGCTCGACTTCAATCTGTTCAACGCCAGCCTCAGCATCTGCTTGAACGGATTTGAGGACGTAGGAGGGATGAGCGAGAGGATGAGGGGTGCCCGTATCATGACCTTCGTTATCAGAATACTCTCTTTCAGAATCGTCGAATTCCGCCTCTCCTTGTTCTGGTCCCCCCTCTTCGTCCTCTTCAAAATACTTGATAGCCCCGGCATGTTCATAGTCAATTAGTTCATCGCCAGGAATGAGCTCAATCACTTCTTCCGCCCCAAGCTGCGCCTCCGTACGCTTCTCAGCTTCGTCACCGGACTCGTTGCAACTTGACAAGAGTTCATCTCCACCTTCTTCCTCTCCCTCGTCATCGCCGACGTCATCGTCCTCTTCCTCATCCACGACGTACCGCTCAGATTTTACCCTGGGGTTTACATGCGTTGAGGCTTGCCCTTGTTTCCAATAATCTTCATTATCCGAAGATGCCGCTTCGTCAAAAATGTGTGATAATTCATTTTCGTCATCGCCATCTTCATCGTCGACCCCTTCCTCTTCCTCTTCCCACTCCTCCTCTTCCTCCTCCTCTGAGCTAGAGCCTAATTCAATAGGTTGATCGCGATTGCCTACCCCTAGACCAGGGCCCTCCCTTGGGTCGCGTTCTTTACCTTTTCGAACAACGCGCCTGGCTTTAATTTCTGCAAAAGAATCCTCGGCAGGATAATCGTCCAGACTGAAATCCGCGGTGATGTCAGGATAACTGAGGCTACCGTCCTCCTGCGGAGCTGCATTTTTTGGAGGTTCCTCATCTACCTGACCAAGAGCCTTTCGTAGTGCGCCTGTAATTCCACCAATCCACGCATCGAATTCCGGTTGAGTGAACTTATCATAGGGATTGTGGATTGGAGGTCGCGTTGAACCCTGAAATTGTGAAGTGTACGCCGAGACTGAATGGGGTGTTGGATGGGGAGCAGCAGGTACGCGGGGCGTAAATTGGTATGGAGACGACATTGGTGGGAAGAGATGTAAAGATTAAAAAGAATTGTTGTGAGCAAGCAGACAGCTACGGTCAATGCTGCGTTCAGGTTCTTTGTCGGGATGACATGACCGTCACAGAATCCACGTGCCTACGTGTAAAGCCACGTGATGGTCACGTCCTCTAAATTGAACTGCAATAACTTGAACTCAACACTCAATGGCTGGACCAGGAACTTTGGATTCTTTCATAATCTCCAGACGGCCCCAACCAGATCCTGTTTTCACCTCTCAAGAGATCCGTGATCGAGGCTCAACTTTTGTTGCCAACGTCTACCATGCCACTTCTCCAGAAGAAGCGAAAGCCCGCATCAATCACCTCAAGTACATCCTTCATGGGCCTAAACCAGCCACCCACGAGATAGCAGCATGGAGATGTATGGTTCTAAAGTCTGGTCACACCGGTTTGGAAGGCCCCGATGACTTCGAGCTCAGGTCGGGCAGTACTGATGACGGCGAGAGTTGGGCGGGGAGTAAGGTTTTGAAAGTGTTGGAAAACCAGGCCATCATTGATGCCGTCGTCATAGTCAGTCGCTGGTAAGTATCATTGATCTATTACTCGTCTATCCTAACAATGCCTAGGTACGGAGGGACAATGTTGGGTCCTGCTAGGTTCTCTCATATTGAGAGATGTGCGTTAGAAGTTTGCCAGGCCTTCAAACGATCTGAAGAATTGCGGGAAAATATTGCCACTCTACAAACCTTAGACGTCCTACTCGACCAGCTCCGAAGCGACTTGTCACAGTTAACCCATCCCGATTCGTCAACACCACCACTCCTCCAAAGCACTAGAAAGCAGCCCAATTACACCGACCTGGACGTGCCTAAGACTAAGCGTCTAATTCGAGCTCGCGAGAATGCGGTGAAGAGCGTCAAATCTCTTATTTCCAAGCACAAAGAAGTCCACCCTGAAAAGGAGACACTTCATAACGGCATGTAAATACAGGTTACCCAAGCATGCAGCCCACCTCCGTTGCTGCGCGTGGAAAAAGAACCTCTCCCCATCGCCTCGTGCTTTCAACTGATACCCCCGTCAGTCTGCCCTCGGTTACGCATACCTCCTCAAACTGAAGGCTTCTACGTCCGTGACGTGCGGCCGAGAATCTCATAGTTTGGAGTCCCTGGTCGCGGGTGTGCTTTTTGGTGGATGGCTAACACTGCGGATTCGGATCCACCATGGGAGGCGCATTTTGATATGGATTGGTTGCTCCCAAACGGTATTGGTTACGGTTTCCAACAGGTCCGGGTTGATTCGACTACGAAACAATGAAGATTTTCCTGTAAAAGGCCAAAAGACGCAGCGATTTGCGGCCCATCGTGGTTTCTTCGCTGACAGCACCGCTCCAAGCCAAGCAGGGAAGATTGCGAAGCGACATAATTCAGACAATGTCCAGTAAGTCTCAATGCGTAACGAGTGTTGAGCGTCGAAATCTTATAGTTTCTAATAAAAATAGCTCTATCATGGTCCAGATTATGGTATATGCACATCACCCTAGCTCGTCCAAATCAATCGACATACAACAACTATTTGGCACCCCCATACCGCGCCTTGCGACCGATATCAAAGGGAACATATTTATATTTGATCATATGTCTATGAAGTGACTCTCAAATAAACGGAGGAGCTTTGGGCAAAATGGAGCAACGCACTGAATTTGTCTTCGCATAGTCAGAGCGAATAACACGAAGAAGTAGACGACGAGGATTGGCCAGTAAACGGGGACATCGAAGACCTCTGAGAACGTGCAAAAGAGTGCGATGATCGTGGCACGAGTGGACGAGAGCCTATTAACAGGGTCAAACTTGTGTTGGCAGAGAAGGAACGACACTTACCAGAATTGCCATTCAGGTAACCGTCTTACGAAGGGTCTAAACTCATCATCTCGCTGAGAGGGGAGGGGGCTTATAGCGGGATCTCCACCCTCCTCAATTTCATCGGCCATAAGATCATCCTGAAGCGAGGGGTCAAACTTCGGTTGGAGAAAGGCGAGTAAAAGATTTAGAAGGTAGATGGCGTGGGCGTCTAGAAAGAAAAAAAGAGAGAGATTGTGTAGATAAAGATAACGTAGCAAGATGGCGACGTACAGCATACTAAGAGGAGTGATTTTCAATTTTTTATGAGCCATTTGCGTTCGCACTAGAAATGGGACCTACCAATGTACCACTATGAAGACGTGTCAGCTCAACAGAGATAGGAAAAGATAAGAAGGCTGACCCCTTGAGCTAATACAATCCTTAAAAGAAATAAGGCCAACAAGCCAGCAGAGGCGAGCCAGCGGTTGAGCATGTGGGGCGTCCAGCGGTCAAGAGTCTGCTGGTATAGGCGCTGTATTTTTGCATATTGGGCTTGCAAGTTTTGTACAGGGGAGGGCTCCAAACCAGAACCAGAGTCGGACATCATAGTTGTCGTTAAGAATAGATCGTTCAGGGACTTGGGGGTTGGACCAGAGTGGACACTGACCACACCTGGGGACTTGGGCACAACGTTGGACGACGTTGTCAATTTTAATTTAGGCGGAGATCGAAAGCAACGCCTTTCTTGGCGCCTTGTAAGTATGTTTTTTTTTGTTTTTTCAAATGGAAGCTATTGAACTAATCTGCAAACACATTCTCGCCCATCGTACAACGGTTCCCAAGCCTCTTTTTGTTGCTCTTCAAGGACCACAAGGCTCAGGAAAGTCATATCTATCTGGCCTTGTACAGGAAACGTTATCTGCATCTCCAAACAATCTGCGGATTGTTGTCATCTCAATAGATGACCTCTATCTCCCCCACGGCGATCTCATCTCCTTAGCTTCGTCACATCCAAACAACCCACTTTGGCAAGGTCGTGGTCAGCCGGGCACGCACGATGTCGAACTTGGTATCCGCGTCTTGAATGCCCTCAAACACGGCATCTCTGTCGAGATTCCGCGATTCGATAAAAGTTTGTTCAATGGAGAAGGCGATCGATTACCGATGGATGGCTCTGGCACCATCGTCTCTCAACCGCCACTTGTCGACATTGTTATTCTGGAAGGCTGGTGTGTTGGCTTTCAAGCCATCTCTTCAGACGACCTTTATCGCAGATGGAACGGAATTTGGAAAGAAGAGAGAGAGAAACTAAGTCTCACTGAAGATAAAGTAGGCAAAAAGATTGACGTGGAGAACGTCAACGAGAAATTAAAAGGATACGCCCCTCTCTGGACTTTCTTCGATATTTTTGTCCAGGCATGTAATTTATCTTCGCTACCTCACACAACCTTTCATTGTTCAAATCAGCTGAAAGCCACGCCACCTCCATCTACTTCTGAATCTCAGCATTCTATCATCTATGAGTGGCGTCTGGAACAGGAACGATACATGAAAGAACAGAATGGTGGCCGAGGCATGTCAGATGCTGCAGTCAAGTCGTATGCAACGCCTTATCAGCTATCCTCGTGTCGTACCTCTTACCCTCGACCAGATTTGTAGACAGGTATATTCCTGGCTATGTCTTTTTTGGGGATTCCTCGCCGCTCAGTGTCGACCAAGGCCAAAAAACGTTGGGAAGGACTTTGACCTTGTACCTCGACGCAATGCGGAACGTCACAACGTCGTCGACATCATGACCTGGAGGTAGACTGGTGGTCTAACCTGGGACATATTGTTCTGATTCTACCTTGGAAACCTTAACCGTCTTGCTTCGCAGTAAAGAGAGCATCAGGAAACGCTTGTTGTGTTGTGAACAATGGGAGGATTCAATAGTTCTCTTGAAATGTCAGTGCATAGTTACAACGTGTTGCACTTAGACTTTACAGCCCTATAATGAATGGCTCGAAGTTATTGTTTAACCCATCTCGATGGATTTACTTGAATCACAGTATTAGGCAATCACTTTTGAGCGAATATCAGGCAACTCCAATCATGTCCGCATACGACGAGATAAGACAAGGCTCCACTTCAAGCATCTCCATTCTTCCTTCAACATTATGGGGATCGAAATCCCATGGTTCCGACTCAGACGGCCGTATAACTGTACACCACCTGACCCTTTCCACCTCGCGTCAACTCCCCGGGTTATTGGACTATCTTAATAAGATCTTCGCGAGTGAGATCAAGAATGGACAGACGTACCCCCAAGAGGGAGAAATGGGACAACCGACGTTTGAAGCCTACTTCTTTGCGGCAGACGTCTTTGTGGGAATTTTCGGAGGCTTATTATCCAAGGAATGCATGACGGAAGGTGGTGATGCTAAGATGGATATTGATGATGCAAGAGCGACAAGAAGCTGGGAAGAGTGCGTAGCTGGGTACTATTATGTGCGTCAATGCCATACGTACCTGCCGCCAACTGAACATCCGATTCATTAGATCAAGCCTAATTACCCTGGCCGTTCGTCGCATGTAAGTAATTATTTAGTGACCATAGGTGGTGCGCATTGCCTCTCTTATTTCCACAGATCTGTAACGCCGGCTTTGTGGTGCCACCGGAACGCAGAGGAAATGGTTATGGCTTCAGGCTCGCAAAGTCGTTTCTCCACTACGCCCCCCTGCTCGGATATCGGGCAAGCATTTTCAATCTTGTCTACGTCAATAACACTGCATCTGTTAGGTGAGTGCGGTCATTTCTGAGGAGCTCTTTCCGGTGAATGCTGTGCAGAATATGGGAACGGCTTAATTTTATAAAAGTTGGGAGAATACCCGAAGCCGGCCGGGTCCAAGGCAAGGATGGTAATGAAGATGAATATGTGGATGCGTTGGTATTTTACAAGGGTTTTGTTGTTTGATTATCGATTCGGTTGTTGTACAGCAGTTACATAGTGACGGTGACTAATCACACGTTGTGCGGCTGTGTATGACACTGACAGCTTGTTGTGATCGATAAAGTTGGGGAGCAAAGTGCCAGCCTGCAACTGCCTGCAACGGACAATTCGGAACATCACCTTGAGATACGTAGGTGAGTTAAAACGGGTTATAAAAAGCTGATGCCCTTTTCTTACCTTCCCTTCAGAGGTATTTGGTTTTTTCAAACATCTTCCACCTGTCCCACTTTTTCTGCATCATGGCTACTACCCATCCTCATCCCTCTGCTGCCGATTCGAGAAAACCCCCTCCCAACGCTCGTCCTCGCAACTTCCAATCGGTACCTCCTGTAAGTCCACAGCATTTCTCTCTGTCCAGCTCTACTCACACGCCTCACAGGCACCACCCTCCAAGGCAGATCCTTTCTATGGCCACGAACCCATCGCTCGTCTTTGCGGGCGCTTCATCACACATCTGTTCACATGTCCTGAATACCCGCCCTCGTCGACACATTCGCAGCAAAAGCTTCCCTACTTCATTGCCTACGCTCTTCACCGTACCAAACTGCATCCTTCGGTCACTTATGCCTCTCTGGTTCTCCTTCAGCGACTCAAAGCTCGTTTTCCAACCGCAAGAGGGTCGTCTGGCCACAGACTATTTATCTCTGCGTTTATGATAGCCTCTAAGGTCATTTGCGACGACACTTACTCGAACAAATCCTGGAGTATTGTGGCCCAAGGCATGTTCAATCTTCGCGAGGTCAACCAGATGGAGAGGGAGATGTGCAGCTACCTGGACTGGGAGCTCACTGTTGACAATCCCATCCTCGGTAAATTTGAAGCGGCCGTGAAGAGGGATTTCTATGAGAACAGGGCATCATACCCCGACTATCCGCTCGCTATGGTGTCGAAACGTGCCGCGAAAGCTGCTACTTCTTCTTCCGCTACTCCTATGCCAGAACCCAATTCTACAACGAGTCCGATCCCCAACTTTGGCGAGCAAAGGAATGCTTCACCGGCGAAGCCCCACCCGGGTCACCCGGCCCACCCGAGCCACATACCTACGCCAAGCAGTGTCTCTTCCTGGGGAAGCACTCCAAATACGCCTGACACCCCATCGCCGAGCTATTCAAATTCGACGTCCCCTGCCTCATCGGCGTCGCCACCAACCCCTGTGGGCGGTGAGGATTACAGCGCCAAGATCCGTGGCGTTGACTCATCACCGATGTTTACAATTACGGATATCATGCCGCCCGTGCATCCTTTAAAGGGTCAAATGTTTGCTTTCGCACATCCCTCACGGTGGTGACTCGGCTGTGGCGTCTTGCTTTGCTGCTCGATTTCCCTCACTATCTTTTACTCAAGTGGTTATCCCTGCATAATCTGGCACGAGCATCAATCATTGTACACTTTCACATCGGACCTTTTTTCAGAGATACCCCCAATCAAACTATATCCTGCAATCTTTTTATTTCCAGCATCCTATGTATCTTTTCTTATGCAGGTGCAAAGTTACTCCTTGTGCTTCATTTTACCTAGATATCTCGACATTCCTTTCCACCTCACACTCTTTTGCGATAGGCTTCCCATACATATATGTTACAAACAGCATAAAAACAGAGAAATATGAAAAACGTGCTTGATCAAATGTTCCCGTCTGTTTCTAATTATTGCAACGGTTGCCACTTGCTCTCCCACGTCCATCTCCACCCGTTGGAAAACAACAGTTTTCCGAGATGGGCCCTTACAGCAAACGTGCTGTACACATGTCTTTCAAGCGCTAGACCTGCTAATAGATTCTGTCAATCAATCACATCGTGACCAACCGGAAGTTCTGATAGGAATGCTACCACGTTCCTCTTTGGATAACAAGCGAAGGAACCCCAAAGTCGATCGACTCCTGACTCTTTCGAGTTGATTACCCGGGATTAGACTGAGGTGGTAGCGGAACAAAAATCCGTGTCCCGAGAAGAAAAATTAGGATCCCCGAAAATTTTTCGACCAAAGGCAGCTATGTCCATAACGGCCAACAACGGAGCCATGCAACGTTCCTCTACGAGACCACCAAGGTTTTTTTAGATCTCAACGTCAACGTCCAAATCAAATCCGAATCCTCCATGCTATCGATTGACGCTTGTTGATTGACAACTTGAATGGCAATCAACGACAAATAGTCCTGAGGTAACTCTTCCCCAACTTGCACTCTTCCCTGAACTTTGCCTCATCCCTCAACCGCCACCGTCCGCATAACGTCCCCAGTTGTTTGCCTCGTTGCGTCAGCTCACCTCAGGCTCATCCCACCGCGCGGTTTGTGTTCCATGGAAGCCCTGCGCGGGCTTTTACAAATGGTACATGTCTGCATGTTGGACTAACCTTTTCAATAATTTTCCATGTATCATTGCACAATGCGCAAGCAAATGAGAACCAGGCGTGTTGTGACGCCCCTTCACATCAACTTCAAGCGCACAAACTCCTTCGCCTTTTCCGCGCGAAGGGAGAAAGCCCATTATATATGTTCTGCTCGCCTAACGTTAGGCTACTGCACTAGCTGATATATGTAGCAACGGACGTCTAATTCAACGTACTTGAATCTTGCATATAGACACCATCCTGATGAATTTTGACTAAAACTTGAAACAATCAACAGCGTGAGGCTGCTAAAAGCTCAAGTTGGGCTCGCTCTCAAGGTTCTTTAAAAGTAAAATTTCTACTGTACTTCATGAATTGCATTAAGAGGGAATCGAACCCCCGGCGGGTCGACACAATGTCACATATCAATGGCAACGACCCAGGTTACCACTACCCCATTAATGCCGATGAAAGCATGTAAATACAAGTACATAGATTGGCAAGCGTCGGAGATTGAAAGAATTCCTTGGTTCGTCGGCGCTGACTGTGTGCAAGTACTTGACTGGCTACGTTACCCAACTCTATCCCTCCCTATATCTCTCAATCATGCCTTTCGGTCTAACCATTGGCACAGAACGGGCAGCTGCCCTTCAGGTGCGTTTTAATCCCTTCCAACTCCTCTAAAATCACAGCTCATGTTTTTCTCCAGCAATCCATCCAAGATGAGCTCACAAGACGAGGGTACAGTCCAGATGCTGGTAAGTTATTGTTCAGCTGCATGACCCATATCTTTTCTTAAATATCCGCTCCTTCAGACCCAGTCATGGCTGAGTATATAACCATTATGGTTATCAATAATAAAACGGCGGGTGAGTTTCTTTCTGTCCCTCGTTCAGCCGCTTTTGTTTGACAGCGCCCTCAGTTCAGATAACAAGCGAATTGGAAGATTGTATGTTCTCTTCTCTCTCTTTTCTTTGCCAAACGCTGACCTTTTTTCTATTCAGTGATCGGCGCCGACTTTGGTATGACTCCGTTACATCTTTGTAGTAGAATCCTAATTTTTTCAGGCGTAGATGCTAGTTTCACCGATTGGCTATTCGAGGAAGCTGCGAAAGGCGCTGCTGGTCCCGACATAGTTCCCCAGTCTCCTCCAATCAAAGCAGACGCCAGCAATCCAGGACCTTCACGAGACCCGCCTCCCCATATCTCGAATGACTCGTCACGCAAGGCTGTCAGTGCCTCTCGTAGCGGGGTTTATCAGCAAGCTATCTCCCAAGCATTTCCCCCTCCCACCTCTCAGAAACGAACCGCTTCCGCCCGTTCCCCTTCTCCTAGCCACCCAAACAAATCAAGACGCACTGACCTGCCTACCGGTCCAAGAGCCATGCTCCGCGACGGACCGTCAAATTCTAATACAAACCCCCAGCCAAACACCCGCAGCTTACTGGACCGCGTTGGTGGTCCTGCGAACGCTTCAGGACGGAGTAATGGTTCGGCTGGCTTTGGTCGTGATGAGGTTCAAGCACGAATCGACAACATCGTGAATGGCTCTCCTGATCCTAACATGATGATGGCGGGGTTCCCTGGTATGGGTGGTATGGACATGAATGTGATGGCCGCGGCGAATATGGCGAATCCCATTATGCTGCAGGAGATGATGATGAATCAAATGGCCTTGATGGCGCAAATGGCGTCGTCGATGGGCATCATTAACCCCAATACAGGCCAATTCGGAGGACAAGGGTTTCCAATGCAGGGTGGTATGCCAGGGGATATGGGCATGTTTCAAAATGGCACAAACAACGGTTTTCATGGTCACCAGATGGGTGGAAATATGAACAATAGTGGCATGAACGGGTCAGCGAGAGGTCGAGGTACAGGGAGAGGTGGGAGGGGTGTGGGCAGAGGCAGAGGAGCAGCTGTAAATGGAGCGTTGACCCACTCATCTGTTGCTCAGGAGGCTGCCGTACCCCCATCAAGCGAATCGACCGCACCAGAGCCTCCCGTCATTGCCACCCCAGCTCCTATCAATCCTGCACTCGTTGCTGGCCCCCCTGCGGCGACTCCCGTCGCGGTTGGTACCCCGGCTCCTCCCCAACGTTTAGCTTACGCCATCCCAGAGCGACCGCAATCCCCCACCTTGTGCAAGTTTGGGCTCAAATGCACAAATGCACATTGTCGTTACTCCCACCCTTCGCCTGTGGCCACAGCAGAAAGTGGTGTAGTGTTGAGCAACGATCCGTGTGAGAAAGGGAGGGATTGTAAGGATAAGGATTGTATCAGAGCGCATGTTAGCCCAGCTGTTCTTAACCCACAAGGTGCGTCTATTCTCTTTGCTCAAAAGCCGAGCACCTACTGATCAATCGCATCATAGCCGAGACATCCGTGTCAACACCCAGTGTTACGTCTTCTCATCATCATCCCTCCAATCCGACACCATGTCGTTTCGGTCTGGCTTGTACCCGACCTGGCTGCACATTCTCTCATCCTCTACGCGGCACGCAAAGCACTCACGGGGCTACTCAGTGCCGCTTCGGCGCCGGCTGCACGCGTGCAGCATGCCACTTTCAGCATCCTGAAGGACGAGTCCTTCCAACCACCTTCCATCGTGGTATATCGACGACGGGTCCGATTGTGAACGTACAGACGCCTGAAACCGGCTCTATGGGTGGACCCAGCCCGCATAGGAGCGTTACATTCAACAATCCAGCCGGCTCGGGAGCAGGAGTTAAAGAGAAGCTTGAAAAACAGATGAAAGAAATTCAAGATAAGAAGGATGAGGTTGAGAGAGCAGTGAGGGAGGCGGAGGCCGCCGCAGGCAAGAAGGATGATTCCAAGCCTGTTGCCATTACTGTGTAAAGTCTGGGCCAGGTAGAGGATCCTGGGATATCGTTATTTTCATCAGCATCGCGACAGCAATCTCAAGCCAGCGAACAATCAAGTTCTGACAATCGCGCCTGGCTTGTTCATTTTTCTTTCAGTGTTACTACGTAGTCTCATTTTCGTACTGATAGTCCTTACACATGTTGTTACAGCTGAGTAGTTGTAGCTGAAGGGGCCAATGGCATCACACCTCTTGCCCAGCAAAAAAAGGGCGACGTGTTCTTTCCTCCCTTCTTCCTCGTGTGCCTTCAGTCTGAGTGTGCAAACGGACGTAGGAAAAAGTACATTTTTCATGATACAGTTATAAACTCACAGGGGTATCTAAGAAACCTCAAAACCATTTACAAGTAGCTCACTGAAACCTCAAAACCATCTTGACCAGTAGCCAGTTGAGCCCCCTTTGTCCACCGACAGCTTGATCTTGTCGCCTTTGTCTAGGTCCTTGAACTAAATTAATTAGAATCAGATCAGCCGAAAGGGTTAACGGTCAAGAAGAGATTGCGAACTGTAAGCTCTCGAGTTCTGTGTAAACTCTCAATCTCGTCTATACGACTTCTGACCCCGTCCAAGACGTCGTCAAACCCATCCCCTTTAACAACTTCCTGCGCTGCTTGGAGAATGAGCATAGAATCAGGTCGAACGTCGTGATGAATCTTGAGCGATGGTAGAGGAATTAGCAACGTTTTTTGGACATTTGAATTTAAGAACTTACGTCGATAGCAATGATATTAAGGCGATCTAATTCTATGTATAGAAAAATGCATGAGGAGAGTGGTCCGTAGGAGTTATTGGAACCCACCTTCTAGAAAGTCAGCTCGTGTCATAATTTCGCGACACTTCCACTGGAAGGGCGTTTTTAACGAAAAATTCTGGAGACGTTCCGAACCAACATACATAGGGTAACGAAGGAAGTGGGAGGGCTTCTTCACTGTCCACTTCGCCAGCAGAAATTTTGACTTCTCGCTCTTTTTCTTGCTCTTGCCTCAGTTTTACGAACTCGCGGAGCAGTAGCCATGAACATGAGCTCCATTTTTGCTATAAGAAAAAAAATTGGGGGAGGTCGCAACGAAGACTGGATTGAGATGTACCTCATCCATCACGTCGTCGTCACAATCGGGTATCAAACCTATGCATTCTATCAATACAGGCATTACAAGGACCAGATATGGCTTACCGATTTGACTGAGAAGCCATCCCTGCTCCACCTGAAGCATATGTTTCGCCATCACAATCATATCCTCAGCTTTTGAGACCTTTGAGATGGCGTTAGGAATGTCATGGATGAAAAGGATAGAACTACCTTGTTCAAGTACGACAACCTTCCGCCGACGAGATTGACGGCGTGTTGAACAGTTTCCGGATCTTCCACCAAACGCCCAGTACTTTTCCGTATACGAGTAGCGGCATGCCGAGCCTCCCTTGTGTCGAGATCATAGATGGAAATGACCTAAAAACAAAGACTTGTTCACAAATATGAAATGAATTTCAGGAGTCGAGTCGTACGTGCATCCGACTCCCGTTCTTCCCTGAGCAAAATTCAGGATGAGCGAAATTTGTGTAATGTGGCAACGAACTCACGCATGACATGAAATGGCCAGAAGTCATCGCTAGCAACTCGTAAGAGGGACTTCAAATGGATATCTTCTAAACTCACGAGCTGAAAACAAGCGTCAAAATACCTAAATATGATTTTGAGCTGAATGATAGAAGAAAAGGAGAAAGACTGCTGACCACTTGCCGCCCATGCTTCTGCTTTTTGCTGCAGTTGAAGGATCATATTTCTCCCTGCTTCATCATTTTGAAAGTAATGGATATTGTTGATGATCAAGACCCAAGGGCGACCTCTCGTCTGCGCAGAACGAAGGGCCACCTTCTCTAGCTTGTTCATGGCTAGATGACGGCGTCAGCAGTTGTTTCACGACGCAAGAATCGATATTACCTCGCTCGATGTCCAAAGCAGGTCCACCTGTTGGCAGATAATTAGTTATTTCTTCGACAGAAATACGTGAATGAAACGCACCTTCCCGAGGATCACGTCGTTGGAACAGCCCCGTCTGGGTATCTTCGTTGAACTCGAAATTCAAGGCCTTGCCTAGTCGTAACCTAAACACCTCAAGATCTGGGTGGGCGTCGCACATCGACACTCCATCGGCTTGACATGCAGCCATAGAGTCAAAGATCATGGTACCTTTTCCCGAGCCCTGGTGAGATTGTTCATTCAAACTCTTAGATACTCGACTCAAAAGCGTACCTTAGGCCCAAGAAGCATGAAATAGTGTCCTGCTTCCTCCCCATGAACAATCCGGTCTATCAAGTCTTGTTCCTTCCGTACTAGATTTTCCGTCCAAGGACTGTTGTCTTCGTTGAAGACCAAGTCATGTTTATCATGTTCGCCTGGATGCTTTTTAGTGGTGTGAGCCTTTGCGAGTTCCAAAGCTGGGTCATATCCTGGCGCAAAGGCACGTTCAATCTAAATTAATGTATGAGTATACTAATGGCGCGTGCGTGAATAGCACTAGGTTCACCTTGTACAAAACATTCATTTTGTACCATTTCACATAAACTATCCCTCCAATGAAGACTACGTTCAATAGAAATTAGCTATGTTTGGGATAGATCGACGAGACGATAACTCACCAGCTCCCAATCCAAAAATTGTGGTGAGGATTGCGCCTAACGCGGGATTATTTGCAAGTGAACCCCCCATTCCTGGGCCACCTCCACCCGGGGGGTTGTATGATACATTTAAAGCGACTGTTCCTTCGTGGACTTCATGATGAGTTCCTGGGGACTGAGGGAGGGAAGGGGTAGGTTTGGGTTGTAATGATTTCTTGGGAGTGGTAATTGCTATTCGCGGGGATGGTGACGGGCCCGGAGTGGGTGTTCCTTTGATGGTAGTGTAACGACGGTAGGTGGCGCGCGACTGTATGGTCCTGCCCAATGTCAACGATATTATGCGCGATGAAGAGTGCTTCATGGCACCTTCCAGTTAGTTACATACAACGGACACCCACGACAATGCATGACCAACCCTGTTGACATTCAGTGCTGTGCGCACTGATCACTTTCTTGGCGCAAACCGACAGACCAAGTATGGATTGGATAAACCTACACTACTTAAACGTTAACTCCTTCCTTTCTTTCTCGCGAGCGGCGTCGTCTCCTTTTCGCCTCATATTGGGCCGCAGAATTCAATGATTCAACCATCTTTTCTTCCTCCAGTTCATTCAAGAAGCCCTTCCACGCTTGTTTTGGCCCAGGTTGCATGAATGGTGTTCCATCCCAAAGTTTACGGTTTCTCTTGAACTGTCGCAAAACTCTGCCTTCAGTTGCGAAATTGTTCCACCCCACGAGAGCTAGCTGGTCAGCCGTTCGCTGCATGACCTCCGTTTTCATGTGTTCGATCAACATTCGAGTTTCTGCCAGTTCAACTCTGATCTCGGCTGCACCGTTCACTAATTTGGTCAACTCGCGCTTCACGCGCCTAACGTCTTTAGGACCAACCCCTGTCCCCCGTTGACGTTGTGGCGCGTCCTGCTCGCGATGAACGATCTCGATCTGCGTTGCCGCTGGCGTCCCCGACGGCGCCTGCTGCTCAGCAGGGCTAGGCAACCTTTCTGCAGCGTGAGGCACCTGCTCAACGACGCCTTGCCGCTGTTCGACTGTGGGAGACAAGTTTTCCGCCGCAGGCAACTGTTCAACTGCACTGGTCAACGGTTCAACTGCTTCAGGCAAGACCCCAGGCGGCTGTTCGATGGCGCTAGGCTGCGTTTCAGCTTCAGTGGGAGCATTTCCCATTTTCCTGCGCTCTGAAATGTAACATTCCACCTGATTCTCATACCTCCATGGGAAATCCACTCACTGCTTGTTCTCTTTTGTGGTTCGGTTTCTTCGGCTTTTATCTTCGTGATCGTTCTTTTTCTCGTCGCTGGAGTATCATTTGTGGCCGTCTCTCTGAATAAGAAATCAGTTTCTCCTCTTCAGCTCTCTTTCTTCTCTTCTTACCTGGGTACGCCATCGGGAAACTTTTCAATGAGTTGAAGAATAAGGACTTCAGTTTTTCCATTTGCTTTCACTCCGTTTGTCTATTGGGATTGAGGTTCTTGTGCAGACCATGGAGCGGAGGATCGCCTACCTTGGCCAGATGTTGGATCTCTCTTCGGTTAAGCTGTCGCAGGTTTTCGACATCATATGTCTCAACAGTTGACATATTTAGGAAGGGGCGGGAGTGGGTGAAGAGGTGTAATGATAAAGTGGAAGAAATTGAACCTTCTCATATCTGTGCATTGTGCATCAGGTGGCCGAGCCACAATTCGACGAACAATAGAAACGATTCTGAATTGGGTCAATTTGCAATTTTTTCGGATCCTTGTACCTTTCATGGCCTTCGATGCAACTGGTGTTGTGAGATAGAAACAAAGGAACCACAAATTGTTGATGACGAGAGTATGCTTTGACCTGGGTGGCCACAAGTTTTGCGCCAACTCGGCGAACAATAGCGAGAGTGTATACTCTTCTATCTTTCCTTCGCCCACTGGGACGTCCACTTTGCAACGTTTTCTCCCACCAAACCGCAAATATGAATATCGATGAACTTCAAACATTTCCTCTATCGAAACTGCAAGAACTCGCAAGGCAACACCACATAAGACCCAACCTCGGAAGGAAAAATCTCGTTACACAACTCGAAAAGTTCATTCTGCGGCCTTTGTATTTTTATTCTTCATGATTACTGACATGATGACAGAGTCTTGGTGCGCTCAGCTGGCGGAAACTCTAACCGATCGACGCCCACCGGCTCTCCAGCTCCAACCGAGTTAGCAGCAACGGAAACATCGGGCGAAGACATCGTGGATCCCAATGGTTTGTCATCTTCGCGATATATGTGAAAATCCGCGCTCATATTGAGTCCAGTGTCCAACGACGCGCCAAGGAAGGATTATATCCGCCCATACCATTTTCATTGTGGCGACGGTCATCCCGTCTACCCTTTCGAAGACCGCCCCAGTTCCCCCGAGGGTACGCCAGAGCCAGAGACCTCGCCAGGGCTCCTTGAAAATACAGTGGCCATTATGGCACGGATTGACCGCGATGATCAAGCCATCCTTGCAGAGATTCAGGAATTGATGAGCCTGGCTACAGAGATTCGACAGTCAACCCTTACCCTTTCCCAAGCTCTACGAGCGGAGATGGGGAAGAGCCAACGGATCGAGGGTTATCTTGCTTATTGGCAGAACATCCAGCCATGCACCTCTTTCGGTGAGATGTGGTCCGGAACGATGAGGAGAGGGCCAGCCAACATAGAAATAACGACGACAGACGACGAGGAGCAAATGGCTTTGGATGAAGAGCAAGCGGCAGTTCCTCGGGAAGAGGATGGGTTGCCAGGGTAAGTTTTTTGGGATTGTACGTGAGATAGTACGTGAAGATTCTTTCCCTCACAGATCTGCGCCTATTGTGGGGAATATGTTGGCTACCCAAAGAGAGATGCCTGAGCAAGAGGAGGTACCCGCGCAAGAAGAAGCGGGCAAGTCACGGTCTGGGTAAGAAATATATGTCCTTTGTGAAATGTTATCGTTGACGACGACTTGATAAGCCCTTCAAAAGGCAGGCGTCGCAGCAGTGGGTACAAAATAGTCGCCGATGACAAAGATAGGACGCGGTTCCGGTTTGTTGAGGTATCTGAGTCTGATGAGGAGGAGTCTGAACAGTCCGAGTCGTGACGTAGTGACTTTGTGACACAATTGGTGTGGGGTCCTGCAGGTTGTAATACACGCAAGAAAACGCTTATAAGGAATGTAGAAAGTATACTGGCAACAGAGCTGTATTGAGCTACAACAACGACATAGGTTTTCAAAGCAGGGGGAGATTATGTGTTTGTACCGGACCGAAGCGGTGCAAGGAGTCGTCGGGGTCCCGGGTGGGAGTTTTTTGGTTGTGTTGTGTGACCTGTTGTGCTTGTCCCTCGTCCAGTCCTTGCCTACAGGACAGACATCCTCTTTTGCCGGATCGCTCTTCATAGCGTCCGCTGCATTTTCTCTTTAGACAAAAACAACCTCTTCCAGCTGCTTTCTTGCCTGCTGGCAGGTCATTTTTGACGACCACCTCACACCTCTCAAATCCCAACTCAATCCAAAAAAAAGCACCCCCCACAAAATTCATCTTTTCCTTTGCAAAATTCGTCAGTCGTCAACCTTTCTCTTGAAGTAGTTTTGTCGTTTGGATCCTCATAGATTTCCTTCACAGAATGAGCAAATCTTCAACTGCAACTGCACCAAAGAATCCGACCCCGCTCTCAGCAAAGTCAGCCTGGTCAAAGGGCCCGCCGCAGACAGCTTCAGCGCCAACTCCGCGCTCTTACTCTCCTGCTCCGTCTACTCCTGCTCAAACTCACTCACGACGTCCAAGTGCTCTAGGCCAAGGTGTACCCATCAAGGATGGCGTCAGCATTCCTCGCAACAACGTAGGAGCCGCAAAACAAGGTGTTTATTCATTGTCTCGCCTCTCTTCCGTTTTCATATTGATTTTTTTTTTCAGGCTCAGTGGTTACATTTGGATCAATAGATGATGCGTCAGCGCCAATATCATCCTCACCCACACCTGCACCTCCCACCAAGTCCGAAGGCGTCAGGTCATTTGGATCAGTACAAGCAGCTCCTGGTCATGTAAATGGAAAACCTTCGATTTCATACAAATCCCCTGTCGTTGCGACTCCGTCGTCATCGACGCCGGCAACATCGTCGACATCCTCTGCTCCTTCTAAACCAGCCAAAACGGACATTTTGAAGATGTTCCAAAATCCTTCTTCAACACCCTCTCCTTACCCACCCTCGGACACGTCATCGCCGTCGATGCGTTCTACCAGCCTGCCACCTCAGCAGCAGCCCCAACAGGGTCAATCTGCGCCCACACAACAATCGCAGCTAGGCTCACACCCTTATACACCTTTCGTTCCCCGACAACAGCAAAACTCCGGTCCCGGTGGAGGGCCCCCTCGATCGCCTGTCTATTCAAGACAAACACCTAATGGTTCAGGTCCTCGCTCACAGGGTGGGCCAAATTCTGGCACCCCCGCTGGTCTATCAAGCCCACGGCTTGGGCATCATCCTCACAACGGTCAACCGTCAGGCATGCCCCCCCCACCTCCGCAAATGCAACCACAGATGCAACCTCCGATGCCACAAATGCCTGGTTGGCCCGCATACTACGTACGTCTCATGAGATTTACGCCAAAAACGCATTAACTCTTTTTCAGTACCAACCCGATCAACACTATATGCCCCAATATAACTGGTATCAAATGCCTCCGCAAATGGCATCACAACCACCTCATCAACACCCTCAACATCACCCTCCTCCTCCAGGTTCACATATACCCCAACATCCTGGAATGCCCATGTCACCTCGAAATCCGCCTCCTCCCTTACAGGGACCGGGAACTCCTACATTGTCCCATGCTGTGCCTAATACACCGCACCCCCCTCCGCTTTCCCATCCCCAACCTAGTATGAGTTCCGTATCTTCACCTCCACCCACACCGTCAACGGCCTCCTTGCCTAGCAGCCGCCTGAATGTTAACTCAAATGCATTTGTTCCTACCGGCCGTGCTAAGATTACCCTCAAAAGTGCTGACGGGCAAGAAGTCAAGTTGGAGAACTTGACAAAAACAAATACAACTCCTTCATCGGCTACCACTGCTTTGCCTCCGCAAGGTTCTGTCTACCGACAAGGCAGTCCTGGGACACCCGGCCTCCGCACTAGTATTCGCATGGAAACAGAGGACCAGCGAAGGAAGCGTCTCGCGGAAGAAGAAGAGAAAGAGCGGGAGAAGACACGCGTCAAAGCGGAGGCTGAGGAAAAGGTCCGGCTTGAGAAAGAGGCGGCAGAACGTAAAGTCAAGGAGGAGGAGGAGAGGAAGAGGAAGGAAGAGGAGGATGAAAAGGAACGACTGCGGAAGGAGGAGGAAGATAAGGAACGACTGAGGAAAGAGGAGCAACAACGTTTGAAGGAGGAGGAAGACCGGATACGGAGGGAGGCTGAAGAGCAAGAGCGCCTCCGGCAAGAGGAGGAGGAGCGCAAGCTCAAAGAAGAGGAAGCGGAGAAGGAGCGCATTCGGTTAGAGCAGGAGAGGTTGGCTGCGGAGGAGCGACTCAAAGAGGAGGAGGCAGAGAAAGAGCGCATTCGTTTGGAAGAGGAAGCCTCTAAAGCGAAAGCTGAGGCTGTTGACACATCCGAAAGTCGAGAAGATGGCGAAGTTGCCCAGGAGGGTCCGGCGCAGGTCATCCCAGTCAACAAAGATGAGGCCAAAGAGAAAGCGAAAGAGGCACTTCGCATTAACACAGCGACCTCATCGTCAGCTGTTCTCCGGAAGCGACCCAACAACTTAGACTTGTCCAATACCAAGAATGTCGGTGGAGCCCCTCTATCCGCTCTCGCTACAGCGCGCAATATTGATGATATTGGGACGGTTCAATATCCTGAGGGGGTTATGAGTCCGAAGCCCGAGCTCAATGCTAATGTTAAGGACGGTAAATTCAGGTATGGCTTTCCTTGTTCTCATCTATCGTCTTCGCCTGAACCTTCGGCTTTATCAGATATGATCGCGAATTCCTCCTCCAGTTCATGGGAGTTTGCACTCAGAAGCCGGATATGCTACCTCCTCTTGATGCCATTGGTTTAGAGCCGTTGGATCAGGCCTCTCTGAATATGACTCGTGGTGGTTCAGGGCGCCATCGCCAAGGTTCAGGCGCTGTTGCCCCATCACGGCAAGCGTCAGTAGGGCTCGGTTTCGGTCCCTCATCTGGTCTCGGCAAATCCGGTACCAATTCTTTCAGCATGGGGAATTTCACGACCAGTGGAAGCAAGCTTAGCAGCGACGAGCGTTTCGCTAATAGTACGAGTCGTTCGGCTTCTGTGAACGCTGCCACCGGCTTGCCATACAATCGACCCGTCCCTATGCAACGAACAGCCAGCCAAGGTGGTGCTGGTGCTCCACTTAGGGATCGTACTCGAAGCAAGCGCGGAGGGGATCGGAATGAGATGAATAAGGTCCAGCAGGGCCATGGATCTGGCTTCAACAACTTCCAAGCTAACGCTCGGGATGTGGGGCTGGGGCCCGTCGCACCTCTTCAGGTGTCTGCCAACCGTTGGGACAGGAAGTCGATACAAGTCGATCCTGACTCACCTGCAATCGTGGATCGCAAGGTCAAGGGTCTACTCAACAAGCTGACGATGGAGAAGTTCGATTCTATCTCTGACCAAGTAATCGCCTGGGCGAATAAATCGGAGAAAGAGAAGGACGGAAGGACTCTCATTCAAGTTATTCGACTTGTCTTCGAGAAGGCTACTGATGAAGCTACCTGGTCGGAGATGTACGCTCGCCTTTGCAGGAAAATGATGGAACAAATCAGCTCCAAAGTTCAGGATGACGGTATCAAGGCCACAGACGGAAAGCCCATCGCTGGTGGTCAACTATTCCGAAAATACTTGCTTAACAGATGCCAAGAAGACTTTGAGCGCGGTTGGGTAGCGAAGGAGGCAACCGCTGCTGCGGCTGCTGCCAAAGCTTCACAGGATGAAGCTGCAAAGGCCGCCAACGAGCAGAGCAAGGAAGGTGGAGCTGAGGAAGTCGCCCTATATTCTGAAGAATACTACGCTGCACAGAAGGCCAAGCGACAAGGGCTCGGTCTGATCAAGTTCATTGGAGAACTCTTCAAACTACAGATGTTGACTGAACGTATCATGCATGAGTGTGTCAAGAAACTGCTCGGAAACGTCGAGAACCCCGAGGAGGAAGAGATCGAAAGTTTGTGCAAATTGCTGACCACTGTTGGCGCCAGTCTCGACACACCAAAGGCCCGAGCCCATATGGATGTCTATTTCTCTCGGATGAAGGAGCTTACCAAGAGCCAGAATGTCAGCTCACGGATGCAGTTCATGTTGCAGGTCGGTACCAAATTTCCAACATTTTCTCAACCGCACTAACTCAAAATGTTCAGGATATCATTGAGTTGCGAGAACGGAAGTGGATCCTCCGTAACGCAGTTGCTGCACCAGCAACGATTGCTCAGATTCATGAAACGGTGAGTCGTGAGAAGTATAACATGTGCAAACTCTCATTCGGGTTTAAATAGGCTGCCAAAGAGAAAGCCGTTCAAGATAAGGAATCTTACAATCGGCAAATCAGCATGTCTCGCGGTGGTTCAAGACGCGGCGGCGATCGGGGCGACTTCGCACAGGTGGGGCCTGACGGTTGGGCTGTCGCTGGTCCTCGTCCCCCTCCCAAAGTTGGCGATCTTTCCAACTTTGGAAAGATTAGCAAGACACAGCCTATGACATTTGGTCCTAGCAGTGTATTCGCTGGCAAGAAGGGTGGTGCAGAAAGCAAACGGGAATCAATCTCTCGAACAAGCTCGAGTTCTAACATGTTCTCTATGCTCCAGAATACTGAAGCAGGTGCGGATACCACAGCGAAAGGTGAAGCATTTACGCAGATTATTGGATGACAACATACTAAATACGTCAATAGCTGCACCCGAACCACCTCTACAGCGCAAACGTATCGTTCTGGCGCCACGGTCCAAGCCCGTTGAAGACGCTGAAGCTGTGCCATCCAACGTGGAGTCGGAGGTCAACTCTTCAGAGGATGAGGCTTCGCCGGAGATGAGTGATGCGGATGTCAAGAAAAAGATAGCTGAGGATTCAAAGGAATTCTTTGGTGTCCGAAACTTGGACGAAGCGGAAGTTTACTTCTCTGCGCTTCCTAGCCAACATCATCATAATCTGGTGGATAAACTCGTCTCAACCGCAGTCGAATCCAAAGAAGCCGACGCTCAACTTGTGGCCGACTTCTTCAGCCGTGCTGCTTCCAAGGAGTTGTGTTCCCCTGCCGCATTTGAGGAGGGTTTCGCTCCGATCGCCGAGATCATCGACGACATTGCCATTGATGCACCCAAGGCATTCCAACTGTTCGCATTGATGATCAAGGGCGCTGACTTTGACGAGGAGCGGCGATCACGGGTTGCTTCGAAATCGATTGACAACGATAAGCTTCTTGCTCTTTTATCATCATAGACTATCGTAATATCAGGTTTGGGGGTTGTCTGCATCTAATATAGTCACTAGCGCCTATTTTTCTTCTCTTGCTCATCATCGCATCATCGTCATTCGTCTTTTTTCTTTACACCTCACATGGCTTTCTTTTCTAGCACTACTGGCATGTACGCAGGTACACGTATTCTAGTTTTCGACCCCTTCCAAGTTTTTGTTCTGCATGAATCCTTGGCCTTGGAGCCACTTGGCGAACCGTGGTTGTGGGCTACCAAGCTACATTGTGTCATTTGATTCCGTTGGTTTCAAAGCCCTTGGCTAACCCCTGGCAGCGACGACGGTTAGGACTTGGTCAGGACGTCCGTCGTCTTGAGCGCGTCAAATGCCCTCACTTTTTACTCCCTCAACCTTTGCTACGACAGACACAAATTCATCTGGTTGGTGGAGAAAAATACGGAAACAACTCAATTTCTACCGAGTCCACATCCTCTGCTTGTAAGTTCTTCGCGATACGGAATAGCTTGCAACCAATCTTTTTCTTCCAGCACATTCACCCCCCTCATTTTTTCTGCAATATTTTTTGCGAGCAATGGCAGATATAAGGTCTCATACATCGACGCTTTATTCAATTGCGTTAGCGCGATGACCGTGTGCGGTCTGGCCACCATTGATCTCAGTGAATTGACTGGATGGCAGCAGACGATTCTCTTCATACAGATGTGCCTAGGCAGTCCGGTATATCGTCTTTTTGCTTCCAGAGACCCCCTTTTTCTGAACGCTTCATAAGGTTTTCGTCTCTTGGGTGATAGTCCTCATTCGAAAGTTCGATTTGCTCTCATAGTCTGCTCTCCGTTTCTGATGATGCCATTTAGGTACTTTTTTGCTCGTAAATACCAACACGTCCTCAAAGCTGCTGTCGCTCGCAAGGATGCCCAAGCCGCAGAGGACTCTGCGAAGCGGAGGAATTCGTGGTCAAATCGGATACACACTTATGTGCATTCGGGAAAGAAATTATCTGTCGTTGCCGAAGAGCCGTTGCAGGCGAAGAAGAAAGTCGAAAGAGAGGAGAGTAAGGGATTCATCGGAAAATTGAGACCAGATATGATACGTCGGATGGATGATGCGCCAAAACTCGTCAATCCAAGTGGGACAGTTAGTGAGGGAACACCACTAGCCATTCGCAAAATCCCGACTGCCCACACGCATACCGATTTCCCCCGCCAGATTTCCTTTGTCACACCCTCAGCGCTGGAAAGCGTTCACGACCATAGTGGTATAGCGTATGTGGAAGAACTTGTATCTGCGTTCCCAATGTTTACGTCTTTGCAGCAAAAGATCGCGGCGACTCTCCGATCCTGGCAAGTCCTCGGGGCTACCCTCTCCCTGTAATATATTCCCCGTTTAAAGACCGAGTACAGTTTCTGAAACCTTTTACCAGTGAAGCAACGACCTGGCGAAGGCGAAGCACTCAACCATGCAGGCAAAAGATTTCGTCGCTCACAAACGGTGGAATTTTCGCTCCGCACACCCGACCATGGCTTGAGTAAACCTGTGCTTGACCCTGTTCCCGAATCATCGAGCGCTAGTTGGTACACTTGATTTCACATTAACGCTGCTCACTCAAACATCAGTTAGGACAAACGCTTGCACCTCACGCTTCGATGACCACTTTTACAACACACCCTACGCAGCACACACACCACTCTCCTCGACATATACAAGAATCTAAAAACCGAGGGTTTGGAGGCTTTCCAATGCCATTTGAGATCATCTCGTCCATTTTTGCAAAGTTATTTCCAAAGCTTAATCAAAAATTGACACGAACTCTCACCACTCCTGTAACGATACCGCTGGTGTCCAATAGAGAAGGTGGTGTGGAAGGTGGAAAGCAAGTACCTTACATCTCCTTTGACGCTGTTGTGGGCAGGAATTCGGCATTCTACCTTTTGACGAGTGACCAAATGGACGAGATTGGCGGCGTGGAATACCGTGCCCTGAATTCCCTTCTTTGGATCGTCCCATTTGTGAGTACTCTGACCTTCTCGCAATATTTTCTGACTTATTGTTCACCGCAGTATCATATTGGGATCCAACTGTTTTGCTTCACAATCATCGCACCATATATTTCCACAAAAAGGTGGAGCAGCATCTTTGTGCCCCCAGAGCAGCTGAGACCGATTCCTACCACATGGTAAGCTATAGGAAATGTCAACGTGGTCTTTTTTTCATATTTTTGATAGGTTCGCAGCTTTCCAAGTAGTTTCAGCGTATACAAACACTGGGACATCATTGGTGGATCAATCCATGGTGCCCTTTCAGAGGGCTTATCCCATGGTGATTCTTGTGTCATTCTTGATCCTAGCTGGCAACACCTCGTTTGTGAGTAACCGTAACGGGCCTCACCTTCCACCACTAAGTATTTCCCACAGCCGATATTGTAAGTCTCTCTTTCTAGAATGCAATACGACCCGCTCACGGTCTTTTGGGGCGATAGCCTGCGTTTCCTAATGTACGCCCTTTCTTTGACTTTGATCACATATACTCACGCATGTGTAGATGGATGCTAAGCAAACTCGTTCCAAAGAAAACGAGATTTGGAGAAACGTTACATTTTCTCCTTGATCACCCTCGAAGATGCTTTATTTATCTGTTTCCGTCCCACCAAACATGGTTTCTTTTGACCATAGTATTGTTACTCACGTACGTATCATTTATTGCCCCTCCGTGCTCATGTTCACGATTTTCTAAGCATTACAGATTGGTTTTTCTTCCTAATCTTGGATATCGGGAACCCAGTGATAGAAGAAATCCCACTCAATGTCCGAGTCTTGGCGGGGCTTATGCAAGCCATCGCTGTTCGAGCAGCTGGATTTGCGATCGTACCCTTGGCAGCTCTTGCACCTGCAGTCAAGTATGCCCCCTTTCGCCCCCCTTGCTCAGAATTGTTTGTTTATTGTCGATAGGGTATTATTCGTCATAATGATGTATATCAGTGTCTGTGAGTATCTTATTTCCTTTCTTCTTTTCCGGCAGGCTGAACTCAGACACCGCCAGACCCCATTGCGATGAGGTACGAGCTCCTCTCCCTCAACGCATCATTGGCTCACGTGAGATAGTGTACGATCGACCAATGTCTATGAGGAAAAGTCCCTAGGCATATTTGATGCTCATGAAGAAGAATCAGATGGCGAATCGGAATTTCAAGCCAGTGGCCCCAGGATGACGGTCTGGAGTCGATACCTAGCAATGCATGCCCGAAAACAATTAGCCTTCGGTAGGCAAATTCAATGTATTTCCAAGTACCAGAACGCCAACATCTTTATTGTAGATATGTGGTGGCTTGCCGGCGCCTTATTTTTGGTTTGCATCATAGAGGTGTGTGAGCGTTTGGAGTTTTTTTCGACCATTAGCTTGACTCATACTTAGCGCGGCAACATTATGAACCCGGACAATCAGTCCTGGTTTACCATTTTCAACATAAGTAAGTTGTGCTTTTGGAGGTGTTACTTGCACATTGCTTATCATGGCATGCAGTATTTGAACTGGTATCTGCCTACGGAACGGTTGGTCTTAGCTTAGGCATCCCCACCGTCAGTCGTATTTCTCATTGAGCTCTACAAGGTCTGACCAGAAGCTGCATTAGGACAACTTTTCTCTCTCTGGGGCATTCCATCCCCTGTCAAAACTCGTCGTTTGTTTGGTTATGCTGCGGGGAAGGCATCGCGGCTTGCCTGTCGCTATTGACCGCGCAGTCCTGTTGCCTGATGAGTTCGAGAAGACAGACGAAGATATGGCGGACGATCGGAGTCAACATTCACACACGATGCGTGAAGAGGGCACGTTGGGCTCAAGACAATCGAGGCATTTAGATGAGGATGAGGGGTTGTGGCAAAGAGCACCTAGGTCAAATGACGAAGATGATTATGCAATCCTGCCCACAGCCCGCCTAGCGGAGGCAGCAGCAGGCCAAGTTCCTCCTTGACAGCCTATATATTTTTTGGTTGGGGAGTAACTTTAAGTTCCTAAATAAGAGAACCATGATGTTGACTTGCGCCTAGCATGAGGCCATTTGGTGTGTGATATCGATCCTCCAGGCTTGTAACTTGTAGCCTCGAGGCTCCGTCCCCTGGTCATTGCCAATTACGCGTGTCAGCTGGGCACTAGATAACTCCAAGCAACTATCAGGCCTTGCACCATTGTTATCTGTCTTACTCCCTCTCCTCTTCATTTCGCATAATGCATCATCGCGCCAATCTCCCTCTTGACATGGACCTCTGCCACCTCTTGCAGGCCATGCAGTTGGAATCCATAGGAAAACAAGTGAGTGTATCGAGTGACAGGGCATCACGGCAGCGATTTACATCTCACTGGAGAAAGCAGTCGACTCTGGCGTCAAACACGGCAGACGATACCATGACCGTGGATCTGAATTACCTCGTATGTCTGCCTTACCTGAGAAACTAACACGTAGTAACGGATACTTGTGGTTCAAGCCGGACGGAGGGCCCGGATCCTCCAATTCAAGCTTAAGCACCCATCAAGCAGCCGAAGAAATGTTTCATTGGCACGGATGCGGGTACCTGCAGGCCATCCGATCGCACATCGACAATTTCTCCACCACCAGCGGGGAGTACCTCGAAGCCATCTTCACACATCGCGAAATATTCGCTGCGTATCCATCGGCACATCAAGGTTGCGCTCGCGGATTCAGTGATCTTGCGCAATTGCTAGAGAAGCGGCCTTGGAGGGCGGATAGGGATTCCGATGGCGAGGCCGTGAGTGTTTTTCGCCATGAAGCGTGGATGATCGGTGCTACATCGTACGTCTGAGCGCCTATGATAACGTTCTTAACTTGACTCTGACCGAGAGCCTGACCAGTCCGGTGATCAAGCTGGCGCCGACAACGAAGGAGGATGATCATGCTCGTGTTAGGCCTTCACACGTCTGCGTCCTCCCAATGATGTAGCTTGTTAAAAGTCCAATTATGATTACCGACTCGCCGTTAGATTCTGTTTTATGAGACTTTGCATGCTGGATAAAGGGATGGGCGCGTAAATTGGGCACAAACAAGACGCAAAGAACATGTGCAAACAAAAGAAAGTTGACACTTTGGTCACAAGTTCGCGGTGACCATGAATCCGAGTACGAACCACCTCCCGGGCAGAGTTCCTATATGGCGCCCGGGACAGGAACCTCTTCCTCCAGGCCTCACCGAGGAAGACCGGCCAGCACTCGAGCAAACCAAGAAATGGGAGGGGTATGCGGGTATGGCCATGGAGTCCTGCGCGGTAAAGACTGTCCTAGCAGGTGGTGCTGGTGCGTATTCTACTCCAACTCTCACCCGTGCACTTTCTTATATTCCTGCAAAGGTTTTGGCATTGGCGCGTTCTTCTCGCTTATGTCGGCCTCATTTGCCTATGAGGATCCTCTGCTACGAGCGCGGACGCAGGCAGGCATGAACACAACACAAAAGGCTGGCCAAGTCTTCCGGGAGATGGGAAGGGGCATGTGGACCAGCGGCAAGGGGTTCGGAAAGGTTGGCGCATTGTTCGCTGGTATCGAATGCGTCATAGAAGGCGTACGTTTAATCTCATTCTGTGTCCTAAGATTTGCCTCACCACGAAGAGACCTTTAGTATCGTGCCAAAAATGACATTTACAACTCTGTTACGTCCGGACTTATTGCTGGAGGCATTCTTGCACGGAATTCAGGACCTAAGGCTGCCGTTGGAGGTGGCTTGGCTTTTGCAGCTTTCTCTGCAGCTATTGATCTTCTTTTCATACGGCGGGAAACACCTGAGTAAGTGTTGATTATACTCATCTCGCCTTCAATACTTACTACTCTTTACAGCGAGGATTGAGCTTGGGAATAACGTCACGTCCTATATATCCATAGATTAAATTATTATGCCCCAAATTATACTTACACTGTATCCCTATAATTGAATTTACTAACGAAACATAAATCACCAACAAGGCATATAGATACAATAGTCCCGGCGAGAATAGAATGCCACATAAAATATAACCAGTTGACCAGTCTACGCGACTCGAAGCACACACTCTGGCGAGAAAACGTATGCAGGTGGGGCTTCACCCATTTCGGTCTCTTGCCCCGAAATTAGCCTCTCGAATTGAGAGTTCGTGTTCAGCATCAAATCAGCATTGTTGTGCCGCAGAGTACGCATGACGGCAGGGTTTACTGGGTGTGTTTCTGCTGCAGATGCGCTTGAGTCCGATGACTGGCGGGATGCCATTCTCTCGAGAGCAGCAGGCAAATTGTATCGAAATCCAGGATGATACTCGGTCTGCTCAGCCCTCCTCATCCTTTGTACATGGCATGGACAGTTGGGTATGACGGTTGTGGGATCGTCGAGAGCTTCTGAATAACGGGGGAGCGAAGTCCATTCGGGATTACAACGGCACTGCTCATAGGACGAAGATAGGTCAGCAGCGTCCACTTGAAAAAGTGCACGAAACGCACGGAAAGGATGTGCACTGGGGTCTGCACCACAATATCGAACAACCTTTTCTTGCCTGTTTTGCCATCTATGTGGACGTCGTCGCCACGCTCGACCCTCAAGACGCACTTGAGCAAGTGGGTGATAATGATGTTTGACCGACGGTTCCGGTTCGTAAACCGCATGGCACCACATGAGCTTGGCAACTTCAAATCTTGATGGAAAGTCCAAGGTCCTGGGCCCATTACACTGGATGCCACCTCGGAAATATCAGCTTGAGGATCAAGGACGGAAAACAAGGGTGATTTTCGAAAAGCCTCCACCTCGTCAGACTCTAAAGGCAGGATTGGGTCCGCCCCCTTGCCCTCTCCTTTGATAGAAAGAAGTTCCACGCGGGTCACAGGGTCAGAACGCGCAATGCGTCTCATGTTGGTATAGTAATCGACTCTTTCTGAATTTACGAAAAAATTGTGTAAATATATTGTATAACCAAACCAATAAATAATCTCACACCTTCAATAAAGACTGAGACTCGATGAATCTTGACTTTGGCAAGCGGCATCAGAGTAAATGTCACCGGTACGGTGCCCCCGATGTAGAAACTTCGCCCAGATATGGAGATAAGGTACTGCAACTGTTGATCCCAGTGCCGTTCCACAACGATGTTCTCCGTGTCCTCCGTGTCTTCTTCCATAGGGCATGCAATCATGATGACCTCCCTGCTGGCGGTGAGCTTGGATTTAAAAGTACCAGGACGGTGTGCTGTCGCCCGCAACCTCCAAACGACGGATCCGTAATCACATTGCATCGTAGGTGGAGCGTTACCAGGAATCGGAAATGATATTGGGTAGGTATATGTCCCTAAATGAGATGTGAGAAGCGGGGTCATTGTTCTCATACGGTAAAGAAAAACCTTTCTTGAACTCCTTCCAACCGTTCACATTGTCTTTGGCCTTCTCGTCCGTTGCTTTTCCAAAAAGATTTCCGATGGACAAGCCCCGCTCTTTCGATTCTTTTGCTCTTGACCGGGTAATGGAAGTGCTTGGTGATCCATGTCCTGATATCCGTTCATTTCCATCGAAGGCTCTCTCCGTCGTCCTTCCTCTATTGCCGTTGGACACGTCTTCAGAACGGTTCCTCTCGCGCGAACGTTGAAACTTGGGACTTAATTGTGGTGAACTCGAGCGGACCGCATTGATGAGCACATTCGATACAGAAGAGAACCCGAATCGGGACCCCCTCCTTCCTCTTGCTTGGTTCCCGTTCTCTTGTGGCGGTGTCGGAGAGCGAACTTGAGAGGTGCTTGGACCGGATTCATGTTCCGGTACATCATCCATACTTGGTCTACGAGACAGAGAGCGTTCTTGATGCGATCTCATCGGCGAAGATGGGCCTGTAAACCGACAAAAAGAAAAGGTGAGATACGTTTATAAACATTACGAGAATACTGACTTTGTCGGAAGCTAGAAAGACTGGAATGCAAAGAGTTCCTAAACTCTTCCAAATTTTGCGCCGCCACTATTGTGCTCCCGTCGGGGTTTAATAGGTGGCATGAGGAGGAGGCGCTAGGAATCGGGGGAGGGGACGCAAGCGGCACAGGCGAGAAGACAGCCTGAGGGGAGTATGGGGGTATAGGGGCAGCGTCATACTCTTCATGATGTGAAACCGGAAGGCGTTGATAATTAGGGCTATCAACACTCACGCGCCGTTGATTTCGCTGGACCGGCGGTGGAGTTGGAGAACGATTGGGACGGTAAGGATAGTGAGTAGGGAGAGTATACTGCTGTGACCCGTGTGCTGTCCAGCTTGTCCCTCCGTTATCATGAGCGTCGGCTGGGACCACCATCTCGTTACCACGCGGGGTGTATGAAAGTGGGTCGTCCCAGTCATGTTCTTCAAACTCTTCATTTGGCAAAGTAACGCCGGGACCGATAGAGGCCGTCCGTCGCGATTGTGTCTTACCAGCACAAAAATAAACGGTCGAAGCATGGAAGACACGATGCTGTTCTGTAACCTCAATGCGGCGTGCGCCAATGCCTGGATAAAGTCTATAGGTAAAGGCGGCGACAAAGCACAAGGTGAATGCATACCTTCTGGCCAAGCAGTAGAGGTAGTCGCTTGGAGTTCGATATCGATACTCGTTATCTTTGTTGGTTTGACCAACTCTAGCGTAAGGAGGCCGCGAAGGATGGATGTGCGCGGGGCGTCAACATTTCGACGTCGACCAGTTGCAGCGTCTGTTCTGAGAAAAACGGCAGACTCGGAGAGCCTGATAGAGAGACAATTCTTGTTGGGAGAGTTTTTCTCCGGCATTCTGTTATGAGGGTAGTACTTTGAAGTCGGGCTACTGGAGGCTTACAGTAGGGAGGCAAAGATCAGGTATTGAAGAGCGCATGGACGAGAAGGGTGACTCGTTGACGGAACTAAGTTATAAACTTGAAAACTGGACATGTGCTTGCTTGTCCATAAAACCGGTTTTCCAAATTTCGGTATTCCATAAATCTAGGTACAACAAGCCCCGAAGATTCGGAATACTAACTCCTGATTCTCTTGATAACGGCGGTCTCTCGGTCTCGACCACATCCATACCTAGCGCAGGGACAGCGTCAAGATGGAAGAATCATAGCAATTGCATAGCAAACTGTCGTAAGTAGATAAGCCCACCTATCTTTAGGAACGTGTGTCAACGATAGTTGACTACTTTACAGGAGCTTTTTACACGTCTGCCAGCTCTGTGGCAGCCTGCTCACACCAGCTTCGGGGCTTCAGATAGCGTTTATTACGTTCTCGTTGCCTTCCAGATGGCTTCCATCAGCAAGTTAAACAAAGTCCTTCAAGTCCTCTTCTCCCCCTTCCCTGTGAACCCCCATCCTCACTGACCCTAACGATGCATCTCGTCGCATTATTTATGGTGGTAGGTTCCGCGTTTCGTCTCTCTTTTTTGAAAAATCCATCAACTCACATGTCAACTGCAGTTGTCAGTGCTACTTGGCGTCACCTTCTCTAAAACCGTAGTCATCACTGTTGGCGGAAATACCACCAGCAACCCTGGGCTAGTTTTCAGCCCAGAAAGTGTTGTCGCGAACCAGGGCGATACTGTCCTTTTTAACTGTGAGCTCTTGCCTCGTTTCACCATCTTCTGCGATTTTGACGCGCTTGACTATGTAGTCACGCAAGGCAACCACACCGTCACGCAATCAAGCTTTGCTTCCCCTTGCATACCTATTCACGAGACTGACGGTACTGCCAACGGCTTCGACTCTAGTTTCCGGGACGCAGGAAATGGCACCGCTATCACAAATCTCCCCGTCACGGTTACCGACCCTAACATGACGATCTGGTTCTTCGATTACAATACCTGCGCTCTTGGAGGAGTCGGTGGGATCAATGTTAACGAAAGCTCCTATCAAACCCTTCAAGGTTTTCAGGTACTTTGATTTTTTTTCTTCATGGACAGGAATAGCGACTTGATTGTACTCTCCAGCGGAATGCGGTTCGTCTGAATGGAACTGCCAAAACTTCCACTTCTACTACGCGCTCTCAAACTCGGACAACAACGCAGACAACCCAAACCCACTCCTCGTCTGCCACACAGGCCATACGGTGGGGTGGATCAGCTGTTGCCCCCCTTCTCCTTGCCCTTTTGGTACTCTGAGGGCTCAAAACCCTCTTTTTCTCACATTTTTAAAATCTTCTTGTAATACCCTATAGAGGTGAACATTTTACCCATACACACATTATGTTTGATGGCCGTCTTGGGAAAGTGTATTGTGTGTTGTGGGTTGTTGGAGTATGCTTGAATCATAACAGCCCTGCAAAGTTGATTTGAATGAATTCGATACTTCCTTTTCTTCAATTTTCTTGACCAAGATGTCGCGACTCCTCCCCGCCCTCCCAATGTCCCAGATAATCGCTTGTGATGCTCCCCTGCTTTCCCCGGTTGATCAGCAGTGGGATTCCGTTCTTTCTCCTGCACTCGATAACTTGCATTTTAATTACTCGTACTATACTACTTCAACTTCACCCCATCATACAGATTCACCTCAATCCATGCTCAAGGTCAAACCATCGCTTGACTCGGATCCAGAGCTCTTGTGTCTGCCCACTCACAAGGTCTTTGACCTTCCAGAGGCTCACCCCCTTACCCCTCCTACGGCAGAACAGCGCCCGTCTCCCCCCGTATCAGACGCTCTCCCGTCGTCTGCCGCAAAACGCTCTGCGAGCCCAACCCCCAGCGTCACAAAAAAGCGCGCGATTGGTGACCGTATCAACAGCAAGGACTTTGTGCCCCCAGATGTCTCTGGTCTCAGCAAGCGTGAAGCTCGCCTCGTCAAAAATCGTGCTGCAGCCTTCCTCAGCAGGCAACGGAAGCGTGAAGAGTTTGAATGCATGGAAGTGTACGTCACATCAGAGTCTATCTATCCTGCAGCTTCCTTTCTTATCCCCCCTGCCTTCCAGACGTGTTGCAGAACTTGAACAGGAGAATGCACGCCTTTTGGCACTCACTCAGAGTGGAAATCCTGCTTCCGCAGTCCCTCCCCAGGTTGACAATGGCCTTATTTCCGAAGTTGAGCAGCTCCGAGCTCAGTTGGCTGCTGCAGAGAAGCGGGAGCGCGAACTTAGTGCGCAGTTAGCAATCAAGGCTGTCCCTCGTGACCCTCCCATCAAGGTGGAGGCTTCGGAGGTTTCGTTACCCCTTTCATCAGCGCCCCGGTCAACAGCGCCCCTCAAATCTGGCGCTAGTCTTGGTCTTATGGTAAGATACCCCAGTGTTGTACTCCATCGCTTTGAATAATTATGGTCGTTTAGGTGCTACTCTGCGCGCTTCCTACGCTACTGTCGATGCCCATGCATTCATCGGTTCCCACAAGCTTTTCGATTCCCACTCCCTTGCCTGCGTCTTCGGCTTCGACATTTGATTACAGTTCTTTGCTTCCCCACGACTACGATTGGTCAAGAACCACTGGCAGCTCGTTAATGGACCTTGACGACGACTACCCTCGATTTTCGCCGCCCTCGTCAATCCGAAAACTGGAATTTGCGGATTCTGCCGAGTTGGGCGGCCTTGACATCTCATTTGACACCACCCCGGCGAACAACGGCAAAATCAGGGTCCGCATCCACCCCTCTTCATCACCGTCATCACGTGCTACGTCGCCTGACAGTTCGTCCGACACGAAATCTGATGTATCGTCGCCCTCGTTGGATAGCATGTGGTCGGGATCCGACTATGAGCCGGGTTTTCGATCCTCGTTTTCTTCGCAGAGCAGTTCGCTATCATCTCTCTCTTCGTCCTCCTCTGATCCTTTCTTTGGCGTTGGGGAGTCCAGTGACTTTGGAATGGCGTTTGCATCGAACCCCTCAAAAATGGACTCTTTGGACTACGGCCAATCTTCTGATCTAGCATTCGGCCTTGGATCAGAGTACAACATACCAGACAGCACTGGCAAGACACGCCGCGTAAGGATCGCCTTGAAGAGCATGCCCGCAGCCGGCGGTGAAGGCGGTGAATGGGAAGTCCAAATATGCTAAATGCCTTTTCTTTTCTCTATGATTATGGGTGAACTGTTTTTCAAATTATTTATGTTCGTTTTCCCTTTTTATTCATTACAGGTCCTTTTCTCCGCTGGGGCTTCGCCGCTATGTCAATCTGCTATCTTTCCACTTGTATCATCATCAACCTCCATTAATCCCCCTATCATATCATATGCTGTAAACACACCCATTCGACTCTTGGCTACCTTCTTTCCGCGCCATATACCATACCGCTCATTTCTGGTTCTTTCTTTTAACAAAAGTACCCCCTCGCGACCAACTTTATACCTCCCGCCTCCGGATAACTGTATACTTCTTATGGCTCGTTTAGACTACATACTCTATCATCCCCAATGTGCCCGTCCCGTATAATCCAAAATATATTTCCGTCATGACACTTACTGGCAAATTCGATCCAATGTTGTTACCGCTCATGAACGCCGATAATGACTGCAAGGCGTCCACCTGGTGGGTTCAGTTCTAGCGCAGGGCTTTGAGGGCAGTCATTCAGACTACGAGGCAGACTACTGGTGTTTGTAGTTGCTATTACATAATAGCTACGCTTATGTGATAGCTACGCTTATGTGATAGCCATGCTTATGTTATAGCACGCTTATGTGATAGCAAGTGGCTGTGTAATCTCTCTTGCTCGTATACTTTTGCCCTCTCTGCGGCCTTCCACCACATTTTTACATCATGTAAAATAGAAGATACATTGAGATTATTGCGCAAATATAAGCTATTACAAAATTTCTATGTATTTTACTGTTCAATTTTCAACTACATCACAATATAACTGTTGGGACAAGAAATTCAACAGGGAAAGAATGTGATGGTCAATTTGACATTTGGATAATTGATCAGCTTTGAATATTAGCTGAAAAAATGTGAGATGAAGTGCCACAGTCATTTGAAATCAGAGGATAGGTAAATCATTCAATGTATGCCTAAACAAAAGAGGTTTCTGGGATTCTTCCCATTCCCAAAGAAATTAGATTCAAGTCAGCTATGCAACAACTATTGATGCCTGAGCCTTGGGTAAAAAAAATGGAACTGATACTTGGGATTGTGTCAAGGTACAAAATATGCTGTTATGTCCATCCTACTGTTGCAGAGAAACAGTTGTTTTTAAAGCTTATGTGTGAGTATCTAGCATTAATCAGGAGATCCTGACTGCAAAAAAAAGCTGTAATTGTACAGAATTGTAAGCATGCAAAGGGAAATGAAAATGATATCTTCTACAAAATATATTCTGTAGTATGGCCTGTGAACATCAAAATGGAGGTGCTTCACATACAGCCCATCAAGCAAAGGATCAATTGCTCCCACCCAAATTTTTTAAAGTAATCCAGGGCTTTATCATTTGGATGTGGATAGTCATTTTCCTGAACCATCACAGGAGAGGATTAATTCAGCCCACACAATATCACTGCTAGCCCATTACAAAATACAGTTTAATTAGCTAATAAAAGGCCTGCACAAGATGTCCTAGAAATTTCAGCTCCCTAATTACCTTGAAAGAGAATCAGAGCAGGAAATGATGCTCTAGGCCAGAATTTGAGGGCAGTAGGGCAGATAAAATTTACTGGAAAATCCCCAACAGAGTAGACTGTGATGGGGGGGATAGCAGGTATCCAAAGGCCCTGTCAGAATAAGGTTGGTAGGCCAGTTGTAGGTGGAGATGGAAAGATGGGTCAGTAGTTTATAGCTCATGATTGTAAGATAAGATAAGATAAGAAATATTCCTCTTTTTTTCGCTTTTTCCCTCTTTTTATTTTATTTTATTTTATTTTCTTCTGTAGCAACTACAAACACCTGTACAGATAATAGCGCCTTACAACTGCATTATTACTGCACCAAAGTTACCGCATCCTGAGTAGTGTTTAAAGGTTCAGTTCAGTCCGGTTTTTTGCCCCAAAAACACGCAACCATGGACTGCAACTGGTCCAGGACCGACCCAGATATTGAGGGAACCGAACCGAACCACCTAGGACCGGTCTTTTGCGGTCCATGATACTGGTTCAGACCGATCCAGACCGGTTTTTTTGTGTATACTTATATAAAATAGTAAAGCATGTAAATACCTGTCATTTTACCAATTTTCAAGAGATTTAATGAAGATTTGACATAGCTATGACTGAAACTGAATTACATCTCCTAGAGACTTGGGTAAAATATGGATTTGGTTATATCTTTCTCAATTCTTAACCGTTTTTGATGAAACAAAAACCCAATAAAAGGCAATAAACGTGGTTACAAGGCTATGTAACGCATGTGACCGTTTAACCAGTTGCAACCGATTAAAACCGGTCTTTGAACGGTTTTAAAAGATTTTCGAAATGAGGCAACCGGCAACTGGACCAACCCCAAATTGGGGCAACTGCAACCGAAAAAAAGACCGGTCCATGGTCCAGTTCAGTTCAGTCCACCGGTTTTTTGCGGTCCTATGGACTGAACCTTTAAACACTAATCCTGAGGGTTTCAGTAAGGGGTGGAAACTCTGCACATGAATGGTTGCGAGCCTACTAGTAAATTGAGCAGAGACAGATTTTCTGAAGTGAACACTGTTGAAAGTAGACTAGAATATCCTCAGCCAGATGATAGAATGACTAGCATTAGTACTGTACCTAGAATATCCTATGAGAGATATGTGGGTAAGTACTAATGGTGTAAGAACGGCAGGGCACAATACTCACCTCAGCCAGATGATAGAACGACTGAGGAAAGTAGTATGCCCCTGTACAGTACTTATAGTAGTGGGTTATGTAAGGTTTGATCACGATCACGCTGCAGTGCTCAACGGTTCAACACTCCTCCTCTAAGCGTAGATCGGGAGGACAAAGAAAAGAAGAAAAAAAAGAAAGCAAAGAAAAAAAAACGAGAGATGAATGGAGGATAGGATAGGATGATGGATAGAATAAATGTATGGGTAGAATCCAAGCACCGGGTGCATCAAAACCCAGTGGGAAAAAGCTACCGGCTGGCATGGTCGAAATGAAATCTACCTAAATGAAGGAGATTGAAATCGAGACGCCAACCAGAAAATTCTCCTCCTCGCACAAGCATCACTGGAGGCCTAGGAAGGGACGGAGGCGCATAAAATCGGGACGAGGTAAGGCCTTCATAAAGATGTCGTTGACATCAGGGCAATCAGCATAAGAAGAATCAGAAAAGCCAACGAGCTCCAAATCGGGGTCACCACTGAGTGTCGAAGCAAGAAGCCAAGTACCCTTAAGGTACTGGACAACATGTAGGGCAGCATTCCAATGTGCACGGCGGTAGCAATCAAGAAATTGGCAAAGGCGGGCGACAGCAAAAGAAATGTCAGGGCGGGTGCCAACGGCCAAATACATGAGAGAGCCAACGAGGGAGCGATAAGGAATACGGCCTAGATCATATGAGTCAGTTGCCGACAGCGGAGGATCTGAAGGAGAGGGCCGAGTAAGGCTCTTCGCAACGGAAGGATCCATAGGTGTAGAAATTGGGTCCGCATCAGTCTGGCCAAACTGTTGGATGATGCGGTCAATTAAAGCGGTTTGAGAAATAGAAATGGTCTGGTCGATGCGATTGTGAGAGATGGCAATCCCAACACAAAAGGACGCTTCACCAAGATCCGAAATTGTCCAGAGAGACTTGAGCTCCTCCTTGAAAGCTTGGGATGCTTCAGGTGTACTGGAGGTAATAAGGAAGTCGTCAACATGGACAGTGGAAAGGACCGTTCCAATGGAAGAGACTCTATAATAGACGCAGGGATCAGCATGTAGTCGCTTAAAGCCCCAACCTAACATAGCTTTATGCATTGTTTTGTTCCAGATACGGCCACTCTGCTTCATGCCGTAGAGTCCACTCTGTAGGCACCATACCCAGTCTTCCTTGCCAGGTTCGGCAAAGCCTTCAGGTTGTTCCAAGTATTGCGCTTTGTCAGGAGGTAATAGACCATAAAGGAAAGCGGTCTTGACGTCGATTTGCTGAAGATCCCAGTCCTTGGCGGCCACAATGTTGAGAAGGAGGCGAACAGATTCCATGCGGGCTGTAGGAGAGGTTGTATCGGCATAATCTTGACCAAAAATCTGCTCATAGCCTAAAACAACATATCGCGCCTTGTGCCGTACAGGGGCGCCAACTTTATCTTGCTTGAGGTTGAGAACCCATTTGCCATGTAGGATCTTATGACCTGAGGGAACGTCAGAACAAGGAACAAGTACATAGACACCCATATCTTTGAGACTCTTCAGTTCATCTTGAATACCAAAGGTCCATTTGTCAGCATCTGGGGATTTCATTGCCTGACGGAAGGTAGGCTTGTCAGGATTGCGAGGGTTGATCAAGGGGGATGCCAATTCGGTCGCGTAAGCTTCACAGAAAGCCACGAAATCCGATTCTGGGTCCAGAGGAGGTACCTGCGGTAGTGAGTCATCAGGGACAGCATCAGTAGGAACAGCAGGGGGAATGGTAGGATTAGAGGTGGAAGGAGGGCCAATGTTAGTCAATGAAGCTCGTTGATCCAGGACCAGTTGACGCCGTTCGAACTTAGCCTGTGCACGTTGTTCCTTGAGGCGGCGACCAGCTTCATGAGATTCTGTAATGGCTTGCGCAACATGGGGTAAGTGCTTGATGCCTAGAATTTCAGCTGCCTTAGCCATAGGAGCCAGCGTCCGGGCAGATCGGCGTGGTACATTGCCAATGTCACCTATGGGACCAACATTAGTAGGGTCATCATGTACAGGGACTGGTACCTCATCATCATTGCCAGGTACAGTCCAGACTTGGCCCTGAGCATCGTTAATGAGCTCCTCCTCATCCGAAATAATGGTGTGCTTGGGCGAAGAAGAAACAGAAATAGAAGGAGAAGAAGAAGAAAGAGAGGGAGAATGAGATACAGAGGAAGAAGCGGGCACATCTGGAGAAGAGGAAACTATTGGGGTAGTTTGTGATGCATCAGAAGGGTTACCAGGGGGATCTGTAGATGGAAGATCAATGACATGACCAGGATAAAGAGGGCGAGGGATATCGTCCTTCTGTTCAATGAATTTAACATGGAACGATTCAAAAAGTCGGTGTGTCGTGTGATGGTAAAGTTGATATGCTTTGGAATTGGGGGAGTAACCAACAAGAATGCATTCAAAGGAACGCTCGTAGATCTTTGGGTTGTTTTTGAGGATAAGGGCAAATGCGCAAGATCTGATTTCACGGAGGTGTGATAGGTCTGGTTTCCTGCCATGCCATACTTCATAGGGTGTTTTCCCAAGCATCCGGGTAGGCGTACGGGCCAATAAATAACCTGCAGTCATGGCAAATTCGTCCCAACGATTAGGAGGGACTTGTGGTGTTGAAGCGCGCATAGCACGCATCCTGTTCATTATCATGAGGTGCATGCATTCGGCACATCCATTATGGGCAGATGTGTAAGGTGCAGTGGTCTGTAGGGTATAACCATTAGCATCACACCAAAGTGCCATCGCGTCGGAGTCTAGTTCACCACCATCAATACGAATGATACCGATTTTCTCACTGCTCTCAGCTTCAGCTCGACGAGCCCAAGTTTGGAGAGTAGGTAACACGTCAGATTTTAATTTAAGACAGAATGTCCATGGGTGACTAGAGTTGTCGTCGACGATGTTCATAACGTATAGGTTTCCGCTAGCAGACTTCACTGCCTCAGGTCCTGTCAAATCCACATAAATGATCCCCAACCTGTGATTCAATCTCTCTCCCTGGCGCATTTTCGGTACTGGGGTTCGACCCTGTTTGCCGCGTATGCAACTGTCACATTTGGGAGGTGTTTGAGAGAGATCTATGCGCATACCTAGAATATCCTATGAGAGATATGTGGGTAAGTACTAATGGTGTAAGAACGGCAGGGCACAATACTCACCTCAGCCAGATGATAGAACGACTGAGGAAAGTAGTATGCCCCTGTACAGTACTTATAGTAGTGGGTTATGTAAGGTTCGATCACAATCACGCTGCAGCGCTCAATGGTTCAACAAACACTAATCCAAGATTTGAAGATATACATATTCCTACCTTATTGCAAGTCTCAAAATAATATTATAATTAAGTAAGTATCCGCATTCTGCGGGGGGCTCGCTTCGCCATCCAAGTTGTGTGGTAGCTACATCACAGTTTTACAGAGATCAACCTACACCGTAGTACGTACTGTACAATATAAGAAGCATTTATGGGCATATTCATCGACACGATGTTGACGCGATGCCCAGCGATGTTGCATCACGTGTTCAATACCACTCAGTTTTTGTACTCTAGAATTATCGTAAAAATCGGGATAAAAGCCCTATTTTTTGGCTCATATTATCGTAAACGCTATCAGTCCCCACCTTATTCTCAGTTTTCTAAGGAAGAGGAGCAGTATCCATTCAGTTATAGCGCGTTTAGGAAAATCCGTGATACCAATTTACGTGTTTAAATTTGTACTTGTTTGTCCGCGCCTTTCACTGCTCGCAATTGACCCTAACCTCTTCTGCTCTGTTTTCTTGCCATAGTCTGCACACTAACAAAAGTCAGAACGATGGATGAATCATGCATGAGGTTCTTTCACGCGCAGACAACAAACGATGAAGAATATTCTTTGAATTCTTCCCGACAATCTACAGCTTCCTTCATCGCGTTCCTTCCTCCCGAGATCCTTGCCGCCATATTTGTGTACGCCCGACCTACGCGTCGTCTCAGACGCAAATTAGCTTTCGAAGTAACTCTCAGCCATGTATGTATGCAATGGCGCGGCGTCGCACTGACGACCCCCGCCCTTTGGACCACCATCGATATTTCTTCGACTAAGTCCCTAAGTTGGGCGCCCGTCTACCTTCAGCGCTCTGGAGATGGGCTCCCGCTAGATATCCGGGTGGATATTTACGCAGAGGACCGACTCGTTCGCCACAGTGCGTCCAAAAACACCGCTATTGTGCAAGCCGTCAGGGACTTGATTGGGCTTTACATTGGTCGTTGCCGGTCTCTCCTTGTTTTCACTTTTCACGAAGAAACAGCATCCCTTATTCTTTCCCGTTTGCACAACGTCGCCGCGCCGCTCTTGGAACGCCTACGCATTAATGCGGGTTGTGTTAGTCAACCCTTTGCAGATACCACTGCTGCTGCTAGTTGCATCTTATCTGGCGGGGCACCACGGTTGAGGTTTTTGGAGACGGAGACGATGCACTGTTTTCCCTTGGCCAACCTTGAGACCCTTCATCTTCATAGGCTCCATAATGCTGAACCCATCGAATATGAGCAGCTAACGCAGATATTTGCAGCTCTCCCTGCGCTATCCAACCTTTCCATTCGCGGACCGATCCACTCATCGCAGTGGCCTCTTCACCTGACTGCTCCTACCTTCCTCATGTCGTCCTTGAGATCGCTCATGATTTCTGAAGACGGGCCTTTCGCAGTGAAGTTTTTGCTGTCGGTTTCAGCACCTTCGCTCCAGTCCCTATGGTTGGATTGCTCAATTGACAACACAACCCTTTTCGAAGCCCCTCAGATGCTCGCTGGGAATAAGTTCCCTGTGCTAAAGTACCTCACGCTTGAGTCGTATTCTATGTACACCACCAACTCCTTCGCTGGCATCTTTCCCACAATAACCCACCTACATCTATCCTACGCGGCCTTGTTCCATGTCAAGCATTTCGAGGGTGCAATGGTCGCCGAGCCAACAATCTGGGGGCAACTGGCTACGCTGATTGTGACGGCTAGGAAAACCGATCACGCTCGTAAATTTTTTGGATCCCTCTGCCGCATCCTCCCAGACCGTCGGCGGGCAGAAGCTCCTTTACAAAGTCTTTTACTGGATGGCGACCTCTTAAGATTTCTCCTTGCACAGAAGTCTGACCTGTTACACGAGCATGTTACCATGGAAGAGCTGCATAAAGATAATTATAGCGAATTTTGGTGGGTCAATCGACACGAAGATACAGTTGATAGAATAGGCGTCCCATTGATTGGCGAGCCATGAATATGCTACGATAACATGAAATCTACAAAACGAACAAAATAAGAATGACGGGGAGAACTACGGATACAAAGAACCTAAATACAGATACCAAAAAGAGACCGAGATCTACAAAATACAGCTGGTGTAGTCCAGGGGGCTGATTGTAAGTAAGGACAGGCGAGAGATGGAGAAGCCTAAGGAACGTGGACGCCAGTAAGACCTGGCAGTGGGCATGAGACCGGAAAAGGAGCGGGTGTGTGCCAAAACTTGACAGCGACCGAAAGAGGGAGCGGAGGATACCAAATAGCGATAGTGATAAGGATACGAGGTTCGGAGATCAAGCACGATGTGGGTGGCAAGAGAGCGTAGGGTATGAGTAATGCTGGGATTGCGACTCGTGTCGTGACGGCGGCGAGATAGGCAAGGTGGCGCGAAAGAGGATCGTGGATTTAATAACAGCCGAATCGAGGACACGCGGGCTCAGCCTCGCGAGCGACTTCCACGATGGTATCTGCCTAAATTGAAAATTAACACCTGAATTTGGAAATAAAAGGAGGAATATTCTCACCGACACGTCCTGTGTCTGAGGAGAGACAGGTATAGGGGAAGCAGAGACGAGGGCTGCGGCTGCAAAAGGGAGCTATTCAGTGCGGGCCGTCGGAATAAAACGTCGAGTTCACTCACTGCAAAGAATGAAGAGAGTGCTGAATACCTTCAAGGCTTGCATTTTGGACGAACACGACAAAATGTAGAGAGGAGACAACGATCCAGTGACTCAAGACTTGGGATGAACTTATACTTGGCAGCGACAGGTTGACATGACCGCCGAACGACGTGCAGGACAAGGGGGATGCCAAAAAGCGGTGAAGGGAGGGAAATAGACGGGGAATAAGCGTCGGATGTGATCTCAAAATAGAATCGTGAGCCATGGCCGAGTGGGAATTATCCAAAATTGCCTGTCGGGAGGCCTGTTTCGGTTGAGGAACAAGAAGACTCAACCCTAGATAGCCTTGTTCAAGTGGCTGATCGACATAGGAACTTTGTAGCCTTGTCCGCGTTGTGTGCCATCCCGTAAGTACTGCAGAAATAGCACAGAACAAACCCATCAAGTAGAAGGGTCCTTGTTCTCTATCTGGACTTGGACATGACTGCCGTCTACAGCTTTGATGTGAATGTCGGACGTCCTCACGCTTCCTTGACTTGATCAGCCATGGGAATTCCCGATGGATAATAATAATTTGGAACCAGAGAGAGCCAGATGAAGAAAGTCGAAGTTGTCAATGTGACGAGCACTCATGAGGGGTGCACGTGACCGATGCTTACTGTCAAGTACGTCATTCTTTGTGACGGCTGTATTATCCAGTCAAGGTAGACTTAGGGTAGCGTTGCTCCCAGCATTGTCAATTAGGTTCATTGACAATCATACACAAAGACGGCTCGTAACACTAAATGAGATATAATTTTGAATTGACGGTGCCAAAATATGGTGAGTACGACCCCCAACTGGGGTTACAGTGTGTACAGGAACCGTTGTTCTTCCTGTCCTTTCATCAAAGACTCGCGGCGAATCCGTTTGTTTTGAGCCCAAAAATAAGCGGTTGTGATGGCCAGAAGCATCAATAAGAGAACTTGACAGGCGATGGTTGCATATATTCCAGGAAGGTAAGACGGAGCGTCTGCTTGACGGAATACTGTTGTGGCAAATATCCCACCAATGCCCCCAAAGGAAACAATGACGGCGGTAGACACGGCACGTTTTGTGTGCGAAACAACATTGTTCGAGGCCTACGTCCTGCCGTCAGAAAGGAGCGTCTTCCAGCCTATCAACAACCACTCACATAGGCTAGAATACCAGGGATGCATCCTCCAGAGCCCGCATTGGCCAGAAAAAGACCTAGTCCGAATTTTGTTAGCCTATTGGCGGTTTCCAACGCGACGTCAGAGCGCGCACCTAGGTACCGCCAGCCAGGCTGGGCCGTAAAACCCGTTAAACACATCCCAAGTATGGTAATGCCAGTCTGTATCCCAATTACTAGTGCCCGCTGGCAATACTTATCCGATAGCCAGGCGAAGAACATGATAGACACAGCCTGGTCCATGCCACGTTTCCATTAGCGAATGCAACATACTTGAAGACAGATTTGCGTACCGCGAAAATAAACGGGGGCGCACTCTGTCCGGGTATACATTGTCGATCAAATATTTTTGCTTTCAAAAACTCAAAAACCGTACCAAGAGTAAGGAATTTTCGACACTCCAGCCCATTCCTCGTAGGATAAGAGTGAGAAAGTAACTGGGTTCGTGGATCAACGACCTGATTAGGAAATAGAATTCCCATTATTTACCTGATTGCGTATGCAGGCATAGTCACACAAAGGAACATGAGGCCTATATGACGCAGGATTGTCAAGATCAGACCTTTGTGGGCATCAAAAAGAAATTACCGTATGCCCAAATCGTCCAGTCGGATAAATGTACGAGGACCTTTTGAACCGTCAAGCCGTCGGGTACTGAATCACCCCTGTCACTCTCAACACGCTCCAGAATAAGGGTGGTTTGGGCGGGTGTTAAAAACCTGTTCTGGTCGGGGAAATTTGGAAGGAAGGCCCAAGCTACGCAACCAAAAAAAATTGTCAGAGCGCCTTCGATGATCTTGGGGAAATATCGTTATTTGGAAGTCAAGGGTGTCGATTAAAGCTTACAAAAATCCAAGACCATCCAGGAATTCCATATCGCCCATTGAGAAACGTGATGGCGTACGCAAGGATAGCGCTAAAGCCACCGATGACAACGGAGATGAGATAGAAAGCAGCCAGCCTAAGATCAAAATTAATCATTCGCATCATTACCCCACGAACATATTTCATCACCGTTTCTGGACTTCATGTCGTGTATACCTAGCAGAAATGAGTCTAAAGGCACAAAGTTCGAAAGGTAAGCATACCACGTAGTGATGATATAGATAAGAGCAGGAAAGAAACCAGCCTGCGAGAGAAATTGCCTCAGAGATGGACTTTAGCGTTCATGCTCTTTTGGGCTTGTGCGCACCTCAAATGCACCAAGCAGAACCCGGCAGAGACCGAGATACTCCCAAGATGGGACAAACCCCATACTTAGCTGAACACATCCCCACGATATTACACAAAATCCAAGCCAATTGGTCACACCCAGCTTCCGCAGGAGTAGATTGCTAGGCAGTTGACTGGGTGGACGATCAGTGGTCAATCCATTTTGAGTGATAATAAACGTGCAATAGGATATACGGGATGAAAAAAATGCACGAAATAATGCTGTAACGAGACCCGATGTCTAATCTCTAAACAAAACAAGGATCGTGACCACAAGAGGGTTGGGAATAAGTTGAAAAACATACTAGGTCATGCTGCATACCGGCGGTACGTGCTAGGCCCAAGTTTGCACGATCTACCACTGCGAATGCATACAGGATTCCAAGGATCGGGAGCAGTCGAAAGTCCACCTGACGGCTAGGGAGAATAAAGCGCGTCAAGGTACATTTAAAACCGCTCGGGGAGAAAGTACATAGTGGCCTTGGTGAACCGAGCATGCTCGGCTTGTACTTCCGAGCATTCAGGGTCCATTGTAGAATGGGCGTCGGGATCCCCTTTGTTGCCCAACGTCTGGACTTCAGAGTGAGAGGTCGAAGGAATAAGCATGCCAAGTCGTATCGTTTCAAGCGGAAAGGATGGGGGTCCCTCTGAGTAAAGACTCGATTTATACGGAGGCGAGGGTAGTTAAGCAGGCGTTAAGAGCCGAATAGGGGAGGAGTCGTGTCAAGTAACCTTCGAAGCGAAGAAGCAGCCACTAAATTGCGAATGCACATTGGCGGTTTGTTCGTCCTTCCCCGCCTTATCGTAACCGACTTTAGTTATTCCTTGGAGTGATCCACCGCTGGACTTCCAGAGCGGTCTAAACCCATCAGCCCGCCGAGGCGACATTAATTCGACTCGAACGCGACCGCGTCAATGATTTTGGCGCGCCGGTGCTTGAATTACCGTTAAAAACAGCATAAAGTAAACCGCTAACAGGTGTTGCGGGCTTGTTCAGATAGTTCTCTTCCGCCATTTGCTCGACAGCCCATGATCATCATACCGGAGCATCAACAAGAATGTCGTGACCAAATGACTGGGCTGTCGGGTGAAGACCTGTGTACAGTCGCTTAGTTCGTCCCGGCAGGCAACATGAACAGCAGAAGACTCGCTTGTTCTCTAGCGACCTTCAATCGAATTTTGTCGTTCTTCCCGTTCCAGGCCAGTGGGATCAGCAAGTGAGTCGTTGGTTAGGGCCATTGCCATCGAACTTCGAAAAAAGAAGTATGGCACCAGGAAGTCCATCGACCTGAAGGTCGTATTACAATCGGTAACGTACTGGAAGACGAGGGGGTAAAATTTCTTCCGCATGAAGATGATCTTGCATCCGTGTCGTCATAGAGGTCTTTTAATCCTGTTACAGCAGCGATGTACATGTAAGGTACTCGAGCAGTCACTCCATCTATTAGTATATTACAGTAAGATCTTCTTTAATGTAAAGAGCAGCGAAATAGAACAAACACCCACAAGCTACCCTTGAAACCAAGCTAATTCAATCAACATATTTGTTGCACGTCCTTCTTTTGCGACCCACCGGCCACGTCTCTATCTTTGCCCTTTTCGAGGTTCGAATTTATGGGCGAACTTGTTACATCATCCAGGTACAACCCATTCTGTTCAATGTAATCGACCACGGAGTTGGGCAGCAGGTATCGAACAGAAAGGCCTCTTCTCAAGAACAGGCGCACCTTGCAGAGAAAACTTTGATGAGAATACAGCGTATAAACCTCAAGGAACGTACTTTGGTGCTAGAAACATCATTCTGGATTAATTGAGAAATAAGATATATATTGCTCCGCCAGCGGGCAAGTGAGTCGGTTGCTTGGTCTATTGCCGAACCTGCACGTTCAACAATAAAGGTACCATAACGACCCAGAATGTGTTCAAGCTAGATAGAATTCAGTTAGAATACGCCGGGTGGCTGCAAAAGGATATCGTACATCAGAATAACTCCAAACGCCTGGTTCACTCATGGTGCTAATGAGATCTGAACCGGCCAAGAGCATGACGCGAACATTGCGATGTTCGCCGTCCTCTGTATGCACGCCCCCCAAGACGGTGTTTATTTCGTGATCAAAGTGGTCCAAGACTATGGCGGTGCGTTGATAAGATTGGAAAGCTTCCCATGGATCCACCATCAGGAAAGTTGTTGAGTCTTCTGAGGCCAGGGTACACATGTTCACCCTGGAATACAATGATGTCAATGATTGGTACAACTGCATAAGCGGAGTGATTGAGAAGGAAAAGTAGCGTAATAAGGATGTGCGTCGTTACGCGGAGCTGATTTCCAGATCCGGACGGGAAAACGATAGGAAGCCCGTCAGGGAGTTGGCCAAAAAGGAAGTCCGGAAATAATTGCCACAGACATGTGGATTTGCGGGGTGAACGGGACCACACGGGACCAAGTAACTCACCGGTGTCTTGCACTGAGCAAACCTGGTTTCTTGTACATGTCGGAGACAGGACTGAGATAACCACCAACGATCTCAAAGTCGGTGTTGTGTCTAACATAGTCCTTCGCCATCTCAAACATACGAAGATGGAGATAGGTGACTGGGCTGAATGAACCACATGCGACGAGGACGACAGGCGTTTTTTGGGGATCACGAAGAACGCGGGATAGCCTGTTGTGGGGAAAAGAGTAGTTCGGTGGGTGAGTGAAGGCGTCCGTAAGGTATGGGGTGGAAACCATAGGGAAAAAAAGGAAAGACGAGGGGGAGACCAGGGTCACCAGGGAATCATTAATCATTATCCTGTCCCGCATATTCCCACGTTTCACATCCAAGTCTATCTTACGGCCTTGAAAATCCGACGGATCTCTGTGAATGGGAGCTTTACAACATCGCTTTGCTCCGACGTCTTCAGCATGGGTGGCCCACATACCACCGACCCTCTAAAGGTGTATATTATCCAGGCCAAACTTGACCAAGACACAATCATTGAACTCCACAACTTGCTTGAACGAGATAAATACTACTACAACGGCTCTGCAAAATTTACGCTTTGTAATGACATTAACGAATCGGACGTTGTAGTGACGGCCATCAAGATGAGAAAGCGCTTAGAAAGACACATTGATTGGGAGATAGCGGTTTGTGGTCTAGTAATTGCAAAATACCCGTCTTTCATTGATAAATGCGCTATAGAAACAAAAAGCGATTGTTACACCGCAATGGCTACGCGATTCCGCTCAGGCTGGCAAAGCAATTTCTTTCCAAGATTATGCTGCTCTTTCCGAGATAAACAATAGTAATATTATCCACGATAGTCCCGAAAACCAATCTCGAGCCAGCCAATTCTTGTCTCGACCCTCTTTCCAATTATTCAATCCATCGTCTCTCGAGGAGGAACCAACCAATGAACGAGTTAAGGCCAACTGGAGATTGCGATATGCTTGCAAACGTGCCAGTCCGCTGGTTTGTAAGAATCAACCCCTCTTGGTGGAACTGGGTGTTCTTTACCGCGCAAGGGAACTGGAGGGCCTGGAGGTCAACGCGCTTGGGTATGAACGAGCCATTGCAGTATGAGGCTTGTTCGGTCTGCTCGCTCCTCAGTGCTCACAAATTTGTTCCTACTAGGTGATAAAGTGTGAGCTGAAAGTGTCCTTTATTGTGCTCCCGCTAAACGAGTTGAATTAAGCCTATCCGAACCTCATCGCACACGAGAACTTTGAAACTGATATTGTTCACTTGCCATTTCTAGGAGAGAAGATGCTCTTCAAGGTGTGTATAAATCATCTATGAAAGGTCTAGACTTTGAAGGCCACTACAGATAAGAGAGTATCTTACCACTGGCCGTATCCAGGAAAGCGGTTGGTATTATTATATAGAAACCATGGTTGGTTTTGACGCGACACAGAAACCACTCGAGCGTCGCAACGCTTCCAGTCGTTATCCGCTTTCTCCAGTGTCTACGGCGTTGGTCCCGCAACCGCTCGCAAACTCTACGACGACGGCCTGCGCACAATTGACGACATGAAGCGATATTATGATGTCCAAGAAGATACAGAGGTTCCGCAGTTGGGAGCGAACTCTGTCACAAATGATCTTATAAGAAAGGATCAAATCCCGAACTTGTCGACCAAAGTTGGACTGGCTCTTTATGAGGACTTGGAGACACCCATACCACGATCCGAGGTCGAACAGATCCACGATTTAGTTATGCAAGAAGCGAGATATCTGATGCCCGAGTGCATAAGTACTGTCGTTGGCGGGTACGCTTCATACTAGCTGATATTTCACAATAATTAAAGTTCCAAATAGGTATCGGCGAGGAAAGCCGTACTGTAACGATGTTGACATTGTTATAGGATGTCCAAATATTCAAAGTGGCGGGAATCAGGTCAAAGCCCTGGGCGAGAAGCTAATCAAACGGCTCTACGACAGAGGAGTGTTCCAGCCACCGTGTCTGCGAAGAATCGTATTTCTAACTTCCCCACAGGTTATGTGAGTCACATCCTGCGTAAGTGCCTTGTGATTTACTTATCGTGTCGGCTCTTTACCCCACTCAGGCCTATCGGGATTCCATGCGCAAGACTCTGTGCGCGGTGCGCATTTGAACTTGCTCGAGAAAGCCATGACAATTTTTGCCCTGCCAAAGAATGCTGTTCACCAGCGGGTTCATAGGCGTCTCGACCTGATATTCGCAGCACCAGAAACGTACTGGACTGCAATAATTGGATGGTAGGTCGGGGAAATTTGTTGATTACCTCTCTCAGCTCTCGTCGGCCTTGTCTTTAGGACAGGATCCAAGATGTTTGAACGAGATCTGCGACTCTGGGCGAAAGTCGAAATGTGCGCTATCTACATTCCCATTTCACCTCAATATTCGCATTGCTGACGCTGATGCGATAGGGGAATGAAATTTGATAGTTCGGGGCTGTAAGTTGATCTTTGATCTCAACTGTGTGTGCGGAATAATATACGTAGTGCAGAACGCGCCGTTACGATTCGAAGCTCTTTATGCCATCAAGCGAAAGACACGTTTTTGAAATTCTGGGACTGGACTGGATCGATCCGACAATGCGAAATGCGGACGTATAGTCGGCACTTTTGGAAAGCATTGTATGTTATGACTAAATACACGCTTCCGCAGGGTGATGCCTGTGCAAACCATTAAGGGAATCTCTGGCCTGAAGCGGGTGATGACGATGAGCCGTTTAATTGGCGAACGCTGGTATATCTGTCATTGCTTTGCCCAGAATGAGAGTATGGATATCGTTTGTCCCTGCCAGAACAAGGTGAGGGAGCATCTATCAAATAATAACCTAATGGCGTACCTTCATATGTATTCGTGACTTGGAGGTTCGCAACATGACGTCCAACGTGGTACCTTGAACAGATCAGAGATGATTCAGAGCCATGAAATAGTTCGGCGCACTCATCAGCAGCAGCGTTTCCTCCGAGGATATCCAGAACCACCCGTGAGTGCTGCAAGGCTTTACCGCAGTTGTTCTTCTTGATCATACTCACCATCTCTGGGGCCAATTTCCCCTCATCTTTGAGCCTACCGACTTGCAAACTGGCCAAGAGACCAAGCGCGACTTCGATCTGTGCGTCAACGAGCTTCTTCTGCACAAGTTGGAAGGATGCTAGAGGCCGGTTGAACTGGTGTCGTTCAAGCGCATAAGCGCGGGTCCGTTCTATGCAATCCTCTAAAGCACCCATCACTCCCCACGAAATGCCATATCTTGAAAATAGGTCTGAAAAGGTTCGCGTCTAGTGAATAGTGGAAGTGGGACGGACCTTGCAGAGTTCAAACAAGAAAAAGCAGAGCCGAGACCTTTCGATTTTGGCAGGAGAGCATCGCCAGAGACGCGTACGGAATCCATAAAGATTGATCCAGTTAAAGAGGCACGGAGCGCTACTTTGTTTTTAATGGCTGGCGCAGTGAGGCCTTTGAGTCCCTGCCATTTAGTGGTTAACGTCCATCACCACATTGTTCACGTCGAGGATACCTACTTTATCAAGAATGAAACCACGAATTCGGTTGTCCCACTTGCAATTTGCCCAGACGATGAAGACGTCACTGACAGGTATCAGAAGATGGTCGGACAGAGGAAAGGATTAATTACGCGACAGGTGCATTCGTAATCCAAGTCTTGCTTCCATTGAGGATGAATCCACCATCGACTTCTTCGGCCGTGGTTTCCATTCCAGCCGGGTCGGAACCGTGATTGGGTTCTGTAAGACCCTGCAGTGCGTTTAGCCAAACGAGACCAGTTAAATCGGGTGTGACTGACAAATGCGCCAATAAGCTCTCCCTTAGCTGTGATCATGTAGACGTCCTGTTAATTTTGATATGCGGGAAGAACAGTGAGCTCTAACCTAGTAATGGCAGGTATTTTTCCTTTTGTGCTTCAGTGCCAAACTCATTGATTGGGTGCATGACCAAGGAAGACTGGACGGAGGCTGTCGAACGGTACCCGGAATCGACCCTAAACTACTCAAAATCTGAAGGACTGGTGTACATTAGACGAACATACCGTTCTATCTCCCGGGCAATCAGGCCGTAAGCAACATTGCTGACGCCAGCGCAGCCAAATCCTGTAATTGTAGGTCCTAGGAGGCCTAGCTTCCCCATCTCTGGGAGGATATCGTGATCGAACTCTGACATTCGCAGTCAGAGCACGGTCAAGGACCTTGTAAACTTCGATGGCACACCTTCCGTTCGCCATCCTTTGAGCACACGAGGCATGAGATTTTCCTGTTCACAACGCGTCAAATGGGGCACAAAGTCGAAGCACGGTGCTGACCTGACAATACTGTCGTGCGGTATCTCTGCACGCCAAAATTCGTGAGCAAATACCATAGCAAAGTTGACGGGGGGCATAACCTGATCGCGATCTCCTCGTCTGTGAGTTGAGACTCAAGGTTTAGAGGATCCTAAACACCATACACTTGAGCTGTCTCGTTACACTGCAAAGCATGCTATAGACTTACCTCCCAATGGTACTTGGCAAACTCTATGACGCTGCTATCAACGAAATGGACGCGACAAGAAAGTAGTTAGACTGACTAGATACTCCACGAGAGGTGGGTACAACGGGTTTGTTGAAGGCATGAGTGTAAGCCCGAACAATCCGGGCAGGTTGGTGACGAGAGAGGGGGAACATGGCGATTAGGAGATGCGAGAACTTGAGGAATGAGTACAAGTGAGTACTAGGTACTATTTACGGAGCATTCAACGTTCAACTTTGAGCCGTCCGCTAACGCATAGCCGATGCAACAAGGCCGGGTGAGGGTGAAGGACTTTGGCGGACCGGAACTTGAAGCTACGCTTGACCAATTGAGATTTCGGATCAATATGTGGTACCGCCAATTTTACTACTGGCCGACTCCTGTTCAAAGTATTTTTACACTAGAGGCCCTAGCATGATAAAAATGAATGGAATTGGACCCCTTTTATGACGCAGATACACCTTTCACGACGCAGATACACCGCATCTTTTTCTCGCACATTTTGGCTTTGGTTTGATGCATATTCACAACACATGTGTCTCATAGCAACATACGGTATGAAGTGAAAGAAATGGACATGTCGTACAGAAGTGATTAGATCGTCGAGGGGTAGAGCATCTGTAGTAAATTCATCTTAGTCGATACTTATATATATTCGCAAACTCGCGACATACCACCCGGACACTGGCACCAAATGCACGGGGAGGGAGATTCGAACGGAATTTTGATTTTACAACGCCTGAGGATCCGTGTGGTCTGGTTACGCGGCTAGTGATTCGAATTGAACAGCATTTATATCGTCATTAGGATGTTGATGTCGATGTAGTGACTCACCCCCAGATTACACGAACTTTCGAGCCCTGAATCTCCCGCTTCGCCTTGTAAACGAAGGCAACACGCTTATATCCAATGAGAGGAGTCCCAATAAGCCTTGTGGTGGCACATACCTTGCCGAGGTAAAACTGAGCATCCTCCTTGGTGGCGACACCCTCTATTTGTATCAGCGAAGTGTTCGGTCGTGTGTTGCGTTTGGCGCGCTTGTGGCCCAAGACGCGGCCTTTGCTGTACAATCTAGAAGAGTGCAGAAATAAGCCGACATTCTTCGCAAATCGAAGTAATGGAGGGATCTGAGGGATTTGGCTGCGTCATCCACAGATGATGAATATAATCCATCGTATTCCACCTGTTCTAACCTATCCCCAATACCACCAGAGCAACGTCTACCCTTCTGAAAGTCACAACGCACCTAGTTGAGCCCATTTTGCTTGAGGAATGAGCACGCCGTCGAAAATCTTGAGGTTGCTTGTTGCTACGCTAGAATCAGCAATGAGAGATGGTCCGGCACTCTGAGAAGCAAACATGACCAAAGGTCTTGGTACGTAAATTGAGGTCCGTCGGACCGTTACAATCGTATTCTATATTGAGCATTGTTATAGGCAACGGAGCATTGGGATTGAAAAAGTACACGAGTAAGCAAATAGCCTCCCCTCGGTCTCACAGAAATGAACCTCGAGTTTTTGCAACATCGCAGCATGGAAGCCAGCACTGACCTGACCTGAGCCACAAGATACTGAGTCTGGTTGGCAGCAAGCTACGGTTTGGTTTAGCAGCGGGATGTGGTTGGGACATCATTCTCATGAAATTATCCTCTGGGCAACTTTGTTGAAGACAATGGATGTAATGTTCGGAGATCGATTTAAAATGGCCCTCACCATCCAAGGCTCAAGGTGGATGGGAGTGGGATCGACTTTCGGACTTGGCCTAAGTTTGATTAACAGTCCACTTATTCCAGAAAACAGCGTCAACACTCCCAAAATAATTCGGAATGTGTTGGGACTGTCTAGTAGGGTTATTTGGCCGACTAGCATCACAGCTGTGAACTTGGAAAATTCTTGCTCCCATATCGGGCAAATTGGTTGAATTCCATCGCAAAGAGATTCCATCGGTGGTGGAACACTGTCCATGAAGACCGCCGGTAAAATATCTACCATGGGCCCGACAGAGTCACGAAGTCGGGCGATGGAGGTGGCGGTAGTTGTGATGTTGAACATTTCTTCTTTATAAATATGGAAAGCCAAAAAGATTTCTCTTAGTCTCGGAGCAGTCAAAGGCCTGGAAAACATAAAGAAGAGCATCTCTGCGGTGGAACACATTGTCTTCATGTTCAAAACAATAGGGAAGGACGTGGTGGTGGATTCGTCCAAGAGCCCCACTTGCCATGGCCAAGGACAAAAGTCAAGCGTGTCAAGAAGTGGTAGTTGAGCAATAAAACCTAGAGTTTCGAGAATGTGTGTTACTTTTACGACGCGCAAAAATTTGACTGAAGCTGGGACGGCCGCCACTAGTCGTGAGAGTATAAGGGACCGCTCGGCTGGTGTATAGCCTGACTCGGGCCATGTGAGGCTGACGGTGAGTGTTTTAACTCGAGATTGCTTTAGCATAGTGAACGTCCAGTTGGAACAGGGTGGCGTGAAAAGGCTTATGGCATCAATTTCGATCTCGGTGAGCGCAACCTTCTGCAAAGCCGCAGGAGAGCAAGTGAGGAATAAACGAGTTCCTTTACTATTGTCCCTCTTGTACTGCCAATCTGGCGAATCGTTGCGGTGGACGAATCGGCGGAATGTCTGAGTGATACTGGAACGACTATCCGGTTGATTAAATATGTAACTCTTTTCAAAAAAGCTTGCTGGATTTATGATGCGAAGGACTTTGCATGATTTCGTTATGATCATGTTGAGCAGGTTCTGTAGGATATCTATCCCAGACTTCAGATCTGCGTCGTCAAGGACAATCGCTCCATATATATCGAAAGACAAGACGACCTCATCGATCGAAGACAATCTTTGTATGAGACGGTGGAGTCGACGTAAAGGTTGGGAAGCAGGCCAACCCCCGCCCCAGTACCAGGAAGTCTTGAGGTTGCACTGAAGAAATTTCATTCGTTTGATATGAAGACCCGCTAGTAAGGCGGATAGGGCGTCAGCCTTTGACGGGGTCCCTGGGGTATCATTGTAAAGATCAAAAGTGCAGTTCGTAGGATCCCGAATTCCGTGATGTTCGAGTAGTGCCGACGTGGAAAGGTGGTTGAGCAAACAACAAGTCGGGGATAGATCAAGAAGAGAGTCTGCGGGTAAGCAAGCCAATATTGCTTGCATAATTTCTACGGGTATGTCGAGTAGCCCAACCATGTTGACGCGTTGACGGCTCAAACGCTAATCCCGATTCCCTGTGGAAGTATCTCCTGATCAGTGAGGTGCTTCAAAACATGATTAGGCCAATGGTATCACCTCTCTGCATGGAGGAAATTGAATAAGTAACGTGGCAGCACCTTGCGTCAGAAGTAGAGATTAAGGCTGATCGTCACTGGCGCTGTTGTTAACGAGGACTTGCAGAATATTATGTAACATGATCACAGCAGCCTTGGCACCGTGACGCGCTAGATGGACTTCGATATTTGTGAAGTCGCGCCTTGATTCACGTAGCACAAAGCCCTCTACAATTTTGTTGTGGGGCCTCTGAGCGCTGCAGGGTAAGACCCACTACTAACGTAGCGGGCGGATGCGACGCCAGGATTTATTCTATGTATTACAAAGACAGCGGAGCATTGAGATTGAAAAAGTATACGAAGGGGTCTGTTTATTGGCAGCTAATTCAACCTCCTTCAACTCCCCGCGCTGCGGTACAAATTAAAAAAGCTAAATTCTACCAAACCTAGAATCATTTTTTGGAAGCTGCAGCAGGCGCAACAGGAGGGGAAGGTCTGGAGTCATCGGTTTTATCCTCTTGAGAGTTGGGTTCCTCTGAAACAACTTCTGAAAAGTATACATCTTCAGAAGAAGATGGGGGGGATGTTTGGAGCATGTCTGCCGCTAAATCTTGGGTTGTGTGTAACCCAGCCGTACTCTCAAGAGGGGAAGCTACATCCGGGGCAGCCACGTCAACCGAAATGTTTTCCGAGGGCTCAGACAGGGAAGACGCAGCTTCGACAGAGGAAGCAATGGTCGATTGCGGTGGTATCTCCGTTTCCTGAACGTCGGTTGGATGTGGATGAGAAGTTGGGGGGATAGAAATATTTTCCGCCGCGTCCTTCACTGGCTCACCCTTGGGCGGAATTTCAAAAGGATTCGGATCTCCTGTGGCCTCGGCCCAATATCGTAGTGTTCTGCGCATTCGAGCATGGTCGAGAGTAGATCCGCAGAAAAGTTCGTCGTCTGTGATAGGACGGGTGCTCTCTATAGGTTGTAGGTTATAAAATCCGCCCCATTTGAGAAAATTGCGCCCCGTTTCCGCCAAACGACGGTTAGAAAGATGTATAGATGGAGATTTAGAAGGGGGTGTAGTATGTACTGTTACGACACAAATGGCGTGAGACAGAGAGCACTCTTCTCGAAAGAAACAGCTTGAAACTCACATTTTGGTTCAATTTTGAAATTGATCGTTCTTCCCGTCCCCTCCACCGACGGAGTATTTAGTCCCTCCAAAAAACTGAGGGTCTCACTTTTGCCCTGGGGCTCAAGTAGGTGCGCGATGTCAGCTAGACCGACCCCTCCTGGTTGGTCTGGCACGACCTCCGGAGCGAGTACATGCAGGTTTTCACCCAACGCTGGGATGCGTTCGACTGAGTCCGCGTCGCGGAATAAAACCAATATCTTGGCTTGGTACATTTCTGGCATTTCATAATCCTGAAAATATAGTGGTAAGGAAGGCCAGTTGGGGCATGTGCAGAGCGAACGTTACCCTCAATATGCGAGCCTCAGCGATAGAACCATATTTTTGCTCCACGGCTCGTACAATGGTATACGCGTCTGCCATGTTATCTATCATAGCCCATGTGCGGATGTAGGCTGCACGCCTTCCATCTCGTTTGAGCTTTGGAAGTGGTAGAGGCTTGTAAGTCGCGGTGGTTGGTAAGGTGGACCCGCTTGGCGCCCCCGATGAATTTTCTCTTATGAATTGAAGCGGCCTACATCGTTTCAAGGCTGACGAGGTAGGTATTCTTGACGGTATCATGGTGGGAACTGGGTGGGAATGACACTTCAGACTCTTTACCCTAAATTTAGGGTTGGGGTTATTACACGCTCTGCCATGTCCTCACCAAGGCCAGAGGGACGATTTTCTGCATACAAGATCGCCCTCAAATCTGTCTCAGCGCGCACGGGGACTCCTCTACCATCTCTTCTGGTGTCATTTGGCGTCCTCCATGAACTCACTGCCATCCTCCCACTCGTTGGTGTCTTCTATGGAGCACGCGCGCTCGGCATAGGGGAACGCGTGATCCACGCTGTTGTGATGGAGGACTCTTCTTCTCAATATTCCCAAGACGGTGCCGTTGCTCGGGGGAGGAACGTCTTGAAGACTTGGGTCGACGAGGGTGACAGATGGGCTGCTAAAGTTGGGACTCGATATGGTTTATTCGGATATGAGAAAGGGGATTTGAATGGCATGTCAGCCACCATTGGTGCGCCTGGCCACATTGCTGGTGATGTTGCCAATGCCATTGTTGCCTATGGGCTGACCAAGGTGAGTTTACTCGGTACCTATGGTGATGGCTTTGACGGAATTTGCTTTTCATTACTCAGGCCCTCTTACCACTCCGTGTTGGAGTATCAATATACCTTTCACCAATGTTCTCTCGACAAGTAATTGAGCCATTGCGGAAGACCCTTCTACGCCCTTTCCGACGTTGATATTTACAGTTACCGCTTTGGTGTGATTGTCGTTGTTGCTCGCATGTCTCTAAGCCAAACAGCAAGTTATCACCTTTCCTATGCACAAACTGCACTTCAAAGATACGCCGCAAGAACAATCCGCGGGCAGATCACAAAAGCGGGCGAGCAAACGAAAACGGAAACGTGATTACCTTGACCATGACGACGAACATAAACGCGACACGTCATCGAAACGACCTCACGCCAGTGCGAGCGGAGATCTTCCGCCGCGCAAATGGGCATCGAGCGATGAAGATGACGCCGGTTCTAGTTACGGTCCTCACCCAGTAAACAGTTCGAAGATACCATCTGACTGGAAGGAAAACGCTCATAAACCTGACTATGACACCATCTATGCTGAATTGGAAGAGCAACGCTTTCGGGAGAAAATGTTTGATGCACTAGGGGATGACGAGAGAGTAGACTCCTTAGAGGCTCGGTTCAATGACTTTGGACATGTTCCAGACCGCTGGAGAAGTGCCGGAGGCTTGAAAGCAGGCGAGGGCATCCGCGAGGATGACTTTTTGAGGTTAGATCCACAGAACATGGATGAAGAGGAGTACGCGGAGTGGGTGAGAACTGGAATGTATAGGTATTTTTTTTGCTACAAAATACTGCAACAGTTCTCAAACTACTACACACCGCTAGGAAAACCCACGCAGCCGAATGTGCTGAATATTTGCGTAAAAAGGCAGCGAAGGCAGCACGACGTGCAGAGGAGAAAGCGCGAAAGGCGGAAACAGTGAGACTTGAGAAGGCTATGAAAGAAGAGCGTCAAAGGAAGAAGCAGGAGCAAGAATCACGGCGATTAGATTACGCGAGGGAGGAGTATCATATGAGGTGGAAGATACTGCTTTCCACCCCAGGCGACGACGACCCAATGGGGATCAGTTTCCACAGCATCCCGTGGCCGGTCGCTGCTGCGTATCAATGCACGGCCAACAAATCAGACGACAAGAAGCGGGCGACGTTTTCCGTGGATGATTTGACGGCAGAGGCTATCTCGGCGTTTCTACTTAATTTGATCTCCGGCAGGCCTGCAGAAGAGAGGAAGAAGGAGAAAAAGGAAAAACTCCGGGAAGCGTTTTTGCGATTTCATCCTGATAAATTTGAAGGTCGGTTCATGCGACGAGTAGCGAGGAAGGACGAGGAGAAAGTCAGGCAAGCAATTGGACAGGTTAGCCGTGTGCTTAACGTACTACTCAGTGAGGGACAATAGATTGCACTATGTAGGGGGGGCCCGAGTACAACAATAGACATACATATGCAACAAATGATGGCTGTGTTTGTGCACCAACCCCCCGCCTTTCAAGCTCCACCCTCAGCGTCCACGACGACGTTCAACCCGGTGTTCGCATTCGTTGCCACCCTATAACGCTCATTCAGAAGCATATTGGACTTTTCACTCATTTCTTGATAGGTCGCCACTCCTTCTACGACACACAATGTCCGGCATCTCAGATACCGCAGACCAACTATTCAATCAAAATTCGCGGACGCTGGCGCCTGCTGCTGTTGGTTCTCAAGTTGCTCTTATGAGCATTATATCTGTGTGTTTACTCTCCTCTATCCGGCTCCATTAATTCGAATTGTTATTCGCGTAGGTGATAGCCATTCTACTATTCAATTTTCTACGTCCAACAAACAAGGTATGCCTCTTTAATTGAACTTTCGCTCGCGGTGGCAGCCCAGTCATGGTTTTGCCCATCTTATACCGCATCCGTTTCAACCTCACTCAACGTTTTCTTAACGTGCTTTAGATCATTTATGAACCCAAAGTCAAATATCACGAAGGCAACAAACCTCCTCCCAAAATATCCGACTCGATCTTCGGCTGGCTCCCACCGCTCATCCACACCAAAGAACCAGAACTCCTGGATAAGATAGGCCTGGATGCCGTCGCCTTTTTACGCTTTCTTCGCCTCCTTCGGACGCTCTTCACTGGTATCACCCTCCTCACCTGTGGCATCCTCATTCCCATCAACGTCGTTTACAACCTCAAGAATGTCAATACGAAAAGCAGGGATATCCTCAGCATGCTTACAATACGGGACGTGAAGGGAAGCTTCCTATACGCGCATGTCGTGGTCACCTACCTCATCACCCTCCTGATTGTCTTTTGTGTCAACATGCACTGGAAGGCAATGGTGGGCCTGCGTCATACTTGGTTCCGCTCTCCAGAATATATGCAGTCATTCTATGCACGGACCTTGCAGGTGATACACGTCCCCAAGAAACATCAGAGTGATGAAGGCCTGAAGGGCATCTTTGCGGGTCTCGGAATGCCGTACCCAACGACCAGTGTTCACATCGGTCGTAAGGTTGGAAAACTTCCTGAACTGATCGAATATCACAATCAAACTGTTCGGGAATTTGAAGAAGTCCTCGTAAAATACTTGAAGGGTGGCAAGATTAGGGCCAACCGGCCAACTATCAGGCTCGGTGGTTCATGTGGGTGTGGGGGAACAAGGAAAGATGCGATTGAGTTTTATACGTACGTGCGCTGCTGACCTCGACGACTTCTCCTGCTCACCTTCACCTAGCGCCAAGTTGAAGCGCACAGAGGCTGCTATTGAGGATTACAGAAGCCAGATTGACACACGTAAAGCTGAAAATTATGGTTTCGCTAGCTTGGCCGCCGTACCTTATGCTCATATCGTGGCCAAGAAGCTGGACGGCAAGCACCCCAAGGGAACCACGGTTGATCTAGCTCCCAATCCTAAAGACATTGTTCGTATTGAATTGGTCATCTTTGAAACAACATCGCTTACAACGCATTAGATTTGGGAAAACATGAATAAGTCTGACGCAGAACTTGCTCGCAAAAGGCTCGTAGGATTTTGGTGGCTGGTTCTTGTTTGCTTCTTCAATACTGTGCCTCTATTCATCATCTCTATCTTGTCCAATCTCGACTCTGTGTGTAAATTGATCATCATTCATCTCGCCAACTGACTTTTTGTTTACAGATCCGTGTTTATGTCCCTTTCTTGCAAACATGGTTTGAAGACTCGCAATTCTCCTTTGCGTTCGTCTCCGGTGTTTTACCTCCTGCTATTTCTGGGCTTTTCGGTTTCTTCCTACCAATTATCATGCGTTGGTTGACTAAAGTTCGTCTGTTTACTGGCCTCCGAGAGCTTTGGGGATTTTAAACACCTCCAAAATTAGTACATGGGTGCATTAACCCACTCAAAGCTTGACCGCGCAGTCGTTGCTCGGTACTACAGCTTCCTGATCATCAGTCAACTGGTCATTTTCACTCTGATTGGTGTCATCTTCAGTACGACTCTTTTTGATGCATTGTAGCTTGTTGGCTCACATGTATGCTAGATTCTGTGAAAGAGATTATACAACAAATCGGTAGCAAGGCCAGTTTCCAGGAAATCATCAACAATCTCCATGGTATATTTACCGTCTTACTCAGTTTATTTAATACCTGACCTGTTTCGTAGAACTCCCAAAGCAAATTAATCGAACATATATCAACCAAGCTTCATACTGGCTGACATTTTTTCCGTATGCGATGATCTTCTCGCTGAATGCTTGCTATTAATCATTGCATCCTCTAGCCTTCGCGGGTTCCTCGTCGTTTTCGATTTGGCACAGATCATCAATCTAGTTTGGCTGTCGATCAAAACGCAGTACGTTTTTTGTTGCATTTTTATTTTTATTTTTATTCAAGAAAATTGGATGATAGCATGTTTGGCCGAACCCCTCGCGACATCCGAGAGTGGACTCAACCTCCTCTCTTCCAGTATGCAATCTATTAGTAAGTACTATGTCCTTATTCATCCGACAACATGGTTAATGGACTTCACAGCTCAAACATAGTCCGCGATTTTTTTAGTGCCTATCACCGATATACTGACTTGAAATTGCAGTTGTTCATGGCTGCCGTTGGAATGGTATTTGCGCCCCTCGCCCCCTTGGTCGTCCTAGCTGCTACGATTGTTTTTTGGATGAGCTCTTGGGTATACAAGTACCAGCTCATGTTTGTCTTCGTTTCGAAAGTTGAGAGTGGCGGTGTTAGTTTCTTCACTTCAGAGTATGCCCAATACAACCTGACGGAACCCCTCCTAGCGTCTCTGGAACGTCGTCGTAAACCGTCTGTTGTTTTGTGTGCTCCTGATGCAAGCATTGATGATTCTCAGTAGGCCACTTTGGATTCAGGTATAATCGCTAACTGACGTTCTTCATCCCATAGCGATTGGTCTACAATATCAATTTAGCTCACTGCAGTGGCTATCAAGCGTGCCCCCTATCTTGATCATCATCGCTTTCAAGATTTATATCAACCGGACCTACCTTCCCGCGTTCTATTTCTTCAACCCCTCTGACGAAGAGATTCGCCAAGCCAAGGTGCACTCAGAGCGATCAGACACCCAAGGGAACAGACTCGAGAAGCGTTTTGGTCACCCAGCACTCCACACTGAACTGTTTACCCCGATGTTGCACGCAAAGATGATGCCCCTCTTGAGCCAAGTTTATCAAGGCAAGATTAATCGGGACCACGCGAAATTGGATGAGTATGGTGGACAACGTATGGATGCCCAGATTGTTCCGGGTGGCATTAAGATTGCCGCAATAGACCAAGTATGCCGTCGTCCCTCTATATTAGCCCGCCTTTTGCCAACTAATTCTTCTCAACAGAATGACCTTGAATACGACCCTGCTCTATATCAACGTGATAGAGGAGAGTTGGATTGGGACGCGCGATCTATTGCTTCGACTGTCATGTTTGATTCATCATCAACACTCCACGCATCCAAGTCACAATATTACGCAAACGGAAGCACCACAAAATTGACTGGATATGACCATTACTTGAACAATGGGCCCATGGGCCAGCAGTCAGATATTGAATTGACCCAAATGGATTCAATGCAAGAACCGCTTCTCAGTCCGCGCTCGTTGGCCTATCAGCAAAGTTCCGCATTTGCTTCACAACAGTCTTTGGCATCTTTTTCACCAGCCATGTACCAAAATCCGAATGGCAGTGAAGCTCCTTTGCATCGACCACAGGAACGGAGTTATTCCCCAAGCCCGGCATACACTGCATCCGATGTCTACAATTCAACGTACTCTCCGTCGGAGGTACCACCCCAACATAACCGCCAGGCTAGTGGTAACCTGCTTGCCGGCCAACAACGGTCGCAGTCACCGTACGGTCAGCCCCCATATACACATAATCAGAGCCCCTCGCAGCAATACCCCTCACAACAATACCCACCACAGCATTCCCGACAAGCCAGCAACAATGTGTTGGCTGGCCAACACTCAAGGCAGGCAAGTGGAAACATGTTGGCAAGGACGGATTCCCCACGGTCAGCGACACCCTCGCAGCAGCGCACGCAGTCGCCAAGCCCACAATCTTCTCAGCAGTACTTGCAACAACGACAATCACGACAGGCCAACAATACCAACATGGCGGGCCGTGGGGCACATAGAGGATACTAACGGATATACTAATTTGTTCTGGTTAGGTCGAGTCTCATACTTGACCTGTTTTCTTAGGCTATTGTTATCTAACAGCTCTCACTGTCGAGCAAGGACAATGTACTCTACAGGTACTTTTTAAGTATTGTATTTAATCAAACGGACATGACCCGCCGTGACGCTATTGTCGGGCAATCACTTCATGCGTGCTGAACGTTAACATTCGACGCAGGTTGGGAACTTTCTAGTGTCAATGTGAGCCCCTCTCCACATTCAACATTGTATGATGCGAGCTTTGTATCACGATACACGCTTTCGACAAAAGGCTAGGGCCACTCCATGGCCTTTGCGCTTTTGAATGAATACGTCTGCTTGCAGGCTTTATCTTCTCTCTGATATTTTCTTCCCAAATGAATTCTAGTTTCCTATTCTTGCCCTAACGCATTCTTCTTATTTAGATCCCCCAAGTTTCCTTCCCATTACACTGCCGAAATGAGTGCGGCGACCATAGCCGCCTCGAACAGCCTCACACTTTGTCAGTTTACCCTGATTGCGGCCAAGAAATTATATCGTGAGCGTAAGATTTCGATGCGGTCTTCCACCACATGTCACTATCGATCATGAGAAATCACGCAGAGAATGTATGATTGATTCGCGACTACCGCCATCACCGGCCCAAACACTTGCTTTACTTTTCCTGTTTTTTTAACCCCCAATGAGACCAGCTACTTCCATGTGGCGGGTTGGACAGGAATAAACCCCATGATATGGCATAATGATTCAGCACTAGATCAAGTTCCTCCAACTCATCAAGCAATTCTAATGTTGATATTCTGGGCCCGAAGTCAGTTCGTTCAAAGTAGTTTGAGAAACGATGCGCACCTCTCCGACTCAGCTCTATCGACATATGTTTTCCTTATGTCCCTCAATGTTAAGGCATGAGCTGCGGTGAAACCGCTGCCGATAAATCTTTGTGAGAGACTGTCTAGAGTTAAAAACGGCTCAGCCCCTGGAATGGAAATGTTCCTGGTCTGTGAAGGAAGGCATGAGCAAGTAGATGAGGGGTGCAAGGGAGAAGACGCGCCTTCAGGTTGTTCACCATCACCCGTCCGAAGGTATCACCTAGACCGAACATTTCATAGACAACGCAACCAAGTACCCCACCAGATGGTGCTGAAGACTTAGAAAATTGGGTTACGAACCACTCAAGCAATCGAGAAGATGTTTCAGGCAACATGTATGCCAGGACACATTCGAAAATCAACAGAGTAGGAAGAGACGATGACAAAATTGATGTCTCTGTTGAAGGTGATGGGATCATGAAAAGGTGTTCCATAGTCTCCGCCGGAGGGAGACGGAGGTCGTTGGGGAGAAGATGGTACTTTGGTGCGTGTAGTGCCGTGCTTCCTTGGGCTGTTGAGATATGAATATTTAGAGGCGGCGGGGGAAGGTTGGGCACATACACAGTGTCACATCTGCAGGAGTCCCAAGTACGCTGCTCAACTCTCGGCTCTTGCGAATGGCCATGGCCTTCTTGGTCGTAATCTCGGGGAAATCGATCTCGACATAAGTGGCAAGGTTTTCCTTAAGTGGCCCTGTCTAGCTGAAGGGAGAGCTCATGAGCGAATACACAATCTGTAAGGCATGGATGCTTAAAATACCGCAATTCGCCAGAATCTTGTATCGCTCCCTGAACCGAGGCTCACAATCTGGCAGGGTTGGTTCAGTTTTCCTGACTCCTCGAGCCACTGTGTAGTGAGATCGTCGATCGCATACGACCGCACGAATGTGCCCACATTGATCAAGGGTGGGCGAAGGGGCTGGAGATGAGCACGGGGAACGAGATGCTTGATGAAGGGGTCATCAAGGTAGCGCTTCTGCACCGCAGAGAGCCTCGCAACAGCGGCATCGTTGTCAGTCGAACGGATTGAAGCATCTGCGTCCATTGTTACAGTAGGGTGCAAAGTCAGGGTATCATTATTTACTCGCTTACTCCCAACTACCATGTTCCTGCCTCCAGAGGTTTGGAGTCAAATCGTGTTAAATATTCCTTCTTCCCATGTCTCCCCGCTGCTTCACGTTTCTCGTATGTTTCACGAATTTGCTATTGCCATCCTCTTTTCTGCAATAAAAATATATTTCATCGGCGGACACAGTGCTCTTCAAATGCTCAACACCTTCCATGAGGATTTCGTGCAAGACACCGTCGAGAAACTCATGACTACGTCCTGGGCACTCCTTCGCCACATTACCCGCCTCCCTAGCTTCGCCAAAGTCGTCAGAAGTATCACCGTCGTCGCCTTTGCAGATTCACAATCTATCTTCGAACAACGTATAAGCTTTTACTTGGTATTCATTCGCTGTCATCATTGTGATTGCTTTTACGAACAGTATCTCTAGGGGATGCTCTTGATGCATTACCCAACCTACAAACATTTCGCTGGATTGGTACGAGGCCGGGATTATCAGAAAGCCTGGCGAAACGCATCCCGCCGAGTGTGCAAACATTAGACCTTCAAACGTAATTACATGGCCATCTCGTATCTTTTTGTGCCAACTCACTGATATTCAATCAGTTATGTATCCACCTACTCATTGGGACATCTAGGCAACGTCACCCGCCTGAGTATGCCCACGCCTTTCTTTTATCCAGACGATGAAGAAGCGCACGATGATATGGTCATCGATGAAAACCTCTGGGACTGTTCGTCGTCGATTGATGTGAGGGAAGTACTCAACGCAGTCTCCCAAAATCTTCAATCACTGGTTATCCTTACTCAGCACATCACTCAAGTGTCCATCAGAGTCTGCAACACACTGAGAGTACTCGAGATTTGCGCCGCCCATGGATCAAGTTTTACAGGGTTGGATTTGGTATTTCGTCACGCTGTGGCACTGGAATCCTTAACGGTTGTAGGCTACCTCGACGATGAAACCCTCTCCCTCCTCCCCGAAGACTCGTCGGTTCTTCCTCATCTAAATTCCTTCCGGATCTCTTCTGATGGCATTACATTGGATCACATCTCTGACACTGGTATATGCGCTTTGCTGGGGTTCCTTCGGGGTCGATCTTTGCTCAGAAGACTCTACCTCCGGCTTCCCGCTGCTCATTGGAGCCAGACCAGCAGCATCCTGGAAGTCATCGGTGACCTCGATGGGTTGGAAGTTCTCGGTCTTCACACAGGATACGATCCTCTTTCTGACCTTGAAATCGGCATGGTAGCCAAGATATTGTCTAAGAAACTAAGAGCGCTTCATTTGGCCTTGAACTGGGGGGGATCTGATTTGTTACCGCTTGTAAGTGCATCCATCGTGACCCCGAACAGAAAAAAAAATTAAGTGACCAAACAGATAGATTCGGTCGCTCAACTCCCTCTCCTTTCCTTCTTCCATTTGTACGGCGTCGTGACCCGCTTACCCTTGCTGCTGGTTGATGTCGCAAGCGAGGTTAAGACTCTCAAAATGGTAGGCCTGAATCGTGCTCTGTGGGACATTAACAGGGCGGGCCCCGAGCTCATTCTCACGAAATGGCCTCGTTGGAAGATTAAGTTTTGTACGGAGGAGGAGTTCTGCTGCGAAGACGATGCTTGGTTATTCAAATATAACTGACCTAGGCCACTTTGAAAAAACGTTTGTAGAGTCCTCCCCCCTCAATCAATCGTATGGATATCTTTACCAACCTTGAGCCAGTAAGACCCTTGAGCACCTCGTAAGAATCTGGCGGTGGTAGATATCGTATTGTCGGCTTAACCGGGCCGGCGACCTGAACGGTGTTCCCAACTTCTTGAACCACGGCGTTTTTGGAGTTGCAATCGTCGTAACACAACTCTCGACTAGTATCTCATACAGGCTGTTCTCTTTTGTCCACATTGCTGGCTGTGACTTGTTAACTCTCTGAACCCAAGTAAATTACCCCATTCAACAGACTCTACCACTGGACTTAAGTCGAAAAAATGAATGCCGAGAAGCTAATATCAGGGCAGGAAGTGGCAAAACATAACAGCCGGGAGAGTTGTTGGATTATCGTTCATGGTGCGGAAATCTTGCCACCCATTTTGTTTTGAGGTTTATGGGTGCTTAGGCAAAGTTTACGATGTCACTGAGTTTCTGGATGGTGCGTGTCGTTTAGCTATTGTTTTTCTTTTGACTGAGGCATATCATCGAACTCCATAGAGCATCCAGGTGAATTCAACGTGCTTAGGCATTTCCCCATTCTGCTAAGTCGGATACTGTAGGTGGTAGCAAAATCATCCTAAAATATGCGGGGAAAGACGCTACGTACGTGAAAGCGAGATTTCCTTGGTCGCAACTGATGTTTGGCAACTTCCAGTGAAGAATATGAACCAATCCACCCACCTGATGCAATCACGACCAACCTGCCGCCTGAAAAGCAGTACGTACCTAGCCGTTCAAATCCTTCCTTTGTGACGTGAATCTAAAGTTTGGGCCTCGTCGAGCCTTCTACGGTGGAAAAGGTGCAGGTCAAAATCACAGACGAGGAGAAGGCCCGTCAGGAGCGCGTCGCCAATAGACCTCCACTAGATGAGATCCTGAACCTCCATGACTTCGAGGTATGTCAACGAAAGAACGGTTTTCGTCGTATCTTATCTCGTAGGCCATTGCAAGGCAAACTATGCCAGAAAAAGCATGGGCATATTACTCTTCTGCCGCGGATGATGAAATTACAACCAGGGAGAATCATGCTGCTTATCACAGGTAATCTTCTCTCTCTTTCTTGATAATTTTTCTATGGGCTTAGCGTTTGTTTCCAGAGTATGGTTTCGGCCCAGAATACTTGTGGACGTGACTAAAGTGGACTGGTCCACCAAGATCTTGGGATACAAGTCGAGTATGCCCGTCTATATAGTGAGTATCTAGCCGAGAATATGGTCCGAACAGAAGCAAACTATCCCTTAGACAGCAACTGCTTTAGGGAAACTAGGTCACCCAGATGGCGAACTCAACCTCACTAGGGCAGCGGCCAAACATGGAGTAATCCAGATGGTGATGAATTTCCATGTCCCAAAGATTAATCATCTCACAGACATCAATAGATACCTACGTTAGCGTCTTGCTCCTTCGACGAATTGGTGGACGCTGCCAGACCAGGCCAAGTACAATTTTTGCAGTTGTAAGAACCTTCCCCCCATTTGTGTGGTTCATTTCTCAGTAGTGCATATATAAGGTACGTCAACAAAGACAGGAGTATAACAAAGCGGCTTGTACAACACGCGGAGAAGCGGGGAATCCGAGGTCTGTTTATTACCGTCGATGCTCCGCAACTGGGACGTCGGGAGAAAGTGAGATACTCCACATTGACATCATTACTCGATATCCATTGCCTCTCAGGACATGCGGATGAAATTTGAAGCTGAAGATCCCTCGGAAGTCAGTAAGGCAGGTTCGAGAGGTGTCGACCGCTCCCAGGGAGCAGCACGAGCAATTAGTGCATGTAGGGTTCATTGCTCGATTGAAATGAAGCTAACAGCACCACCAGTCTTTCATCGACCCCGGCCTAAACTGGAAGGATCTCGAATGGTTTAGAAGCATTACCAAGAGTGAGTAAAACACTGAAGATTTGTGCTTCTTTGATCGTTTTCTCTTGATAGTGCCCCTCATCTTGAAAGGCGTTCAACGATGGGAGGTCAGCTCTCATTTGTTATTCTCTCGAATTTTCACCTAGTTTGAAAAAAGGACGCTTTGAAAGCCTATGATCTCGGTCTCGCCGGTGTTGTGCTTTCCAATCATGGTGGCCGTCAACTGGACTTTGCTCGATCAGGTGTTGAAGTCCTTGTCGAAGTTACTGAATACTTGAAGCGTCACCGCGGGTTGACATTCCCAAATGAAAAGTTCCAACTATTCGTGGACGGAGGGGTACGCAGGGCGACTGATGTCATTAAAGCAATTGCTCTGGGTGCAACAGCTGGTACTTTCTTCCGACCTTATCCCCGTGCTCTTTCTAATTTGTAAAGTGGGAATTGGTCGTCCATTTTTATATGCCTTTTCGTCGTATGGAAGCGAAGGAGTTGAAAGGGCCTTGCAAATATTGCATGTAAGTGGATTATTGGACATTTTTCTTCATATGTGCGTTATTGACATGCATAGGACGAGTTTGAGATGAACATGCGCCTTCTTGGTGCTCGAAGCGTTGCTGATCTCGCTCCCGACCTGGTAGATGCCTCAAATATCCATTCGCATCTTGTGGCTGTTCCGAGCGACAAATTATACGAAAGCAATTGTGAGTCATTTGTTTGAGGTTCTCTGGAATATAACATATCTGTCCAATAGATGAGAGCATGCGACACGCCAGGTTACGTGACACGAAGTCGAAGTTGTAGGATGTCGGCACTTGCTGATCATTATATGGATGTGAGATGCATCATCAAAGGATTTTTTGCCCTCTCCTGATAAACTACAGATTAGATTTATATACCTCCCCTAGATCGGGTGACATTTGTTTTGTGCTGTGGAACTATAATGATCAGTAGAAGCGGAAGGCCGCTGTCCCAAGCATGCAATTCACTTATTCGCTTCAAGGGAGGATTTTGCTTTACCAGTTCCCGTTCTCTCGAGTAAATGCATAGCAGCAGACAAAGAATGGTTTGTTGATAATAGATAGAGATCCGAATATCGGCAATTATGAAGTTGAGTTACAGCATATTTCACTCTTGTGAGTGTAGAAAAATGCAATGTGGATTTGGAGGTCGTGCAGCAGCCACGGAAGCCAGAAAATCCATAATCGTGGAAAGGAGATCAACAGAGTTGCGAAAAATGGCACAAGAGGGTAGCCTAAATGTTGGACCCAAGCTTGCAGCACTGAATGGAGGTGGTATTTCGGCATCTCCTGATGACTTCGCCTTCCGCGTAACTCATCGTAATAGCTCCTCGTGTACATTGAAGTAGCTGAAACCCCGCGTAAGCAACCCTATAACGAGCAAAAACTAGAGGCGCACCGAACGACACGCCCTACTTGGTGGCAAGTGCCTTGCCCATTTTCTCCCCACTTGACAACCCATCTTCCGATAATGGTGCCATTTTTATCTCGTGTCTCCGCCACCGTTTCTTCTAGACCAGGAAGAGCTGATTCCTGTTTGTTTGGCGACACCACGATAGAATCCGCCAACTCCCACTTCGCCATAGGTCGTTTCGTTTCAATAAGGAAGCATGGGTCATAAACCTATCGTATTGTTATTAAAGGGTGTAACGGCGCACAGCGTCAAAACAGACAAACCCTTGTGACCAGAGGACGAAGTGTCAAAGTCATGGTGGTCATCTCGAGTAATTCCGATTTATCGTCCGAAATCATGCGGTTCAGACTTGTAACATAGGGCTTGGCGCACCATGCAACAAGAAAAGTGCTCAATCCTGAGGTTCCAGTCGCTATGGAAGCGAGGGCGAAACGGGCGCTGAGAGGGAGGTTGGATTCCACTAAGAACATAAATGGGGCGAGTGTTACAGAAAGACCGAAAGACGCCAGTGAAAAAACTTTCAGTCGGCGGAAAGTAGCAGTGAGAGGTCCATTGTATATACCGGGAGCCTGAGGTTGAGATGAGAGTGGAGGCGTATTAGTGGTTTGGTTGGGTGTGTCAGACCGATGCACGCAAGAGAACGAAAAGTTGCGAGCCTGAGCGTGCAATGGACCACGACATTGGGTTAATCGTGCATTGCTGCGAAGGCCGACGACTAGCAGCCTGGGAGGTCGATGCAAGCAACCAAGGAGCTGGAGACCATAGGGTCTAAAGGCGAGCATCTGGTGTGAATGAGAGAGCTGCCGTGTGTGCAAAGCCTCTTGGCTTTCATCTCATCCGACACTTTGAAATGGAACCGCCAATCATCTACTCCAAAGCTGAATTTATCGAGACAGTACGCGACGGAATATCTCCTCAAATCCCTCTATGACGCGTCGTATCCTTAGGATACAGGAAACAAGGTATCGCGTCGCGCAACGATCGCTGGGCCACAAAATATCATCCTTGGTGGAAAGACAATCATATCCAGTGGCGCAATAATTCGTGGCGATCTCAGACGAACAGGACCGGGACATGCTGTTGTCATCTCTCTAGGCAGATATTGTCTAGTAGGGGAGGGGTGTGTGATGAGGTCTGTTCATTCTACTCGCTCCCGGCGTCAACAATTGATAAAATTCAACAAGACCACCCTACAAGACATACCGCGGAAACTTCAATTATTATCCTATGAAGATAGGCGACCACGTCCATATTGGCGCAAACTCTGTCGTCGAGGCTGCGACAATAGGAAACCATGTCGAGATTGGGAAAAATTGCGTTATTGCAAGTCTCTTACACCTTCCATAAACCTCTGTTTCTCAACTTTACTAGGGAAAGTTTACAATCATCAAGGACTGTGCAAAGATCGCAGATAACACAATAGTACCACCGAACACAGTCATACCAGCGCTGGCGCTTTTCTCTGGCTCCCCAGGTCACAACTGCCTCCTCTATTTGCTTAGTGGATGACCTCATCCCTCCTTGTGCAGGCCGCTTTGTTGAAGACCTTCCCGAATCTACGCAGGAAATGGTGGAGGCTCAAACGAAACAATACTACACTCGTTTCCAGCCATCAGAACGATAGAGGGCCATCGCTGCTTTCTTTTATCAGTGATTACCGCTGGCGCATAGCATATATTTACACTACATTTCCGTTAAACTGAGTTGCGTGGGTATATAATGGGAACTGGTTTCTATCTAGCAAGATGAGTTGTTTGTCAAGCATAAGGAATTGCATATAGGTTGCCTCGTCTGTCGAGTAAAGATATCACGCCACGGTGATCGTCTAGACCGAGACTGTAGATGAGAGACAGGTCGATGGACGGAGGGAGTTCAAGTTCATGAACAGATGCTGCCGATTTTTGCGGATTGTATCGGACGAGCCGTAGGACCACGTCCTCGTTGGATTTCGCAACCAAAAGAACGTGTCTTCCGGAATGCGGGATCAGCATCAACTGCCAGGCTGAACCTGGTGAATCATGGAGTACGCCGCGAACATTTGCAGATTGAAGTAATGACAGGGTCTTTGGGCTGCCTGCAGATCTGGTCCAAAAGCGTATATGGATTATAGGTCCCTCCGGGGAGACGACACTATGCATAGAGACCGCAGGTACGTCATAGAATGAATCCGAGGATAAAGCCCCCTCCGCGTGATACCGCGTTCCGGATCCGTCTAAAATACGGAGCGCGGCAGCGTTGCACCGCAGGAACGATTCGTCTGGGCATGAATTATCGCCGTCGTGTGGAAAGTATTCCTTGGGACAGCAGAACGAAACGGACGTGCTGCCGTGTTCTATTAAAATGAAAATGTCGCCGTCGCAGGCCGATGTAGCCGAATGACCGTCTTCATTAGCATTAGATGGCTGCATGATCGCTGAGTACAGGTATAGGTCGGATACAAGAAAACCCACATCACCCACATTGTAAGGAATGTCCGTTTTTACCATCGTCATCTTCTTCGATGATATATTGAGTGCAAGTAGGTCGATGGTCGGGTCCCTCCTTGATACGTCGCAGCGAAGAACGCCGACAATCTCTTTTGTCATAAATACTGCCCAATGGCAAAATAAAGGTGAAAGATAATGACGGAAAACTATCTGAACTTTGGCGGTCAAAAGACTATATTCCAGACAAACAATGACGAGGGAGAGATTGCTAAAAGTTTGATCAATATCTGAAATGTGCCAAAATAGTAAAACTACAGTACTTACGGAGTATTGATGTCCCCATCGTTAACGAGCAATCCCATCGAGAACCGCCCGGGCTGATCTTGACCAGGCGATACATCCAGAATCGCCTTGGCAACATGGATAGGTGGACATACAGCTTTTCCTAGTCCTATATCCCAGCAGGTCATAAAACCTTTAGGACGAGCGTGAAGAACATATAGCTCCGTGCCAGGAACTTGAAAGACGATATCGAATTTAGGTCGAATCCCCAACTTTACCGTCTTGATGGATCCGATAATCTCTGGCTTGGGAAGGTCCCAGTTGCGCTGAAGACGAAGAGATTGTAATGCTATACGCTTGAGGCTCGCTAGGTCGTGCGTCGTCAAGTCCTCATGTAAAAGACAGGGAATGGGTTTTGACAAGCGGGTTTTTGTCAAGCAAGTGATCCAAAAGCTACGTTTTTCAAGCAATGCATGGAATGTAGAGCAAGCCTATTAAAAGTCAAGTGTTTAGTAAACTACAGTTCACTGCTGCAGACAACAGACCATTGAGAATGATATTCCAGTCTTCAGGTCACAAAATCCGAGGACGTGTAGAAGGACATCATGGGGTAAATTGTGCAACTTCATCGACTCGGCGAAAGTTGTTCTGAAAGTACGTAGCGATGATTCTTCAGCTTAGAGGTGGCTTAGATAATGGTGAGAGGACGAAGCGCATTGCAGGCGTGTGCTCCAAAATGAAATAATAACTGTAGTTATGTGAATATAATGTACATGATGCCTAAGTAGTTACAGGTGTCGTGGCTGAGTGGGGAGGGATAATAGCTGATAAGTAAGGTATGCAAGTTGTCGATACTTTTGACATGAGGACAAGTGAGTGGAATATGGGCTGGCCGTCAACAAGCAAGTCGAAGGAACGTGCAGCCCAAAGCTCTAAGCGATGATGGTGAAGCAAAGTAACCTAATCCTTCTTCTCCTCCTTAGGCTCGGAAGGTTGCTCAGAAGAGGCATTCTCAGCAGCACGTTTCTCGTATACCTGTCGAATCCAAATGAGTTGCGTACGAATTGCAGCTCCGCCAAATTACGCACCTTTTGGAAGAGACCCAACGACGCCTGTTGTGTCTCACTAATCTTCTCCCGAACGGTGTCAGCGGTGACCGAAGCATCTCCAACCTTGGCCTTCTCTGCGAGCTCACGCAGCTCACTGACGAGCTTGGTGACCTTATCCTTCTCCGTTGCGTCAAGCTGGTCTTTAAACTCGGTCATGGCTACCAAAGTGGATCAGGTTCGCAGCATTGTTGTCATGCGAAAAACATACCTTTCTCGGTATCAGCGCAGACAGAATCAGCTTTGTTTCCCTCTTCAATCAAGGCCCTGCGAGCCTTATCAGTCTCGGCAAATTGTTCAGCATCAGCAACCATCTTCTCAATGTCCTTGTCGCTGAGGCCAGATGATGAGGCGATGGTCATTGACTGGTCCTTGCCTGTAGCCTTGTCCTTCGCCCCAACGTTGACAATACCGTCTGAAGGGGCACCGAAAGTGGTAAGAATATGGTGTTTGACAACGTGCGAACACTTACCAGCATCGATGTCAAAGGTGATCTCAATTTGAGGGACACCCTTAGGGGCAGGAGGAATGCCAACCAGATTGAAATTTCCAAGGAGTTTGTTGTCCCGAACAAGCTCTCGCTCGCCCTGGTAAATCTTGACCTCAATGGCAGTTTGTCCATCAGCGGCAGTAGAGAACACTTGAGACTTCTTGGTTGGGATGGTAGTATTCCGGCTGATCAACTTGGTCATGATACCACCGAGCGTCTCGATACCTGACAATGACTTTAAACACGAGAATGATGCGAAGGCAAGTGATAACATACCGAGAGACAGAGGTGTTACATCAAGAAGCAAAATGTCGGTCACGTTCCCTGCCAGCACGCCACCCTGGATGGAAGCACCGATGGCGACCGCCTCGTCAGGGTTGACGCCCTTGCTAGGCTCCCGACCAAAGATGCTCTTGACGGTTTCGGCGACCTTGGGCATGCGAGTCATACCACCGACAAGGATAACCTCGTTAATCTCGTGAGCCTTGACACCGGCGTCACTCAGAGCTTTCTTGCAAGGCTCAATGGTGCGTTGAACAAGAGGACCGACGAGAGCTTCAAACTGAGAACGATTCAGCTTCTTGTTAACATGCTTTGGACCCGAGGCGTCAGCTGTGATGAAAGGAAGATTGATTTCGGTTTGCGTGGTCGACGACAATTCAATCTTGGCCTTCTCGGCAGCTTCACGAACACGTTGGATGGCCATTCGGTCATTCTTGAGATCCATGCCCGATTCCGATTTGAACTCGTTGAGAAGGTGCTCCACTAGAACCACGTCGAAGTCTTCACCACCCAGATGAGTATCTCCATTGGTTGACTTTACTTCAAATACTCCCTTCTGCATTTCCAGAATAGAGATATCGAAAGTGCCGCCGCCCAAATCGTAAACAGCAATGACCGACGAATCTGCCCGATCGAGACCGTACGCCAGAGCGGCTGCTGTAGGTTCGTTGATCACGCGGAGGACATCGAGGCCAGCAATTTGACCCGCATCCTTGGTAGCTTGTCGCTGAGCGTCGTTGAAATAAGCCGGGACGGTGATCACGGCGTGGCTAATGATTGAACTGTCAACCAACCGTTACATGTTAACGCAAGAGATATCAACTTACTTAACCTTCTTGTTGAGGTACTGTTCCGCAGTTTCCTTCATCTTGACAAGAACCATCGAAGAGAGCTCTTCAGCAGACTACGCCCACGTAAATAGCTGCAGGAAACATCATCCAAAAGATACATACGTAGGTCTTGGTGCCATTATCCTGAACCTCAACAACAGGACGGCCATCGGGCTTTGCCACGATTTTGAAAGGCCTAGATATATGAGATGCATGACATGAGGTAGTATAAAGTGATTTACCAGTGAGTCATGTCGTCTTGAACTTCCTTGTCCTTGAATTGGCGACCAATCAGACGTTTGAAGGCAAAAACGGTGTTAACCGAGTTGACGACTGCCTGACGCTTGGCGGGAAGGCCAACCAAACGCTCCCCGTGCTGAGTGAAGGCAACCACTGACGGAGTTGTCCTTGCACCCTCCGCATTCTCGATGACGCGGGCACTTTTGCCTTCCATGACCGCCACGCATGAATTTGTCGTGCCCAAATCAATACCGACTACGGGGCCTGCTCAACTTGCATGAGCAATCTCGGTTCAAAAGGCATTAAGTGCACTCACCATTGACTTTGGAATTCATGTTTCGCGCAACCGTGTGCCGTGGTATGGACTACAAAGTGTAAAGAAGAGTTAAGGGAAGTCCAGGATTAACAGCTTAGAGACTGACGGCATATTGGCCAACCCGGGGAACAGCAGAGCGGAGAGAACGAGCAGCAGAGAACATGGTGGTATGAGGAAAAGAAAAGGTGAACCTCAAATTTTTTCCGTTGGTGTATGTAATCAGTTTCGTTTTGCCAACGGCTGATGCCGGACAAACATCACGTGTACGTTACTATGTGCCACGTCCAATCGAGTCACGCCTTGGTCACGCCCTCTTGTGACGATGTCTTTCGGTTATGTACGGCTATTGATAGCCGATTCCACTCTTTAAATAATTGCAATATCTAGACTCCATGACAGAACTTTCATTTTCGGTCTTTTGAGATTTTAAAATGTCCTCCAGTGTCTCCAAGAAGATAGGTGGCGAGTACGGCGAGGTCAGAGCAACTATCGACGTCGAAAAGCTCAATACCTACCTTGCCGACTTGAATACTGGGACAATCCAAACCCCAGTTACCATCAAGCAGTTCAAAGTAAGCATTGCCAATGGCATAGGTACTTATGCTGATGACTTCCAGTTTGGTCAGGTAGCTACCTTGTCTTCTCTCTCATTTACCTCATTACATTGTCTTCACGTTTGCCAGTCAAACCCCACGTACTTTCTGACAGATGCGAAGTAAGGCTAGCCGTCGCATTCGTATGAAAACATTGTTTAACTAATCTTAGGAAAACTCGCTTCGTTCTGCGGAAAAAGCCTGCAGGACAGCTCCTGTCAAAGACCGCTCATCAAGTTGAACGAGAATACGCCATGTTAGCCGCACTGCATGGACACAACATCAACCCGAAAACTCCACCAGAGAAAAAGATTCCGATACCAGAACCCATTCTTCTCTGCGAGGATATTTCCGTGATTGGGACGCCTTTCTACATCATGGAGTTTTTGGACGGACGCATCTTTACAGATACAAGAATGCTTGAGGTGCCCCCACCGGATCGACGTGAATGGTAGGCTCTCATCTCCCTCCCACTCTTCAGGTCTTATTGTATTCCATAGCTGGCTTTCGGCAGTGCGAGCACTTGCTGCACTGGGATCCATAAACCCTGCAGAAGTGGGTCTCTCGAAGTTCGGCCCCCCAACTGATTATTTTCCCCGACAAATCAAGTCCCTTTCTCGAGTTTCTAGCGCACAGGCGGCAGCGACAGACGTTGAAACGGGGAAAGCCACTGGGAATATTCCTTTCTTCGACGAGCTCATTGCATGGTACCGTAGTAATCTCCCAGATGAAAGAAAGACTGGCCTCCGCATCGTTCATGGAGATTATAAGCTCGACAACTTGATTTTCCATCCAACTGAAAATCGGGTCATTGGCATTCTTGATTGGGAGTTGTGTACTCTAGGTAGTCCCGTGAGTCCTCAAGTCTTGACACTCGACCCGAATCATGCTTATCAAGACAGCTTGCAGACCTTGGGAACCTCACCCAGCCCTGGTCAATTGATATGAGAGATATCCCACCCACGGGCACGTTTACCATGCGAGGCTATAAGAACACCACAGTTGATGTCCCTATCCAACTTGAAGATCTTGAAAGAGAATACTGCCGACTCACATCACAGCCATACCCTATTCCAGAGATGGTGTTTGTTCGGAGTTGGATGCTCTTTCGAGTCAGTGTTATCTCTCTACCTGAGATATATCGTAACTCATGGCTCCTTAGCTCGCTGTAATATCTCAAGGAATTGCAGCTCGATACGCCCGCCGTCAAGCGAGCTCAGAACATGCCTACCTTCATGTCTCTGGATTTCCCGTCGTTGGGAAATTAGCCAAGATTGTCTTGGAGGAACGAGGAGTTAATTTAGAAACCAAAGCAAAGCTTTGACATTAATCGGAAGAGCATGTGCCATAACGATGTCCGTCTTATGTTTACACTACATAGGTGATTACAAAAGTGAGATATCTATATGCTATTCCCCTTTCTGGGATGGCCGTCCCATGTCATTATGCGAGAAATCTTAGATCTTGGCTTTCCTGCGGGGTGACTCGTCCCTAAAGGCGACGCCTCTGGTGCGTCCAACTCCTCCGTATCCTCTCGATTCTTTCCCGGCGCGACGGTTAGAAAGTTGATCACTACTGACCATAAATTATTCCCGCTGAATCTGTGATCCTCTCCGAGGAATGCTTGATCAGCTATCTCCGCCAACTTTCTTGCTTCCTCGGTGTCCCGTCTCGAAACCAAGCTGCTTGGCGGTGGGTCTTCCCCTTCATCCAATGCCCAAGCCCAGCCCCACCCTGGTGAAGATATCAAGCCTTCCTTGAGACGTTGTTCCCCTGGCGACCTTGGGGCCCTTACGTCTCTCCGGAGGGTCTGCCGAAGGCTGCTCATCCTCTTGATTGTATCTGCCTTCGCCCGTTCAAGATTTTGACGGCGATGCCTCTCAACAGATTTGACTGTGTGTGAGAACTTGTTATCGAATACATCACGATACTTCATGAAGCGTCGTATAACAGGTTCGGATATTGACCCAATGAGTTCAGCTGGAAGCCGCAAGGCATCCATCTCAAGTCGAGGTTCCATAGGGCGTATTACGCCACGAATATCGACTCGCTCGCGTATTATCTCACAATTCCAGGATGAAGGATTCTACAATGAATTCACAATTTTAGCAAAGAATTTCAGAACAGTGAAAAAAATTGACCGAAATCGTGTGATAAACCCACGGATCGCCTGCAGCGCGCTCCCCTTCGAAGCTGGGGACAGGGTGCATATGACCGTTGAATCGGGGACCTGCCACATCACTTGAAGACGGAGACGACCCCCCTGTCTGCGAGCCCTGCTGAACTAAGTTGGTTGTTGTGGCCCTTCTTCGAAGAACAGTCCCCGCCCTCGTCATCTGAATTGAGAGGGTGCGTCTCAAAGATTTTCGAGATGCAATGGTTGTAGGTGACCGAGTTACAGCCCCCGTTGTGGGGAAGTAAGATCCAGTCGCAGTCGGGGACTGTTGTGCAGGAGAAATAGTAGCGGTTGATGATCCTGCCGAATCTGGGGGTTGCTGTTCAGGAGAAAAGGTCCTGGCAAGGGCGACAGGGGACAACGGGCCATTGGAATTTATTGATGGCGAGGATTGCATCCGGGTAACAAATTTGCAAAATGTCGCCATAGCTCGAAAACAGAATTTAGCAGGCGTCGTGAAGGCAAATAAGATCGGTAGAATATGGGCAGTATCTGATTGAATGGGTCAGTAAGGGCTGAATGTTGCTGCAAAAAATGAAGAAATTTCACCATCGTAAATTTGAATATGAACGGAGGTCGGTTGATTTTGACTCTGCAATGCTTCCAAGGGAGGGTATAGTTCTCGGGCAGCATCTGTCAAAGGATAATTTTCAGGATTGGCGGCTTTGTGTGCACTGTCTTGTTCCTTCAGTGAGCAATCATCCAGAATGCGGCGGCAACTGACGTGTAGATAATTTCATCCCTCAGAACTTCCTTGTCACCGACAATGAACAACAACGGCGGCAAACCACCCAGATACGATAACGACGGACTGACGAGAGGGTGAGTTATCAAACTGTTTTGCGTGTAGAGATGAACTTGATGATTAATTTCGAGCTTTTCACCCGAGGGTGTTGTTAGGAAGATGTTCTGAGGGTCGGTCGCCTCCACTGGAGGAGCGGCCATAGTGCTTTCCACTTCAACGGACGTATCGGTCACGCCGGAAACTTGCCGTTCAGAGATTACGGTAGCGGTGGGCTCAAAGGGCTGAGAGTCACGCATCTTGAACGTCTGCCGAATCCGATGGCGGAGCGATGCGTGAACACGATTGGAAATTTCGGGCGAAGGAGGAGGCCAAAGGGGGCTTGGCTTGTGGAACGAGAGACCAGACTCAGCAATGATGTCCTGCGATTATCTATAAATAATACGTCCCTCCAGTGTGAAAAAAATCGACGCACCGTGGCCGTATTGGTATGTATGCTCGGGAAGGAGTGAGTCAAGTCGCACCAAGGGGATATCAGTAATCCACCAGCAGGTAACGGTAATCCAGCATCACGGATGACTTGAAGCAGAGCCAAGGAAAGACCGCCGCCTGCGGAGTCACCCCCAATAACAATGTGTTCGGGTTTGATTGCTTGATGCTCGGCCCCAGGAGGTGGTCTTATTAGGAAAAGGTCTGTCAGGAAGAAAACGTCAGTCCGTTCATGTAACTGTAAGACAATACATACATGCGGCTAAAGCATCCTGGATCGCGCAAGGGAATGGGTACTGCGGAGCAAGGCGATAATTGATCGCTGTCATAAGAGTTAGGCTGAGTGGGAAGCAAGAAGAAACCTAGGAGGTACCAAAGACACGGCCATTGATTTTGCGGGCCAACCGTTGGATGCTGTATCTGTATCCTCAGAGTTGCATCAATTATGAGCGGTTTATACTGTGAAAACGACAAAGAACCTCTCTTGATCTACACTTCCAAAGTAGTAACCACCTAATAGATGAATAAGCAAGTATACCGATGATCAGATGATGGTATTCACCGCCGTGGAGATAAAGAATGCATCGCATGGTGTCCATGTTCTTCTCGTAAAGCCCTTGGTCTTTGCCTGATTCAGCGAGAGGAGTCGAATCGTGTGACTGGCTCTCATGGGTTTGCCCTTTCCGCATTTTATGTTGCCTCTTGGCTTCTTTCCAGTCCTTCCTCGCCGTAATCCATTGCCCATCAACACTTGTAAGGCAAAATGCGTAAATACGGAATAAATAAAACGGAATGGTCTACTTACCCATTAATGCCGCGAACCTGCCACCATTTCACACCTCCTACAAGCTTGCGGGCAATGTCCTCTCCGCCTAAAGCTTTAATAAGATATGTTGCGGCTTCATCACACGAGCACATTGGCACCAGTATCCGGACGACATGAACCCAAGGGGGCGAGGGCGTGCGGGTGTTGGAAAAGCCTGGAGTGAGTGTTGGTCGTTACATGGTAAATAAATTCGTTAGGGCACCTGGTAACGCACCTTGGAGTTCTTCTACAGTGTGTCTAAATATGTTTGAGTTTCGGTAGAAGTCAATGATGCCAACAACTCACAAACTTGCAGCATTCAAAAACGCCTATTGTTAGATGGCGAAATTAGCTTTGAAGTCGAGATATTAAGAATTGAATGGCATGCCTTGACTATAGTGAATGCCTCATCGTACAGGACATCTTCTTGTCGAAGACCAGTCCCTGGCAGGGTCCCTCTCCTGTTTGGATCTTTCTTCAAACGGTCAAAGTAATGTTTGACCAGCACTTCCAGAAGCACAGGCCCGACTTTGAGCCCAACTTCGCGAGTTAGAGAGTTTGCGAGCATGTTGGCAGCTGAGCCTGCTGAGGGTCAAACGGCTTCTAAAGTTGGCACAATCGAGCGTGCACTGCAGTAATTAACACCACCTAGGGGTGTCAAGTTGAAGGGTCGTCCACGGTGCTCACTATTATCATTTAAATAACAAGGGGTGAACGCGTTTCCGGCGGTGCAGATGACATATCAAGGCAAAACAATATCAAGCAGATAAACATGTGCGTTGCTTTTCCGCCTCCGCTTCCCGTTTATTTCACAACTCAGAACCAGCGACGGCCCTTCTTTTCCCACTCGTTGACAATATGATATGAATGAATGTTGAAAACACAGGCGTTAATTCATTCGTATGGACGATAGGACCCAATCAGATTTTCTATATACACCACTTGTGGAGGATGTTAAGGAAGATCATTTACAGCATACATATGATAGATAACTTACGACGTGCTAGGGTAGAACAAGAATCGTATGGTCCTCGCCACCAGTGGGACCGGCATCGACGCTACCCCGATCATGCCCCACATTGACAACCCTAACGACTTCCCCAGAAGGAACATCTGCATTTCCTGATTGGTCGGATCCTTGCGCGGCGACGATGGCTGTTCGTCTATTAAAGATTTTTAATCGAGGTATGCGCACATGTCCGCATTCAACGGGTATAAGTCTCCACAGCAACCTTTCTTCCGCGCCGGGGAGTAGCACAGGGATACGCCCACTTCTAAGTCCGGCTACAATGAAGCCATCGAGCGCATCTGTTTCGAGTTGAACAGTGATGTTCGCAGAGCGAGATGGATGGTAATTGCGGATGGTAAGGAATAGTGTGATAGGATCATGGAGTGTCGCCACGGGTGGGACATCAAGAAGGGCGACTAACCCATCAGATGGGTGTCGTAGCGATGGAAGGGAAATAAAAGTAGTAGAAAGGCGGTCGTCAAGTTCAGCATCTTGACTGTTTCTGATTTTCATGGTTGTTGGCATGAAGTATCTCTTGAAAGAAACAGATGCTAACCTGCGCCATTTCACGACGAAACGACCGGGACCCAGTATTAAATCTTCTGAAATTTCTTCATCTGTTGCAAGGCTTATTCTAGAAATTGCACAGAATTCGTCACCCGGGAGATATTCTTTTTTAAAAAATTGAGAAACTATCTTCCAGACGTAAGGAGCGTCCTACCAGCAGGGAACATGCCAGCATCGTCCTGATCTGTTGAACATTCAATGATCTTTGCTTGATCATTGTCCTGGTAGTAGTTAGACCTTCAAATTGCGACAGAAGTCTAGAACAATGCCTCACCTGCCTTTCCAGAGTCACGCCATCAAGCAGCAAATTCCACGGACCACTACACTCAATTTTTATGCTTGCGATTGCCTCACCCCCTCGTCTATCATCCCAGAATTTGGCATCGAAGGTCTGGAGATCGGCTAACCCGGGCCATGGTTCCTGTTTATGCCTATAACTGACGTCACTTGTGACTTTGAACGGGTTCACCGTTGGTATTACGAGGGTCCGCAAAGTTTCCATCTTGTCGTCCGACAGAAGGTCATTTTCGTCGTCATCCTCCTCACTTGTTTCATCCTCCAAGTCATTTGGCCGAGATTGTATTGACACATCGATCATCCTCTCGCCACCAGCACCGGAGTTGAAGAGGTGAATGGTCTTCTTGCCACTAGCTCCCGGACCAAGCACGCCAAGCTGGATGCCCTTGATGAGGCCGGATGACTGATGATCATCCACCACAATGTAATTAACTGGTCTCATATGAGAAATGACCAGAGAAGAGAGAAAGAATGTCATACTCACCAGCATCGTCGATTTCCGTGGGCTGAAGAAGAATATCAACAACAATATCAAAGGACCGGGTGTCAGTATTCGTGACTTGAACCACAATGGGGTAGCTTTCGTCCAGAAATGCAGGAGCATGATGCACGAGAGAAACATCCAATCGATGCGGAACATGTTTAATGCTGGAGGACTGTTGCTCGAAAAAGCTCAATGAAGTGAACAATATTACGTACGCAGTAAAATCGTAATTCTCCCGTTCGATAGGTATGAATTTTGGAGGGTCAAGCGAGCTTAACCATCGTGGCGCATGTCCTCCCTGAACGCGAGAGCTACACGGAGGTACGGGTATTTCCACCTTCCATGTATTCAATTCTATCGTTAATGTGAGTTTGGTTACCTGAGTGACGAAGTGTTAAGGCTCCTTGTAAGGGAAAGAAGACGCAGCCGTGACCTTTAGTACCGAGGGAACGTCTGAAGACATCGTTCCGCGAAAGACAATAGTGCTACCAGGAGTCCAGCGTAGATCAGCAGTCCTGGAGCCTTCAAGATCGTCGTCGTCGGACGGTGAGATGTGCCCGAGGTTTACTACTCCCAGCAGAGGCGGATCGGCATCAGAGGGAGAATGGCGTATGATCAGCGGAGAAACTCTGTCTTGAATAAAGACTGCGAGGGAGGAAAAGGGAATCGATTTGATGGTCCTACACGTTGGAGCTGCGAGGGAAATTTGGAAGGCTGATGACTCCCTGACGTTGATCTCGGGAGTCCAGAAAATAACCGACGAATCGACTGAATAAAAAATTACGATGTTTGAAAATCCCATCCATATGCCGTCAAAAGCGTGTCACATACAGATCGGTTGTGCCTCGGATAAGTCGACTACCAAGGCATCCTCAGGCTTTGCCGGTACAGTGCTCTGGTCCTTCGTTAGAACAGCTCACACAGGAAGAATAGATGTACCTTCAAAACGGCTAAGAGATCGTCTTCGAGTGATCCAGGGTCCTCAGATTCGACGGAATCTGTGAGCCTCGAATAAGCACAAAGCAGTCATCGGATAGGTGATCCCTCACCATGACCCAACATTTCAATGAGCAGGCAGATACTGAGCTCAACATCGCCCAATTGTTGCGCACACGTATACCATGTTGATAGTAGTGGGCGAAGCATTGTATACCATTTCTCTCTGCGATATGTTCTGGCGATGCGCTCGAAAAATCTGCAGGGCTGGCGCATAAATATGTCCTTCCTATGACGTGCAAGTTAACATACCGAACAGCCATATCGAACTTTCCAGATTGATGATATGTCTGCGCTATACGGTACGCAATCCAAAGCGTCAAACGCCCTTGGCCTTGCGAAGATGCCGGGGTGTACTTCTTGAAGAGTTCATATGCCTTGGTGTAAAGCTGACAAAGTGTGAGCTCGTTACGTTGGTCGAAATTTTGATTGGGACTACCTCGAGAATGATGGCTAGATGCTCAACCTTCTTCTCGTTCGCAAATCCCGGTGACAGGGTCGCAGGTTGTGAGCTGAGCTGACATGCCAAAAACCTCTAGACCAAAACTCAACCGGTGGCTACAACAGAAGCTCACCTCGGCCTCTATTGCTGCTTGAAATCGCTCTCTTCGCATTTCGGTGCATCTTGCTGCCATGTAATAATAAAATCCTGGATGCTGCAACGCTTGACTAGGGTTTATCCCAGCAGATCGCGCAAAGTCAAGTTCTCCAGGGAGGCGAGTACTTTGGTTAAGCACATGTAGATTCTGGGAAGTCAAGGCAGGTGTGTGGACTGGTAGAACCAATGCGGATCGGACACCTTGATCTAAGAGCTCCGCAAGTATTCGATGTCTGCAAAGGGGCTCCTCAGCTCGGAAATCACGGGAGGCAGTGATTGGTGGGCGTAACATACTGTCTCGCGACCCAACTCCAGAACTCGAATGTTTCTTCACCGATGCCCCAACCTCGAGAGAAATCTCCAAATTGCCGGATATGTGTATTGTGGTGGGATAACGCCAAAGCATGTTCATTATTGTAAAGATATAGCTTAACGATCTGGTACAAGGGTTAGACTAAAAAATAATGTCTGGAGATTTTGAAAAAAATACCTTGATATTGATACAATCAGCTAGAACCTTGGCTTCCGCCCATCTCTTCGTACGTGGTGGAAGAATAGCGGTTGATCCAAACATGATGATTAACATGTCGTAAGCATCCTGATAATGCCTGGATTGTACTGAGATCTGTTTCCACCAGAACGCAGTCAAATGGAGAGACAAACTTCAAAGCAACTTCATCTTCACTTCTAAATTCCGCAAAGCAAGCCATTTTATACTCGTAACGTACAGTCCATCCTTCAGGTCTCAATGGTCGAGGTATATTCAGACCGCTCACTGCCGGTGGACCAGGGTAGGATGAGTGAGCTTGCGAGTGACGGTTCCGCTTCCTACGAACACGCTTGGAGTGGGCAGTGTAATACTCTACCGCTGGCTCATATAAAGCTTGTTGAAGGCTGTGGGAGGTGAATGCGAAATAGGGTGGATGATAATCATTCCTCGCACCTTCTGACGAAATCGTTAAGCTCTGCCGCGCTAACTGGGCTGAGAACAAACAAGGCAGCTCTTGAATCAAGCCCACTTTGCCTCCTGATAAATGTCAATCGAGCGTCTAATGTAGGGTCATCTGGCGCCAAAGTCAAATGCGCCGATTACGTAATCAGAAAGTACGCACCTAACATCCTCCTGCTCGCCATAAGAACGACTGTAAGCTTGATGCCTCGTTCATTCATACTCTTCTTCCGTAAGGCCACCTCCGCAGACAGTTCTGTGTCCCGTTTTCGTTCTTCTTGTTCCCTCTCCCGTTCGCGATCTGCATCTGGCAAGTCTGTTCTCGATGCTTGAGGTAAAAACTCGAAAATGCGGAGGAAAAGAACAAAAACTGAGGGCAGAAGGGTTGTATGTTTCCTAATCCATATTGGCGCAATCAATCCATCGGGGTGTAAGGGTGATGAGGGGGTAAGTGGTGAGAGAGGTGAATGTGCAGCAGCGTATTGGGGATCATCTAATGGGAGGAGTTTTCTAGGTGGAAATCGAACGTCCCTGTCGACCAACACAACTTGGAAAGATTTAGTCTTCTCTGGTTGCCAAATTGCTACCTTCCGCTGTGCGAGAAGGGCATCACGAAGGCGAAGGGTGAGTACTTGAAATGCGTCTTGAGATTTTGTTGCAGGTGAATCCAAACCCGCGACAAACATAATTGGGGCCAACTGCGCCAAAAGCTCTGGCGGGTAGGAATTCATGGCCGCTCAACGAGTTGGTCGATGAGCGGAATGTACTTATGGAACCCCCGTGTTTGTGCTTCCTTAGTTAGCAAGCAACTGCAAACATTGTGCGATATTATCGTCACGACGTCACGAAGAGTAATCGTTCACAATGGCCCTCATCGAGGTACGTGGTCAGTCGCGACGATGTAAACGATCCCGTTGATTCTAAATTCTAGGTTATCGCAAACGATCGGTTGGGACGCAAAGGTCTCTCTATTCTTTGCTCTGATCTCTTCGAACATTTCCTCATGTTGTATTCCATAGTTCGAGTCAAGTGTAGCCCAGACGACACTGTGGGTGACCTGAAGAAACTCATCGCCGCGCAAACGGGTACCGATTCTTCCAAGATCCAACTTAAGAAATGGCAAGTTTCGAGCAGATTGAAGATGCCCAGTGAACTGATTGCATGCTATTCCAGGTATACGATTTATAAAGACCATATAACATTGTCGGATTATGAGATCCATGATGGCATGAGCTTGGAAATGTATTAGAGTTGAATTTCAATCAAATGTACCATGAGATCTATATTACCTACCGTGGGAATTACTTGTTCTCCGCACCACTAGCCGTCGTCGTCGTCGTCGTTGACCGCGAGTTGAGCGACGCCGTCGAACGCATCAATGGATACTCTTTTTTGCCTCCTATCGTTGCTCTGTGGCGTTGCTTCGGCGCAGAATTCATCCAACTCGTCAACGGAGTCGGTCCTTTTCGCACAATCTTCCGTCGTTTCTAGCTGACCCATGTCCAGGTTTCCTCTTGACCCTTATCTACAGTACCGGCCGCCCTTTTCTAGGTCTCTTCCAGTACAGATCCTTCTCACTGGAGTTATCCTCACCCTCGTCGCTGTCCTCTTCATTCACCTCATCTTCACCGCTCAATACCATTGGCCTCTTGCACCGGTCAACTATGTTCTCCAGCTTTCAGGCGTTACAACCCTCCTCATCTCCCTCATTGCCACTATCCACGTCGTTCTCTCTGCAGCTTGGGCAGAAAGCGAGAAATGGCCTTACATGCTTAGCTACATTGCTGTCAACGTCCCTCCTGTTGACCTCGATCTCAACACCGATCTGTGGGGCGTTGCCGAGCGAGCAACATGGCTCGTCATGAATGCCTCTACCTCTGGCTTGATACAGGTTTTTCATTTTGCATTTCATCGACCTATGCACCTCTCAACACCATCAAACAGATTACTCACATTCAATTTCTTACCCTCCTATATCCTTCACGTCTTGAGGGACGGCTTATTTTTACCCTACTCGGTACGCCACGCCACTCACATGCACCGTTTTGAGCTCGTCGACCTACTTGGCTATTTAGGCCCCTTGGCTGTGGTGGCTGCTATCATGCAGCTTCTTCCCATCAGTGGAAGCACTCAAGCGAACAGCATCGCCTCGGCTGTTCGCAATGTATGTAACGCAACACTCTCCCTCCTCTTCACAATTTCCCTTTTCATTTGGGGTTTTCTCGTCAATCGTCAACAAGCCTGGCGGACTGACGGAGGCACGGCCGCCTTTGGCTGCGCTGCACTTAGCCTCGCCCTCGTCAGTACTGCCCTCAACTTTCTGTATGTGCATAAAGAAGATGAATTTGTCTGGCTTCCTGGCCTCATGTGGGCTGTCGTCCTTTGGCAAAGCTTCCTCGGATGGTGGTGGTGGGTTGGGGCGGGTAGTGGTAGTGGGCTGGTGGGGGAAGATCAACTGCGAGAGAAACTCAGAAGGGAAGCGAAACGAGAGTCACGGAGAAGAAAGGCGAAAGACAGGCGCGCATCATCAAAAGATACTTCAAAGAATCTCTGGAAAGGTGTCACGAAAGCCTTTGGCCATCGAGAAGGTTCAACCTCTGCCCAGTCTCGTTTGCTTACTGATACAAGATCACATTCTTCGGATCCGGCCCCTCTTGTGCCTCCCAATTCCTCCGTGTCGCAATCCGCCCCATCCGCAACCCACTCCGGCGCCGCCCACTCAACCACCTCCGATTTTACCTTAACGTCCTTGGCCACCATTCCTCGTGCCCTCCCTGCCTTCATGCGCCGCTGGTACGCATCTCTTCGCCGGGAACACGTCGCGGCGGCTCGTCAACAAGCAGCGGAGCGCGTAGAGCGCCTTAGAGAACTCGAGCGCAACGGTGCTGTGGACCCCCGTAGTCAAGCATCTGGCTGGGGTCTTGGTAGCTTTGGTTGGCGACTCGGAAGGGAGGAGCGAAGCAGAAGTCGGAATGTTGGTCAGCAACACTTGAACCAGAGTCAAAAACATCACGACCTTGAATTGTACGAAAAAAGTGAATGGCGACGGAAGCGGATACCCAACGATGGTGATGAAGGTGAAGATTATGAAGGACACGGGATACATGGCGAATATCCCGTTCCATCTGCAGGCCCTACAATCCCACCCCTTCCTCGCCATCCTGCAGAGAAACCGGGATCTCTGTGGTGGTGGGGTCCCCTATGGCGGTGGAGATTGAAAGACTCGACGGTGTATTGATAAAATATTCATACCTTTTTGGGGAATTTAGGTGTACGATTCTTTTGTAAGATAAATGGACCAACTAATCTAGGATGAACGGGTTGCCAATCATATAGTAAATACACTTTCTTATGTCATAGTAATTATGAGAGCTGACAAGTTCTCGCTGGAGTGACCTAACTAGCGCGCCTCATGTGTGAGCATAAGCCACCACGGGGCCAAAATCGTAAGTTTGACTTTCGTTATTCAGACTCCCGGTATTGAGTAAAGGCCGAAAGCACCATGATTTAAACAAGTGTTTGCCGAACGGCGTTCAGTAGATTCCCCCCCTCTCTTATCTTCAATCAAAATGAAAATCGCTCTTACCTCTGATTCACAGCTCCCCGTAACCGACAAAGAGGTCGAGGCTGGGGTTCAATGGGTCATAAAGGTATACTTTCAAACGCTTTCAGACTGGAGGGTAGCTTAGACTGTTGATTGTCGCAACAGATGTACCAACAAGCCGACTCGAAAGACGTGGGCGTAGTGCGCGAGTACTTCGCTGAAGGCGCCAAGGTCCACTTCGGAAACGCGCCTCCCATCACAGGCACAGCTGCCATAGAAGGCTTGTTCGCCTGGGAGTATAGCGCCGTTGAGAGTCTCGATCATGTGTAGGCATCCTTGCTTTGTTATTTTCTCCGCTGAGCTCCATCTACCTATAGGATTCGTGACAGTCAGTTACATCAAGAAATGACCAGCTCAAGTTGAACCTAACGTCTTCTTTGCAGTCCGCGTGCTTCACGACAAAGCCATCGTTACTCTGGAGGCGATCTATACATTCAAGGGCGGGGTGGAGAAAACCACCAAGTGTCTCGCAGTATGGCATAAGACTCCGCAGGTTTGGACCACTCTTGTTCCACCAAAACCGAGTAAAATGCTGACGTTGAACCCTTTTCTTAGACTGAACGAGCGTCGGGGACGGATCTATATGGGGATTTCACAGATGTGTTCAAAGAACTTATCGCCGCGGGTGGACCACCACCAGTTTGGACGTAACTCTGACTTTTTTACTTTTTACCCAAAAAATGGGCAGGTGTGGACTGGATGCTTGAAGCGTTCTCAGTCGTCACAACGACAACAATCTTAATGCTTACTTTTTTCGCAATTCACGTTGTATTCCTCGATCAAAAGTTATAGATTTCCTTTGTGTTCTCTCCCTTCTGGTTCATAAAACCCGATCTTGCCGTCCGCCCAGTCCCTGATTAAGACACCAGCAATTGCGGTAGTAGGGGGTAGCCTAAAAGGCGGATCGCCCTCTCTTCGTGTAGCCTCAGAGGCCGGGGGGGAAGGTTGGGAATCATCCTGTCTCCCCTCGGTAATTTCAGCCATCTTCTTCACGTCTGTTCTAGTAAATCTAGTGCCTTCAGGGTGGTTGAGCACATGAAGAACCTCTTGGCGGGTGTACCATCGAGCATCTATGAAGAGCATGATTGAGGTGAAGCACCCAAATGTGACGTGATATACTTGCCTACAAGCTCATTATCGAGGTCTGTTCGGATAGGTTTGGTGGAATCGGCGCGAGCGTAAAATCCGACCATGAGGTTCGATGGATAAGGCTAAAATCGCCATTACTCTAATGCTTGGAAGACGATGAATTCTTTGTTGGCCTTACCCATGGCTGCCCAGAATGATACTTGACATCCCAGACGCGAACGCCGGCCTCTTCCCACATCTCCCTTACGACGGCATCTTCAAACGACTCTCCAGGCTCGAGAAAGCCGGCGAGGGCGGAATAAAAATTTCCGGGGAATTTCGCCTGCATAAATTGTGAGCAGATTTTTCCACCAAAGTTTCTCGGCCATACATACGTTTCTACCCAGTAGGACTTTTTCCCCCTTTTCGTCAATCGCAATCATAATGACAGCAGCATCGGTACGAGGGTAAGTAAAATTGTGTTGTCCTTTGCTATTGCAAATTCACAAGTGATCAACCTGAAGCTCACTCTAACTTCTTATTCGTAAGTACCTTGTGGGGCAAGGAGCTCTCTCGGTACTGTCTTGCCAGGGTAACAACGATGAACATGCAATTTTCCAACCACCCCATAGTGAATACGTGGGCGATCCGCAGGCAGGACAGAACTGCTCAGATAGATGAATCAGCCTGCAAAGCGCATGCCATCTTTGTCTAACTAACCTTGTTGCGTGAATTCCAGTCGACAAGACTACGAGCTGAGGCAAAAACAGCAGCAGAAAATTGATCCGTACTCGACATCAACCCCCTAGGCTCTGTCCAAGACGGAACTTGACCCTGTCCAACGGCTAGCGTCAAAATTTCTTGAACTTGCTGATGAGGGAGATCAAGATCTGCAACGTCCATTGCAAAGTATGGGGTACCCTTCAGCTTTGGCATCGCCAAATCCGGGTCAGTAAACTCTGACGAGGGAAGGGCGGGGTTATCGTCCGACTGGGGCTCATGCAGGCCGAGAAATACAATCCGAGAACCAAGATGGCGCGCCGTTTCCGTCGGAGAGTAATGAGAATCTTTACTGGCGGTGCTTTGCAGGAGGACACCAACTTGCTGCCCTTGACCGAAGTAAGGTTCAGCTCCCAGCAAGGGCTTCACGTCGTTCGTTGTGAGATAAACAGAAGAGGGCTTGGTCGGTACATGAGCTGAGGAGGCTACGAGGGGTTGCCCTGCGTTGAAAAGAAGCCAACGCGTGCTGGGAAGCGCGATAATGGCGTTAAGGAACGTCTGAGATGTTCTGAGCCAGGACAAACGGTTCAGAGGTGAGCCACCGTAGAAATTAACAGGTCTGTATAGCCTTCACGATGAGCATATTTTCAAATGAGCAAGCACTGAACGTCGTACGTTTGAGGCATAGTAGATGTAGTAGGATAGTAGCAGGAGTCAGGGGTTCCGGCTCGACTTGAAGCTTGATGGCTTAAGCGCTTACTAGTCACCTCGAGTAAGATTACGAAGCAAGCTCCCTTCGCATCAACTTCACAAGCTTTAGACCTACCAACTGCGACGCTCGCGTCTAAAAGTCTACGCCAGGATTTCCGATCTGACAACTACGGCGTCTTCACATTTTACTTGGCCTTCAACCCATAGCCTACTTGTAACCTTGTCTTGACGTGTATTGACTTCTGCTATGGAAGCTGCGGCACCACCTTAGTTTGCACCAGTCCAGCAGCAGTTGAACAACTTTGGGCAGCAGCTAAACAATATTGAACGACAGCTCCATAGAGTTGATAGTAAGGCAACACGAGTATGTCCATACCCATGTCTCTCGACCTTCCTTGACCCTCTACATGCTACCCCTAGGCTTTGAATGCAACATCTAGAGATGGAACAACCCTTCCATATGATTTTTTTTTGTGAATGAAGAAGATCGGAGAGTGCCTTGTGTTTGAACTTTTTTTTTTTTGCTTGAAGGACATTGATCGCTAATTTACCTGCTCTTACCTCAATGGCAGCCCTAGATGGTGACAAGGTTTCTCAATACCTTATTGGCTATGGCCTTCAAGTTCCCCAGATTATTGTCAATCGCTGTCGCCGTATCAGAGCTTACATTGGATGTAGAGAGCCATAAATATGCGCCGCGTGTGGCTGGCTTTGCGAGCTCTGGCTCTTTTTCATTTGTAGTTCCGTTTGCTTTCATACCTCATTGTGAAACATCTTCCTCTGCATCATGCATCGCGCTTCCAATGCAGTCGACCTTGTTGAGGATATGGCGCAAAAACGGATCAAATATGAAACCATCTTCACAGACCAGTCTGAAGTGCTCAGATCAGACCCACCCAGGTTTGAAGCAGCCATGGCAAATATCAAGCAGTCACCCCTCGTCGCAAAACATGGTCAACTCTGGCAACCCACACAAGATAACGTCGACGAGTATCTTGCTCGCTGTGATGAAATTTGTCATACAGTACCCCAGGACTTCAATGAGTTGAGTTTTTCGCAAGGCTGCTAAGGTTTTACCGTCTAACATATCCAGTCGTGTCAAAATATTGCATGCCGCTCATGGGGCCCTCATGGGCCTTGTAACCTGCAAGATTTCACAGTATGATGAAAGCATTCAGTTGGCGATATTGAAGAGGCATAATGAATTAGCGTGAGTAATCCAGTTCAATTACCCTGTCCTGTATTCTACATCTCATTGATGATTTTTAGGATGTCTCTATACTGTACTAATACGACCAAGTCCTCGGGCCCTATAGGGCGTGACATATTTTCACCATCTCTTCGCCGCTTCAACAGCCGATGTGATGCGTAGTGATGTGCAGGCCCGGCTTGGCCTGAAAGCCACGGCTATGGCCCGGCTTTGAGCGGCTCAGGCTTGTCGATATTCAAGCCTGAGCTTTGTGCAAGGCTCCAGGCTGGCTCAGGCCTGGCTCAGGCTCAGGCCACGGCTCATAGGCTAAAGTGATACATTGTGTGATCCCTACGATTACACTGAGTGTGTTGCACAAATGTAGCGGGCCTTTGTTTGCTCATCGTGGCCACCGACGTCAAGAGCAGTGTATACCTAGGATACATAATTTTTTTGACTCTTTCTATACTCAAGTCTCAGGTAATTGGCATCTATTCGTTAAATAAGGGACAAACTATTCTACTTCACTATGAAAGAGCAGCAGAAGGTTCTCGTCGAGCCAGCCAAGTGGTTGAAGACTCCTACCACTACCCCTGGACATCCTGAGTGCCACACGCCGCTCCGGATCAGGTCGTTCGACCCCATGGTAGGCCATTCATCCAACCCATGTCAGGTCGTTCTGCCTCACGTAGGGTCATTCGACTTCCTTTTGCGTTGCTCGACGCTACGTCCCTTTGGCCTCACGTTGGGTGTTACAACCTTGTGCTGGGTCTTTCAGCCTCACGCTGGCTCATTTCGTTCACGTTGGTCGTCGTATCCCAGCAGGCGGCTCGAGGCTGGGAGGTAGAGGGGGTGATGTGGTTTGTATCAACCTAACCATGTTGGAGATTGCGGTGTCTGTTTGTCGGCAGGCATCGTGGGGCGCTCCTGTCATAATTCGCGGGCAGGGAGGGTGTAGTTAGGGTGCTGGGGGTTACCTGATGTTCTTCCTGTAGTGCTTCGAGGGTCGTTTGGCCATTCCTGTGTTCATTGAACTTTTATCAGTGGTAAACGATGAATAGGAATGGAATTCTCACGTGTATGGGATTTGAGGGCTGTCGCGCTCATTTTGTCTTATGCGACCGGGTGTCTGAGGTGAGGTTGCAGGAAGAGGAACATTGGGTGACTTACTTTGTATCTCAACATCCTTGCCTGGCTTCCTTAACATGGGGCGCGTGTGGTGAGGGACGATGGTGGGGGTAGTCCTGTTTTCTTCGCGCCCCAAAAACCGCGTCAGGAAATGTTTATGTAATCTGCGGACTTTGAAACTCTGGCGCGTCAACAACGCGTCAACAACTGCATGCTCCCTCTTGGCTTTCTACGTGTTTACAGCCCTACTATCCTCCTTTCCTATCACAATTATAATATATTATATTCAAACTTCAATTACTATGGAAAACAATGTCAGAACTGTCCGAATCTATAAGAAAACGCCTGTGGTTGAGGTGCTGGAAGCCCCACATTATATCGCGCATTTTCCGCCCTCTGCCTCGAATTTTGGGCGCTCGTTGGATTTCCGGATGAGGAGGAAGTTGCCTTGAAAAAAAAAAACCACACTTTTGCAAAAAGACGTTGGGGCCCCGGGTTCCAATGTCGCACTGAGTCCAACAATGAATATCGATAACGGAAAGCGTCCATGGAAGAAGGTTCTGATAGCCTCGAATGCTGGACGGAATGAAAGGCCCCATTCAATGATCAGGTGGACTGCATGCGAACACGACATTGGATCGAAAAGTCAGGCTCTCGGTGATCTCTCTCCGTTCCTTGTCATACAGATGCTCCGCATCCACACTTATGACCTGCCACCTAACACATTCCATGATCTCTCGTGCCAAATGAGCTCCAACCTTTCGCGCCTTGCTGAGGGTTTCGTGGCAATAAGAGAAAGTAGATACATTGAGTTTCGAACAACAAAAGTTCGTTCACCTAGAACGTTGTTAGTGACAGAACGCACACAAAGAAGGTAATCATACAATATTGCTGGCTAATCCCTTCGTCGGTGTGACCACGACGCCAATTGGCCTTGAACGGGTGGGCAGATTAGCGGGATATGACTTGCGGTGTTGGAGGGAATAGAAAAGGCTACCGATTTCCCATCTCCAGTTGTAGTGCAGCAGTCTGCAGAGAATAACTTGTCCATCAAGGATAGCTGAAACGAGTTTGAGCTGAACCATATGCAGCCCGCTCGTCCACAGTGGTATAATCTTTTTGCCAATGGTGTTGTAGCCCTAGAGGGTCCTGCCAGCGGGGGTTGGCCATTCTTTTGTGTTCATAACGCGTTCGAAGTAGTTCAAAAAGCCAAAAAGTCAGTGTTCAGGGTGCGTAAAGGGAAGATTGTATTCAAAATCACGTCAGGGCATGAAGGGAGCAGACCAATATCGACGCGAGGAGGTCGGACCGCGATTTCAGAGTCCGAAGATTACATAAACATTTCCTGACGCGGTTTTTGGGGCGCGACAAACAACAGACTTCATATATCGTGAACTAAGGTACGACTACACATATATCGAAGTCTGTCTACACCACTATTTGGGCCAGATGTGGAAGCAACCTAGAGCACGCGGCCTGTCCACTATATTTTCCCACATTGTCACCAGTGTGACGGATGCTGGCCACCAGCTCAAAATCGAACTAATAGGGGTCTGGTTCCAGGCTAGCTGGAATAGACGTGTCGGGTCCAGCCCATTCCCAGCTGACCATCCTGGCTATCATCCTTGTGGGTGGTTATGTAGAGGGGGTATGTATTATAGTATGGCCACAATGTATTCAACCACCTGAAAATCCCATTTAAATCCCCACCTCAATCCAACCATATAGTTTAGAAAGATTTATGATATTTTTTACTCAGTAACAATGAGGGGGATAATTCATATACAATCGATCAATACTACTTACTACTACTACTGGAGAGGCTAGTTATATGCTATTGCTTGCCCCCAAATGGCTCCCTTCCCTGCTATCATGATACTCTCTCCCATGTGCCCCCCTTCGTTGACTGGTGGTGGAGGTGACGTGACGGCAAGCAGTTAGCGACATGTTGGCGACATGAGGGGTGAAGTAGTCTAGAGAGGGAATGTACACATTAGCAGGTAGACCGTAGACATCATAGGTTGACATTGGCGACTTACTGCAACAGGGTTTGGACAAACAAAACAGTGAGGGCAGCAGCCCCCGATAGGCTGTGCCGGTGAGCACTTACTTACCAAGCAAGGGAGCCTGACGTGACAGGCGAGGGGACGTCGACCATGATGTCGAGGTTGGTCAACAGGGTGTCGACGTGGCAGCGAGTTCGCGTCCGTGGCTGGTTAGTGTGGTGTTGTTGCTGGCAATGCTCAACCCCCTCCAAACTTTGCCAGTCATATGTGTTGGGCGTTGGTGTGGAGCTGGAGACGGCGGAGAGGCATGACGTGGTCGATAACGATGGTGGCAGCGGCAAAGACGTGTGATTGTGGCGAGGTTGTAGCTTGACGAGGGAGGCAATGGGGTTGATGACAAGAATTTGCGCCCTTTTTGACGCTGCGGAGTACGCTGAGTATGAACATATTTCCCACACTCTTCGTCAAGTGTGTTTCACTAAAGTTGTTCCGAAGGCAATCCGAAGGGGGTGAATAAATATAAATTTAATGATTAAAGAGGTGCTAGATACTATGGACTTCATAAAACGTGGTACTTGAGTGAGAAATGTGGAGGTATCATAATTTGTGGGCGACGCTGTTGAACAGCTTTAGACGAGAGCTGGTGTCCACAAAGTAAACTCCTAGCTGCCAGCTGGGATCCGGCAGGCTGCTCAACAGCTGTCAATTGGATAGCCGACAGGGGGGAGGTTTGATGCCGATCAGGAATTTCGGCATTCTGCCATCACCCTGGGGCCCAAATGGCGGTGTAGGAGAGACTATGGTGGGGGTAAGTAATGTGGAAAGGGATGTGTGACGTGTGACCTGTTGATCTCATCGTCACGCCTCGACGACGGTGTGTCGCATATCTAAGAAACACACGAAAGCCGTGGCTCAGGCCACGGCTCAAGGCTTCAAGCATAACGAGCCTGAGCTTTGGGCTTTCTTGGGCCTCGACGACGGCCCAACAAGGCCCGGCTTTGGGACGGCTGGCCCTGGCTGGCTTACGGCTTTGGGCCGGGCCCGGCACATCACTAGTGATGCGTGACGAAGAGTGTGATGGCTTCGGCGCTTCTGCAATTGGTTGTTGAGGATGACGTTCATGTCAACTTTTCAACGAGCCAGACCAGGCTTTTGTGCCAATGGGACAAGATGGAGTCATACCAGCAACTGAAGCAGAAGAGACTCTTATTGAAGAGGTTGAAGGCCAAGTACTCGACCCCACCACGGCCATGGAGCGGGAAGGCCAATGTAAGAAAATCAAGAACAGGTTGTACACGCAAGAAAACCTCAGATGGTGGGACATCTCCCATTAGAAAGTAGATAACATATACACTGTGGCGTTTACATGCCTATGGGCGCCGTAGGTGCCAGAAAAATCAGCCATTTTAGAACAGGAAAAAATGACTTCGAAAACCGGGGTGATGCGTGACATCACCCTCACTTCACTTCCTTCGATGACCTCTGTGATGCGTGATGCGAAGTCATGGTCGTATTAGTACAGTACTCTACTCCTCCCATCCAGGGTGATCATAAGGTGACAACAAACAACGTTGATACGATACAGGAGGTAAGCACCATTTTGCCCAGCTTTGCTCTGTGCTGCAGGACCATCTCATCCAGACAAAGGAGATAGAGCGAAACGATTCAGAGACAACCAATTTGACATCGCCTGTGGATTGCGTTGTGCCCATCAACGTCTATCAGGGCATATATGAGGCTCTTGCGAAAGATATGGACAGCTTAGTGATGGACTCGCGTTGTGGTCTAGAGGCTGGAGACAAAAACATGGATATCGTACAGCCGAGGCGCATCACGTCTGAAGAGCTCCGACTTTTCCAAGATCCCGAACATCTGCACGGTAAGCAATTTGTACCCTTGGATAAGGATGATCCTGTGAAGTATGAGGTTATTGGCTACTCCAGGAAGCGGGACAGGTCGGTTGAATATGATGTGCTTTATGACGATTGTCGGGACTCTATCAGGGTGAATGCGAGGGAGATGATGGCACTGCTGGAGGACAGTCTTTACCTACCTGCTTGAAGTTCAACGTTCATGGCTTGTACATATGTGTTAGCGGCAGGCTGGCTCGCGACGTCCCGGACTCTTTTTTGTATCATAGATAATCATGAGAGACGTTTTTATGTACAGAGATAATATGGTACTACATCAGACAATGTGATAAATAATTGAGAAGCGTGATGAATTTGAGGAAGTGATAGTTTGATTGTAACGATGAAAGATAAATATTAAAAATATTGGTTCAGGTATGATGAAATCAAAATCCTGCCACTGTAGAGTTCGCGCCAATGCTACCCAGTGCTACGCGTCACAGCTTGCAAACGTTATTTGGAGTGGCTTAGCTATGGAGGGTTCAGATGCAGCGGTCAAGGCATAACAAGGTCTGTCAAGAGACTATCGAGCGCCCAGTATCAGTAACGTCAAAGTAACGTGCCAGGTAGTAGTAGTATATCAGGAAACGGTTGTTTCTGGGCATTACTCCGACCTCTACCTCTGCCGCTATGTCCATAGCATACGTAGTTGAGTCTTCACTGCCAGTAGTCGTCACCTAGCCAGCGCCTATGCGTTTGGACGCACCTAAAACATGTTGTCAGCCATTACGCGGAAATTTCAACATAGTCTCTCTCCACCAATTGGTACTTGACCCCGCAAAATTGCATAATTCTATTGAGGTTCCGGTCCCGCGATTCAGTCGGATTAGGCAATTCGTAATGAAGCATGATGGTTTTGCAAGTCTCCCCTGTTCAAAGACATCCATTGAGCACACTCTTCGCATCTACCGCTTTTGTGGAACAACTCACCGTCTAGGCCAAATAGAGATTTGAGATCGTTCGGGAAGGCAGGGCTGACCTTGCCATCCGACATATATATCGTGTGTAGCAACGCGTCGGGTTTGCTTGACCGCAAATCTGCATTTGCGCGCCTGCTTTCTCTGAATGAACCATCCGTCAAGAATGAAGTTTGACGTTCTCGTGCCAAGAACGTACGAATTATGCAACGCCATCCTGACTTTCTCAAGCTCCTCATTGCTCTCCACCACCTCATCTTGAAGTTCTGGCGGGATGTGTGTCTCCAAACACGCGGCGACTTGTTCTTTAACAACCTCATCGATCTGCGCGGCTAGCTCTTCCTCCACTACTGCTATTTCAACAACCGGGTATGCAGCCAGAATTGGCTCAAAACTTACCCTGCTTTCTCATCTCCTCGATGGCCTGGTTCTTGAACAAATCGTCGAGGATATCTGTTGATCATGATCGTCATACGCTCTGGTGCAGAAAACAGGACAGAGAAGCCACACTTTGAATTTCGTCGACCGCCTCCTTGTGTCGTCGATCTTGGTCCTGTATTTGCTGGCATATTCTGTCCATCTTTATCAACACCGTTCAAACACAAGCACGCGCTAACGAACTCGATAATCTCTGATTTCGCTCCTACGTCCCCCGCCAGATGGGCAACCTGCATACTTTGTCCCTGTAAATCCTCATACGTTGCCTATAAAAACGTGCTTATCAGACAGAGGCGGTGAAAGATAATCCAGGCTCACGTCCAACCCGCTGAGAGGGTCCTTCATCCGATTGAACAACGTTCTGGTAGCCACAAATGCATCAGGAACTGTGTCGATGTGATCTTTTGTAGGGGATAGATGAGCTGCTCCGGTGCTCGTTGGTGTAGGAGGCTCCATAGCGTACGCTTAGAATTGCGAATGGGGGTATAACAGCTTGAAGCACTTCGCGACACCAGCTGAAATTGCCTCTAATAAATGAGGTTCGCGAACCACGCATCATGAGGCATTCCAACGTGTGAGCCATGATGTCAGTAAAACTTGCGTCTGTCGTCCAGCATCCGTCCATGTCGACGTGCTGTAGTTGACACGCCACGTTTTAAACCAAAGCACGCTTGATGGTGTGAGTTTGATACAGGTGTGGGGGTGGTGTCTATCTGAAGATATACGTACATTCAAATACATCTAAGCACGTTCCTAATTATCCGTGGGTGTCACTTCTGGCACCCGCTCTATGTACAAGCTTTCTCCAGCAGCTGCATTTAGTTGTGCAGCCATGAGAGCTCGGAATCTAGAATCCTCGTCGGTGACCTGAAAATCATTATCAGCTCCAATGGTATGAACGGGAAAGAAATAGACCAACTAGCTCCCGATATGTCCCTGATTCAGTTATTCGTCCGCCTATACCCTTTTAGGACCTTTGTGAAAGTACTCATATTCACATCACGTACCTTCAAGAACGACTATGCGTTCCGCTCTAGCAATTGTTGACAACCGATGGGCTACAAACAAACAGGTTGTTTGTCGTGATCTGAGGATTTTATCGATAGCGTCATTGACCTAAAAAGTCTGTGAGTTCCTTGACAGGTATTATATGCAACATAGCCATCTTACCCTCCGCTCAGACGTAGCGTCGAGAGAGCTCGTAGCCTCGTCGAGCGCTAAAATCACGGGTTTCTTCAGCAGCGCGCGAGCTATCGCAAGACGCTGACGCTGTCCGCCACTGAGACTCAGACGACCAACTGTTTATCAAAAAATTGGCGGATACATAAGTCGGTAAAAGCATGCGACTTACTTTCAGTATCGAAACCTTTTGGCATGCCCCAGATAAATTCACAATTAGCCTCACGGGCAGCGCTCTCAATTTGCTCGCGAGTTGCATCAGGGTTTCCGAATGCAATATTGGTCGCAATGGTCCCCGTAAAGAGGACAGGATCCTGGGGCACCACACCAATGATACTGCGCCATGATGTCGCAGAGAATTCGCGGATGTCTGAGAATGATATCAGTGGAAAATCGACATACACAGTGGCAAAAGCGACAACCTTGGCCATCAAAAGTCACTTTTCCCTTTACAGGATCATAATACCGAAGAAGAAGCGATTGGATGGAAGATTTGCCACCCCCACTTTCCCCTCTAAAAGTCGATAAAAGGTCAGTTCGAGATGAATGTGCGTCGCGTGGCATGGCCTCCTACACGATAGCAATACTCTCGCCGACAGCCATCTCCAAGTTAAAATCCTTCAAGATCTCCACACCCTTGCGGCTGGGATACTCAAAGTAAATCCCTTCAAATCTGACGACGCCCCGTCGATCCGGTGGAACTGATAATCCTGAGTCGTCTGGGATCGCGGGTGTTCGATCTATGACTTCAAATACACGCGTTCCTGCTCCGATTCCGCGCATGATGGAAGACTTGACAGAGACTTAGGGTCGGGTGAGCTACAGGAGAAAGCTGACGTACAAAAAATGAACTGCAGCAAGTTAAACACAACCGCGAAATCATTCAAAATAGACTTACGTGAGCATTTGCAGACCACTTCCAACATAAACGGTATATAGTAGCAGACTTGTGAGGTCTCCCACAGAAATCGTCCCATGAGATACAAGCGTCCCACCTGCGTCGTTTTAGAATGCCAAATCTTGAACTACGTCAAATGATCGACGAACCGTATCCAAGCAAAGCAAGTAACGTTATATTGCCACTCCAACCAGTGCTTCCAAAGAAGATGCCACTCGCGATAGCTTCTTTTCTTGCAAGCATCAGAATCTTATCTATCCGATCGTGGAACTTTTGCTGTTCTTGTGGGACGGCGTTGAAGGCTTGAACAGTGCGAAGAGCGGATAGTGATTCCGTAGCAACCTACTAAGGGTGTGAAAAATTCTGTGAAATTCAAGGAAGAGAAGGTCCGCACCTTGGTCATTTCTCCTACCGCTTCCTGAGTCTTGTTTGACAGTTTTTTGAGATAACGACCATAGAAGACCTATTCAGAGAATTGTTTGGAGGAGCTTTGTGAAGTGTGTAGAAGAAAAGACGCACTGCACCCAATGATACTGGTGGTACGACAGCCAACATCAACATTGTTAATGTGGGTGAGACGTAAAACATTGCGCCAACTGGAAGACAGATACGTGAATTGCGCAACAACCTCGATGGGGAAACTTACGACCAACGGAAGACATAACGACGGCCCGAAGTCCATCAGAAAGGTTCTGTGTTACGCTAATAATTTGGGATGAGTTGCGTGCCGGAGTACCAACAAAATAGAGACCTTTCACCGACTATGCTTGTGTCAACACTCAATCGACTAAGGACATCTCCTTCGCCTCGTTCAACATATTCGACCTCTTGCTTGAGAGCGGCACTATATGTATTTTCACGAAGCCGAGCCACGATTCGTTGTCCTAGTGGGAAATGGTTGGTCAATTGATGTCAAATCAGGAGTGGGTGGCTTTCTCACCTGCCAGTCTCATTATCATTGCGCGACCAGCGTTGGCGGCCGCCCCAGCGGTGAATAACACCAACAGTAGGGCAGATGCTTCCCACGTTGACAGGCCAAATGGTATTTGCTAACAAGGGGAGCCGAGTTGAGCTAGGTTCAGAGAACGTAGGGCAGAACGCACGGGGTTGTTCGTCGAGAAAAAATCAATTAATTTGCCAATAGTAAAGGGTACGCTCATTGAGACGGCCGACGAGGCAAGAAGGAGACCGATGGCAGCCACCAAGGGCTTCGTTTCTGGTTTCGCGAGCGCAACAATTTTTCGCAAGGAGGAAGTGTTTTGAGGACCGCCACGGAATGGCAAGACGCGAGATAATATAGACCCGTTGTTACTTTTCGAAATCTGAGTGGGGGTAGGAGGAGTGGTATAGGGCCTGTGGGCTTGAAATTGCTTGACAAATGACGTGCGTGGCTTGAAAACGAGGGTCCTGTGGCTACATGTAGTACGGTTTACCAAGCCAATCAAGGCTGGAGGACGCGAACAACTGGTAGCCCATATTCCGAGCATGCTGGATTAATTAGAGAGAAGTTATGGCAGACGAAGACATGCGCATGCTGAGGGTAACGGAACGGGTTGACTTGCTCTCGGTAAAATATGTTTGGCACATCCTTTTGAATCAAGCTGCGATAAACACGGTATTTATCAGAATCCAATGTTCTGTTCGCGACAGTTGTTGCGCCTTCACATGTCCACCGCTAAATACACCGAGACCTGGCTCTCTGGTCCGCTGGATACCAGTTTCTATACCCGCACTTACGCTCCCCCACCCTCAACTCCCCCTAAAGCTGCTCTCGTCTTCTTGCATGGCTTTGCCGAACACGTCGGGAGGTACACCCATTTCCATCCTTTACTCGCTGAGCGCGGTATTACTGTCTTTGCGTACGACCAACGCGGCTTTGGCTTGACCGCGCAGGACACCGAGGGAAAGAAGAGTAAGGGAAGTGCCTATGGAAAGACTTCATGGAAGGACCAGATGAGAGACATCGACTGGGCAATAAGCCATGTCAAGGAGACATTTAAAGGTCTCCCTGTCTTTTTAATGGGTCATTCCATGGTGGGTGTTTTCAAATATTTGAAATGCGCTCTGATTGCCTTTCCAGGGTGGCGGCGAAGTGTTGAGCTATGCGGCTCGGCCAGATCATTCTCAAACCAATATCTCGTCTCTCTCCGGTATTATTGCAACGAGCCCTCTTATTTCCCAAACCACACCCGCTCCCAAGCTCTTGAAATGGATTGGCGGAAAGCTGAGCGTGTTAGCGCCACATAGCTTGATCCCAGCAGACGTCAAGGCAGAGGTAGGGCCAAATCATTGCTATGCACAAGAGATGAACATCAGAGATTTATTACATAGGAACTGTCGCACGACGCTGATTCCAACGAAGCCTACTTGAAAGACCCACTCATCAAACAATCAGGTTCACTGAAAGGAATACATGATATGTTGAGTAGGGTGCATACCATTGTCTCCTGGTTTTCAGGCTGTCCATTGACGTTGTATTTTTAGGGCGAAAGTCTTCTTCATACCGCACATAAGGATTGGCCCAAGGACTTACCTGTCAGCATCTTCCTTTGTTCTTCTCGCTAAAAGCCTGTAACATTATCTTCGTAGGCTTTTATAATTCACGGAACAGAGGATAAGGTGCCTTCGACTCTACTACATTCCTTGGCTCAAAGTCTGACCTTTTTTTTGAGGTTACATGCCACAAAGCTTCTCAAACCTTCCATGACAAGATACCTGCATTGAAGAAAAAGATTACACTCTTCCCAGTACGCCCCAATCATAGCTTCACAAAGCAACATGCTCACCCCACATCATGCAGGGTGGTTATCATGAGTTGCAGAACGAGCCCGATGGCGTTCAGGAGAAATTGGCGGATGAAATCAAAACCTTTGTTGATGAACACGCCTCGAGTGCTGCAGATGTCGAGCCATCCTCAGAGACTGAAACTCCCTCAAAGGATGCTGCTGGTGCTACTACGGTGGAGAAAGCAAAGATGTAACTTTCTGTTGACATCGCGTTTGCAAATTATACCAGGCGGATATGAATAGGGCTAATAGGGGATACCTGGCGCTGATTGACCAACTATTACTGTTATGATATTGATTTTGTATTCATAATTTAATTGATGCTGAGGGCTTCACTACGAAAGCCAACGAATCGCATTACTTTCAGGAGTATCACAAAAGTCTAGTATCCAGCTGCACCAGGAGCTGCATCCCCCTCCCTCTTCAGTCTCAGGAGAACTTCTTTGAACCGTGTCAAATCCGTCGTTCCTGCACCCGTCCGTGCGATCGTCTTGCTTTGGGAATTTTGGAGTTCAATGAGTTCACAAATTCGCTCCCAAGTTGTGCCAGTGGTCAGTGACGCATTAAGGTGGGTCACATATTCGGCCTCTTGGTCTCTTTTAACGAAAAGAGCAAGGTCACTATTGGGTCGGTAAGAATGGACGGAAATGCGTACTTGTTATCCCTGATATTCCGTTCTTTCTTTTTGGCGTAGTTTTCATAAAATTCGTCAATTGACCGCTCCGCCTTTGCAATGGTTTCTTCACGGCGGGCCTTGGAAGCTTTGTCTCGCTCCTGAATCTCAAGTTGTTGTTTCTCGCGCCAATCTCTGTTTGAAGAGCTCGGTCAGGAGGTACGGTGAAAGCAGCGAAGGCGAACGCACTTGATCACCTGCGGCTCCTCCTCTTCGATGGGTTGGTTTAGAATGGGAGTAGAGGAGAATGTGGAGGGTTGGGGCCGAGGTGCGAAGGTTGCCCCGAATGAAGGTGGTTGAGCGACTGGAGGTGAACGGTGCTGCGGAGAATATCAGTATGACTCTCAAGAACATGTAGAACGATAGATAATGAAGAGCCCCGTCGAGTGCAAAGCAGATACGTGAGTACATATCACGTATCCCAACGAGTTCTCCAGCTACAACGTCCAGCATGACACACACACCTGAGGCACCTGGATGTCCGGAAACTCATTCTGGAACTTGTCCAGCTCATCGTCGCCCGTAACCTTGACCGCCGAGTCCTTCTCTACCGGGCTATCAAAGTCGTCAAATGAGAAACTGTTGTTGGCTCGTCCAGCCAAAGCCGCTGCTGGTGTGGGTATGTCTCCAAGGCCGTCGAGAGAAATATCAGGGAAAGCGGACGCGGCGCGTTCAAAGTCGATGTCGTCGCCTGACCCAATGTCAGTCTTGTGGGACGAAGAAAATTCGCCGCCTAGAAAGTCAGCTTCACGAGAGAATAGGTCGGTCATGGTTGCAAGTCAATGTAGTCGTGGGAATCTACACCACCTGCAACTTGATGCCATTGAATATTCCGGGGTTGCTGGTGCCCTTTCAACTCGTTCTATACCCTCGTCTTGTTCTGCCTAGTATCGCTGTTAAAGATATCCGGCATATTGATTTTCATAAACTTAGGCGAGCGGGATACCGAGGCATCGTATTTGACAAGGACAACTGCCTTGTAAGTCCAGATACTACATTCTTTTAAGTCATACGCCAACGTTCTATCGCAGACCCTTCCGCACAAGGACTTTCTTGTTCCTGAACTTACGGTAATACCGCTACCGTCACATTGTATGTTCATTGACTGACTTGACTTAGGAAGCATGGAAAGAGTGCCGAGAAGCGTTCGGTGACAGACATGTTCTCATAGTGAGCAATTCGGCTGGAACATGGTTGGATGCAGGGGGAATACAGGCGCGTTCCCATTCTTTTTAAGTGTTTGATTCCGTCTCAATTCTGGTCCCAGGCGGAATCAGTATCCCACCACCTCCAAGCTCCCGTCCTTCACCACAAAACATTCAAGCCTGCCTACTCGTGCATATCAGCCATCCGAACCTACTTCTTGTCCCTTTCATTTGCTATCAGGGATGAGGAGCTGGTTATTGTAGGCGACAGGATATTTACGGACGTGGTCATGGCGAACCGCATGCGCAAAAGCTGCGAATCTAGCTCCAAAGGAATACTAGGAACCACCTTATCGTGCGCATTCGAGAAGAGCGGCACAGTCGCAACAGAAAAGGGGGCTTCACATGTCAACGACTTCCATCCTGCGGGACCGTTGGCGATTTGGACGACTGGCGTGTGGGAGAAAGAATCAATGGTCATGCGTTGGTTCGAGCGCAGTTTAGTTAAAACTGTAGAGCGCTGGTCAGGACGACCGCAGATAGAGCCGAAAGAAGTCCATCAGTTTGTGAAATCGGTTCCAAAACCCGTGCCTTCAAGAGCCCCTTGGTTCTCTGGGTTCTCTGATCTGCTCACACAGCTGAGACGAGGGTAAAGTCATATTCTATTAACTTAGAACATTACGACAACAAAGAGGAAAAATCTAGAGTTTTGACTTGACAGAATTTCTTCGTCTTTGCTCCCCCTATGTCGTTTTTGCCAAAGGCACTCATCACGACAAGCGGGCAATTGAAGAGAAATGTGATAGATACTGCACACGAAACGCAGCCCAAGCGTTTCCAATATGTCTCTCAAGCGAAGAGTTTCGTGACATTCTTTCAATATCGCCCATATCTCGTCTGGATGCGAGCTTTCTGCCTTATCAACATACGCCCCGTTTGGATCAGACTCCGATGTTGTGTAATTGTGCAGTGTCAAGGACGTTACGCGGTGAAGATGAGGAGTGTAGCTTCAGTGAGAAACGGGCTGGAGGACAATTCCTGAGAAGATGATGAAGGGATGCCGCTAGACCGACACATGAAGGGTGTGAAGGTTTGGCGAGTAACAAGAGCGAAAGGGGTTCAATGATATTCATGAAGGAATCGTTGTTGGCCGAAGATATCTTGATGCTCTGCAGATTACGTAGAGATCGTAGGTGGAGGTCTGCCGTATTGGGACTCCCTACAATCAACTCTAAGGATTCAAGGAGGGGAAGAATTCAAGAGTGGGAAAGGGGTTATCAAGAGACTGGATAGTAAAGATTCGATGGGAAGATCTTTTCAAGTATTTGTGAAGGCGATATTCGAATGACTTTGAAGCGAGTGTAAAGTTGCCATTATTGTAACTTCTTAGGCGACAGTAGAACTCATAGGCAGCGCCTGGCCTTCGCTCGTCCAGGGCATCCATCATCTCCGAGAGAATCCAGTCTGAAATTGGCTCCACGCAACTGTTCTCCCACGACCGATCCTTGTCGGGCGGGCGTATTTGGAATACACGATGGATGACTGTTTCGCCACCCAGATTCATGCCGATAATAGCATCAAACAAGGCTTGGGTATGGACAATCGCACTCTTGACCACACTTTTGGCATTGCGAACAGCTACACCAGATACCACTGCTAGATGAGATGTACGAGGTATGTTGCTGCAAATACGGGAAGCTTCCTGAAGTTGCTTGAGGGTGATGTTTTTGCTATGCAGGAACAACCTATGTTTAAAACCGTCAGCAGCAAGATTGATCAAGCGGAATCCACAAACGATGCAACAACAAATTCGGCTCGCGACCATGGATCCATCATGAAGACCGCATCCTCCATAACTCTTTGAGTAAGCCACCTTCGGTCGTCCTTCTTTCTTGGCGGGGAGGTGACAAGTATGCGACATTGCCAATGACGAAAGATATCCGTACGAGGTGTGCAAACGTTTTCGTCGGCATCGACAAGTGTAAGAACATCGTCGGCGTCGTTATATACCTTCTGTGTGTCCAAAGGGCGCACGGTAGCATCAACGATGAAGACATTGCCATCTAAGTCCTGAAACACGGTTGGTTTGGCGAGAATGATGCAAAGAACGAGGATGGAATACAACATACATGTTTTACCTAGTTCGTTGATTGGAAGTGACCGTCAAATACCAATAATGGTGCTCACCGATGCCCGGCTGACCCGAAAAGACGGCGCTCCCCTTAATGCCCTCTTCCCTCTTGTTGAAGATGTCTATCATTATGTCCCACTCGTTTCGATAGAATATCAACCGTGGCACACGAAGCGTCTTAAGCTTGGACTGGAGGACAGTCAGGTCCAGATACCGAAAGGTATAGGGGAAAATCGCTGTGGCTTCCTTTGGAAGATGATAATCATCAGTGACCAAGTCAGCGTCGTCGTTCATAACAACGTCGTCAATGTCCATAACAACGTCGTCATCAGATGGGGGCTGGCAGGGACTTGAAACTGGTCGGGGAACTAAACCGCCAACAAAGTCTCGATCTGGGTCAAGACCAATGCTCTTCTCGCGTAAGAATTCAGATTTCTCGGCAATAACATCCACGAACAGGTATTCATCGGAGTTGCGTTCGGGATGCAGTGCGTCCAGACGACTTTCAAGTTCGGTGAAGTGGTCTTTCTTCACCGTTACGGTACGAAAAACTTTGCCAAGAAGGTTACGCTTTCCCCACAGTTCACGATGCATTTCAACCAACCAGGGAGGCAGCGGCGGGTTGAGCGAGAGATCTAAATTATGGGACGAGGATGGTGAGACGGTTGCTGGATAGGGTCATAAACGAGTGGCTCGACATCATAGGCCATTAGTACTCACTACCGGCTGGACGTGGTAATATGATGCTCAGAACCTTGCCAGGCGCTTCCACCCAGTAAAACGAGACTTCCTCGAACGACTTCAATTTCTCGCCGTTTGAAAGGTCAATGCTTTGAGCATGTTCCTTGAAATCTTTCAAAGGCAGTTGGAACTAGTATGTGTTAATCTCTGTACGCCGGCGTTTATTATTCGCCCACCTTATGAAGGTATATGGAGTCAGCATCGACGCCTTTGAACGAATGCTTTGCCCCTTTAATGGCTTTCTTAAGATCTTGAATACGGGCACTACGTTCGACGATCACTGAAAAGACTCGTTCGTATGAATCACCCAGGACCCAGCACCACAGCTTGATCTCGTCGGACTCGGACATATTTCTTGGGGGTGAATTAACTTGAAGAATGTGCAGTGCTGGAGTTAAAGAGAGTTGGAGTCTCGGATTTCCTCGCGGTGCCCCCTTGGAATAAAACGGTCACGTGAGCTGACGAGTTTCGCCAACCATCTACCGACTGAATGCAGACGTGGCGCTTGAGTTTTGATATATTTTTGGATACCCTGGCCTCGATGTCTTCCTCTCAAGCAATGGGTTGATGAGACCATACAAGGTGAATACAAGTTACAAGTTACAACTATTGTTATCCCCGACTCTGGAACAAAGAGGGTTCTGTCACAACTAGGAAGCTCGACTCCTGCCAACCGTCGTTGTGTGAATGTTGCTGTTTTCAACGGGGACTGGCGCTTGCGGCCCCGCCGCTACACCATACGTTCCTTTGTACACGTCTTCTTCTCATAGCGCTAGGATGTACTGATCAGTCTTCTCGGCCCAAGATGGCTCGACTGATCTGTAAAGATCCACCGCAAAGTCTCTGGGATAACAAAACAATAACCATCTTTTTTTCTACAGCTGGTCGAAGATATGTCAAGATAGCAGGCTTGAGTGATGTTTGGAGATCCCTCAAGCCTTTAGCCTGTATAGGATGTGTGGCAGCTATAGTCACCTGCAAGGTGATAAGATGTGAGAACGGTGATTCGGACATTCCAGGTTGGTAGAGGAACGAATCGAAGGATGGAAAGACGAGAGACAGCAGCTGGAGGTAGCATGGTCTTCCCCTCTTAACGGACTTCGCTAAGTAGCCCACAAAAATTTCTTGTCTCCAAAACGTTCTGTGTCGGAATTGAACCGAATTTCTATAGTAGCAGAGGCTTGTTAAGAGACTGGATAGTAAAGGTCCGATGGGAAGATTTTTGCAGGTATTTGTGATCGTAATATTCAAATGACTTTCCAGCGGGTATATTGCCATCACTGCACCCCTTGAAGGCACGGTAGAACTCGTATGCAGCTCCTGCCCTTCATTGGTACAGTTCATCCAGGAGCTCCAAGAAAGACCAGTCCGAAACTGGTTCCACGAAACAGTCGATCCACAATCGACGCTCGGACGACGGGCGTATTTGGAATATGCGGTGGATCACTGTTTCGCCACCCACACTCACCCTCCTGAAAGCATCAGACAAGTTATTGCTGTTCTTGATCGCTCCCTTGATCGTTTTTTCAGCATCCTGAAGAGCGTCAGGGGATACTGCCGCTGAGAAACATTCACGAGGTATGTTTCCGCAAATACGGGAAGCTTCTTGAAGTCGCTTGGGAGTGATGTCTTCCCTTTCCAGAAGCAACCTAGAAACCATAAGCAGGCGGATTGATCGAACGGAATGGACGAACGATGCAACAACAAGTTCCTCTCGCGACCATAGATCCATCATGGATGTTGCACGCGGCCCAACTATTTGGTGAAGCCATTTTCGGTGGTTCTGCGGTTTTGGCGGAGACGTTAACAATATGCGATATTGCTTATGATTTAAGAGATAGTCGTCAGGTTGACAGGCCACATTGTCGGCATCGACGAGTGCAAGAACATCCTCGGCGTCGATAGATATCCCTGGTGTGCCCAGAGGGAGCACGGTAGTACCAATCACAAAGACCTTGCCGAAGATGTCCTGAAACACGATGGGCCGGCCAAGAATGATGCAAAGAATGAGGATGTAATACAACATGCATGTTTTCCCTAGTTCGTTGGTTGGAAGTGACCGTCAAATACCAATAATGCTGCTCACCGATACCCGGCTGACCCGAAAAGACGGCGCTCCCCTTAGTGCCCTTTTCCCTCTTGTTAAAGATGTCTATCATGGTAACATAGTCGTTTCGGAAGAGCATCAACTTTGGCACGCAAAGCACCTCCTTCAACTGAAGGTCAGTCAGGTCCATATACTGGAAGGTGTAGGGGAAAATGGCCATGGCTTCGTGAGTATTATCAACGTCGTCGTCCACAACGTCACCATCGCCCACAATACGGTCTTCGACCACGACATCAGCAGATGGGGGCTGGCAGGATAATTCCAGTTGGAGGACTAAGCCGTCATCAACAACTTTTGTCTCAAGTTCAGCCTTCTGGTCCCGTAAAAATGCAGCTTTCGTTGCAAGAACATCCGACGACACATAATCATCAAAATTGTGTTCAGGATGTTGTGCGTCCAGAAGAGATTGAAGTTTGGCGAAGCCCTCTTTGGTCACGGTTGCGGTACGAAAAATGTTGCCAAGAAGGTTACGCTTTACGATGCATTTCAACCAACCAGGGTGGCGGCGGCGAGTTGAGCGAGAGATCTAAGTTATGGGACGAGAATGGTAAGATGGAGAGGGTCATAAACGAGTGGGTCGACATCATGGCCCATTGGTACTCACTACCGGCTGGACGTGGTAATATCATGCTCAGGACCTCGCCAGGCGCTTCCACCCAGTAAAACAAGACTTCCTCGAACGACTTCAATTTCTCGCCGTTTGCAAGGTCGATGCTTTGAGCGTGATCCTTGAAATCTTTCAAAGGCAGTTGGAACTACTATGCGTTAATATCTGTGCGCCAGCGTTTATCATTCGCCCACCTTATAAAGGTCTATGGAGTCAGCATCGACGCCTGTGAACGATTGCTTTTCCCCTTTAATGGCTTTCTTGAGATCTTGAATACTGGCACTGCGTTTGATGGTCACTGAAAAGACTCGTTCGTATGGATCACCCAGGACCCAGCACCACAGCTCGATCTCGTCGGACTCGGACATATTCCTTGGGGGTGATGAATCAACTTGACGAATGTGTTACTTTGTGCGGTGCCATGTCTAGTAACGGAATGGTCTGTCATTGCTGAGCACACTCCTAATCGGAGTCAAAAGGAAAAGAGCTGAGGCACGTGAGCTGAAGAGCACCAGAAATCCGCTCGACTGCGCGCCCAAGTCTCCACCACCTTCACAACACTGGAACCTTTGCCCAAAAAAGGCTGGGCAAAATACTGCTACTTACATGCACGGCGGCGCCAGTTTCAGCGAACCTGTTCCCTTTCATATCCGCGACGGCATCCCCTAATCCATGAGCCATTACAGGATGAATACCCTCATAGAAGGCATACCGAAAACCATACACCGTCATCGCCACAACGGCGTGGCCACCTCTGGTACGCTTAGTGTTCCTTGGCTGCTAGGCAAATTCTCGCCAGCCCATTGTATCCCTTTTGTTTTAGACACGTTTCTTTCAATCGCGCCCGTGTCGAAAGCGAATGGGACTCGCTGGATAGACACCTTGTCGCGTTGTTGTGAATGGGATATCCGCTCACCAGTGTCCCGTGTGGAACAAGTGGAAAAAGAAGAGCAAAACCGAAAGGTCGAAGAGGTCGAAGCGGTCAAGTCTATCGTTGATCTCATCGTGCAGGCGAGGGAATGAGGAGATACGGAAATGGTAGAAAAGCTGACAGATGTCGAGGATTCTTTCAGGTGCCTTATCAGTTCAAGATGGATTGGAACGGCGACGAAAACGGTGACGACGGAAATAGGACTCGAGATTCTCTCTTCCACCAACTCACTCGTCGATGTGGCCAGACTCCATTGCAATATTGAGGACAAGGCTGGCGTGCTCAATAAACTGGTCCAAATTATGACGAACCTATGCTGTCTTTGTTCCCTCCTTCCACTCCCAGGCCCATGTCCGACTTCGACCTTGAGGCAGACTCGGTCTCAATACCCCTCACTACCACCCAAACTACTGCGTCACCAACGTCCACACAGCTCACAGTCTACAGCACCATCCTCCCGTCGTTCCTATCCCGGTGTTTGCACCATCTCCTTCTCAGGGACTCTAACCATGGTGTCCAGCGCTTTCTTACAGTCAACAGCGCGTGGGAGGGGCATATTGAAAGCGCCGAGCGGGCTTATAGAGGGAGAAAAGTTGATTGAGTTGGAACTTGGACGACGGACGCGAAGAGAAATTGCGACGACGAGGGTAGAAGGAACCGTGGTTAGCACGGTTGGATTGGAGGTGGGAAAGTTGAGGAGCGTGGTGAGTAATGTTTCGTTGGTGTCTTTTTTTTTTTTGCTCAAGTGACGTTAAGGTACAAGAACCTGATGATACTGAACATGACGTGTTGCAAGCACCGGAACATTCAGTGTGGCTCAGTACTATCGCTACTTCTCCTTCCTGTATTGTCCCGCTGCTGCTCAAGCTAGCGTACTATGGTCAAAATTTACAGCAAAAAGTTTTTCTATGTCGACGAAAAAGGAGAAGTGGGCAAACTGCGTACCGCTCGCGGTAAGAAGACCAACCAGATCCTTGGTCGCAAAAGTGCTGTTAATCTCGGGCGAAGTGACATCAGACAACGATAAGGAGCTAGCAATGGCGTTATCGTCTGGTTTGAAATACCTGGACGACCGATTATGGGAACTTGCAGCTCGCGCGATGGGCGAGACGAGGAAGGATCTGAATCTGTCATTGTTCAAGATCCGTGGATATTTCAACTAGATTGTCGAGCTGCTGTCGGAACCACTGCGGCGCACAGTTATTCTGACATCTCTTCACACCCCAGTTGTCCCTGCTATCGATTTAGTTGTTATGACTCAGGCTTGCGTGGTCAGAGTCAGATTGTGACGACGGGTTTTGGAACCAATTTCACAAACTGATGGTGGACTTCCTTCGGCTTTACTTGCGGTCGTCCTGTCCAAGGCTCTACAGTTAACTAGACTGCACTCGAAACACGCGTGACCGTTGACTCTTTAGTCGCCAAACGTAGGGAACACTTTAGCGGCTTCGTCCTCATGGTTTACCGCCTTCGAGAGCCCCATGGTTATAACTGCTCACACAGCTGAGACGAGGGTGAAGGCATATCTTTGTAACTTAGAACTCATACATTACAACAACGAAGAAGGAAAAGCTAAAGCTTTAACTCTTGACGAAATTTCTTCGTCTTTGCTCGCCCCCTCTCGGTTTTGCCAAAGGCATCAGTGACACATTTCTCTGCAATTGCCCGTCTGTCTTGGTGATTGTGTCGTGCACACGAAATGCAGCCCAAGCGTTTCCGATATGTCTCTCGAGCGGCGGAGAGCTTCGTGAAATTCTTCAGTCCCAGTGCCATTGTCATGCCCAACGTGAGTGGGTCATCTAACTGGCAAAGATGGACATAGGACGGGATCAGGAAGTCTGGATTGAGATGATATTCCTCCCAGATTGCAATTCTTCTTATGGGGTTAATAGGAAGATCACAAAGATGCGACGTTGCTATCTGGCGTGACTCATCAATCTCGTACTTGGAGGAAAGTCTGAGTACTGAAAGCCATTCATCCACTGTCGTTGGTTTTGGGACACCAAGCTCGCTAGGAAGACGATTTAAACACACAAGAAATGTTGATGAAAGACAAAGGCATTTACAAGGGATAGATTACGGAAAGAAGACGTGTAAAGTCTATCTCAGAAACTTCAGGTAATTGGAAAGGGTGCTGATCGTTGAAGCCAAGAAGGCGAGTTTTGCCAGCGTAGACAGGGGGTACAATGCTGCGAAAAACGGGGGATTTGGCATGTAGAACGGACAGATCGAGTTTAAAAAGCGTATCTTGCACCTGTGACTGTCATTAGCGGCTAAAATCATAAGAGGATGGATAGAAAACCTACTTGGATGACGACGTTTCCGTCAGGGGTATAATATGAGATGTGTTTCCGAGTAAGCGATGGTTCCACTATCTCGTAACTTGAGCACTTGACAGATGCAAGGCTATCCATCGGGTGGCACAGTCCAGGCATGGTGGTAAGCATAAGTCGCAGACAAGAATTGATACAATTCAAGAACAACACCAGACATAAAGGAAACAGCCTGAGGAACGTGGCAACAAGGAGGCAGACGACAAAGTAATTCCTGTGATATTCGTATGGTTGCCATGAGTCACCCGATGCCCTGCAACAGATTCAAAAGGGTTGATTGTGTTGCCAATGTAATGTTGAATTGGAGGATGGATTCGGTGAATACATAAACAAAGGTAAACAGACAATTATGGACACACGCTGGAGAAGGCTGGAGACTTTCCAATTCTATCCATCCATTAAAGTAAAAATATGGAAGGTGAGGGAGACACCACATACACATGTGAACCATACAACACATAAAAAATTCACTTGTATCGTGGTCTGTCTATGAGAGACTAGGGAGACACTGACTGAATTTCTCTCTTGGTGATGAGGATGATTTATGCTGTCCTTCTATTGGTGCATGTGTATTACTAACATTGAAGTGTGTCCTCTACAACTTTTTTGTCTTTCTTATCTGCCATCTCCATTACAGTTTTATTACCTTTTATTACAGCTGTTTTTCCAATTTCCCTTCATGGGCTTGATAATTGTATCACAAATCAATAAATTTGTACTGTAAAACATCTCTTATTTGGTTTGAAGATGAAATCAGAAGACCATACTGGAGATCACTGATAAAAACCATTGACATTGGTTCCCCCTTTGGTATGTCGGAAAAATCCCAATTAGCATACAAGTCCAATACAAGTCATTGTGGCAGCTGATGAACTTACAAGTGTTGATCAGTCTCCAAGGGAAGACATATTAGCATGTTATCAGGTCATGTAACCTCACGCTAATCACTAGCAAGTGCTGGGAGGTTTCCACATTTGAGCACATCAGTATTTATTAGGTTGTATCACTCTATGCTAATCTTGGGTATCCTTCATAAGTATGTAGATAATTTGTATACAAATAAAGTAACTGGTACTGCAAAAGAGGGGATTGATTGAAGCAATGGGTGCGGATAAATGTAAGTATACACCAAACTTCATGTTTATCAAAACCTCATGCATATCGGTGGGTCTTGCAATAGCAGCATTTCCACTCCAGCCTCTCAACTTGGAGCTTCCTAGACTTCTTAGCATGTGTTGGACAATGTGACATTGGTAGGAAAATTTGTACAAGTCAACTTAGAGTGCAGTCAGGGAAGCTATTGGTGTTCGTAGCCGGCGCTGCAGCCCCACTGATTGTTTGGTTGACATAATGTGTCATTTTGTTAGAAATTCACTACAAACTGTCAAGGTGGAGCACTGGCCCCACAAACATTGACCCGATGCTGGAATATATAAAGGGAAAATCAACCCACCACAGACACAGTCACATAATCAAACTCCCCAGCCCCCTCGGATTCCGAGAACATGCCAGCTCTCAGCATGGACCCTTCCCAAGCCAACTTGTTCAAGGTGACTGTCCATTGTGCAGTGTTTAACTGATACCACATGATTGTGTTTCGGAGATTGGGCAGTGACTGAGTAAGACAAGAACATCCTTCACCTCCTCCCACCACTCCGCCTCCTATCTATTTCATCATACACAACAGATCTACCCTCTCCGAATGGTTCTTCGCCACAAGGCAGAGGCAGAGGCAACCCAGGGGGAGGTGGTGGAGGAGGGGGAGGACCTCCCTATCCAGGAAACCAATTCGGTCCCCCCGCACCATATGGTAACATGCCTGCTTCTATAAAGACAGAGCTCAAGGTGGAACAACTGCCGGAATGGGATGGCAATCATTGGACTGCCATTGAATACTTCTGGCAGGTACAACAGTTAGCTTACCTAGGAGGATGGATCCCCGAAGCTCTAGGATATTGGCTCTGGTTTCACTTAAAGGAGGGTTCGACCGTGGAGAAATGGTTCATTACTTTACCAGTTACTCATCAAAGCTACATGTGTTCACATTACCTTAAGTTTTTTAAAGGCATCAAAGACGGGTTCTTAGGTCAATGCTGGCAGCTCAAAATGAATAATTACTACAATTCCCAATCATTCCATGAAAGAAATCATGAACATGAATTGCCATTGGACTTCGTTATCAGACGCATTATATATACTAGAATGCTGCTAACTGTCAATGTGGGAGGTCCCTTAGAAGTTTTCTATATCATGAGGAAGGCCCCCATTAGTTGGGGACCTATCTTGCTAATAAGTAGCATCAGGGACTCAAGTGAATTGTATTCGCAAGTCACTGAACACGAGGAGGCTCTTCTTGAAGCATATCAAGTAGTATTTAAAGGTTCAGTCCATAGGACTGCAAAAAGCCGGTGGACCAAACTGAACCGGACCATGGTCCGGTCTTTTTTTCGGTTGCAGTTGCCCCAATTTGGGGTTGGTCTGGTTGCCGGTTGCCTCATTTCGAAAATATATTAAAACTGTTCAAAGACCGGTTTTGATCGGTTGCAACTGGTTAAACGGACACGTGCGTTACATAGCCTTGTAACCACGTTTATTATCTTTTATTGGGTTTTTGTTTCATCAAAAACAGTTAAGAATTGAGAAAGATATAACCAAATCCATATTTTACCCAAGTCTCTATGAGATGTAATTCGGTTTCAGTCATAGCTATGTCAAATCTTCATTAAATCTCTTCAAAATTGGTAGAATGACGGGTATTTACATGCTTTACTATTTTATATAACCCGTTTATTTTTCAGAGTAATAATAGTCGAGATACAAATGGTTTATATTGGTATAATAAATTATACGCAAAAAAACCGGTCTGGATCGGTCTGAAGCTCCATAGACCGCAAAAGACCGGTACTAGGTGGTTCGGTTCGGTTCCCTCAATATATGGGTTGGTCCTAGACTGGTTGCGGTCCACGGTTGCGTGTTTTGGGGGCAAAAAACCGGACTGAACTGAACTTGCAAACACTAATCATCAATGTGGACGAAACCCATTCAACTGTAACTCTCGACCTACCGAATTCTCCAAACATACATCCCACATTCCACACCTCTGAAGTGTTACCTTTTATCGAGTCTGACACATTGCTGTTCCCCTCACAAAAATTTGCCGAACCTGTCCCAATTGTTACGTCGGAAGGTGAAGAGGAATATTATATTGACAAAATCCTCAATGCCAGACAACGCGGCCGAGGATATCAATACCTTGTCCATTGGCAAGGATATGGTCAAGAACACGACAAGTGGCTCCCAGGCACAGAACTTCAAGATTGTCAAGATCTTGATGACTGGTAGGCGTCTCAATCTCAATCTCCTTGATTTAGGTAGATTTTTTTTTGACCCTGCCAGCTGGTAGCTTTTTCCCAATGGGTTTTGATGCACCTGGCGCTCGGATTTTACTTACTACCTACTAATTTTTCTTTCCTATTTTCTTTTTTAAAGCAGGGGAGGGTGTAATCCTGGGATTACTACATTCGGACATTGTTTGGCGACACCCTCGATGTATTTGGCTTTCACTTACATATAGACACACTTCTGCTATGCACCTTCTTCCTTCCTTCTTACCATCATCATCTCCATACTCTTGTGTTATGTCTCTCACTCAGAATCATATACGTGGTTAGAATTTTGTCGCATATTCATTGAGTCAGTGTTTCCTATCCCCTCTATGTGGGATAGGTTTTCAGCTGCCATCTGTATAAAAGGTGGTCAAAATGAACATAAGTCTTTACTTCTTTCAATTCAATGAAGTACTCTCATTCAACACAGCTTTACAGCATACATTACTCACCATCAATGCCTACAGTGCAAAAGACCTATGCTGGTATGTAACCCTGTACATCATCAGCTCCTGCCATATTATCTGAGGCCCTCCTAGCAGTGGCGAAGGCCACCACTCCCAAAGCAACACCCACCCCCCGTAACCACCTGGAATTGATTGCTCACAAAGGACGTACATCCTTGGATAAAGAAAATACAGGTGTATAATATTTTCGACTTTCTCCCTCTCTAATATACCTTATTAGACCCAACTTCAGCTATGCCCACTGATAACTGAACTGGTGAAGGCTGGGTATGCAAGCCCTCTGAGAAGGTGGCCAAACAAGGTAACTACTGTCTATACTTATGTGCTACCTATTTCTGGCTAATCAATGTCAAGTGGCTGTCATGCAGGAGAAAGAACACCTTGAAAAGGAGAAGGAAAAAAAGCAAGAAGAACACAAGAAAAAGAAGGCACAAGTATTAGTTACCTTACCCCACTAATACTGAGCCCCCCGACCATACAAACAGACCATAGTTGATGGTGCCTGCTGATGAGCCCATGGATCAGTTGACCCCATCAAAGGTGGACCGGCCATCAAGACTCTCTTAGGACTGGTACTGTGCATCGGCTGAGAAGTGTACCCCATGAATTGACATAGCTAAAAATGCCTTGGATCCTGGGTCAACCGATCTCTTCATGGATTGGGCTCAACATGTGTCATGGGTCAGCTGAAGAGCTCTAAATCCCATGCATTGTGGATCAGCCCACAGCCGTCTCATTTTTATTTGCCAAGTTTACCTCGGCTTTTCATTGCCGGTCATCATGCAGTTTACTGGGTCGGGTCCATCACCTACCAAGAAGCCGAGCATGGTGACATGGTCAGTCAGCTAGTACCCCATGAATTAAATATGCCTTGGATCCTGGGTCAACCCGTCTCTTCATGGAATGGGCTCCTGTGTCATGGGTCTGCTGAAGAGCTTTGAATCCCATGCAGCGTGGATCAGCCCAACCTGGTCCCATCCAGTTGACACTATACGGCCGAGTTTCGTCTTCACTCAGGTTTTATTTGCCAAGTTGCTCAAACATTACCTCGGCTTTTCTTTGCCGGTCATGGTCCAGTATTCGGTCATGCAGTTTACTGGGTCCATGACTTCCCAAGAAGCCGAGCACGGTGACGTTCACAAGGCAGTGAAATATATTATGCACACCCCCGGTTCAAAATCCCTACCAAGTTTATACCGACCAATGTTTCTTGTAAACATACCCATGT